TCGCCCCCGCACTGGGGTTGAATAACAGACCGCCAGCTACGTACACCTACGTCGGCACATACAAAGGGTAGACGACCCATCGTCCAAGTTCCCAGCGTCGGAACGTTACGTCGTTGTTCGCCACCGCATCAGACAGCTCCAGTTCATCGTATAACCACTCTACGTGGACGTCTCAACCAGCGTTGAGTTTGTTGCGTCATCACATTGACCAACGAAAGTTACGCCTACACCCGCCTCACGGGAATTTACATCAAAATTCGCCACAACCCACCCACCACAGAGGAACGCCAGCAATTACATAACACATACACTTACACTGCTCGCAGAGCCCGTTCAACCAGTTACACATTCTACTAAGATTAGCTCAAGGCCAGTACACGACAACCTAGCCAGAACTGAGTTACAAATGATTGGATTCACACATAACATAACATAGACATACATTATCAAGCAGAAACACTACAGACGTCAGGATACCTACACAAGAACGAAAACAATGACATTTTTTTTCAGGAACACAGACACAAGATTTTATGTTTTTGTAAACTGTGCTGTCCCATTTTGTATTTGATTTACATGATTGATGTTAGGGATAGAATAGAGCAGTAAGATAGATAGTTTGTTGATGTATTAGATTAGTAGCAGACGCTGAAAAATATAATTTGTCAGCTACAGAAAGGGAGGGAGATATGTGATGACGCAAGATTACGTCAGACATGTTTAGCAGATATAGGTTAGCAGAAACAGACTATAGGCCTAGTTGGTTGGTTAGAGAGGCCAATGGGCGCACAGGACTGACCGGTCACGTGGGACGGTCAGCTGACCACTGAGGCGTGGGTCAGTAGAGCGATAGGCCAGGAGTTGTTAGGTAGCGGCAGAGACGGCCGAGGAATGTAGATAGTTAGGTAGTTGATGATTAGCTAGCGAGAGAGAAGGTGTTAGGAAGCGGCAGAGACGGCCGAGAATGTAGATAGTTAGGAGATCATGATTAGCTAGCGAAGGTAGAAGGTGTTAGGTTGTAGAATGTAGAGAACAGTTAGTGTTAGGATTGGTCATGGGAGTGCGTAGTAGTAGGTAGCATGTGGTATGAACAGTCAGTAGTAGAAGTAAATAGTACAGTGTAGATCAGTTAGGTAGAAACTTGAACATATATATCATTTTAATAAAGAACAATTATAGTTGAACTTGAACTGTGTGTTGTTGGATTCATTCGTTCCGCCTTCTGTAAAAATCCCCACCCTCACAAACAGTAAGGGGTGTGGCATTTCCAGTGTAATCGAGCCATAGAAACAAAAATTTAATGCTTGTACTTTTTAAATAGAATAGAATCCCGCAGTAAATTGCGCGCCGAATGAACGCAAAAAAAGTATATAATAGTAAAGTGACCAATTAGTACTTTATAAAAGAAACTGATTAATTTTTTTAAAGTTAATGAAACATCTAATTAAGACAATTTTATGACTTTTATAAGTTCTTTTATCAACGTATGAGATTTCGTTCACCTATTTTTTTAACTGATAAGGTACTCTAATTATCGGTATTTTAGTAACCAGAAATATAGTAAAGTACCACTTTCGGATATCTGAGGTCAGTTAAAAATTGTAAGTAATCCATCTTATATTTATATATGAAATTTCATCTACCCAAATGAAACAGTACTCAATTTATCGTGTTCTAACTATAATTTATAGAGTAGAGTACCACTTTTATCGGAAGTCGATAAAAAGTTGAAAGAAACCTGCGCATGTAATGTAATACTTGTATTTTTAAATTTCGCTCACTTAACTTAACTGTACTGAAGTTAAAGGCTTTTGAGAAACCTAAAGTAGAGTAAAAGCCACTTTCGTTTAACGTAAATCGCTCAAAAGGTGATAAAAAGTTACAGAGTTGATAAAGTACTTATGTATAAAAGTTTCGTCAACATAGCATAAAAAGTATTCAGGTTATCGTATTCACAGATACACACAAAACGGACAAAACTCTTATATGAAGGTCCTATTCTTTCTGAATCAATCGTTCTACGCCCCTCATGGGTAAATAATAATATATAATAATATTCCCTTTCTTAAAAAATAACTCTGCATGAGAATTATCTACTCATTATTACTGTATCTCATCTAAAATGTTTTAATTTAATCACTCTACAACTGCCCATTATTAATTTATGTCATGTAAAAGATTTTTTTTATTACTGTACAAGAGATTTATCACTTAGTTATCTCCCCTTCTGTTAAGGCAAAAATCACTCTGCATGAGGATTATCTGCCCAATATTAATGTATGTCATCGAAAAGGTTTTTATTTTAATCACTCTACAGGATAATTCAATGCCCAACTGTAATGATTTTCATATAAAAGTTATTTTCTTAATTACTGTACACACAAAAATATCTCTTAGTTATCCCCCCTTTTGTTATAGTAAATTTGTAAGGAGTTTTTGAACCTGACAGTCCATGGGATGGATGAAGTAGAACTATGAAAAGACTGGTCAGTACTATGCCTAGTCGCTTTTACTTTCCATAACGCGAATCATGTGACTTTTGATTCTGTGACATTTTATTCCTGTAAATTCGTTCCTGTAAATTTTGTTTTTGTGACTTTTGTTTCTGTAACCTTTGTTCATGGGACATTTTTTATACTGTGACTTTTATTCCTATGGCTTTTGTTCATGTGACTTTTGATCCAGTAGCTTTTGTTCCAGTAACTTTTGTTCATGTGACTTTTATTCCTGTAGCTTTTGTTCATTTGACTTTTGTTCCAGTAACTTTTGGTTCTGTAACTTTTGGTCCAATAACTTTTGGTCCAATAACTTTTGGTCCAATAACTTTTGGTCCAGTAACTTTTGGTGCAGTAAATTTTGATCATGTGACTTTTGGTCCAGTAACTTTTGGTTCTGTAACTTTTGGTACTATGAATTTTGTTCCAGTAACTTTTGGTCCAGTAACTTTTGGTCCAATAACTTTTGGTCCAATAACTTTTGGTGCAGTAACTTTTGGTGCAGTAACTTTTGTTCATGTGACTTTTGGTCCAGTAACTTTTGGTTCTGTAACTTTTGGTACTATGAATTTTGTTCCAATAACTTTTGGTCCAATAACTTTTGGTCCAATAACTTTTGGTGCCGTAACTTTTGGTCCAGTAACTTTTGTTCTTGCGACCTATTTCCTGTAATCGAGCTAAATATTCCTAGTGAAAACCGCGTAGCTCCATACAACAGATATGATGCCCCCACACGTGCCTATCAAAACTTAAACTAATCCCCACCTTCACCTAAAAACACGTTCACACACCATACAATGGCCACCTTTGTGTTAATCTAGTAAAACAAAAACAACCACCTATTTAACCAGCTTTCGCTTCACCTCTCATCTCTATTTTTAGCTCAAAATAAAGACCATAGGAACATGCATCAACATTTTTTTTTAAAAACAGCCGTCTATGTTTAATGGAAGAGTTACTGTTTATAAATATGCACAATGTATACTTCACAACATGTACGAGAAAATGTATACACACAGCTAAGCATAGTTAAAACGTTACAAAATCAAGTAGTTAAGTTAGTTCTACACTGAAAATATCCATTCAACATTATATACATATCATAGTTAAGTATAATTTATATGTAAACTATTTGTACACATTTTGTTTTTGAGTCCTGGGAGGGGCGAGTTAACATCGTTGTGTGTCGAATTACTGTTTTGCACATAATGTTATCTTGAACATGTTCTACGGGGCATGTGTTTAGATGTCGTGTGTGTCTTTAACTAACCCTACAGTAACATGTGTCTGTGATTCTTGTCGAGTGATTTCATGGAACAAATGTGTACCCCCCAGCCCGACCCCCTCACCCACCCCCCAGCCCGACCCCCCCCCCCCCTTACCTCAGACACACGTGGGCATCATTGGGTCACTCGGGTTTTATTTGGGATGTTGGACTTTTTGTGTGAATGTCATTAAGATTTCCAAAAATTAGCCCCCCCCCCCCCCTTTTTTTTATTTTCACCCCTACCCCTCCCTATTGAAGATAAGTGAACACATCGTCAGATACATTTGTGTCGAGGTGTCAAATGTGACAGTGTCACGTCTAAGTTGTCAGTTTGTGTCAAATGTGACAGTGTCACATCTAAGTTGTTTGTGCAATCAACACATTCCCAGAAACGTTAAAAAATTATATCTGGTACATTTTTTCAACGTCATACAGTTAACGACAGCTAAAGTCAAGACGTCACATTTATAATCACTACCACCAGGACCTTGATTTAACATCTAAAGTATCTTACTGAATCTCAGTCCGTTAACAACAGTTACAATTAAGATGTCACAGGTTACGAGTTTTAAAGTCGGGACGTCAACGTTAGCTGTCGACATATAAAGCCAGGAAAAATCGTCTAAAGTGCATGAATAAATGAGATCACGTGTGTAATCAACCAATCGCGTGCCAGTTGCTCCAACAGTCAGATGGTCGATCACTACGTCACATCACAGCCGACCAATCAGTCGATCGACCCGATCAACACATCAGAATAACAATGTTGAAATCAAGCACAAACAGATAATCTCAATCAGAAGTGTTTACCCTAATAAATAACCAGTTGTTCGACCTGAACACAAAAGCAGACAAAGGGAGTTTATCACAGTTCGTAACGAGAGAGATCACAGCTAGTTTGATGCTGTCACCCCAGGCCCTTCACCGTCCACTCAACACCCGTGGTCATCTCACACCCGGGAGATGACCATCTAGACGGTACCCGCAAGTTTAGCCAATGACAGTGTCTAGACTATTTCTAACTAGCGTCTATTCAATGTCCAACAGGTACCCAGGAAATATACAGGCAATGTCCAGCAAGTATATAGGAAATGATCGGGCAATGTCCAACCAATTTCCAGTGCCCAGGAAATTTCCCAGCCAAAGTCCAGTTGTTTTCCAGCTAAAATCCAGTCATTACCGTCCAGAATCCAGCCATTGCCCAGCCAAGGTCTATTCACTGCCCAGCCAAGGTCTAGTCACTGCCCAGCCAAGGTCTAGTCACCGCCCAGCCAAGGTCCAGCATTTGTCTACCGCCTCTAGCAGGAACACGAGCATGAGGTGATGACCGGGTATTTGATAGGTATCCAGCTACAGGACGTCTTCTCCCTGAAGTCCATACAGTTCCACCTGAGGAATGTCTTGTACGCCGTGGCGCTCGGCTTGCACGTCATGCCCTCGGGCAGCGAGCACGAGCGGTTCTTCGTGCACTGACCCTCCTTGATCCAGTGCGGCCAGAAGCGGATGCCGAGGTACTTCCACGTGTGGACGACGGGGCAGAACGTCAGCGTCCACAGGTACTTCTGGAACTTTCTCCTCTCTTTCTTGCTGCTGGTCAAATGAATGATAGAACCGTCTTGTAAGCGGGCGCTGCGTAACAAGCTCAAAAACCGGGGCCTTCGCCCCTTCGGGCGCCCCTTCTTCAACGCGATGAAGGTCGTCTCGACGGTGGACGTGAGGGCGGGGTCATACACGGACATGTACTCGAGGTCAAGGTCAGAGCCGAGCTGCCGCACGAGCTGCGAGATGTTGAGGTCGCTGGCGCTGGGGTCGTACATTTTGTTCTTGCTCTCGAGTAGCTTGTCCACGGGCACGTGGTCGGACGCCGCCGGGCGCAGCACACTGGTGGAGAACTTCCTCGGCTGGTCGTCGGGGCGCAGCAGACGGAAGAAAAGCTCAGCAGACGTGGAGGTGCTGGTGTACATGTAGGGGAAGAGGACGAACAAAATCGCCGCGGCCTTCTTCATTTTCAGCTGGAAAACAAAAATGAAAAGTAATTAGAATCTAAAAAAAAAAACTATATTAAAAAATGTTAGAGTTAAATATATATGATTAAATAAATCTTTTTTAAAGCAAAGTAAATTTAGTATTTATTTCATAAATTTTTTAGAATTGTTCAAAATATGTAGACTATCCTTCTATTTTACAGATTTCTACTTTTTGAACACACACATGAATACATGCATGATACACACACATAAATACATACATGATACACATGCATAAATGCATACACAACACACACGCGAGCCGAGCCTATAAAACAAGAACGGAATTCACTAAAAAAATCTATGAGAACGACGTCAATAAACCCGTCGCTGTTGTAGGGGCCTATATTATCAACTGTGGACTGACGACAACTTTTGGCTGGTGGGGTAGCTGGCATGAGGTACCAGAGTTTCTTCCGCCCCGCCCGCACCCCCCCCCCCCTACGGAAGAAAGTCTACCGCCCCCCCCCCCTCCCCCGAAGGAAATGGAATTTATATAGAAAATATATACTTTTAACAGTGTCCGCCCGTCCGCTCCCGAAAATTTCAAGTGCCCCTTCCCCCCCCCCCCCCCCCAACCCCCCCCCCCCCGGAGAAAAAGGTATGGAAGAAACACTGTTAAGGACTACGGCTTAGGGTGTCTCCATGTATACATAACCTCAGTAGTTTCCACTTCTATCTGCTACTGCGGTACTGTGCCAGATGGTTTAAGGGAGGAGGTGGGGAGGAAGTGACGCAATATTCATTATTGTTTTTAATAATTGATTTTTGTTGGACAATTAATTTATGAGATTAGTTTCTTCTAAAGGTAAATTTGATTTTAAAATAGTATAAGAAATATAAAAAGGCTAACCGTTAATGACGTCACGCCCATTTCGGATGCGGGTTTAGGTTTTTATGACGAGAGAAATGTAGATTGACTATCCTCTCGTATTGACGATTCGATAAAGCGTTGTCGGGTGGTAGAGCGCACGACCGTAACCCGAAAGGTTCGAGTTCAAATCTCAGACTTTAGTCGGTTAGGGGAAGTAAAGGCGGCTATGCATAAAAGTGACTACACTATGCATTCACTTGCAGCTGTCACAAAAACATGTGGACTCTACTACATCTGCCCCATGGGCCGCCTAATCCGAAAATAACTAGATAGGGGGTTCAAATAGGCTAAAATTACTTACTCCTAACAGAAAATTATCAACTATCATTTTCAAATATATTGACATGAAATTCGTATTTATTCACGGTGATCTCTGTACCCTCTTTTGATGTAGCATACAAAAATTAAATATAATCCTCTCACTTCCTTAGAGCTACTCCTTTTCTCTTTTTCTCTCTCCCCCCCCCCCCTCTCTCTCTCTCCCTCGCTCTCATTTGAATATTCGGACATGATCAAAGAACAGACTTTCTTCCAGGCATCTCTTCGGGGGGGCAAAGCCCCCCCCCCCCCCCGAAAAGTTTTTACCGCCCCCCCGAACGAAATGAAATTTATATAATTTATATAGAAAATATATACTTTTAACAGTGTCCGCCCCCCCGAAGAAAGTTTACCGCCCCCCGAAGATTTCAAGTGCCCCCCCGGAGAAAAAAAGTCTGGAAGAAACACTGTCAAAGAACCGTAAAAAATAAGGAATATTCCTCGAAAACCCGGCTGAGTAGTTAATAATCTAATGAGTAGTTAATAAGATATAGACATCAAATAAATGGTAAAAAGTGAATCATATGATTGGATCCTGGCTAAGACCGGCGGGGACAACTCTAGTTGAGCAGATAACACCGTCATGTCCATACATTTGGTGGAGCCTTTTTGGGGGATTATTTTTTTTTAACAAACCTGAGGTCAAGAATTGAGGTAATTTGCCTAGGCAGAGATCGACGCTGCCAAAATGCCTAGTTGAACAATTCCGTTGTTTTTGTTGTTGTTTCGTTGTTGTTGTTTTTTTTTAAAATATTTTTAATGTCATTTTTTTTTTAAAGAAAGGAATTGGGCCTCACTGTTAAACTGCAAAATAAATATTTATTTCTCAACATAAAGGCGACTGAAGCATTTTAAGAACGGTCAAACAAAAAAGTTTGGACCTGGGCAGATTCGGGGGCCACCCACCCATTTTGACAGTAACACCTTATTTACCCCCCACAGGCCTACAGCATAAAACTAAACAAACTTACCTTGTGTTGTTTGCAGCCTTGTGATACGCTGTCTCGTCTACCTAGGCAGCAGGCGTCAACTTTTATTGCACTAGATACTCTGGTCGCCCGATCGGTACAGCAACATGTAAAGCCTTGGGTCCAAATAAAACTTACACAAAACACACGGCGACAAAACACGAGTCCATGTTGACGTTTTTTGTTTTTTTTATTTTAATTCATGTAAAAAATTTCAAGCTACAAGATAAAAGTTGTTTTTTTTTTTCTAACAATCTAGCGCACAACAAAAGGTAATGAATTCGTCTATCAGTCGTCTGAGGGCCCGCCGTATTGTAATGAGTATCGGCCGCCATTTGCTAACAGGCTCGAGGAGATCGGAGTGCCACGTGACACGGCTCCTCCTCCATCATGTTCACACGTCACCGCGCGTGTCTGTCAGTGGTGCTAAGGCGGGTAGAGTCGTTGACTACAGTGTTACGTCAGAGGCGGGTATAGAAGTAGTTGACTATACTATTACGTCACATAAAGGTATAGAAATAGTTGACTCTACTATTACGTCAGAGGCGGGTAGAGTAGTTAACTATACTGTTACGTTAGAGTAGTTGCCTATACGATTACGTCACTGAAGGATATAGAAGAAATTGACTATACTATTACGTCATTGGTAGGTATAGAGCAGTTTTCTTCCAGGCATCTCTTCGGGGGGGGGGGAGCCTACCCATCCTCCCAAACGAAATGGAATTTATATAGAAAACATATACTTTTACCTGTGTCCGCCCCCCCCCCCGGAAAATGTCCCCCCGCCCCCCGAAAATATCAAGTCCCCCCCCCCCCCCACCGGAGAAAAAAAAAGTCTGGAAGAAACCCTGGTATAGAGTATAGAGGTAGTCGACAGTACTATTATTACGTATAGAAGTATTTGACTATACTATTACGTCATTGGCGGGTATTTATGTACACCACACCTTATAAGTATAAAATTAGTCCACATAATTTGTTTTTAAAAGCTTGCCGTCACCCGAGTCACCAGCGTTCTATAGAAAAAATCGATTTTCGTAAAGCAAGCCTGTACTCATGTATTAACATAAGTTTAGGCTACGTCTCAAAACAAAATTTTTAAAATGTGTCTAGGCTTAAGTGTCGATAAAACAATATCACGCTAAAGAAAAGTTCGTTTATTTTGAAAATAGTTAGAAAATTTCAAGCTTTAATGAAACGTTTCCATCCTTAGCTAGCACCAAGTCCCGATAGTCTTAAGGTAAAAAGTGTTTTCAACTAAATCAACTATAATAAATCAACCGCTAGGCCGGAATTATATTTATATGGAGAGCTAGACTACTAACCCGGAAATCGAGTTCGAATCCCTGAGTTTACCCAGCTCTGATGGGTACCTGACTCACTTTAGGGAATCAAAGTCGGCTGGGCATAGTGCTGACAACATTACCCCCCCCCCCCTGTACACCGAGGTAATTGAAACAGATGAACTCTGCTTCATCTGCCCCGCGTGTCTTGGGGACGACTTGCAAAAGATGGTTTGAGATGATGTGAAATAATGATACTGACATTCTAAAGTCGAGAACAACGCTAAGACAAATGATAACTTATTCTGTCCTATCTCTTGAAACATGAATTCACGTAACGAGAGAGGCCCTTAAGATTGAAAGCGTTGAGGTGTGGTACAAAAATGATCTCACGATATTTTCACACTCTTACCCCTAATCTGGTTACTCGTCTCTATAAACACCCAGACTCCCTAAATGACGTCACGTTCTATCATCCACACCCCCTTCGATTTTTATTTTTCATTATTTTTTTTTATATATTTGATTTTTTTTTTTTTTGTAGAACCAGATTACCTAACTTGAAAACCAATGCAACGAACCTCTCCAGCATGAGTAATTTCATTGGTGTACATTAAATATGGTGCATCTCATGAAAAGAACAAGTATTTAATATTTCTCTATTTCGTCCGGTGTAGTGTTTTTCCAGACTTTTTTCTTCGTGGGGACACTTGATACTCCCGGGGGGGGGGGGGGGCACTAAATTTATATAAAATATATACTTTTACTAGTGTCCGCCCCCCCCCCCCCGAAAATTTCAAGTGTCACCCCCCCCCTTGTATAAAAAAAGTCTGAAAGAAACACTGGTTGCGTCATGATACAGTTGCTCAAAACTAATTTCAGCTAAAAATAGCTCTGAGCTATGCTAATGTCAAAACGTAGACCAGTCTTACAGCTGAAAAAGGAAGTGAACAAATCAGCCAGACCAATATTTTATTTTTTAACAACCAATGCTGAGAGTTTTGCGCTGAATTGAATATCGACTCAAAACCTTAAAGCTGTTTCATTTTTTTTTGGCGTTGTTTCTCTCTCTTACTCATTGAGCTATAATTAGAAACTATTTGTCCGTTCGCCCGACTACCACTATGAGCAACGCTGACCTATATAACCTCAAATGGAGGTAAATCAAGAAACAAATGCACACCCATCCTAAAAATTCCATTAGGAAACCCGATTATGCTTTTATGTTTTTGGATTTCGTGGCGTGATCATCGATAATATTTTTTTTCCCTCTCTTTTCTGTACTGCGCTATACTGTAGACTGTAAGGGGATCCAAACGACGGGTGCATCAAGTGGTTTCTGCGATCAATTTTCTACTCGATTGCCTACCCGTGCACAATTACTTAAGCCCACACATTCAGCACCGACGCCCCCACATTTAGCACCCACGCCCACTCCTAATTTCCGGTACGATCAATAAGACTTGACTCCGGGCAGTTAAAAAAACGTGCGCCTGTTTGTTGATCATTGATTAGCGGCTTGTTGATAGGATCGGCTGATTGCCTCCAGACGGTACAAGCACGTGGGCTTCTTTTGACAGCTCTTCTGCCTAGGAGATAAGGACTTCACTCGCGGTACCAGAAATATTGCGTTATCTTCGACTATTTACCTTGAGTTACTGCGCGATGGGCCGAACTAGATTTCTTTAGCGCCCTCATCAACAGCATATGCGTTAATCGGCGCAGAGGCGCCAAGTTCACCCGGCAAATGAATGAAAGTGGGAGGTAATGGGCTGAAATATGAGTTCTAATTTCAGCTGTTTATAGTGACAGGTTGTAAAGGCTGAGTAATACAATGGTGACTTTTTGTTTTGATCTATTGATACGACAATTTTCCCACGTAAAAAGGGTGATGTATTGCAGAGTAGCCTAAACCTTTAGAAAACACACCCATCCATGAATTTGTTTTAATATTATTCACAAAGGACAAAATGTAGGGCTGCATATTAAAATTTTGCCGTAACCTCTTTTATAGGCTTATGAATGACGTCGCACACATTTTCCAGTTCACACTTCCCACACATCTTGTCACTCCGCCCTCCAGTGTTTCTTTCAGACAGTTTTTCTCCGAGTAGCTGGGGGCGCGTTTTAATTCCAATAGGCTGACTCTGGTTAAAGTCTATATTTTTCTATATAATTTATATATTTACTTTTACGTCAAGGGGGACGGGGGACTTTCTTGGAGGGGGGGGGGGGGGTAGGGTGCAAGGTCTCCCCCCCCCCCCCGAAAAATGTTTGAAAAAAAAATGCTTCACATACTTCTTGCCATATCTCCCTCACTTGTCACACCTCCCACACATCTTGTCACACCTCCCACAAATTTTATTACGCCTCCCACACATCTTGTCACACCTCCCACACATTTTATCACACCTCCCACACATCTTGTCACACCTCCCACACATCTTGTCACACCTCCCACACATCTTGTCACACCTCCCACACATCTTGTCACACCTCCCACACATCTTGTCACACCTCCCACACATCTTGTCACACCTCCCACACATCTTGTTACACCTCCCACACATTTTGTCAAACCTCCCACACATCTTGTCAAATCTGCCACACATCTTGTCACACCTCCCACACATCTTGTCACACCTCCCACACATCTTGTCACACCTCCCACACATCTTGTCAAATCTGCCACACATCTTGTCACACCTCCCACACATCTTGTCACACCTCCCACACATCTTGTCACACCTCCCACACATCTTGTCACACCTCCCACACATCTTGTCACACCTCCCACACACTTTGTCAAACCTCCCACACATCTTGTCAAATCTGCCACACATCTTGTCACACCTCCCACACATCTTGTCACACCTCCCACACATTTTATCACCACCTCCCACACATCTTATCACCACCTCCCACTCATCTTGTCACACCTCCCACACATTTTATCACCACCTCCCACACATCTTATCACACCTCCCACACATCTTGTCACACCTCCCACACATCTTGTCACACCTCCCACACATCTTGTCACACCTCCATACATCTTGTCACACCTCCCACACATCTTGTCACACCTCCATACATCTTGTCACACCTCCCACTCATCTTGTCACACCTCCCACACATTTTGTCAAACCTCCCACACATTTTATGACACCTCCCACTCATCTTGTCACACCTCCCACACATCTTGTCACACCTCCCACACATTTTATCACACCTCCCACACATCTTGTCACACCTCCCACTCATCTTGTCACACCTCCCACACATTTTGTCAAACCTCCCACACATTTTATGACATCTCCCACTCATCTTGTCACACCTCCCACACATCTTGTCACACCTCCCACACATTTTATCACACCTCCCACACATCTTGTCACACCTCCCACACATTTTATCACACCTCCCACACATCTTGTCACACCTCCCACACATCTTGTCACACCTCCCACACATCTTGTCACACCTCCCACACACTTTGTCAAACCTCCCACACATCTTGTCAAATCTGCCACACATCTTGTCACTATTTTGTCCCATCTCCCACACATTTTATCACACCTCCCACACATTTTGTCACCAGAGCTCTGCCCCCCCCCCCCCCGAAGAAAGTCTACCACCCCCCCCCCCCCCACCCGAAAATTTCAAGTGCCCCCCCCCCCCCCCCCCGAAGAAAAAAGTCTGGAAGAAACATTGCTTGTCACACCTCCCACACATTTTATCACCACCTCCCACTCATCTTGTCACACCTCCCACACATTTTATTACACCTCCCACTCATCTTGTCACACCTCCCACTCATCTTGTCACACCTCCCACACATTTTATTACACCTCCCACACATCTTGTCACACCTCCCACACATTTTATTACACCTCCCACACATCTTGTCACACCTCCCACACATCTTGTCACACCTCCATACATCTTGTCACACCTCCCACACATCTTGTCACACCTCCATACATCTTGTCACACCTCCCACTCATCTTGTCACACCTCCCACACATTTTATTACACCTCCCACTCATCTTGTCACACCTCCCACACATCTTGTCACACCTCCCACACATTTTATTACACCTCCCACTCATCTTGTCACACCTCCCACTCATCTTGTCACACCTCCCACACATTTTATCACACCTCCCACACATCTTGTCACACCTCCCACACATTTTATCACACCTCCCACACATCTTGTCACACCTCCCACACATCTTGTCACACCTCCCACACATCTTGTCACACCTCCCACACACTTTGTCAAACCTCCCACACATCTTGTCAAATCTGCCACACATCTTGTCACTATTTTGTCCCATCTCCCACACATTTTATCACACCTCCCACACATTTTGTCACCAGAGCTCTGCCCCCCCCCCCGAAGAAAGTCTACCACCCCCCCCCCCCCCCCGCCCGAAAATTTCAAGTGCCCCCCCCCCCCCCCCCGAAGAAAAAAGTCTGGAAGAAACATTGCTTGTCACACCTCCCACACATTTTATCACCACCTCCCACTCATCTTGTCACACCTCCCACACATTTTATTACACCTCCCACACATCTTGTCACACCTCCGCTTGGCCTCCGATAAAACGACTCCCCATTTCGAAGTTCACAAAAAACTGTTGGTCTAGTTGGCAGGAGCTTAATAAACAGTGAAACGTAATTCACTACTGTAAGTTAAAATTGAGGAGCTTAATTCGGTGGGAGCTTAATACTATAGACTATAGACTATAGTAGACTATAGAGAGTTTAATGAATATCAATTTATAATGGCGAGAGCAAATGTATAGCAGCTTAAAAATTAGGAGCTTAATATTCGCTGTGAGTTGTTGTGAACTGTAGTGAGTCAGATTTCAGAAAGGAGTGTTCGACGGGAGCTTAAGGGGGTCATCCATAAATGACGTCACGCTTTTTACCCCCCCCCCCCCCCCCCTCAAAATTGCAGTTGAATTTTTCTTAAAACATCGATAGTTTTCCAAAATCTCGTCAGAACTCTTGTCAACATAGAGTATTTGATCAATTCCTATTACAATTTATTAAAACCGTTTTCTAAATCGCGGAATAACGGCTAAAACTCGTTTTCTAACATTGCTTTTTTATAATGCAAAAAGAGTGACGTCACACCATCTGACCCCCCCCCCCCCCCCTGATACACACCGTCACAAAATTACGGACCCGCCTACCCCCTACGAGTGTGACGTCATTAATGTCATCCATAAGTGTCTGTTTTATATATTTTTACCTCCCCTGTCCCCATTCTAACAAAACGCTAGTCACACTCCCCCACACAATGACGTCACTCCTGAGGTTACAATCACCCTAAAAATTGTTTATTTTTTTACCATTTTTTCCTAACTCTACGAATAATTTACAAATAAAACAGCCTTCTTAAAAAATAAGGCTAAAATGCAACTTTTAAAATAATTTTTCAAAAAGGGAAAGTGTCACTAAATGCCGCACCCACCCACGAGTGTGACGGCTGTGGACGAGCTGAGGTACTTTGTTGGAATTGTGTGTGGATAAAGGAAAGTTAAAGCCAAAATCCATGACCACAAATTGTGGCAAGCTTAACTGGGAAGGCAGAAGTAGAGTTACTAACTCAAAACCATGTTATTAGTAACTGAACCCTTTAATAAATTCCTGCCCCCATACTCAAGTAAAACCTTCCCACAATCAGCATCTGTAAACAAAATATTACAATACAAAGGGAGGTCATAAAATATTTATTCATAATAAATTCGAATACATACAACAATGTAAAGACAACTCTGATCAAAATTGGTCTTGAGAATGTTTTGATTACTTTAAACATAAAGCAGCTATCACAGATACAAGAAGCACATTTGTGCCATGGACGGAGTACAAATAGTTCAGAAAGAATCATGATTTGAATCAAATTCCACTCCACTCCAACCCAAATTTAGTCACTAGTATATGATTCAAGTGCAGATTGAAGTAAAACTTGGACTAGTTCAGCTGCAGGAGAAGTGATTTCAACAGTCGAGATTCAAAAGCTACTGTGTTTCTTCCTGGATGCATTGGTTCCTCTTCTAGAGGCTGTTCAATCACAGCTTTCACCTCCCTGCCATACACTGTTCATGAAACAAATCAATTTTTGTCAGTTACTACACATGCAAGTAATACATTTTCAACAAAACTTGATGATTGAACATCAAGTTCTTAAAACAAATAACTGCAAGTAAGTTTTAAATGACTGAGTGATGCTCACTCTTAAATTCCAGGAAATAAAACATTTTCACTTTCATATAAATCTGTGGTACAATTAAGTACCAACAAATAAAAACCTCAATGTACAACTAAGTTCCAAAAGAAGAAAAGGATAACAGACCCTCCAAAAATTAGGGTGTTAAGTTGATAGTAGTATTGTAATCTTGACTAGTTTTATGGTTAGAAAGTAGGTTTAGGCATATGGTAGGACTTGAGTTGGGGTTAGCATTGACATTAGCAAGCCATGTGTGTAGTTTAGTTAACTACCAGTAACCTAACACCCCTTTTTTAAGAAGATTCTATTATTGGACACCTGTATAAAAAATCCCCAGAGCAAAAAAAAAAAAAAAACACCTGATACTACCAAATTAAAAAAAAAACAGCAAAGGACAAAACATAAAGAACACTGAAAAAAACTAAGCACAACAAGCTCAGCACCACAAAACAAATGTGTATAAATCAATAGAACAAACAAGCACCTGTTACATTGACACTTACATTCACAACACTCAAGAAATTGAATGCATTCATTAATGACTGAATCCCTGATCATGATCATGTGCTTGCTCATGTTCTCAATCAGTGAGAGAAAACAGGACTTGGCATAGAACCAAGTGTCTGTTCCCAACTTTTTGCTGTAAGGCTCTAAACTTTTTATCACTCGGGATATTCCAAACTCGTAGTTGCCCTTTGCGCAGTAAAGGGTTCTGTAAAAAAATAATAATTTTAGTTTAAATAACATGTAAGTGCTGTAGCTAAGTAAAGAGGGAAGGTTTTTTTTTGTTGTTTTTTTTTTGCAAATGATACAGTAAGTCAAGAAAAAATTAAAGTTACATACAATCAACAAATAGGTCAAGTAACATACAGTCAATACCAGAGAGTTAAGATCTATTAATAAAACGTAGTAAAAGTTGAATCAGCTCACCCAATAACCAGATTGACAATACAGAGATGATAAATTTTTTTGTCAGGGTCCTCGTACGCCACTTGCTCTTCCTCTTTTTCAATTTTCCTCATTAATTCTTCAGCCTAAATAAAATATTTTAAACACACTTTAAGAGAAAAATTTTTTAAACAACACACTTTAAAGGGAGTTCCCACAAATAAAAAACCACTCAGACTAAAATACCAGGCTGTATTAAGGTAAAAATGAACACATGAAAGTAATTCATGACCAACTAAAAGCTGGTTATGTAAACAGGTGCAATGAATAATGTCAGTGTTCTTACCTCTTCATTTTGACTGGTCATGATGTAAGCTACACAGAGATTGGCCAACACAATAGCACTGACACTTAAAAGCTGATGACAAACAGAAGGTTGAATGAAAAACATATCCAAGATTACATTTTTATCTCAATTATAAGAGTTTAAAAAATGACAGTCAGGAATGGTTATTTGACTTAGACAAAAACTACTTACATTTTCATAATTTTTTTTCACTATAGGTTCATAGAAGCCAGCTGCTTCCTTGTATTTGTTTTCCTGCATGAAGAGTACATGGGCCACATTGAGCTTCCACACATCATGCTCATTACAAAACTCAACTGATTTACGGAAGATTTTCTCCACTTGCTGGTAGTTCTCCAGATCCCAGTAGATTTTGGCTTGTTGCATAAGTATTGGGATATACCTACAGACAAAAAAAAGTCCAGATTTAACAATTTCAATGTAATGAGGAAAACCTTTCAAAAGTTTGTAATTTTGTGTTAAGCATAGGTGTGGGACAGCATGGTTGAATGATAGAGTATATGACAGCTAACCCAAAAGTCTTGAGTTCAGATTCCGGGCTTGTCCGTAGAGTCCACCCAGCTGATGGGTACCTTCCTTCATATGCAATGGTCATAGAAAAAGGAAACCTGCCCCATGAACCAATAGGTTCAAAGGGTATTTTTTGAAGCATTAGGTAGCAAAGGCTCAATAAGACTTTTAACCTTCACAGCATCAGATGACAGCTGGATGGATAAGGGACACACTGGAAAAAGAAATACCTTTCTAAAGCTTCATCATAATCATTGACTGCTCTCTTCACTGATTCTTCATCATGGTTTTGACGTGATTCTTGAACCTGGCACAGAAACAATTAGATTTAGGACACACAACAAACTGGATTACGTAAAAATGTAGAAACACATTTATTGGAGAAGTGAAATGTAACTAGCATGCAATGACTAGTTGATTCCCTCCTTTATTTTCATACTATCATCATATACACAAGTGCACTTCATTTTGCTACTAAGGGGCTTTTTTTTAAACGAGCCGGCCCGCGGCATATCATACGCCGCTATTTAGTTGTTGTTTTTTCTACTTTTCAGTAATTCATAATTTGTGAATTCGACAGTACCTACGCTGCCACTGAAAATATTTCTTTAAAACACTATAAGTAGATCATTAAGACGATAACCCCCCCCCCCCTCCCTCTTTCACCCCCCTCCGTTAAAGTAAACTCCACTTAGTTACCCTCCCCCCCTACGTTTAAAATCGTTTCAATCTAAATTATCTGCCCCTAATAGCCGTCACTAAACCTGGCTCTGCTTGTAAACATTTAGCGTGAACCACAGCTCACCAGACCATGTAGGGGTGGGGGTGGTAGGGAGCGCGTTTACAGCTTGTTTTCTAGCATCTCCCAGAAGAGAATTATATATATAGATTGTTGAACTTTATTGTTAATTGTTGTATGCCTGTATAAAAAACCCCACAAAAATGATTAAAAACCTGTTTGGTTAACTTGCGAAGTAATTCTGTCTGTTTGCTGGCCATTTCATCAAGTTTTCTGTATGCCTCTTCTGGTGATGTTTGTCTTGTGATGACTGCTTCTAAAAACTCATACATATACTGCAAGTACAAACATAACATAAAAGTCAAGCAGAAACTAACACGTTACACATACTTCGCGTAAAAATTCAATGCATAACTAAAAAATTGATTGTCTTTCTAATGAGCCTATATAGAAACAATTGTTTTACCTGTGTGAGAAATTTGTAAGTGAGGTGGGCATTCTCTGCCAGTACATCTGCAGCCAAGTCATAATACTGAAACAAAAGGTGGAATTAAGAAGGATGTACATAAGGATTACAAATATAACTTTAGTCTGGCAAAACTTTTACAGCATTATACAAACCATTTGGCAACAACAATTTAAGGTCCACTTGAAATCACTCCTGCATAAAAACTGCCAGTCTTGTCCTTAAATTACAACTCCTACTCTAATTATCTAGCAGTAGCTTGAAATACCTTCTTCTTCTTCTTCTTTGTTCTTAATTTTTAGTGTTGGGATGGATCGAGATTTATCTGCCAGTGGGTTTGAACTCGAGACTTTTTTCGAATTTATCAACCATGAGCTTTTGCCGACTCAACCATGCTTCCATCACAATTAAGGATTACGTGTCAACTGGTTATGCGCCATTGAGGCCATTGACTCCGATTTCAGCCTGCTTTTCTTTTTGGATTTGCTTCCATAGCCTTTGTCCAACCAAGAACAAACTACAAGGCAGCAGTTGTTTGATTTTGGAGTTGTCTCTCCTAGAAGAGTGGCTGTCCCCAGCTAACGAGCCTCATCTGCCCGAGGGTTCGAACTCGAATCTTTTCGGTTTAACAACCATGAGCTTTACCGACTCCACCACGCCGACCTGAAAGACCATTAAGTTAACATTCTGCAAATCCTAAGTTAAACTCTAACCCTCCTTCCTCTGAACTTGAGAACTGACCTCATATTTGACATACAGCAGAAGCAAATTGCCGAAAGTCTCGGGTGGAAATGGATTTTGCTGCAACAAAAATTGCAACTTGGTAAAACCTTGAGTGGGTTGTTGCTCCATGTTCATCAAAGCTTGGTTGTGGAGGCTGACAGCATCAAGTTCTTCTTCTGATCGTGGTGGCATGTCTGTCAATGCTTCAACAGCTGCTTCATCTTTACAAAGTTAGAATACAATTTTTTCTTACAATTTTCTTTTTTTTTAGCAAAAATGAAACAAAATATATTCTACTGTATTATTGGTCATAAAAAGCATTTTTCCTAGCAACATATTTCCACATGCAAGAATTTTTTATTTAGGTTGTTAAGTATGACCAACGAGAATATTCAGATAACTGTTGTATTAAATCATAACTAGTTGATGCAACTTGCTAGGTAATAAAGTAGATTAACAGTTAATCACTTTGCCATGTCCACTCCCAGTGGAAAATAGACCATCCACATTTCTTTTTAATCAACCAGTTACAAGCCCATATTTCCATCATTAGGTAGATCAGACCAGAAAAAAAAAATACTTTCTAGGTAAATTCTTATAGTTAAAAAAAAATTAACCTGCTTGTAGTTGATCTACTTGCAAAAAATTTGCATGTGAATAAAATGTAATCTATAGAAAAATAAGTTAAGTTTTTAAAAGTGCTTTTGAAAGTGTGTTTTCTGTATTTGAAGAGTATTTCACTTTACCCTACAGTGTTTAAAATGAATGCAAGTCTCTCATCCATTCATAAAACTACTGCATGTAACTTCACTGCAAACAAAACAGTCATAACACAACACTTACAGTTTTTCAACTGATACTCCATCGCAGCTTTTAGATTAAAAGCTTCAACAAGTGCAGTTTCATGCAAGGTCATGGAGTTGCCAACACTACGAACATCAATACCTTCAGTTGTCATGCCAACACTAAGTTCTGTAAAAGAAGACAATGCTTTGAACACCAAACCACTTTCCAAAAAAACATCACATACTTTATCACTTCCTAAGACACATTTGCTTTACTACTTTCTACATACACATAAACTTTACCACATTCCCAACCTCATCAGTATACACTGCATGTCTTTTAGCAATGAAGATAAAGCACCTCATATACCTGGGTGTTCCCTGATGCCACGTTCAATGATGTCTGCTATATGTTTGAGTGCAGGTGCATACTGCTTCAGCATGTAATGACATAGAGCAATGTTGTACGACAAATCTGCTTTGTAGCCTAGCACTTGCATTGCAGCAACAAATTTTTCACAAGCTTCTTCATATCTCTTTTCCTTAAGAGTGTAAATAGCAAGAAAAATGATTACTTTTGTTTAAAAAATTCAATCAAGTCGTATTTTATAAGTTTCTACTGTTTCGTTTTTTAAAGAAACTAAATAAGACAATTTTATTTTGTACTAAATTAAAAACTAAGTAATTGTGATTCAATTTTATCTTTTTCAAGAGGGATACACTGATGGAAACTGAGGCAATACTACTGTTTAAATCCATACATTTTTCTCCCTTGTAGTGCTACTTTTAGCACAGCAAAACATTGTAAGCATACCTTGAAAAGGAGACAACCCAGATTGATTTCAGTATCAGGATCATCCAGGGGGCATTGTTCAACCAAGCTCTACACACATAAAAAACAAAAGATCAAGCTGGAATATTTTAAGAACAAACTACAAACTAATGACCAGAATTGAATAAAAACAGCAAGGAGAGAAAGACCAACAGAACTCTAAAGATTTAGCAACCACACTAAAATTACCTTAGCTCCAGGCAAATCTTCTTCCCCATACTTAATGGCAGCTTGCAGCTTAGTAATCTGTTTGAATTAAGTTTGAAATGCATTAACTGTGTGCGCTGTCTATTTTGAATTTGGAGACAGTAAAATGTGCTAATTACATTAAACTTAATTACAGATAAACTATTAGCAGGAGGAAAAGTATCAAACATTTCTTTTTCATGAGTTTATTATAAAGATCAAATAGGACATACTGTTTATTAATTCACTTAGACAATGAATGAAATAATATGAAGAGTGGTTTTACTAACTAACCTGGCCTTGATATTTGGCATTTTCAATCTGACATGCAACCTTCATTGCTTCCTGATACAGACATGCTTTATGTAATGACTGAGCATAGTATAATCTGTATTCTTCAACTTCAGGGTGAAGGGAGGCTAGCTGCTCATAGCAGTCTGATGCATTAACAAAGTCCTGCACTTGGTAGTAGCAATAAGCCAACAAAGACAAGGCAGCTCTTGACTGAAAAAAAATGTGTCAGGGTTAGAACCAAAAAAAGAAAATTTCTAATAAATTTTAAGAAAACTAAGTATTAGGCCTAAATACAGGCAGGAAATTCTTGCTGATCTGTTCACATGGTCACATGTGATATTTTCTTCTTTTCTTCTCCTACATTCTTTTCTTTTTGGATTTGCTTCCATAGCCTCTGTCCAACCAAGAACAAACTACAAGGCAGCAGTTGTTTGATTATGGAGTTGTCTCTCCTAGAAGAGCTGCTGTTCCCCGCGGTCAAGCCTCATCTGCCTGAGGGTTCAAACTCTAGATTTATCAGTTTAGCAACCATGAGCTTTATAGACTCGACCACGCCTATTATATCAAAAGTGTTAGGAAAGCTATGAGCACTGAATAGTCATAGCATAGTAAAAAATAAAGTATCTTTTTATTTTAGAGAGGATTGAAAACTGACAAAGCGCTTAAATTTAAATTTTCATATTATTATTGAAATAGTAGCAGTTTACGGTTTAATCAAACTTAATATCTATTAGTTTTCAATAAAATACTAAAAACAATTAGTGAAAGTACCTTTGTTTCCCCTTGTAGCTGGTGATTAAGTACTTGAATGGCTTCATTGAATCGCTGGTCTTTAATCTAAATAAGAACAAGATTGTATTTAAATGTCAATACTTGTAAAATCCAAAGCTGAATGCTAACGAAGTTTTTAAAAATACGAGAAATGTGATGAATATTTATACCTACAGACTATAGTGCCCCACACACTAAAACCAAAACACTGCCACACAACTGACTACAAATTTTAATTTAACTAACTATAATCTTTGTTAAATGTCAGTATTGGCAGTATGATGAGTATCATTATCCACAGCATCCTATTGTGAGTAGAAAATTAATAAACCTACACACTTGCTTGGCACACTCAAACTAACAACTAAGTTCTAACAAACCTAAACATATTAAAATTTTATTGGCCTAGGGCTTCCTAACATTTAAAAAATTATAATATAGGCCTATAAACTGAATTTTTTTATATCATAAAATTAAGGCTGCATTTGCGCGGTTCACTCAGCGTTACACGTAAGGCCGCCTTTGCGCAGTTCGCTCCGCGTTACGCTTAATCTTTACCCTAGGTGGCACGCGATCTAAAAAAACAGATATCAGGACTGCCCGATTTTTTTTTTCGTGGTAACAATTTAATGTTGACATAGATCTAGATCGAGTTTAAGTGTATTTAGATCTCTATATTATTTCAACACCTAAGAGTCTAGTACTTGTAAAAAAAACAGTACAGTGTAGTGTCAAGGAAAGTTTGTGAGGTCAGATGGGTCAGATGATAGTCCTAGATCTAGCAGCAACCTAGCTAAATCAAACTGTCCTTTAACCTTTAGGCCTAGCTAACTAGCATGCGTGATAGTAGTAGATCTAAGTCTATATTATTTATCCTTTTAAAAAAATTCAATGTGCTTGAGGGGGGAGGGGTGGGAGGAAGAGGGAAGTGAAGACAGACGATCTCATGTGAACGTCTATGACGTATGCTTTAGGCCTGCTGAACACACAGTGACCTCGCCGACCATGGGCCGTGGTGGGATTTTCTACTCACGGGATAGTAAACGTAAGGCAAGCAATCACGTCAGTGACGATGGTTTGAAATTTTATTAAAAAAAAATCATAGTCTACGTCATATTTTCAATATGAAAAAAAAAATGTAAAAAAAAAATGTTAACCCCGGGTTCGAACTCTGAACTCCGGGTCTATGAACTTCAGACTACAGCTGGCACACTGTTGACTCAACCACAGAGGATGTGATAGAGACCTCAAAAATAAGCATTTTCAATTGCAAGATGACAAATCGAACCTGCAAGATGCGTAGTATTTTCTTTAGGGGCCACGCTTAGCGAGACGCGTAGTCACTTCGTAAAATTAAAATAAGTTAAATTTTCACTACAATTAAAATCACTGAATCACACTCTCATTCATTATCATAACAATAACATTAAAAATTTTGGTAATCTATCGTTCTGGGTACGTAAAATCGACCAAGGCTAGTAATGTGCGACAAAGTTGCCTCATTGTTAGGCTGTAATAGAAGTATATTATGCTATATTTGTGTCAAATATTATAGATAATTGAATAATAAACCAAAATCAATGGCTAAATATATCAATATAGGCCAGAAATTAACAGCAGCGTTGGTAAAATAGAGTGGATTCCCCTGAATCTCCAGCTATAAGTTTACCAAAAAATAACTTAAACAAGGTGGCTGCTAAAAGTAAACGAGCTTTGTTGCATCTGATGAAAACATCACTAGTCTTTATTTATTACTGAAAAGTTTTAATACAATTATAAAATGAAACTTTGAAAGAAACATTTTTGTAACTTTCAAAACATAAATTTTCCTAAAAAAGTGAAATAATTACTAAAATTTATTTAATTTGGTGAGGCACCTTCTTTTTACATTACTAGCCTCGGCCGATTTTACTTGCCTAAAGCGATAGGTTACCATCATTTTAAATTTAATAAAATGACAAACAGTGTGACGAGTGTCAAACACTGAAACAGCACTGACAGTGACAGCAGCGCAGGGTCACAACTTCACAACAGAGATCTAGAATAGGGTCTAATTAAAATTAACGGTGTATTATTTATTTTTACTGTTGTTTAACGTAATAATGTAAGCAAACAATTTCATAGTTGGCTGTCCAACACACACAAAAAACAAGATATTTCATACAAATCCATATACTGTTGATGTAAACTCCCCTTCTTTTATTTGGAGATGCGCCATCTTTGTGGTTGTTAACAACTCCACAAGAATGTTTTGAATACGCATGCGTAGTTTAAGTTCTAAATACCGTAGGCATACTACTGCTGATTATTACTGAAGTGCAACTTCTCTAATCGTGCAGTGGTTTATATTTATAGTCTTGAAAGTATTGAATTTTAAACCCCATTATTTGTGCTGTAATAGTATTATTAGAACACACACACACGCTAAGGAAATGTAAAGATACAAACTAGATTTACTAGCACTACAAGAAGCACGTCTAACAGGACATCCAACAAAACAAGGTAAAAGCCAAGTGCAGTTAGATGACTGGAGAGCAGAAATCATTTGGTCTGGAGAAGAAAAATATCACCAAACAGGGGTAGCTGTGCTGTTGAACAAACAAGCTTCTGGGGCTCTGCTAGCCTGGAAACCAATTAAGGAAAGAATATCGTACAATATGGTTTTCTTTGCCGTCAATTTCAATAACTCGGCAAATTCATATGAACATTCCGTGTTGCTGCACGTGTACGGTAACGCTGGCTGTCTTTGATTTTGTTCTTTGATGATTATCTCACATAGGAGGCTATCACATACAGTATTAGCCAATATTTAGAAACTAACAAGACAGTGGATTTTTTTCTTTGGCAGCCTTTTGGTCTGAAGGTCCTTTTTGTCCAGGTCGCATTACATACAGAATGCTAACAAACATAAGCCAAGCAATGTGTTACGCATAAGGAAACCGCAGCTATAATAACGAAAATGCGATCACATCCATACCGCAGTCTACATAGGACATTGCCCAGGATATCCAGGCCAGTGCGCGCATTGTCCAGCCAATGTAAGAAATACGCTTTTAGCGTCCAACTTTTCGGACTTTGGCCGAGAGGTCAATTCGTTCTTTGGTCGCACTTCCTGCTTTGACCGCAATATATATATATATATATATATATATATATATATATATATATATATATATATATATATATATATTATAATATAAGCTATGCAAACTTTTGTGACTTTTTCAGTGACTATTTCTTAGCCAAATCTGACTTTATTCCATGCACCCATAAGAACTTGTTTAGGCCTTTACATTAAGGATTAAGGCTAAGGCATTACATTTTTCACAATGTTTACTATAGTAAAGTATATTACAATAAATGTAAACGCGTTATCGATTTTAAAAATCTATTAAGGCAAACAATTCTGCGCCTGCATTAGAAATCTAGATCTAGATCTAGAATGATGTGCGTGTGGTTGTAGATCTATGTTATTCAAACGCGCGTATTAGAATGACCAGCATTTTCTGTTTCAAGTGACTGGACAGACCGGGATAAGTTAGTTAGATCTAATTCTAGAGCAACTGAGTTCTAGACTAGATCTAGATATCTAGATCTAGGAAATCAAGATCTACAGCTTTTTACGTTTGGCTTACAAAAATCTAAATTTTATTTCTATTATTTTATTCTGGTAACTAGATCTAGGGCCTATAAGTTATAATTAATTAATAATTAAACTATGAGTAGTGAGTAGGCCTACGTACTACGTACGTACGTGTCGTAAAATCGCCCGCGGCTAGTAATGTAGATCTAGATCTAGATCTATGTGTAGTTAGTTAGGCCTAAGTGTAGTAATTTACTAAATTAATGTAGATCTAGATCTACGATAAAGTTACCTCATTGAGATTGTCAAGGCTTTAATAGAAGTATATTATTGACATTGTGATATATTTGTGTCAAATATTAGCCTATAGGCTAGATAAATGAATAATAAACCTAAATCAATGGCTAAATATTAAATAATACTACTAAATATACTATTGGTAACTATAGTTACAGTAGTATATATCAATATAATATATTAGTCTTAGTTATTTAGTAGGCCTATAGGAGGATAGGCAAGAAATTAACATTAAACAGCAGTGTTTGCGAGCAGGATTTGCTAGATCTATATAAAAGCGGCCATCTGTAAGTTAGAGTTGTAAAACTCCATTTTAGCGTATTTTATTATAAACAACCGAAACACACAAAAACGTTAGGAAAACACTAAGATTAGAGCTAGATCTAGATCTACTTATTTTTTGTATGAATGTTAGTTTTAATTAGACAAGGTAAAAAAAACAACTTATAATATAAAAGCATTAGGACAGTTCCAATTAAATAGCGTGTGATCATCAGCGGGAGAAAAATCCTTACGCTGTCGAGGGTTCACCATGAGCTCATATTGACTTTAATTATCAGCATATGTCATAGCTTGGGCAATAGCTATTTGAAATGGTGTTGGCCTCAGTTTTGGGGTCATGGTGAGTTCATAAAAGTTTATTTATACTATCATTGGTGGGAGATACTTGTAACAATACAAATTTAGCCACCTTGCAATTTTGAGTTTCGTACTTCACCCATTGCCATGAATATCTTAACTTACACACAAACATAGCACATTCAATATTCCAAATTTGGATTTTTCTCAAGTTTTGACAAAAGTAAATTAGCAAAGCTGAAACAAAACTTCATAAAGAAATAACCCCAATGTTTTCCTGCCGTTTTTGTGTGTTTGGGTTGTGTTTATAAATAAAATACGCTCAACTAGAGGTGAACGTGAAGCGCGAATACAATACGCTAAAATGGAGTTTTAGCAGCCATTGATTTTGGTTTATTATTCAGTTATCTATAATATTTGACTCAAATATATCACAATATACTTCTATTAAAGCCTTAACAGGGGTCGCGAGGTCGAGTCGGTAAAGCTCATGGTTGCTAAACCGAAAAAAGCCTGGATTTTGACCCCTCGGGCAGATGAGGCTCGTTAGCTGGGGACAGCCACTCTTCTAGGAGAGACAACTCCAAAATCAAACAACTGCTGCCTTGTAGTTTGTTCTTGGTTGGACAAAGGTTATGGAAGTAAATCCAAAAAGAAAAGCAGGCTGAAATCGGAGTCAATGGCGCATAACCAGTTGACATGTATACTTATGTTGGAGGGGATCCCTTCCAACACTAAAATTAAGAATGTAGAAGAAAAAAAGAATTGAGGCGTACTTGACATTGACTGAGCTATTAATTATTTTAGAAAAAAATCAATTTTAAAAAAAAAAACATTTTTGAGAGGTAAAAATAATGAATCGCATATTATATAAATGATCTTGGTATCATTATAACTAGCAATAGCATGCTCTATTTACATTTTGACATAGGTTTTTTAAATTGCTTTGTGGCATTAATTTTACTTTTTACATGCAGCATAAGCATTTATGATTGTTTAAAATGTAATTTTACATCAGAATGGATCCAACACTCACACCCCAGTCCACTTTGACGCCACAAAAATCCTGTTCTGTTTATTTCAGAAACCCCACAAAGTGATAAAGATGCCACTTGTTGTGATGTGTGGTTACCCTGCCAGTGGCAAGACAACCAGATCTAAACAACTATCAGAGTATATCCAGAGTCATTTTCCTGATAAACATGTGCATGTTATCTCAGATAATCTAGAGAATAAACATGATGTTTACTCAAATACTCAAAAAGAACGAGAAATACGAGGTGTTCTTAAATCTAATGTGCAAAGATTACTCAGTAAAGACAATATTGTTATATTGGATGCACTCAATTACATTAAAGGTTTTCGGTATGAACTTTATTGTGTGGCAAAATCATGTAGAACTACTCACTGTGTTATTTATTGTGTGACTGATGCAGAAACGTCAAAAGCATGGAACATGTTGCAGGATGAAAGTAATAGATACACTGATAGTTTGATAGATGAGTTGATTATGAGATTTGAGTGTCCATCACCCAGTAACAGATGGGATAAACCATTATTTTCCCTAATTAGAGACAGTGAATTGAATGCTAGTGAAATCTGTCAATGTTTATTTGAGGGGAGAGCAGAAGCTCCTAATCAGTCTACTCAATCCCAGCCATTATCCTCTACTAATTTTCTTTATCAGCTTGACAAAAGCACACAAGATATTGTGACCTCTATTTTATCTGCTAACAAAAATCTGGTTCCTGGAGACACTATTAAGTTTCCTGGAACAAGGGAGGAATTTCTTTTCACCAGGTCTTTTACTTTGGCTGAACTTCAGAGACATAGGCGGCAGTTTATAATTTATACAAAAATGCACCCTGTTGAGGATGTGAACAAATTATCAAATATGTTTGTTCAGTTTTTAAATAAAGCATTAAATGTTTAATCATGTTTTCTATTTGGATTTTGTGTACATTTGTGTGTGTGTGTGGAAAGGGGGCCTTCTGCAGTGCTAAAGGTTTTTGTTGTTAATGGCTCTGAGGCAAAACAAGCTTGTAAACAACGTGTTTGAATGCTAATTCCTAAGACACATATCAAGGTCCCACTGGCCAGATTAAATTTTAAGGTATGTCAGACAAGTTGCAAGTACCAATGGAAAATGAAAAAAAAAAGTTAAGGTGAATAGAAGTTAGTATAAACCCATTAGTCATTAGGGCTATAAGCCCATTTTAACACTTCATTTTTTTTTTAAAAATAAGCATCCTCTTAAAACAGTTAACATTAACAGTAGATCCATTTATGCAAGTGAGCTCAGTGTTCTAATCACATGCTGGTTATTTTAACAACCTTTCTCAACTTTCAGTTCAAATCAGCTAATTTTTTAGCTTTAAGTTAACTTGCTTCCTCTATCTGGATAGAAACTGGCAAGTGAAATTTTTATTACTTCTAACTGACCAATTTCTCTAAAACTTGGCAATTGGGTCAAGACCCAATGACATTGCAAACATCAAATTAATTTTTTAAAGAATTAATTAAAATTTCCTGTATAAAGTACTATTTACTGCACTATTATCCACACCTTTTTGGTGTTCATATAGTGTGCAATTATTTTTTGTCATGCAATGCTATTGTACTTAAAAATTTTAAAGTACAAAATTCTAGCAAAGGTATTCAATACTAGCAAACCACACTTGTCTTTTTACTTTAGCCATTTAAATAGTTTATGATAATACATTTTAAGAAAACTTATTTTCACATTTTTAATTTTAGTGCATTATTACGTTTTTTTTTAACTTGCCTCTCGTCATGCTAATGAGTTGAAACAGCAAAATTTCAACCACTTCTACTGGACCATTTATTTTAATTGCTGTATACTACTTTCTGCACATTGTTGATTTGGCACACGTTTTTCATGCATTTCTATTGCATTATAAAGTATTGGAAAAAAGAATAAAACATTAAAATACAGGTAATAATGCACTACAAAGGTGAAAAAAAATGTTATAAATAAATGCATTAATTATGGATCACCTTAAATAAAAATTTAAGAAGCAGCTTTTGCATTAGTTATTTAGATAGCAGCCCATTGTTAATTTTTCCTCCTTTTAGTGCATGATCATACAAAAACTATATATATTAAAACGCATATATATGAACATACAATTTATATTACCTGTTTATTGTAAAGCAAGTAAATATCGAATGCAATCATACACAAAACCACATGCACAAAGACATTTTTAAAAACTTAACATAACACACCAGGGTCTAAATGAATAAAGACTTTATTTTGGAATTTATATTCAAAGCAAGCTACGAGCACAAATATACATGTCATGTTAAAATTTAAGAAAACATTGAAACTGATAGCACTCAAGTGATAAAGCTGCCCCAGTCCAAAGTTTTCAATGCACACACATAAAGTAAGTACTTAATTACTACTGACACATCACCAAGGATGTGTCTGACACTGACTGTACATAATAACCTTTGCACCAATATGAAATGAGCATCATAATACAACCAATGGTTGGACAGTAACAGTTATCACCAATTTTTCTAATTATGCAAGCCATGGGAACCCTGATAATTTTTATTGTAATGGTTTTCTTGGTGTGGACAATGTGCCATTCAAGACAAAGTGAGCAACACAAGCCAAAAATGTTATGCACTTACCATTCTGATCACAGATATATGGAGTAAGATAAATGCATTCAATTATGGCATGCCAAAACAAAGCAAATGCAGGAAGTTTAAATTCTCACTATCAAGGCACAAGTTTGAAGTGCCATTCAAAATGGATAATGTGCAGCAGCAGCTTAGTACAATACACCTTTTGTATAACAATATACAATTTTCTACACTTGGTGAAAACTACTTACATTTCTGACTAAGGTATAGCATTTATAACAGCTGCTGAAGCTACCCAATCTAAACTGCATTTAGGAATCATTTCCTTCTGCCAAGTATTATTTACACAAATATATTCAGACAAAACTTCCTTTCTACAGAATTCAAGTTTAGAAATTTTGGTACTGAGATATGTGAATGGATTGTATTTGTTCTGGAATATGGTTTGGGCTGTTTATTTTTTTTAAGCATAACAAATGTAAAATACAAGAAACTGATTTTTTAAGACAAGGCTTCCCTCATAAACCTGTTGCATTGGACTGAAACATTCCTGAGTTTGTTGTCATGATTCTGCCCTTTTTTTGTGGGAATGCCTTCAACTATGGAGTGGCACTTAGGTTGATAACAAGCATAATGAGATCTGAAAATGAGAGCAGAACCAACAAAACCACCCCTTTTTTTAATACTGTTATGAGGGAAGATTTTTTGATAAGTTTTATACACTGTCTCATTACAATAAATTATTAAAGCCTTTTGATATGTTTGAGCTTTAAGAAGAGCCAAGTGAAAAGTTAAGAAAACTATGTATCCATTCAAACAACAGCAAATCATGACAAAAAAAACTAGGCATTCAATATGTGAAGGGGGTGGGTGAACACCACAATAAAACAATTTGTAGAGTGGTGCAAATACCATTAACATAGTCATAATACATTAGCAATTTTGAATAAAATGTATGGTTGATATCCTTGTACAAATTTATTGCACACAATTTCAAACTTATGATTAGCAAACTATTTTTTACATTGTCTTAAACACAGAGTGTCCAATTTTATAAATTACACATTTCCAATTATCACACTTATTCCTTTAAATTTTAGCTAGTACTGCAAAACAACCTCTTTGTGTTCCCTAAGATCATGAAAACAAATGAGACATAATTATGAGACATTTGCTTGCTGTTTAACACATAGGTTTCTATGTTTAATGTACTGGCTTTCATTCTCAATGCTGGACAACCTGCATAGAAAAAATACACATTGTATTTCAAATTTAAAACACTAATGGAAAGATCTTTCACAATTATATACATCTCAACAACAAGTACAACTGAACAATAAATGATGACATTTACACTTTTAAAAGAAACAAAAATAGCATGACAATATTAGAAATTTCATTAAAACAATATTACTTTATAAACTTTAACACTAATAAAACTTTTACATTAACTTAGCTCATTGATTACAACAGTATACAAAACTAATAAAAATTATAAAGTTTAAAATTTACTAAGTGTGTTATGGATTTAAATGATAACCTACAGCCAAGCTATTTATCAATAAAACTACATATTGTCACCAAAAAATGTTGCTTGTTCATTTTGATATGCTCACATTTTGACCTTGTATGGATCATTAAAAATCTTTCCAAATATTTTATATGCTAGAATACAATTAATCAAGAGTATTGTATATAAATGCATTTTCATTGTAAGGTACCTTAACAGTGACATTTTATCTACAGCATATTTGGCACATCTCAAATGCAAAAGAAAGCCAGCTCAGCTAACATAAGAAGTACTTCGTTGTTGTTTATCAGTTTAAATGTGCATTTCTACCATAAAACTAAACCTAATTTCAGAGGTTTGCAGATAGTCCATCTTTGAGATCCTCTATAAATAATATTTAACTTATGTTATAACTAAATTTCAAAAGAGATTCTAACAAATTTTGTATATTAGATGTGAAGGAATGTTAAAATTTTTATGTCTTCCAAAATGATGTACATGGAGAGCACTGTACAATTTGAGAAATGCATAATCAATGGACTAGACAGTTACTGCAGCTTTGTTCAAGAAACTGCTGCCTATTGTATAAAAATTACATTACTGTTAACAGCCTGCAAATTATGAGATTCTGTTCTTGGTGTATACATGGTGCAGTTTTATTCTAAGTAGGTTGGGTATATTTTACAGTTCTTTTATGTAGTTATTGTTATTAAAATCTAATTGTATCAAAGTAAGGAAAAATGTCATGTTATTATGAAACAAATCTAAGCTTTAAAAACACAAACAAACTGGCAGTAACAGAGTAACCAAACTATTAGCGTAATTTATGGCATTTATAATTGGTGGGGGAAACTTCAAAACTGATGAAAGATTAGGATTGTTATCTCATTCATGCATCAGGATAGCCTTTATTGGTGCAATGAACATTGTACATGTGGCAAAAACATTTGAGATTATAAAGACACAAAAGTAGATATTTACAAAAGTTAGGAATGATGGTTGTGACACAAAGCTCTGGTCTCAATGTCCTGACAATGTTGCAAACCAAAGGCACAAAAGGGCCTAATTTTCTTAATGGAATTCTCACTCCACCACTTGTTACAAACTTTATACTACATTAGAGAATCCCACACTTTGCTGCCACTAGAAAGGACCCAAACATTTTACAACATAAATATCTACACTCGATTTTGATTCATTAACTTATTGGGCATTGGTAACTTGACTAGCTGAAAGTCAGGTAATGGTGTAAAAAATGAAATCCTAGAGGAAAACTAACCAGAACACCAATTGGCACCCTACCAAATAGTTATGGAAACATTTTTTGGCCTTATAGAAGACTAGTATTGTTATAGCAAATTGTAATAGCATGAGTGAAAGATGAGTGGATTTACTTATTGCAAAACCCTTTTAGTCAACATGAAACTGATTGGAATTTATACTACAGATACGAATATACATTAATTTATTGGTTTGTTATCACCTAGTGTTCTCATAATCTTTAACTAAAACAATAAACAACTAATAATACAGTTTAAAAAATAAATATAAGCTGACAGATGATACATCATATAGGCTGGCTCTATCATTTCACAACAATAACAAAAACTTGAGTTATCAACATTTGAAATGTCATGTAACTAAAAAAAAATTGACAATAGCAATATGCATATATCAGCAAAAAGGCATGTTAAATAACCCATTGTCCATTTTTAAAACCACACTGATTAGTAATGGCCAGTGACCAGAGCTGGCATGGAACATGAATAAAATAAATAATGGATATTACCACATACATATTTTAACATAATCAAACATATTAAAGCATCACAAGAACCCATACACAAAGTATATAATAAAATGCAATGTCAATAAGTTAAACCTAAGGTGTAATTCACAGTTATATTTGCAAAGTTTGCCTCAAACAACATTATGTACAAAGCTATTTGAAAAATTACATTAACAGTCATACAATTACAAAATATGGAAAAGTAATTTAACAACATGTATTCATTGGCTGCCAAAATTATTTTGATAATCACTATTGTTGTAAGACAGATTACTATAGCATGCATTAACTTGGGCCAGACAAAGTCAAAAATTATAAAATGAATAGCATGTTAGGAATAGTCTATAGAACAGCAGCAAAGTTTGTACATGATTGACAGAAAAGAAATCATTGAAATAACTGTACCACCTAGGTATGCAGAACAGCAGTTCAAATTGCTTAGTGAACAGTTTAAATGAGTGTGAATGATAAAGTAATACTGCCGGAGGGAATGGTGTGATAAGATCAATTAAAGTCATGGTCATATTGTGCCATAGTAGCACAGCCTATTCAAAGCAATACTGACTAATTGAAGTTATATAATTTCTACACTTGTGGTTTATGTATGGGAGGAGGGAGGTGGGCTGGTTTAAGGTAGGAAGAGAAATTGTGGAATGCAAATTCAGGAGATAAGTAATAAGTAACACCATCACAGTTCCATGTAGCCAGTTTGATCTTTAACATTCAAAGGTAGTAACTGGTAAAGAAATAGTAATTACAAGGAGTTAAATTATTTTCTCCACTCGAGTAACTTGTTACTATAATACTATTGCCAAAAATCATATAATGAATATAGTTAATGCAAAGTCTTTTAAAATGAATGGTTGTTCAATGACTAGAAACTTTATTCTATGGCATATTTATTACTTGGCAAAATATACAGCTCTACTTTAGAAGGCACAGCAGATTGCACATACGAAATGGAGGAGGCTATATTTATGAGACCATGTACTATTGCTGTAGTAATTAGGTTAAACAGGTTGACACTACATTTTTAAAAAATACTGAAGTAAACAGAAAAAGAGCAACTGATAATTCATTAATTTGAAAATGCAGCAGAAAATTTTAACTTAAAATTTAGAACTTAAGACTAACCAGACTGATAGATTTTATCAAAAAATATTCCAATACTGAGCACCATGTAAATAAAATTGCTAAAAGTAAAATTTTAAATATGCTATTCTATCCACATTGTTTTAGTTTACAGCTAACCAAACAAACTAAGTTTATCATGAAAAACTTTTGCATTCACAAATTGTCAGTATGTAGTTGGTCGTTATTAACATTCTTAACTAAAGAGTCTGTCTTTAAATTACTGTTTTAATAAAATATCTTGTTATACAGAAAAAGTGATAAGCATTTTTTTTAATTAGCAAGTAAAAATTGAAATTTAAAATGAGCATATCAGCACCATGCATAGAAAATTAAGTGCTCATCATATATGAATCAGCTTTTATGTTTTTGTGAAAAGCTTATCTAAGATTGCACCAAATTTGACATTAATTTATTGAGCATTCACATAAATATCATTACATAGATTACATTCCTGCCATGATTATGAAGAATACCAAAAATAAGTGGTCACAGGGGGAAAATGCTTTTGTTCACAATAAATATGTTTTGAATGTTTGGAAAGAAAAGAGAAATGCTAAATTTAACACATACTTCAATCTAGTATTGCATTTTAAACCAATAGATACAAGCTGAAAATTGTGCACTGGTACTGTACAAAATCTCACTGCCCTAGTTTTCATTTACAATTTTTATACAAAAAATAAAGGTGTCATATTACACAATAATGGCCACTTTAAAAAAAAAATCACTATTAAAAAACATTTCCCTTAACGCTACTGTTAGCACAAAGCTTTCTTAAGTTGGATTTCGTGTTTATCAATGCTAAAGAGGTAGATATGTAATGCTATCATTAAGTGAGCACCACCAGTTTCTCCTTCAATTACTCGCATTGATCTTTTAAGGAAATGAAAATGCATATCAAAGTGATCTACAATAACTTGGCATGTTCTTGGCTCAAGAGATGGATAAGGAGGGAATCTTAGTAAGAGAAAATAAAGGGAAGGGTAGAGATTTCCAGTTTAATTTCTAGTAATGAACAAATTGAGTATCAACAAATGAAGGCATGTTAAAGGATATGTGCAGCATGTGTATATCTTATGACAATATTTAATACTCATTGGAACACTGCATGGATCAATCACCAAGCTCTATTGAGCACACAACATACAATGTGGCATTTTAGATGGATAATGTACAAGTCACCTCCAGGTTTTTATTGGAAATATGCATTGCCAAATCGTTTTAAATTAATATTTTAATTACAGAAACAATCTTGTGGAAAAGTTTCAACAATGAAATTTTTTAAACAAACATTTACTTGTAAATCAAAATGTTTGTGATCTGATGTGTAAAATGTACAGAAGGAATTTTCTTTTAATTTGAAATATGAATATTAATGGAACTTTGATTTCCCCCCTTGCAACAGTATGAAAAATAGCAAAAGTTGAGACAAATGATATAGTTTTTTAAATAGTTAACCAAATGATATGCACACAAATACAAGATATCACTGCAATGTTGTTCTTTTTTATCTTAAAAGCTTTGATTTTTTAATGTAGATCTTAGGTATGCTAATTGCTCTAAAAATCTACTCTTGGAAAATGTCTGCTAAGTAACCTGATAAAAAGGCCTCACAATTATTTAAAATTTATTACATCTATGAATAATTACAGCAGTCAAAGTTCAATTATATAACTTCTTAACATTTTTACAACAATTAAGATGTTGCATAACAGGCAAGTGGAATTGTAGCCATCGTGTCAGAACTAATGGAAGCAGAATCACATGCACAAATGTGCATAAATATAATGACATACAGACATAACCAGGCACACTGAGACAATGTATCACAGGCCATTGGAGAATTACTTTTTTTTTTAAACATTTTTTAAATTTTTAAAATGTATCAATAACATTTAAAAGAAAAAAATCAACCTTTAAAAAATGTGTTTAAAAATGTTGCTGATTACACAATACACACCTGCACAACATTGTGCATTATATATATATATATATAGTAATAGAATTGTTTTGACATTAAATGGCAGGTATAGTTGTATTAAATAAACATCTATTACACATGAGTAAACTATCTGATCAAAATACAAGCATGAAAATAATATCTAACAATAAAGAGTTCAATGCATTTGTAATTTTTATGTGAAAATGTGATATTAAAACACTAAAAGGCTTAATTTTAATCAAGTACTGTTGAGGGGTGGCCATCCCATCACCACATAAGACCACAGGAATTCTGAAAGACTGGGAACCTTGACCGTAAGTACACATTTCACAAGTCTGTATTGTAATTGCAAGTACTAGTACCAGTCAATATGCACACAAAAATAAATCTTAGCAAGAGATATGGCTCTTTATCCACTCAGTTTGCATTAATGAGGTGATGTTAAAACTACTGTACAGTAGGAACACTACAAGAAAATGATCGCATATTATTTTACCTAACCCGCATACAATTATGGTACAGAGATCACATGTATGTGGCAGATTGATTGAACAATTACAACACACAAAAATTAAGCATTATAAAATAATTTGCATTCACTTGGAGCATTTCATAAAACAGTACATTTTCATATTATGTACAAATATATTGATTTAGTTGTGTGGGTTTTTAAAAATAATTTACTATATAAAGGTAAGATGAAAAACATTCTTTTTTTTTACATTGATTCTCCACCCAAAATGTTATTAAGAAGTGGGTTGGAGTTGTGATCAGACACATCCCACAAATTCCATGGATCCATTCCACCGGAACTATATTTTGGCTGGCTGGATGGCATGGAACTACCCCATGGGTCTCGTCCACCAGTAAAATGACCAGATGGAGGAGCTTGTGACCAGGGGCTTTGATTTATAGCTTGGATAGCACTTTGCTGAGGAGGCTGCATCTGAGCAGCTATTCTTTGCGCTTCAGCTTCTCCCATAAATTCTGCAGTGATAACTGATGTTCCCATTTGAAAATTGTGAAGCTTCTGCTGAGCTGAATAAGCAGAATCTCTGCTGGAATACTGCACAAGAGCTACTTGACCCATATAGTAGAAGCTGGTTACATTCCCACCACAGGAGCAAAGAGAGCGAATGGTTGCAGAATCCATCTAAAATTAAAAAATTAAGTTACATCAAGATATTTAATAAATAATATTAGCAAATATTTCACACTAAGTATGTGGCCAAAAAAAAAACTTACAGATGGATTTAAATTTTTTAACACAATCCAAGAACTTATGGCACCTCTACTTTCATTCCAGTTAGATCCACCAACTGCAAGAAAAAACAATTTAAAATGTTAGGGTAAACAAGAAACCATTACATAACCCACCCTATCATGATTTCAGTATCTGTATTTTAAAAAATTACCTTTTGTAAATGCAGAGTTAGAAGAATGAGGCCAAGATGCCTGTCTATTAAATGGTCCTGATTGCCATTGTTGTCCTGTTTTATTAGGTGCAATTGGAGGTGGACGGTTACCTAACTGTCCTAACCCTAAACTATTTTCATTCTTGAAACTCCAAGAGCTACTTGAATTCAGCTTATGGCCATCTAAATTATTTAATGAGTCATCATGAACTCTATTAACAGAAAGTGACCTCTGTATGCTACCAGGTGTTACATGGGGATCATCTTCTACATTCTTTGTCAAGCCTTGCCATGGTTTTCCTGGGATAAATTCAGGAATGACATCAGTCAAACCAGATGGCATTCCTGTTAAAATGGATGAAGAAACCTTCAAATCAGACTGAGAGTTGGTACTGTTATCACTGGAAGACAATGGCCAATTTGAAGAGGTTGTAGTAGACATATTTGATGACCAAGTTTTATCCCCAGTCATTCCAAGACCTCCAGGTATAAGGTTAAGATTGGGTGAAGAAGAAGACTGAAGTAAAGTTTTTCCTCCCGAACTCTTTTCTCCATTTTCATCACTTGTGTTTGAGGATGCTGAAGCTATTGCCCCTTCAATAGTTGGAGTATTTGAGTCAGATGGTGCTTTCCACTGAGTCGTTAGTCTTGACTGTGACTGTAATACAACATTTGCAAGATCAGAACTAAGGGCATCTAAATTTTCAGCTATATTAACCATTGGTTGCTGACCTGACTGTTGTGCCATTAGACCAGATGGGGGTTGAGACATGTTAGGTGGCTTAGTTGTGCTGAAAAGATTATTTTGAGCTTGTTGGAGTTGCTTTTGCACATTGATTATTTGCTGATTTATGTTATTAATGATAGTGGGCATTTGATCCAACTGTGGGTTACTTCTTGCACCAGTTGCTCTTGCTTGCTGCACCATTTGTTGCTGTTTAGTTACCATATTTTGGAGAGCAGATTGAAGTTGCAAAAGCTGTTGAAGAAGAACCAGTATATTGTGAGGCAACTGATAGTTAAGCAATTGAGGAGAGATAAAACCATTGTTAACTGCCTGGCGGAGCTGAGCAAGTATTTGTTGCTGCTGCTGCTGTTGCTGTGGTACTTGATTGTTACCCCCACTTCCAACTGGAGGCAACTGTCCTCTTGGGCCTATTGTTGTGGCCAAAGAGTTTTGCTGCATTTTCTGCGCTAGTTTCTGTTGAAGGCTGTGATTAATACTGGAACTATTAGGATTAAGACTAGACGGTGGCAGACTAGCCGTGTTTTGCATGAAGGGTTGATTTGGAGAGTTGGGAAATTGAGTATTCTGCAAATTATTGAATGTAGGCACTTGATCTGGGCGCATATCTGTCAAATCATCTGTTCCGATACCACCTGGTTGCATGTAAGGTATTCTAGACTGAGAACCATTTGTTTGAAATACATCCATATCTAGATCCTTTCTTGCCATACCACCATTACTTGACTTTAAATCATCTGTAAACAACAATATACAGATTTAAAATGGTAAATTAAGAAAAAAATGTAAAAACAAATATAGAACATAACTGAAAATTGTATTCCAAACTATTAGAACCACATGTATAGAACTTGAGGTACACTACTGACTAGCTTGAGGTACAGACTAGCTTCATAATTACATAAAAGGATACTGCAAGCAAAAAATTTACTTTCTGTTTTGTGCATTTTTAAAAGCCCTCCTGACATTTATGATGGAGATATAATAGCCTTTTTGTAAAGTGAAAAAGTAACACGAAAAAAGGAAAACTTTTAGTACTTACTTAAAGCCATCTTAAGATTCAAATTGTTAGTTATTAGAGCATTCTGGGCCTCTTCTTTCTGCAAAAATATTTTTAGAACTTAATATATAAATCTAAGTAAACAAGTAATGTGCGAAAATTAAGTAACTTTTAGTTGAAACAATTGTGAAATAAAAAGTTCTGTACAAATAATATATTTCAGATATATTAGCTTCCCACAATTAAGAACAATATCCTTCCATTCCTTGTCTTTTCCCTTTTATTTTCCCATGATATGGTACCAAATATTTAATGAGAGGATCACACTCCAATCAGTCACTATATAACAAACAAATCCCAGATACCCTAGACAAGCCCATCCTCCCCCCTACTGGAATTACTGCCAAAGCTATTTGTTCTTTGAAACAAGATGTGTTGTAGGTCTATATTTTCTGCTTCAGAAAGTACAATGGAAGCAGAAAGTATAATGCATGTTAGTGATAATTTTAATTGGCAATAATTTGAGAGTTTAGATACTTTGACTTAACATTACACCTAATTAAATTATGCATTCTTTTAAGTGTATCCAAATATTAACTTAATCTTTAAAATAGGTGGGTTTTTTAAACCGCGTATTTAAAAAATTTACTAGTAAAAAAAGGTTATTTAACTTTTACATTTGTGTCACCATCAATATCTGAGCTGGGTAGATTCAGGTACTTTCTACATATCTGAACTCAAGTCACTTGGGGTTTGTGAGCAAAAACATGATTGCAATAGTCAATTTACTTAATTGGTTAATGTAATTTTAACCAATTTGCTTAAGCCTGTAGAGTCAGAGGTCGCACAAGAATTTTTTATTGCGGTACAGTTTGTTTCGTTATGAGAGTTTAAAGATACTGGCTGAAGCAGGAAATAGATTTATTTATATTGGGTTTTTTTTGTAGTACCATCTCAAGTGGTTCATCTACATTTTCACTAAGCTTGGAATATTTTTTTTCCAAAATTACTGGCAATATAAATTAGTGAAATTAAATCAAATTAAAATTGCATTTGCAGTTGAATCAGGCTATATTTGTAACGTAACTAATACTGTGATACTGATAAAGAAAGTAGCTCCAGTGACCGTTGAATATTTTTTTTGGCACTCAAATTCTAATGCAAGTATTAGCGTTTTGTTTGATTTTTAGAGACTAATGCAATTTTTTATTTATTATTGGTAGACTCATGCTATTTTACCTCCCATAACTCACACCAACTTTATGAATGTTGCTTTTCATTTTTTAACACAAGTTTATTTTATAAAAATGCTGTGGTTGTAAATGTGTCATTCATCTTTACACGAAGACATAGGGTATGTTTATACACTGGATGGGAAATGGTTATGCCCTGTTATGGCAACCTTCAACGCCGCTTTTTTTTCTTTCTAGAATACTATCTCCACTGAAAGATGTTTCACATGTTTGTTACATTAACATCGTTTAAGCTCAAGAACACAGATCAGAATAATAATTGCTAGTTCATTTTGTTGCTTAATTATTAGATAAAAGAGCAACTACTGACAGATGTTAAAATATAGCAAATTTCAGAATATACAAACTAAAATTACCCGAAATCCCATGTCCATTAGCTCTTGGAGAAGTTTAGCTCTCATTTGAGTTGGTGGGTTACTATTTCCTCCCATATACTTAGGTGGCATTTGCTGTGGAAAAAAAAAGAAAATTACTGTAATATATTGTAGCTAGATATTTTAAAACTAAAAAAAATAAAATTAAAAAAAAATTGATTTTTAAACCCACATCTACATTTGCTTATACAATCAACGACAGACTAAATCTGATGATAAATACTAAAAATACTAAAATAACTTTGAAAAAATGTTCATTAGTCTTTACAATATTTAGGTAGTATTTAGGCACACAAAAATTATTTTAAGAAAATAACAAATGCATACTTTTACTCAGCTTAAATAGAAAGGGGATGTATTTTTTTATGCTTTGACATCAAAGCTAATAGCAAGTCCCAAAAAGAACAGTTACAATTTCACAAATATATCTAATTATGAAAAACAAAATTTCAAATGAACTCTGATAATGCAGTAGAAATGTACTGGCAACATGCGACTTATAAACTGATCAAGAGCTAGTAACCATAAGTAATCAACAATGAACTTAAGAAGCAGCTTAAGAATTAAACCAAAATTCTAATAGTTACAAAATTTGAAACTAATAGACACTAGAGCAAAGTAACAATTATAAGAAAATGAAAATATTTTATAAATAGATTTGCATGTAAAAAAAATTAATTTGAAAAAAAAAATTGAATATATACTTTATATATACAAATGTTGCTTTTAATTATACTTGGTATTTGTACAATGTCTTGTTAAGATAGAATATGTGTAAAAGACAAATTACTAAGTTGATGCTGTAATGTATTTAACAGACATTCAGGTCTCATTAGTAAGGGCTCATCAAAAATCATTGGGTAACTTTTAGGCATTTTAAATATTTCAAGACTAATTTAGCAAAGATTGAATACATATTTTTTTCATTTGTCATTTACAAGTACACCTATAAAATGGTAGTCACCTTGCAAAACAATTTAAAGAAAATATGTCATGACTAAACATCTCTGTATACATAAATAAATACAGGAAACAAAGTAAGATCTAAAAACAAGAAAACTTGCAATGCTCCTTACTAAATATTTTTTATTACTGCTAAGCCCAAATATTAATTTTATGACAAGAAATCGTACACTATAATTCCTAACCTACACAAAAAAAAAATACTTTTGCTTTAAATTGCTTATGGATACAATTTTAGTGTAAACAAGATGTTTAGCAAAGACCCAAATGAATTTTCTCACATTTTCACTTGTTAAAAAAAGCAATTATGTTTACTGTCAAACGTAAATTTATAACTTACTTTTATTAGGATTTTTATCTTTAAAAACTTATTTTACTACTAAAACACTAAACATATCACGGGCTTAAATCTAAATTCAAAGTTTCCAGCTGTACAATGATTTTTACTGTATCCACAGACCTGTCCAGTTATCTTCCTTACACTCCTCAAAGCAGCTGGGTCGTTCCAGGTATTATTATCTTGGGGTAAACCATTCCAATATCCCACCTCAACAGAACTGGAAGGATCTTCATCTGGGTATCTTCCTGACTGCAATAGTAGGTCCATTCAAACATTCACATCACATTTACCATACAATAAACACGCTGGGCAAAATTTCCACAAATCAGCTACTCCATTGTAAAGTAAACTTTACTACAATTGGAGCAGAAATATTAAATTAACACTTTAAAAATATGACATTGCTAATTCACATTGGTCTTCTTTGAATAAAAAAAATCAACAGCTGCATGTGTGATAACAGCAAACACTTACAATGACACAAAACAAGGTGCCAATAAAAAAACTCCCATATTAAAGCATAGCCATACATTATTAATAAGAAGATAAAAATATGTCATGTTCACCCTCTTATCTAAAATAAAATTTCTCACCTTGGCTCTCTGTGCCATTGCCCAAGAGGCTTCATCCCAACCAGCAGGTGCTTTAGGCTTTGTTCCAATAGCAGCATTCCATTGGCCTGGAGGTGCTGTTTCACCCCATCCAGACGGCTTGGCCTGTGGTGGTAACTGAAAAAAAAATGTGTATCTTAGAATCCAATTGCAAGCTCATTCCAAAAAAAAAAATGTACAAATATCAAATGATGAAATGTGAATACACTATGAAGAGGCGTATTTGCCATCAGTGAGGTTATAAATTAATATTGCTTACTGAATGCAATGAAGACTATTTTATTAAATATTCTGCAATTATTTTTGTTTGTTGATGAAAATTTCATTTGTGAAATTTTAAAAAGAGCCAGCCCTAAAGATATAATCGTATACCGCACCTTTCCTTAGGATCCCGAGAGTGAGAAATGTGCCCTGGCCTAGTAGCCAAATGTGAAAACTATGTGCCCTGGCAGACCAATTTATGAGTGTCACCTTACCCCCAGATCAATTCATATATAAAAATGCAAAATTAATAAACCGGGAGTGATCTCCTCTAAACGTTCTCGAATATTCTTATATAACACTACAGGGAATGACAACGCGGGATATAGACATGATTTTTAATTACTATAACTTTTTAAAATAGAATCTCGTAGAAAAAAATAATTGCACACCAAGTGAATGCCAAACAATCTGTGTATAATAGTGGGGAATATTATTAGTACTTTATAAATTTATTTTCGTTTTTTGATAAATCTGGATTTAGAATTTTTGCCCGATTAAAAATAAGTCCTCTATACTCCATTTGTGATGAAGTACTGAGGTGTAAAACGATGAAATCTTAAAAGCAGCAGAAACAGAAATAACTATTAAATACTAAAGTATAGCTTTGTTATTAAGAAATAAAAAGTTGCAGTAAGGAATATTACCTGCTTAGGTGCATTGGCAGCCCAAATGCTAGTTCCATCATCAACCTTTCCACCATCCTGAGTGGGGTCACCCCAGCCTGTTCTATTAGGTGGTGGTTTGTTCCAGGGTTCTTCCAGCTTGGTGCGATTTATAGCTGCTACATTTGTTGGATTCCAACCTGCCTTTTGACTTTCATTCCAAGGAGTAACTTCACTCCCAATGCCAGCAACATTAAGACCTGCCATATTCTGAGGCACCATGTTCGGAATGACTGATGGTGTATTCATACTTGGACTTGGTGGGACTAAACCTTGCATACTACTGATGTTGCCAGTAATTCTTCTCTGATCTTCCCAACCACCTGCATCCCCATCATCACCCCAAGAAGAAATGCTTGTAGTACGCTGTACTCCGCCACCTTCTCCCCAAGATCCAACTTCAGTTTTTTGTCCCCACATTTTGTTGGATGCATCTCCAGCACCACTTGCAGCTCCCCATGTACCAAATGCCTTCGGATCTGTGCCATTTCCAACATTCCATGTGCTAGGATCTTGAGCAGATTTGGGTGGCCCCGCCCAACTTGTTTGATCTTTTTCACCACTCCAAGTATTTCCACTAGTACCACCACCACCTCCATAATTGCTGTTTTGATTTTCTCTAACGGATTCCCAAATAGCTGTACCATTACTATTGTTCCACACATTAGAAGCACCAGTATTACTATCAGCAGAAAACTTGCGGTTCGACTTAGGAGAAGTTTCAACATCCCAGCTTGTATCCTGACGAATAGGACGAGAACCCCAGCCTTCATGATTTTCTATTGCACGCAATATTTCCTCTTGACGAGAATTAACTGCAGTTTGTGGCGTGTTGGGTACAGGTGGAACTTTCAGACCTTTCAAAGTTGCCTGAGCAAAAGATAGTTCACTATTTGGAACCTGGTCACCCTGTGCAGTTAGAGGTGAATTTCCCCACTGAGTTTTTGAGATTTCCCACTGAGCATCCCCTGACTTTTCAGAGCTCAATCCCCACATTCTAGGGTCTGAGTTGGTACTTCCTAGATCTTTGTTCCCACCTTCAACTGGAGTAGAAGGGTTATTCCACTCAGAATTTTTTGAAAAGTCTCCTATACCACCTAACATGGAACTTCCTGGCCAATGAGATGACATGTTTCCTCCAGTTATATTAGGAGGTATATTAGATGTAGTTGACAACCCATTGCTTGTTATACTAGATGGCCAACCTGAATTGGAACTGGAACCAGCAGCATTAAATGCAGAACTGCCACCAATCATGGCTGGTCCTTGTAGATTACTGTTATTATGACCTTGACTTGTGGAGAGAGAAAGACTTGATGGGTTAGTCCACCCCATTGAGCTTATGTTTGAAGGAGCTGGAGAGCTGCTGTTTCCCCATGGATTTGAGTCCATGCCAGACAGAGTGGAATTACTAGCACTCCAAAGACTAGAAGAACTGGACTGTATTGTTCCAGCATTAGTATTTGTGCTCTCTTGTGACTGTGAAGTAATATTGCTCAAGCTAGTTATAGTTGAACCGGATTTAACAGAAGATGAATCATCCCCAGCATCCGATGCACTGTCAGATTTACCCATAGCTTGCCAGGTAGAACTAGAGTTATCCTGGTCTGAAAAATAAATCATGCGAGAAAAATATTTAAAATTTCAAATGACTTGCAGCACAACCAAATGTCGCAGTGCTATCAAACAGCAACAAAATACTTTAGTGTCTGGCGCTCACAAACAGCCTGGTAATGGTATGTTTTTTAAACCTGAAGACAACCCTGTAACACTAAAATATTCTTTCTTTGTAACAGTTTAAATGATTTAGAACACAAATAATGCAGTACATTTAACGAGAATAAACTGGTTATAACATCTGAACTTTTAAAACGGACACATGAACTCCTTCGATTCATAATAACTCACTGGCCGTGGATGTCCATGATCCACTGCCTGGAGCAGAACTTTGCTGGCCCCAACCTCCTCCTCCTTCACTGCCCCAGCCCAATTCTGAAGATACGTTGCGTTTCAATACTGAGAACAGAAAAGCATGTATGACAGCTGAATCAAATTTTGCAGGAAGAAAATGCTTAACATCTATCATCTAAATTCAATCTCATACATTTGAAATTCCAAAAGAAAGATTATTCCATTTGACAGAATTTTTAAAACTTAAAACGTGTTTCTGAAGAAGAGAATCAAAACGTATGGGGCATGATTATGGGACTAAAATCCATGTTTTGCCAGACTTCATTTTAGTCTTTCAAAAATGGGGTTGGGTTGCCAGCTACAACAAAACTTCTGATAAAAAGGTAACAACTCAGCAAATTAATGAAGCTGAGAAACCAATTGATTGCACCTGTATTATATGGAATCCTAGGAAATAAAAGCAATTTGCTCATGAGCCATTTAAAGAATGATCAGTCACTGCCAAGTTGCAAAGAATTCAGAGATGATCACTGAAGTGCTTTGGTAGAGATTGAGTAATGCACTTACTGCAGCACAATTTAATTTTCTAACAGTACTGAACTTACATTTAGTTACCATTTTAGTACTGATAAAGTTGTAAAATAGCTGGGACAATGTGAATGAGCAACAAGGTTTTATTAAGCTTTAAAAGTGTAGTAGTACAACAGCGGTTTTATTTGAGAATATGGATAGGAGGATAGATGACCATTTGAGGTATATTTCACACAGAACTGAAATTCCATTTGATTCCTGTGAATCATTAAAAACACAATAATATATTTATTTCATTCAGCTTTTTTTTAAAAATACCAAAAATACATTTTTCAGGACTTGCTTACCATTCAAACAAAATTCTTTTTTTTTTGCTCATACGATTTAACAGGCCATGTTTTAAGGAAATATTAAAAACAAGCTGACCCCACGTAGCATACGCTGCTATTTAGTTGTATTATTTTCTACTTTTCAGTACTTCATAGTTAGTGAATTCGACACTACCCTCCCTTCCATTCCACTCGCCACAGTGAAAGCAGCCGTCCGTGAGAACAGTTTACGGATGACAACGAAATGAACATCTTACCTCCCCCTAGTTTCAAATAGTTTAAAAGCTAAATAATCTGCCCCTAATAGCTGTCACTAATTCAACCCGGCTCTATGATTGTAAACATTCGGGGTGAACCTTAGCTCATCAGAATAGTGGGGTGTGGTAGCTATATGCCTAGAGAGCGGGGAATAACTGCGTCTCACATGGTCCCCATGAAAAGAATAAATATATTATTGGGCCTTAAATAACTGATAACCAATATATAACCATAAAAAGTTTCACATGGAAACATTTTTAACAATGTTTAAATTATATAGCACAATCAGTTTGATGATGGGAACTGGAGAAATGTGTGGTTAATAATAGAAACACCAATAGTATCCTGAATATTACAAATGCATGTCAATTAAAAAATTAGCTATTTGTGAGAGTAACTTCAGAATATGAAGGAATGCCTTCAGAGATTTTGGGAGAGGGTGAAATATGGATTCTCATAATCTTAGCTGAACTTTTTTTCAACAGAAAGTTCGACACTATTTAATTAAATAGATTTATTTTAAGATACATATTAGATATTAAAAGATGTATTTCAACAAATCTGTTTCACCCGATTCTTAATGGCTACTGTAGAGTGCATCAGAAAAAAAGTTGTGAAGTGTAACTAAGTTAGCCATTTAAAACAGGAATCACTAAGCAAAACTAAAGGAAAGAAGCGATGTCTGGAGCTTTGGAAAAATTCAAGACAATTAGGAATATTAAATGTTCATTTTTTTAACGTTTAAAGTAATAACATACCTTGCTGCTGCATCTTAAGACAAGTAAGCAAGACACATGAAGATGTTTCAATATGTAAAGGAAATAAACCTGAAATTATAAATAGAAAGGGTAAGCATGATTTAGATAGCTTTCAATACCAATGTCAAAAAAAATATTGAGATCTAGAGTCTACTAAAAATGGTGCTGTATTGCAGTTTGTATACTATAATTTAACTACTGAAGCTTTTGTAATTATTTCATTGTATATCTCATATAGTCATATAGGCTACTCTAGATCTAGAACTTTATGGCTATTTGTTAAAGAGAGTGTCTATTCGTACTTCACTACGAATAGCCTTCAGAGGGCTATTTGTAGTGAAGTACAAATAGCTACGGAGGCTATTTGTACACTGACCAATCAGATTATCGGTAGGTATTTGTACACTGACCAATCAGATTATTGGAACGTATCCGTACACTGACCAATCAAAGCAGTGTAAAATCCCTCCCAGTTTAAACCTTTCTAGTCTAGAGCCGCACACTCGACAAGAAAGTTTGCTACACGATGTACGTCATGATTTTTTAATCATTTTGCCTTCAGTAGCTGATTTGACAGCTACAAAGAATTGGAGGCAGCTATTAAAGCTTTGGATAGTAGCAAACAAATCAAACTTTTATTTAACATAACAAAAAACAGTTTAAGAATTTAACAGTAAACAGAACAAATGAAATGGTACAATATCTATCAGATCTAAGAGACAAATAACTTGGCTACCTTGTAAGTGTAGTAAACAAAAAGCTGCTTTATATAAAAAAATAATAAAAATCAACTGATCTGGGTCAACATCTCTTGTATTGATACATGTTTTTATTACAAACAACAAAAAATACTACATAATTTAAAACTACTTTTGATCAACAGCTTATAATACATTCAGTTACTAAACATGCACTTCAAGAAGACAAAAGTTTTATCACTACCTTTGCGTGTTGTTTAAAAGCTGTTAGGGGTAATCCTTAAGATTTTAAGGCGATTTCTACCTCCCTAATACTATTATCACAAATGCCAGACCCCCATTCTTATCGATAGTTATACTGAATTATATAGTAATACTGAATTATCTTTAGATATCTATATCTTTTCTATATATTTTAATATAGACCTACATAATTTATTTAAATTTTATTTTATAATAATTATATATAGGCCTAATTAATACATAATAATTCAATAATTGTAGTCTAAAGACTCTAGACTCTAGTTAATGTAATTACAGCTAGGACCGAAGCACAAACCTAGCCAAATGTTTAAGGGAGGGGGCAGGGGGGGGGATGCCTCGCTCTGATTGGTCAGTGTACAAATAGCCTTCTGAAGGCTATTGGTACTTCACTACAAATAGCCTTCTGAGGGCTATTCGTAGTGAAGTACGAATAGCCGCAGCCTTGTTAAATCTAGAACTTTATGGCTATTTGTTAATTCTAAGAAATGTAAGATGTGATTCAGTCTTAAATATCTGAATAGAGTTGGTATAGAATCTAGAGGAATTTTAATATCCTGTGTAACAATTGGCCTAGTATTAACGCAACTGATGGTTACATGTTATATTGTAGATTAAGTAGCCACATTATTTAAAGTTCATCGGTCATCAGTTAGATCTATAATCTAGATTCTAAATTTCAGATCTATAGCCCCCCCCTAGATAGGGACTTTGAGAAAATTTCCAAAATGATTTACCTAGGTTAAAAAGCATATCATCTTAAAGAGCTACATCAGATTAAGACAGAACAGTTTACTTTTTCAAAATTGGACATTCCGTTTTAAAGTTATGATTTTTTTACTGAATTAAAAGTTACTATAGGATTTGGTGGTAAATTTCGCGGGCAAATTTTGTGTGTTCTTCATATAAACCAATGCCAAATCTCTATTACATGGAAATTTGTATTCAAATTTTCAGAGTTTCAAGATTAATATGTTATGAGGCAATTAAACTTAACATATTTGTAAAAATATGAAAGGGATGACAAAATGTGTGCCTTGAGGTGATGCAACCCCCCTAATTTTGTAAAGTGACTTTTTTCAAGTTTATCATTATTCTAAATCTAACAGGTTATCAATATCAATATTATGCCACAATCTGAATGTGTTAAGAGTCACTTAAGGGACCTTTAAGGGACCTCATAACCTGGAGCTTTGTAATGTAATTTTAGACTCATTTCTCTCCAACCGGTAAAGGTTCGGATATCGCCAAACATAAATCTAGACAAAAATAGACAGCAAAATTAGTTAAAAAAGAATTACTCCATTAATGGTATTAATAAAAACATATTTTAATATAAATTACATAGTAATTTACATAGTAATTTATGACCACAACACTAACAAAATAACAAATCGCCTTGAACAACATCAGTTAATAACTAATAAGTAATGTACTGTCAATAGAGGCGCTAACATTGTCATCCTACTCCTCTTTTATTTGCAATCCAATAGGCTACTCCAAGTGAATCTACACTTTACTGCTGACTTTTTTCTTTAACTTAAAAAAATTATACTTCTAAAACAGATCTCCCCCCTTTAACATTCCACTTATGTTTAATCCTCGCCCCCTCCATTCTACAAAAAAGTAGATAAAATTTCCTGTCTCTAGCATCCTATCATGAAGTTATTCTGGCATGAAGATGACTTACAACAAGTTGTAGCATTATAATTTAGTTGTTCTCCTAATTGCAAAACCTATGCTGCTGTCTTCTGTGCATTTTTCTTGTTACTGGCAAAAATGTAGAGCGCAAAGCCATCAGAATTCTGTCCTTCTGTGAACTAACAAGAAGCTCCAAGTCCTGAAGAGATTTGGAAGGCCACTCCATTTGAATTACTGAAATAAGAAATAAAAGCTTTGAATGCATTCTTTTTATTATTATATGATACTAGAAAGTAATATGTTAACTTGTACACTCAAGTTTCTATATTGTTCCAAGAAAACGAAATGCTAATTCAATTTTGGTCCAACACTAAATATTTTGAAAAAAAAATAAAATATTGTCTTTTTAATAAAATATAATGATTGAACACTGTTAAAATATAAATATCAGTTGCAGATGCCTTGAATTAGTTGAGATTTCAATAGATACATAATAGGTATCATTGTTCTTAACCAAATCGGCCATTATCGATAATAGGTAACTATCGCCATTTGCCGATCGTCGGCTTAAATTTTAAGACCATGTTCACTTCGCGAGGCATTATCTAATTCATGCGAGGGTTAAATTTACAAAATAAAGACTTTATAAGAAACTTAAAACAAAAATCTAGGTGTATCTTTAAAAAAAAAATGACTATCTTGTTTAGATATTAAATAAATTAAATATTTATACATACCTGTCCGAGAAGTGTGAATTACTCGAAGATACGTCGATGGTGAAGAGAAAAAGTTTTAATCAATAGAAAGGTGGATTATTCCTAGGTCGATATTCATGACGATTTGAGTCAAGTGAATGATTTTTAAATGAGAATCTGGCTTTATACAGTGAGCTATGTTTTGCCTGACGGAAACCAGAATCAAGTTTGATACGGCGGCGGTAGCGCAGTTTCCGGCCCGAGATTTGACGGATATCGTAGTCCCTACCCTAGATCTATTAATTATTGATGAGTAGACTCCTTTGCTAATTCAGTGTAATTGGCCCCTCAAGAAACTAAGATTTGATTCTTTATCTGGGATTCTAGATCTATAGGCCTAAGCCCTAATCTAGGTAATCTAGACCTAGATCTAGACTCTAGATAGATCTAGATTCTATACTATTCATTATTCCTAAGATCTAGATTATTCTGAATGTAGCTTAGATCTAGATAGGCCTATCAAGAATCTTTTCTTCTACTTGTTCCATGGCAGTCTCCCTAAATCTAAACTCGATACCAAATGTAAACTCGATACCAATCTAAACTAGAGACCTAATCATCTTATTCTTAGATTTTAGAATTCTAGAACTAGAGCTACTCTACTGTCACGAAAAGCAGGCAAAAAGCATTGTCTACATTATAAATTCTACTTAATTTTAAAGCCTATATTATTGGGGTTTTTTTTTTATAATTATTTCTAAGGTAAAACTAGCACACACAAAAAATAGAAATATCTAAATCTAGTCTAAAATCTAGATCTCTTCCATTGACCCCGCCCGCCGACCGGCAAGCGGAGTTCGAGGTCAGCTTTCCCCGTACAGAAGGCCGTCTGTTAAAGTCTAAAATGGCGACGTCTTTGTACCCCAAATAATATATGCTAGATCTTTATCATTGTTGAAATTACATAAACCCTAATGACATTCGCTGCATTCACGTAGCAGCTACATGGTATGACATAACAACACGTCTTTTATGTGGTATTTTAGTTTTAAACGGAATAGTGAATAGTCTAAATCTCGTATTAAAAAAAAAGACTTGACTCCTTGTAAACTTACCGTACTATTCAATGATTCAAATGACTTTCCCTACCCTGGAAAATGCAAATATCACAGATGTTGCTTCATTAGAACTACATGCACAATATATTATCTACATAGCACCGGTCAGAAGACATTTTATAACGAAATCTAATCTTAAAATCAAACAATTTTAACTACTCTTATGAGCCATAATAATGGCTGATATTCACCAAGCCTTAGTCTGGATCTTGAGGTTAGTTATGCGCATGCGCATTTGATCACGTGACGACAATACGAGTGTCCGCATTGGATTTGTAAAAATAAGGCTCTGCAAAGGGGTTAGCGTTCTGGCAAACGCATCATCTGTAGCCTAATGACCTACTATGAACTGTGTGTAGGCCCTTGTAAATATTATGTTAAATGACAAATCTATTAGTTATACTTGTTCTCTATGCAAACTACCCAAAACCATTCAGACGTTAAATATTGAAATGACAAAGCACGCGATTGAACTAAAATGTTAATAATTTACCTATTGTTTGAGAAAAAGGATTATTTCTAGATTAAGGCCACACAATCAAAACAAATTCGCTTTTCTGTCTTCAATAAAGAGGGTGAAGAGAATCAATCTCAATAACGGCCTAGAATCTACTCTGTAAATTATTGGCTCGAAGTTGCCCATTCTGAGAGTTTTTAAAGCTATTTTAGGCATATATTCAAACGTGAAAGCTTATTAGCTTTTATACGATTTATAACAATTTAGAAATCAAACGAATATTCAGGAACTAGGCCTACTCATATTTATCTGTAAACGTTCTAAAAATAGGCTTCTGGATAACAGTGGAAAAGGCTGAATTTAGAGAATCTATTATAGATAAAGCAGCTTAACAGTCGACGTTGGCAATATCTTATATATTACATTATTTTGGTGTTAATTTCGATTAGGTTAACACTATTACAGTTTTTTCTAGATTCATATGTATTAATATGTAAATATCCTAAAATTTAATTCTGGACATCACCTTGGAATTGGCAACATTTATTCAGGATTAATATATCTATCGCCTATCACCGAAGTTGGCAGTATCATATGAATTTCGTTATTTTACATTGTTAATATCGATTTGGTTAACAGAGAGTGTTTCTAGGCTAAGTGTGTATAAAATGTTATTGTTATAAAATTAAAGTATGTTGTATAGAGATGTATCACTCCGCCAGCATAAATAAGCCTGGCATGCCCTATAAGTACGAATGGTTCTCTGCAACGTTGTAATAAGATCAAAGTGATACCTAGATCTATAATATACAGAGTCGTGATCTAAATTTTGAAATGGTATGTCAATAGTTATTATGATGGCCTCTAATTTTAAACAAATAATTCATTTAAATTGTTGTTGTTGATTTTTAGCCCGCTTTATATTGCTTTCTTACACTAGAAAGAGGTGTGTGGGTCATATAACAGGTGGCTTAGACAGAGTGAACATCCCCTCTCAAGGGGTCAACCATAAATGACGTCACGCTTTTTTGACGATTTTTACCTCCCCCCTCCCCTCCGTCACACATCGTCACAAAAAGCCAGACCCCCCCCCTAAAACGACGTCACACCTCAAACCCCCCCCCCCTCAAAATTGCAGTTGAATTTTTCTTAAAACATCGATATTTTTCCAAAATCTTGTCAGAACTCTGTCAAAATAGAGTATTTTAATCAATTCCTATTGCAATTTATTAAAACAGTTTTCTAAAACGCGAAATAACGTCTAAAATTCGTTTCCTAACATTGCTTTTTTATAATGCAAAAGTGTGACGTCGCACCATCTAAACACCCCCCTCCCCTTCGTCACCCACCATCACAGAATTACGGACCCCCCCCCCTCCCCCTGTGAGTATGACGTCATTTATGGACGACCGCCAACCCCTGGATGGCATTAACTAGACCAGAATCTTTTGACACGAATAGCATTATTATAGGATAAAGTCAAAATCAAGAAAGCATACCATCATATGGCATTCCTTCCATCAAACGTCCAGATCTCGAGCTTACCACCACTTCACCCAGACCATCGTCCGTCTCATATATCCCACATACCCAAATCAGTAGCGTAGCGGGGGGGGTACATATGTCCCCGGGCGCCGACCTTAGGGGGCGCCAAAATGGATTGGAAAAATTAATTGAAAGGTTGAGGGGGTGCAAATTGAAAGTTTGAGAGGGGGGGGGGGGGGGGGTGCACATCGAAATCTTGAGGGATGGTGCAAATCGAAAGTTTGAGGGGGGATGCAAATCAAAATCTTGGGGGGGGGGGGGGGGTGCAAATCGAAAAGATTGTCCCCGGGCGCCGGGAAGGGTCGCTACGCCTCTGACCCAAATGCCGATATCATCGACTCAACCGGTGTTTCAATACTTCCAGACTTTTTTCTCTGGGGGGGGGGGGGGGGGACACTGGTAAAAGTATATGCTTTATATACAAATTCCAATTCTTTCGAGGGGCGGTAGACTTTATTCGGGAAACCTTCCCCCCCCCCTTCCCCGAAGAGATGCCTGGAAGAAATGCTGGACTCAGCCCACCCCAGAAAATAAATTCGCCGATTCTTTTTTAAAACTTGGTCAGAATATTTTTAAAAAGTAGCCTTCACGTATTAACATATGCTCAACACAATAAAAAAACACGACACCGACTAATGGACAAGGGGGTGAGATTAAGGCCACACACAAAAATAAGTAAAAATATATTTAAAAAGCAATGCTTTTTTTTCAAGTCTAATACAACAAATCGGAAATGTGTTTATTACAAAGAAAAATATATTGATCTTTATCGAGTTGGATAAACTACGGATAGTAAATGCACACATTATTTATACTACTTTGTTACAAGCTTTTATTTAACTCACTTCCTCTGTCGACAGTCTGTCGACAGTCGTCAGTCTAGATCGAAACAGCCGAGCGAAAATTCGGACACTTCTACTTGACATATTATACGGTTCACAGTTCGCACGTGGGTCAAGACATGAAGACAATGCAATCTGAAATTAAATTGGACTTAATTGGATACCTAATTAATTTTTTAATGAATTAATTAAAATTTTGACCAAATTAGTAAGCATGTCTATCCAACCACACCACACTCGTCATCACGTTCAATAGCGCTTCATCGCGTTCAATAGGCGCGCAATGGTTTTCAGTTTTAGTCATGAAACTCTATTGTAAATAAAAACATGTACAGTACTAAAAAAAATTTCATAAAAAACGTTTTAATAACAAACTTTTATGTAATAATGCACTAAAAAGTAGAAAATAAATTATAGACTACTATTTAAATAACTATAAAGAAAAGCGTGGGTCTCTTCCTAAACATTAGTAAAGGTCAGGGGCGTAGCGAGGGGGGGGGGCGGTGGTGCGGACCGCACCGGGTGACACCATTTAGGGGGGTGACACCAAGGCAAAAAATAGCAAAATATATAGAGAAAAACTTGAGGGGGGGGGTGCAAATCGAAAGTTTGTGGGGGGGGGGGGGTGCAAATTGAAAGTTTGAGGGGGGGTGCAAATCGAAAACTTGAAAGTTTGTCTCCGGGAAGGATCGCTACGCCTCTGGGGGGTGACACCATTAAGTGCCGCACCGGATGACACCCGACCTCGTTACGCCACTGGTAAAGGTATCCAATAGATACTAAAGTGAACCACGCTTTTCTTTATAGTTATTTAAATAATAGTCTATAATTTATTTTCTACTTTTTAGTGCATTAGTACATAAAAGCTTGTTATTAAAACGTTTTTTATGAAAAAAAAATTTACACTTAACCAAAGAAGGGGTGACAACAAGATGATAAAAAGATTACTAATTTTACAAGAAAAAAAACCAAGGTATTAATATTTTACATGTGCACATTTAGATGCAATTAAGCCGACAAGAGAAACAAAAAAATTCATAAAAAGCGTTTTAATATCAAGCTTTTATGTAATAATGCACTAAAAAGTAGAAAATAAATTATAGACGTCTATTTAAATAACTATAAAGAAAAGCGTGGGTCACTTTAGAATCTATTGGATACCTTTACTAATGTTAAGGAAGACTTGACTTGACTTAGACTTAGTCCTCTTTGCTCCTTGTGGAACATAGGGCCTCCACCATTTCCTTCCATTTCTTCCTATCCTCGGCGATTAATTTTGACATCTCCCAAGACATCCCTGTTGGCTTCAGTTCTTCAAGAAGACTCCGCCTCCAGGTCTGTCTTGGGCGCCCTCTCTTCCGCTTTCCCTGGGGGTTCCACTCAAGCGCTTGGCGTGTAACATTTGTGTAAGCCTTTCGCAGTGTGTGACCCACCCAGCGCCACTTCCTCCTTCTTATTTGCACACACATAGGCTCCTGCCTAGCTTTCCTCCATAGTTCCAAGTTCGGCACTTTGTCCTGCCATCTCAGTTTCAGTATCTGTCTAAGGCATCTATTCATGAAGGTCTGTATCTTTGCTGTGCTTGCCTTGGAGACTCTTCATGTCTCTGCTCCATACAGCAGAACTGCCTTGACATTAGAGTTAAATATCCTAATTTTTGTGGTAATGGAGATGGCCGAACTTTTCCATAATGGGTCGCAGGACTGTGAGTTTCCTCCAGGCACCCATTCGGGGAGGAGGGGGGGGGGGGGAGACCCTATGTAAGACCCCTAAGATGCCCCTAAGTAAGAAAGCACTTCATCAGAGTCTACAATTAACGTAATGTGTTGGACTAGTTAAAAAAACACTTTAATAACTGAATATAAAAAGTAGAGGTCAGAGCAGATAATCTTCATAACAATTCAACAGCTAATTTTGCTTAGATTTTTTAAATATTACAATGCCACTTCTCTTGTCGGTGTACAACTGCATCAATCTATATCTTTTTAGTTATGTTTGCTTAAAATAAGGAGTGATGTATTTAAAAGTTCATTTTAATAGATCACTATGTTGTTATATATCTCATCTACAGTATTATTGTATATTTGATGCTTTCACGGTAGTAATCTGTTAGCGTATTTCTCAACTGTTTGTCTAGTGGTAGACTTTTGAGCAGTGTTTCTTCCGGATCTTTTTTCTCCGGGGGGGGGGGGGGGCGGTAGACTTTCTTTGGGGGGAGGGGGGTGGCGGATACTGTTAAAAGTATATATTTTCTATATAAATTTCATTTAGTTTGGGGGGGGGGGGGGCAGTAGACTTTTTCGGAGCGGAGGAGGGGGGCTCTGTCTCCTCCACCCCCCCCCCTCCCCCGGAGTGATGCCTGGAAGAAGCTCTGCTTCTGAGTGAACAATATCTGCCCATAAAGAACATATGCATAACTTTAATTATTTCACTAATTGTATTTCTTTATACTATTCTCTATCATCAAAATACATGCGCCTTGAAACTTTATTTACAATAATATATCCAGAAAAATCTGTTCCGGTTTTCCTCTTACGCTGATTGATCGAGCCATAGATTCTATACTGAAAATTGACAAAAAAAACACGTAAATAGCATTATTCCTAGGCGAAAAGGTAACGGTGTACTAACATAATATAACAACCATAGCCGACCCTTTATTTTTTTGACGCAAATCTGGGCTAAAGATCGTATGTTGCGTGATTTATGCAAGTTTTAAGCAGTCCATTTTCTGTCGAAAGCGGCATAAACTTAAGGGATATCTCTTGGATTTGTTGATTTATGTTTGGTATTCTGGGCCTTTCCATCGCATGAACGTTTCTTTCAAACGTTGGTGGATTGATGTGAATGCCGGTAATACCAGTCTTTATGATCACGGTGTTCGCGACAGCTGCTGAGGAGAGTTAGGGAACACAAAGACCTCGTGGCCCAGACCAATAACTTGGCAAGGTATGGATGGTGACATCCGGTGCCCTAACTCAGACTGACACCATAGCAAACGACTCTCATTATAATATATGTATAACACTATAGCATATTATATATGGGCATATAATTATATATATATATAATATATATATAATATTTATATATATATATATTATATATATGTATTATATATATGTATTATATATATATATATATATATATATATATGTATTACATATATATATATATATATATATATATATATATATATATATATATATATATATAATTCTTACACCATATAGGGCCAACCATGCTTTCAAATGTATTTTTTTCTTTTTGTTCAGTAGAGACCTATATATAGGCCTATTTATATATATACATGCCATATATAGTATATATATACATGTGTGTATGTAAATTCCACATCGACCTAAAGGGCGTAATTATAAAGTTGATATCATAATGACATTGAAAAGTTTGAAATTGTAGCCATCATTAATAGCTATAACACCATTAGACAATTTTCGTTTAGGGGTTCTTCTAGCCTACCTCATCCTTCAAGGATCCCCCTGAGGCAGCCTCAATTGTTTCACAGTGCCTCCTTTTTTAGTGGTTGTAAATAAAATATGCTTTTTGAAGGTGAATTCACCCCCTACATTTGGAGGTTGCTTTGCAAGCACCATTTCATGAAACACTCAAACCACTGAGATATCATATCTTAATGAACACACATTTAAACGAATGGATGCCATCAATGAACATAGTAAATTGATTTTATTTACAGTTTTCATCACATTTTTATGAAAATAGCTAAAGCTTAAGAACAGATGATCCATGCACACAGATATACATAACACTCAAAGTTATCCAGGAAATGAACAACGACCACTCTAAACATCTGGATGGGCACTATATTGAACAGCGGTGTCCCAATTTCACAAGCTTTTATTGAAAACTAATAAAAATATGATTAAAAAAATAGATGGAAGGCAATACTTTGTTACCATATCAAGCAACATCAACAGTGGGCAAATATTTAAATATACAGTTAATTGAAAGCAGTATAAAAATAACAAGAATTATTTTAAGTGGCATTGTCTATATACACAGATTAATATAAGAATAATGAAAGTGTTAATAGTATACTCCTGATAAAGTGTACCCTGCATACAAAATCTGGCCATTATGTAGAGTGCACTTGAGTATGAACCTGTTAATAAACATTTAGCTGTATCTTTTAAAAAAAAACCTAAATAAACAGAAATAGCTGAATAAGATTAATAACTAAATGGAAAATTATTATGGGGCCTAAAACAAATACATTTATTGAAGCACCTATCACATTTTGCAACGGCTATTGTTTTTAAAAAAATTCCCTATACATACATTATGTTTTTTAAAAATATACATTACACTTACTACAGTGATAAATTACTACAATTTTGTAAATAATGTTAATATTAGTGCTAATTTTTAATGATATAATTTGAAGTTACAAATGCAACACATATACAAGCCCAGACAAGGGTTAAAATTACCCAGCCCTTGTGTGAGAGAGGAGACCTATGTATGTATCCCCCACCTATAGCAATAATCTCTTTACGAGCTAACAAAACAAGCACAGCTGGTATGATATACTGGATGCCTGCTCCAGCATAGGAACCTGTAATTCCAACTAAAAATTCAACTTGGTTGGTAGAAATGGCAACAATGAATGGTGGGATGATTGCTAGCAGAGGGCAAACTAGTCTAGGTACATACCAAGGCAGAGTACGAAACTGACTCGTCAGCATTGCATTCAAATTATTACGCAGAGTAATAGCAATGATAGGAAAGCTTGTGGACAAGGTAAAGACAGGGAATAAAGCTAGAAAATACTGGATGGGCACAATGTCTGTCAAAGCATTAGCAGTGCCAGGTTTAAAGTTGAGGCTGTACAGATCTTCTATCTTGTCAATAGCAAAGACAGCAGTAAAGCTGAGCAGCAGGTAGAATAGTAAAATAAGGAGATAATCTCCGGCCACTAGCTGCAGCAGTCTGGACTTGTTCTTGATGGGAGTCACTAGTGATGGCAGAGAGTGGTGGCACATGAAGCTGTACACGCACACACCAAACAGGTTAGGGACCCCGGACACATTGGCAACCTCAGGTTTACCTAAACCTTCACCTTTCCCTAATCTGATTGATGTTAGGATGATCATAAGTAGGAAGGCTGAAAAGAAAAATTATAGTATTTTAAAAAAAAAAAAAAAGATGAATAATATCCCTACTTTTGATTATTGTGCTTATTACTTTTATAACTTAAATGAGAATAAATTTTATTATCCATAGCCTTTACTATTAGCTATCCTTATTATTTTCATCAAACCATTTAAGTACCATGCCTTAATAACATTCTTTAGGTGTAATAGTAAATCTCTACCTAGCCAGCGAGCTAATGATGTCAAGAACTGGAGATACTTGGTCTTCTGAACATTGAAAAATGTAAATGGTCCCAGTAACAAAACAAATACAGTCTGTCGAAATGTAACATATATGAGGCAACGTAAATGAGTAGATTATACAAGTCTGGCAAATAATTCACATTGCCTTTCCTGACTGATAGCAACCCATTTTTATAAATTCAAAAATAGATATAGGTGTGTATTATTAAAACATTTAACCAAAATATTTGAATGAAATATTTTACCACAAATATTCTGTAAGCATCCATCCTGTTTAAGGAATTAGTTGGCCAGCATGGATCCTTGTCTGACAAGCTTTTGTTTGTGTTTATGTCTGTACTGTTTACAGATGAGCTGTTCTTGTATGTGCTTTTTAAAAAAATTAAAAAACAATTGCCAAGGAAAACAATTTAGATGATCAAAACACACCTGACTTATAATTTAACCAATCAAAATTTTAAATGGAGCCAACATCCAAACATCCTAGACATTACCAACTAAAGTTTATTTAACCCACTCTTACCAGGCTATATCCCGTATGGTTTTAGGTACAGCTGCAGCATAGATAGCCAAGTCTCCATACAGATAGATGATAATACACAAGTGAAAAAATAGCAGCCCCACTGCGAGAAAAATTTTGTTTTAATACCAACTGCATATGACTTTATGCAAGTTCATACTTTTTATTAAACCCTGTTGAGAGCCATGCTTATCTACATGCTCAAGAGGTGACCCATCCTTTTAAATGTCTTAACCAGCTAGTAAAATAAAAAAATTCAAACCATGAGTAGGTAGCTCAATAACAGCCTCAAGGAATATTTGGGGTTTCGGAGGCCATGTAAAAAGACATCACACCTTTGTAGTGGTGAAGGGGGGGGGGGGGAGACATCACCTTTACACTACCATTACTTTTTTTTTTTATTTTTTTTTTTAATTTTGAAGAGTTTCTGTACAACTGAATAAAACTTGCTCAACAACCTTATCTTAACCAAGTTAAATTAATTTTGTTATTTGGGGGTAGGCTGAAGTGTGATATGTCTCTTTTTCTGACCATGGAGTAGGGGGTTAGTTAGAGTGTGTAGACTAATGGGCAAAAAAAGGGTTTAATTTTTTAAGAAATACCCTTAATTATATATGTATTAATTTCAATTGTGTTTAATTAAGATGCAGAATTAAAATCAAGAATCAATTTAACATTTCTGAAGTGATGAAAGCCATCATGAAGTATCAGATCTAACAATGTCCCAAACAAAGTAATATTTAAAAAAACAAGATTTTCCTCAAGGACTGCTGATAAATTTATTGCAATTTAATATATCAAAAGCAGTATTAGGAAGGTTAACAACTTTTTTTAAAAAGCTTAATATGTTATAAACAATTTATACAATAAAAAACATTGTCAAACTTAACCATGCCATATACTGACCACTTTAAATTTCCCAAACCAAGATCCCCAGAATCACCACCAAACTTACAGAATTGTTGTGTTACCCCTGAATCATTGATGCACCTTTTCTCATGCAATGTTCCCATTCTCTACTTTTACATTATATTTGTGTCATTGCCATCCGTACATACAGTGGTGTTAACATTATTATCATTAGCCAAAGCAAACAATAATCCAGTGTTAGCTACAGCCTATACAGTTGTTACAGGAACATGCACTTTGGTATTTAGGTGTACAAGTTTGTTATGGATATGCATTTTATTATTTTACTTATATGGTAAACTTTATCCTGATAGCTCTTTGACCTTTCAAAAAAACTCACCCCTGTTAAAGTACATGGCTGCCATAGTTCCCTATGGAAAAAAAAGGAAGAAATAAACAAGGACATTAAACTAAAAACAAGTAATTAAAAAAAGTCTAGTGACAATTTTAGCGCAATTTCCTTGTGTTATCTAAAAATAGCTCTGTCGTAGCGTAAATCAAGAGCAGGGTTAGTAAAACCATTGGTTAGTTATTAAAACGTATTTATTAATTTTTTTTCAGTATTTTACATGTTTTATTTACAATAGAGTAACATGACTAAAAACCATTGCTACCGAACGTGACGTCGCAGCCATTGAACGTGATGGCGCAGCTATTGAACGTGATGACGCGTGTGGTGTGGTTGCATAAAATGCCTACTAATTCGGTCCAAATTTTAATTAATTCAAAAAATTTTTTGTGACCAAACGAAAGGATATTTTTGAAAACTTTATTCGGCAATATTGTTCTAAATTATGGCAGGAATCGATTGGTACATGTTTCAAGTCGCTAAGTGGTCTGGTTGCCGAGATATGGGCTAAAAACTGCTTTTTTTCGAGGTTTTTTGGCTTTTCCGGGAAATCCATGAAAGAAACCCGGAATTTTTATAGCCTATGTTCATCCTCGTAATTTGCTTAACATAATTGCTTTGGAACTAGTCCTCGATATTGCTTCATTGAGGAGGAGATACGACTTAAAGCTGCGGACACACATCCATCCATCCATTCATCCATCCATCCATTCCCAGAAAAGACGAGTTAATAAACGCAATTCTCCAGAATGGAAATTGCGCTAAAAAAACAAGCTGGAAAACTTTGCTGGTATTGTGAATTTGGAACCAGGTCCAAAACAGACTTTGATTACTTTGAATACCATACATATCAGAGTAATTATAAATATATCACATCATAAAAGACAATCTCTGAACGTAATACTTTTGTCCACAAAACAAAATGATATCAATAATTTGAAATATAGAGAACAGAGTGGTGGGGGAGGGTGGGAATAAGGCAGACAAGGTAGTAGTTAGTCTGGTAACAAAAGATACATGCATACTGAGGGAGAGCTATAAACTAGATGTTAATGGTAGGAAAATTAAAAAACTGAGAAATGCATACAACTTAACATACTATGAATTCTTATGTGAGTATTAAAAAATTCAGATTATGATACTTCATCTCCCATATGGATCATAGTCTGAATTTTTTAAATAATTAAGCAAGAGCTAGGTGTTAAAATCAAATTACTGGCAATAACTGAATAAGCTTATATCGTTAGAGCTTTTGTGGCACAGTCACAGAATTTTAAAAATAACAAGGAATATCACTAGAAGGGTAAAAAGAGCTACAAATGGTCATGTAGCCATGAAAAGTAATCTTACCATCTCAACCCTTTCAGTAATTTCAAAACTGGGATGAATTTCTGAGTCTGAAATCAGACAAAATATGAAATAGGCCCTTTACTGTATTTTCTGTCTCTTCAATGTAAAAAGTATAAATATTTAAACTACCAAATATCAATTAATAATAGTGAAACAAATTCTAATTTTAAAAGTTGATAGATAATTTTTCTTCTATATCCTGAACAGTTATAAACCACCTAACTTGTGCTTGGTTAATCCAATAATTCCTGAATTACATTAGTGACATTGACCACAAAACCAATTGTGCAAAGTATAAAATCTAATAGAATGTTATTGACATAGAACTACAACAATGTAGTCTCCATCAGCAGAAGATCTGTACTACATTTAATTTTGTAGCAGGCATTGTATAACTACTGTACTAAAACCATCACAATTGGCATTCTAGGGCTTAAGGGAAAATCAATATGTATCATTTTTCTAAAAGTAAGTGTCATTACATCTGACAAAATCTAAAAACTTTCTAATTTTCTTTAAATAGACACCATATAGCATTACACCACACAAAAAATGAAACTAACTAATATTGTGTAGAGATGTTAAGACACATACAGCTTGCGCGAGGCTTATACATCAATGGCGATCGTCTCTCCTCTGAATTCAACAGAGGTTGTCTCTCGCCTGTGTTGAGTGATGAATCTAATGAGTCTTTTCTCTAAATAAAAAAAAAATTAAAAATTTTCTCCAGTTTGATGATATAATAAAAAATTAGGCCTTACTATGTTGTAGTAACGCTTCTTGTGATCAAAGATACTTATTTTTCTTCATGAACTCATATAAAAAAATCTTTTATTGCCAGAAGAAAGTGTTTTTTTAACATAATAATAGAGCTAAAAATATTTAGTTATAATATACTTCATAATACTTATAATGGTTTGAAAACATTATGTAAAACAATCAGTTGGAAATAATTGTAATTTAAACTCACCAAACTTCCTTTTGTAACAAATTCCTGAAATCGCAGTTTAGCATTTGAAATAGCCATTGCCTCAATCATGAAGGTCAATGTCATGTAACTAGAAATAGATACAACAGTTATAATTAGTACCAACATAATCCATAAAGACGTGAGATTAGCTTTATGCCGGTTAATCTTAAAAACAATATAAATAAGAATTACCTCATAAACGCTAACACTACAACAGCTACCAAGCTCAGTATCCAGCCTGCCTCTTTGAATGCAGCTGGCATTGTCAAAGCACCAGTTCCCACAATCAAGTTAAAAATGTACACAAAGCCAACCTGTTTAAGTAAAAAGAGTTTTAAAAAGGTACCAGAAAACAGAAAAGCAAACAAGAAAGTATAACACTGTGATGCTTAAAATTTTAAGGCACTTCCATAAGCATTGTATATTATGAATACAAAATGAGTCTAGGTACTGGATTGATTTTTAGACCAGAAATATATGTCTCTGTGACCAAATCAATCCAAATTCAATTGATACAAATACAACTGAACTTTTCACTTACTTCACAAGTACAACTCATTCTTTACAAACAAAAAGAGTAGAGTAAGATGTTTCCAACAAATGAGTGTATTAATTTTTCAAAGTAAATTTTTACACATCTTTTGAAAGGAACATTTTAAAATCAGTATCAATAGTAGCAATAATATAGTAGGCATACAACAAAGTAACAACCCCAAATTATTTTAACAGTCAATAATTAATTAACTTACTAGTTTAGAGTACTGCCCCCCTGGATCAGATGTGTTAATATCTTTTTCATTTCGACCAGACATGTTGGAATTTGTATGCTTTATTTATGTATCACTTTATGAGATCACTTTCTAAAAAAAAATCATATATTAATTATAATTATACACAACATACTAATGCATACATAGATTGATGTACAATACTGATAAATAAACTACCCTAATATATATATATATATATATATATATATAAATATATATATATATATATATATATATATATATATATATATATATATATATATATATATATATATATATATATATATATATATATATATAAATAATTCTCTTCATGGGGACCATACAAGACACCACGCAGTTTAGCCACCACCCTCATCCCTACCTGTCAGGTGAGCTATGGTTCACCCCGAATGTTTACAATAGTAGAGCCGGTTCGAATAAGTGACGGCTATTAGGGGCAGATAATTTAGTTTTTAAACGATTTGAAACTATGGGGAGATAATGAGTTCTGCTTTATATTTTTATTGTCGTCTGTAAACTGCTGCTTTCACTGGGCGGGGTGGGGGAGGCAGTGGGGTGGGGGTAGTGTTGAATTCACAAATTATGAATTGTTGATAAGCAGAAAATAAAACAACTAGATCTAGATAGAGGCGTATGCTATGTAGCGTGTCAGCTCGTATATATATATAATATATATATTAACCTCTAACATTTCTGTTTCAAGGCAATTTAATTGGGGAGAGAACTTCATATTTTTTGTTCATTTTCCTAAATTTTTATACCTGCTGTGGGCTAAATCTAACTAAATGTAAGTTTAGGTTAGCAAATTGTAATTTTGTAAGCATTGGGACAAAAAAATGAATGGGTTGTGAAACAATACCAGCAAAATCTAACTAAACTAGATTACTAGATCAACACTGTACGTCTGTAGTCTGTAGTTTAGCTATAGCCTATAGTATATACTATATATAGGCTATGACTGACAGCAATCAGACTGTACCAAGTTCTGTTATTCAAATTTATTACAGAATTTCTAGTATTAGGATTCTTGTAATTACTAATTATACTAATCTAATACTATAATACTATAATACTAATCTATTTAAATCTATTACTAATCTAAATAAATCTATTGAATCACTTGTTAGATTATTCTTTCCTTCTTCTTTTGACAGGCCGCCACTCACTTGACTCCTGGTTATGGTGGTGAACCAGAATATTGTGAGAATAAGGGTATAAGACTGACTCAGACCACTAAAGTGACACACCAGTTTTTCACTTTCAACTTCAGTGCAGTCATGAGTCAAGGCAAGTCTGTGGTGACTGCTGTGAAGTGTGAAAATTAATTTTTTAATATCGAAAAAGAGTTAAAAAGCTACTTTTGTGGTCGATCACTTTCAATACCTAGATCTAACAGTTGAGGGGGGGGGAGGTTCACTTAATGAATGCAATACATAATACAATATGGAAAAAAAGCATCTTTTAACTTTTTAAACACATCTACAAAAATAATAATATTGAAAAATTATTACCAGTCTGAATGTTGTTAATGTTTATCTTTTCTTGACTCAAGTCACGTGACCAAATCATGTGACCAAATCTATTTTAACATTGGCTGCGTTACATTAGCCTAGCGCTTAGGCCAAGGCCTACGCGTTGCCTGGTTTTTAAAGACCATCAAACCCTGTTATTGTCTTTTCTTAATTCTTAATTATTGTAACATTGAAGTGAATCAAGCAAGAAGTCAAACAACAAATTCATCTTTGTTTTTTTTTTCCCTAAAGATCTAATAGTATTATTAGTATTGATGCCAACATGTTGAAATTAAAAAACGATTATGCGACATATGGTCCAGTGACTTCAGCCTTTTTTTTTTCCATTCCGAATACTCTTTTATAGCCTAGCCTTTGTTCATCCAAGAACACCTGCAAGGCAGCAGTTGTTTGATTATAACACCCAGAACTTCTCACTCATTGATGAGAATGATTGCTCTCCCCTGCTTACGTCAAACCCTTCATCTGCTTGGTCTATATTATGCATATATTATGATTATAGTCGAATCCGATTTAATTTTGTGTATACTTTATCTAAAATTCAGGAGAGCTCTGCCCCGCCCCCAGTATGCAATAGAAACATTTTTTTTTCTTTAAATGGTTCAACCAGTACCCCACCCCCGAGAAAAATTGTATGAAAGAAACCTTATTAGTTGTTCTCATGCATCCTTATTGTTACGTTGCACAGAACAATAATTAGTTACAGAACTACAAGGCCTACCACTATTTAGTCAATACTCTGCATCAGTGGCAGAGGCGCAGCGAGGGGGGGGGGGGCGGGGGACATATGTCCCCGGGCGCCGACCTTAGGGGGGGTGCAAATGAAAAGTTCGAGGGGGGGGGGGTGCAAATCGAAAAAAGTTTGTCCCCGGGAAGGGTCGCTATGCCTCTGATCATTGGCGTATTCGGATTGGGAGTCTGACAGCATAGAGAGGACCTCTGACTTTATTGTCTTTAAAGCTTGTTTTTTTTTTTAAAGTCGTACTTGGTCCAGGAGAATTTTATGTGTCTGACAAACGGGAGGCAGATTTATCTTCGCCAACCAGCCTCCACAATGAATATCAGTTAATTTAATGGCAGTGGGAATTCGTGTCTTATCTCATTTTCAAAACGACATTTAGACATGTATTGTGATGTATTGTGAGATCTTTATACCATGAAGTTACTGCTGTTGTGCTTGTCCTATTTTCGTTGATTAGTGCATGAAATTTAGCCTAATAACTTTAATTCACCAGGCAGTCACAACCCTATTTGCTAAGTAATTCTTTTAAGATAGATCAAAGCTGTCTCTTTTCTCAATTTGGCTAGCTTGCGAATCTGGTTTCCTTGTGAATTGTTAATGTTTTGTATACCAGTTACTCAAATACATACTGAACAGCAGTTGTATGTCTGCTTTGAATTTCTGGAATGTCAACAATTTATTTTATGATCATCTGTCTTATTTAGGAAACTGCAGTGGCTACATTTTTAAAAACCTATATCTCAACACTTCCTCAGCTTCAAAAAGTGATGTTTTTAAATTGGACCTCATGGCCTTTTTTAAATTGATTAACTAATGGAAGGTAATCCCCTATTTCTTACACCATGTTCAAAGACATAAAATGAATATAAATAACAATTGAATAAATCTTTGACTGATTATCAGTTGCTACATTTTTTTTCATTTTAAATGAATTTTATTTCTAATTCATTTGCATCAGCATTCTAGGAAATAATATTACAACTGACAATACACACCATTTTCAAGTAAAGTACAGCGGGGAATAGAAAAATTAAAGAAGATATGGCAGTGGTATACATGTTTATTCTGAACACTACTCTTTAATTCTTAGTGAGCCCTCCTCAATGATTGCACGAGACAGGTTCCTCGTTAATGCAACTCTCAAAAGCTTTAACTTATCCAGCTCAGCATCTGTCAAGTTCTGTAATTCATCATTGACATTGTATCAATATAAATTCGTGTGATCAACAGTTAAGTACAATAATTTATATTGTATCTCTGTTAGATAAAAATCGCATTTTACCTTATAATTAGAAGTGCCATCTCTCTGTAGCTCCTCAAGGCAGTGTAGCATCTCATAGGTTTGGCTGACATTCAAGACAACCTACAGAACAGATTATTTAATCAGTGTTTATTATCAGTTAATGTTAACTATAATAAAATAATGAGGAGTATTGAGGCAAGATTTAATTCTAAAAATATACCTGTGGTAAATTAAGTAGAGGTAATGCATCCATTAACATTGTCATCCAAAATCTAAAAAACAAGAACATTTTAAAATGTGTATGTGGGTACTATAAAGTATTTGTTCAACATTAAAGCTAAATATTTTATAGACAACTTTTAAAGATATTTTGTTACATTACTTATTTACTCAATACATACATTTTAGGAGCAAGTCTGGATGAAATAAGTGAAATTAATAATGAAGTTGCACCATTTATATCTCCATTATCATACAAGCTGTGAAATTCTCTATATTTGCCTAAAAAACAAAAGTTAAAAGACATGTTGCCCATATTAACATGGATTAAAAGACATAGATCATTAAAAAAAGGCTTCTCCCTTACATAAATATACATTTTAATTTTTTTTTTAAAGTGATACTTTTGTATACCAATATGTGTGTAACAGTTTAAGTTCAGAAAAAATATATGTATCCTGACACAGGATTTAATATTTCATGCAATTACAATACAGGTTATAATCTACATACCTAAGAAGGTTAAACTGTTGCTGATGAGCATTGATGGACCAAGGTGATCAATTAAATCCAGATGTGAAAACTTGCCTTGTTCACAATATTCAGTAAGAAACCTTAACATTTTAATAAAAAAAGCTGATTTGAATTGAACATTTAAAATAAAGTAAATAGAAATAGAAATTGACAAATGTGGGAAAACAATTAACAAAAAATGGAGCTTACCTATCTGTAACTTGCTTGATTATAGTAGCATCCTGTAGCAAATAATGAAATTGTGGAATTATTTGCATAGAGAAAAGAAGAGTGAATTGAGTAAGTGTTGAGTGAAAGGGTTTGAGGAGAAAATCTGTAAAACATCAAAGGAAATCTAAAAGTAGTTGCAGGACTAGTACCTTTGATTTTAAAAACCAGGATAGTGCAGAGCCAAGACGCTCTTGCTTTAGACATTTCATCCCCATAACCTTACAGATACTCTGACCTGCAATAACAGAGAAAATTGAGTTTAAATAAATTGTAAATGTTTTATGGCTTGATGCACAGATTTATTGAGGTAAAAAAAAAGACATGAAATAAAAAGGAAACTTCATTGTTTCCAAGCCTTTAAACTTGCTACTTTAGAAAGAAACAACATTTTAAAATTCTTGTGTAATGTAACATTGAAATCAGTTGTATCATCAACATTATGTTGGTACTACTCATTTTATGATCATTAAAGACAATTCTTCTCCCCCACTGTCCAATTAATGCATTTATAGCTGTACAAAATACCTTGTGCAATAAGTTTTCTTTCTTGACACAAATGAAGTACTTTATGAGCTTTACTTTCTGAATCTAGAGGTATATGCTCAACGTATGCCTCTAAATAAGCCCTGGAAGTAAAATATTGGTAAACATTAAATAAATATTGAAAAAAAAAAGCAATACTCAAATTCATTATTTTGAAGAATGGTGCACATAAAAAGGGTTTGATTAAAGATGTAGACAATGAAAATAGTTAACTTTTACAAATGCTTAACCATAACTAAAATAGTTTATTACTATGTTATTAATGCACATAACTAATAAAAGGATTGTATTTTTAGCATGCTAAACAAAAAAATAAATCTAGCATATTATTAAAAAATAAAATGTCCATACATGCCAAATGTAGGGCAGAAATCCAGATAATCAACTCCAACCTGCCATAGACTGTAATGAACGATTCACAAGTTAAATGGTGTTTTATATAGTGTTTTGTTATTAAAATAATAAGCTAAATCTAGATGCTACTTTCTTAAAAATCAGACAAAATTTCTTACCTCTTGTGTGCCATTAAAGCAGTGGCATATTCCAACAACAGGTACTCTCTTAAATTGGAACCAAACCTAGCCAGTCAAGAAATATAATAATTTGTTAAAGAGACCACCTGATCTAAACCTACTCTACATTATAACAATTCTCCTTTCACAGCCAATCAATACTTCTGACATAATCTGCAGAACGGTCACCAAGCATAACTTACGGCAATATCTGTGGATCCAAATGACCACAATGATGTAAAACATCAGCCAAGTGAGAAACAAACCACCAGCTGCGATGACTCAAGAATGTGCTGCAGATATATAATTGGTGTTAGGCAAAAATAAGCTATCGTAGACAAAATATATTCCTGGCAAAAACTACAACTAGGTTAATACAAGGGTGGAATATGTTCCACAAAATTTATAAGTGGTGACTAGGAGAATTTTATCCCATATGTAATATAAGTAGCTAAAAATAAGAGTTGAATAAAATAGGAAAAAAACAAAACCAAATAAAATGAAATCAAGTGCACTTTTTACAGGGAAAACAAAATTACCAGCTGTCTTTGATGACCTGATGTATATCAAACTCCATAGCTGCTTCAAGAATGTTATCTAGTTCCTGACCAGGCTGACCATTTATATAATATACATCTTGACATGCCTTCATAACAAAGATAAAAAAAAAAAAAGATATAACTGAGATAACATTTGCAGGGCTAAGTAAATATGAAAATGCATACAGATATTGGTTATACATATCAAGCCTTTAATCTTGAATGCACAAGTTCCAACTTTATCTTAGTTAAAAGTAAATTAACACAGTTTATTAACAATAAACAATCAACCTTGATATGAAAGCTCAGGTCTGGTAGACGGACTGTTGGATTTTGGTAGAGGAGCTTGGAGACCAACAAATGATACCATGTTTTACATTCGTCTTTTAAGTCTTGGAATACTCTATTATCTCCACACAGCACCTGATTAAAAAAAAAATCAACTATGTAAATAAACATTCAAGTAAAAAAAACTCAGCTCAGAAATTTTAAGCTTAATATAGAGCCTAGTTATCTACCAGCTGTAATGTACACTTATAAACCAACAATTACCTGAACAATAGTTTCAAGCTCTGGATAGGCAGCAAACTGTCCAGCCTGATATCTACGAATGCATTCATCCCTCCAGTGTCTCCATTTCATCTCATATTCTGCAGCAGACTGTGCATGTTGGTACTGAAATATTGCTTCTGATAAGAAAAATCCACTCTTCTTGTGAAACTTTAATAAAGGCTTATTAGTTGGTTTCAGTTAAGTCTGTGTTCTCAAAAAAATACAGTCTACTGATTCTAGTAATACACAAATAAAATCATATTTGCACAATTTAGTGGCTTATTAAGGTGGGTAAAAAGAACTTAGATAAATAGCATAGTAGAACAAGTAAGCTTACGTGGGAAAGGAAAGAAACAAGTAGCCTTATTTGGTAAAGGAAAAAACAAGTAGCCTTATGTGGGAAAGGAAAAAACTCACTGTCCAATGTGGCATTTTGCGTAAAAGCTCATCCACACCAACAAATGGTTCAGACTGACTGTACAGATGAAGTGCCAATAACTTGCGCACATTTTCTGTGTTACCTTGAAGCAAAAGGCTGTAAACCTAAAAACAAATTAAATGTCAGTGTTATAACTTTTTTGCCTCCAATATGAGAAATGTTTGTATTGTGTAATAAAGAGTATTGAGATATTTTGAAACACTTATTTTTATACAGCAAAAACAACAGCAATACAGCTATTAAAGGTCTTGAAACCTTTACAATGAAGACTACAGATATTAATATTTCTTCTAATAGTCATTATTAAATATCATAACCGTTCATAATAATAATGGACAGACCACCACTACACTAGTTTGTGTTGTACTATAATAGGATATGTTTATTATGTTGTTGAATATTCAGATAGAAAAAAATGTAGTACATACTGCTGACCAGTAGTGTGGATGGGCAGATGGGTTGTCTGACTGAGTCACCTCCATAGCAAGTTGTTTCCCTTCAGGAAAATGCCACTGTAACCAGTCTAGAAGTGGGGTCAAAATGAGACCACCTAAACAGATAAATAGCAATTATTATGAATTTGGGAATGTGCAAAAAAACATACAGACATTAAGCATGATCTACTGGAAATATTTTAAGTTTACCTTCACCTCAACAGTTAAGAAGTTAAATTGTTTAAATTTAAATCTTCAAAAGTTAGTAAAGGTAGTAAAGCTAGTATGAGTAGTAAAAAAACAATAACAGACCGTCTTAATAACATACCAGGAGCAACATCAATAAAAATAATTTCACATAAACTCCAAATTAGTTGAACTACTTCAAATTCTTGGATATGCTCTTCATACTTGAGCTTTTGCTGCTCATCTACACAAGAATCTGAAAACAAAAATGTCCAGTGTTTAAAAATTTAATGCCTTTCTGCACATTTTTTAAAGATAGAAAATGTTTATATTGCACTCCATAGTCTTTCTGTTACGTTCAAATGGTTTTTGTAATTAAAATTTTCAGAAAATTTTATACCTGAAATATTCATGAGTTCCATGCTGCAAGCTTTCAATACAGCCCTATACTGTTTACTTGCTTTGCGTAACCTGAGTAAGCAAACAAGTTGTAGTACAAGTACGGATATTTTTTTAAAATTGAAATTATTGTGTTGAATTATTTAATAAACAACATGTGAATGTTAAGGTGTCTAAATACTCACTGTGTGGATAGCATGGACTGCGATAAACTGTTAACTTGTCCCTGTAGCATCACAAAAATATCTGTAAATGGAGAATTAAATCAAATTTACAACAAAGCTTTTATCTAGTTGCTATTCAAGTAAGCAGTCTTATAATTAACGAGAAAAATGGCCCGTTGAGGAAGGATACACCGGGCGCTAGGTTGATAGTGCTGTCTCTTTTCTCTAAACAAAAACCACCCCCCCCACACACACCACCCCCACCCCCACCCACACCCCCACCCACACCACCCCCACCCCCACCCCCACCACCCCAACCCCCCACCCCCCCACACACCACCCCCCCACACACCACCCCCCCCACCCCCACCCCTACACACACCACCCCACACACACACCACCCCCCACCCCCCCCCCCCCCCCCCCCCAAAAAAAAACATGTCTACCGTCCCATTCAACGAAATATAATTATATACTTTTTCCAGTGTCCGCCCCCTCCCCGAAAATTCTACACCCGCCCCCGAAATTTTCAAGTACCCTCACCCCTCTCCGGGGAGGAAAAAGTCTAAATTAAAACCACCCCCCCACTCACCCCCACCCCCCCCCTCACACACACACACATTACCACCACCCCCCACCCACCCCCCCCCCCCCCCAAAAAAGCATGTCTACCGTCCCATTCAACAAAATATAATTATATACTTTTTCCAGTGTCCGCCCCCTCCCCGAAAATTCTACCCCCGCCCCCGAAAATTTCAAGTACCCCCACCCCTCTCCGGGGAGGAAAAAGTCTAAATTAAAACCACCCCCCCCCACTCACCCCCCATCCCCCCCCCACACCCCCCCCCCTCCCCCCACCCCCCACCCACAACCCCCCCCCCTAAAAAAACATGTCTACCGTCCCATTCAACGAAATATAATTATATACTTTTTCCAGTGTCCGCCCCTCCCCGAAAATTCTACCCCCGCCCCCGAAAATTTCAAGTACCCCCACCCCTCTCCGGGGAGGAAAAAGTCTAAATTAAAACCACCCCCCCCCCCACTCAACCCCCCCCCCCCACCCCCACCCCCCTCAGACGTTCTTACGCGGGGGTGGGGCTTCGCCCCTACCCGAAGAATTGTATGCAAGAAACTCTTCACGCAAACCATTTAGATTAGACAACATTTCCTTTTTTTCAATGTTTCAATGACGTCATTACATTACTGTGTGCACTCTCTGGTTTGAGATTATGTTCTACTCTACGCTAAATGTGTCGACGTCATATTTCGTTTTTCGAATTACTGTGCAGGTTTTTAAATTCCTTGTGTTTTCTCTAGAGCGTTCTTGTCAGACAGATAGATAGATAGATAGATAGATAGATAGATAGACAGACAGCGAAACTATTATTATAGATAATTATGCAAGCAGCTGATTCACTTACTGTGTGTTTCATTTACCAGCTTTCTAGCTACATCATGCATTTCAGCATTCCATTGTAGATCAAATATATGTTGCTCACCATCGCCTGTTTTGCTTGATTCTGATTTGAAAGTACAAAACATTTTTTATCATTAGTTATTTATTTTAATTTGGGATACTTTTACAAGCTTAAATTTGTACTGAACCAGCTACAATAAAACAATAGTTTTTTTTTATAAATATTCTTTACTGAGGCTGTGTGAGTACACCCTATTTTATTTACTGTAAATAACAGTAATAATGTACAAAAGGCTAACTATTTATATTGAAACAGCAGTCAACCAATCAAATATGTGTGGTGCAAGAGGTTAACTATATAATAACAAGTTCTACATACAAATTGTGCAGGGTCATTGCCCTTCGATTCTAAGCTTGATGCTTTTTCCAGTGTAAGAATATAACTGACCCAGGTTACAAATTAAACATCAGTTTATTTACTAGACTAACTTCAATTTGTGCAAAACTCTAACTCTATTCTACTGCTATTCTACACAACTTTCTAAAAACCTATTCCACTGCAACTTGATTGTATACTTTATCAATTAACTGTTTGACAATAACCTCCTTCTAGAATGATCTACCCCTGGACTGATTTATAATTTTCTCTCTCTAATTCAACACCAGTTACTAGTCATCTCACTTCTCCCATTGGTCTGGCTGTTTTAATGTTTTCTACCTTCCTTGACAAATAGCAGCTCAAGCTACCCACTTTTAATCATTGACTTACTCTTTTTGGATGGCAATTGAGTCTGGAACACATGAAGTTGCTTTCCCATACCCCATTCACAGCTTAGCATTGAATCTTTCATCTCTTTCACAGGCTAGAAAAAAAAGGGTTATTAACTATGAACCATGTAGAGAAAAAATTAAAAAGATTCTGCTTAAGAAAATAGCCATAAAAAATTATGGAAAGCCCCAATCAAAATTATTACCACTTAGTTTTAAACAAATGACACCGACTAGGCCTGCCATGTCAAGCAGTGAGTGTCGCTAATACAACTAGATTTGTTAAGTACTAACCATATCTAGACTATACTAACTTAACTAAAACTAAATCTAGAACATTATTAGGCCTACAATATTCAGAATATTCTAGTTAGTCTTACTTATAACTTTTTTTTTATATTTAAACTAGTTAGGCCCTAACTTGTTTTACTTCTTTTTAACTTACTTACCCAGAAAATAGAATGACTAGATCTAGATCTAATAAATTACTAATTAATTAGACTACCATTTTATTTTAGAGCCTACTAAGTACATTATGATTAGGCTTATTCACTTCAAAAAAATAAAATAGGTGTGTTGGGTTGTTAGTAGTATTGAAATCTCGACTACTTTTATACTTAGAAATAAGGGTTCGGCGTTTGGACGTATGTTAATGGTAGAACTAGGGTTGAGGTTCTCTTAGGTTAGGGTTGTCATTAGCAAGTAAGCAAGACATGTGTATTTATTTTAGTTAGGCCTAGCTAACTGAAACCTACTAACCCAACAGCCCCCTTTTTAGGAAGCTTCTATTATCTTTAAAAGTATAGGCCATAGGCCTATCACTTAGAATCTAGATCTATATATTATATTGGCCTATTCTATATTCATTTTGAATTTTGACAATGAACCCTGCTCTGTATGTCTTCATCTTATCTGTATTTCTGCCAAGTTACATGTTGTATGAAAACTCGAATAATCTATAGACTAAAACTAAAAGTAACACACCCCTTTTAAAAAAGTTAAAAAGCCTGCCCCCAAATTCAAATCGGCAATTACCAATAATTGCCAATTAGCATGTCCGGCTAGGGGGGGTCGGGGAGGGGGGTTAAGAAGTGTGATTCAATCTGTGATTTCTCCGTCGGATATAGACTAGATCTAGATCTACTTTCTAAATCAAACTTATACAGTTTAAAAGGTTATTCGGTTAGGAACAGAATGATGTATAACATGTTAATTTAAACACAGCAAAAGCATGCAAAAACTACTAGATTCTAGATCTATAGTGAATAGTTATAGTGTATGCAGGGCTAGGGAAAATTCGATTTTCTCGGCAGTGGCATCTTCTTTGCCCGGTCTTGGTTAGCGGCTTAATAATCTAAATTCTAAACCTTCAGCCCAGAGATCTAGATTCTAGATGGATTAGTCTCTACAATAGTAGAATAAATTAATAATGTTCTCCGCAATTTTTCTAATCAAAGCAGCTTATTAACTGTTCAATTTTGAAAACTTGCCAAAATAAATTGTTCAACTTCGCGCTCTATCCCTGTAGTCGCCATTTTCACTGATTTGTGAATGTTTTTAAACTTCACGAGTGTAGGCCTACACTCATTATTCTATCTTTACACACAGGCTACAGGAAGATCTAAATCTAGGATTAGTTGTCCCCCCCCCCCCCCCTCCATTTCTAGATCTAGATTAGATCTAATCTAGTTCCGTCTCACTCTGTTTTAATTTTTTTTTTAATTTAAAGTTGTTTTTTTTTAAATTTACAAAATTATTGGTGAGCCTGTAAAAAAACAACCCCGTTGTAGCACTAATAAAATATTATCTACTACCTACTTAACCTAACTATATGACAGACTTGTGGCACAAGCAACAATACAATAACTTACTACAATATCTATCTTAGATCAAACCATCAGTATTCTCTTCCAAGTCAGAAAAGTACGTTTTACAAACTGTTCAACATTACAATGTAACCAAAAAACTCAGCATGGTATGATGATACTGACAACACATTCCGATTCAGTATAGCTTAATGAACTTAATGCATATTTATTTTAGGCCTATTATTATTATATAAACAGTGCTCTATTGAAATAAGTCACCACTCTGAACATCAAAAGGGGGGGGGGGGGAGGATCAGGGGCGGTTGTTTAGGGGTTTTATATCCAGGTTTTTACTTTGGCCTAAATACTTGGCACCCCTTTTTAAATTGCCACTATCAAGATCACTGTTCGATTTATGGCAAGGATTAGAAATACCTTTCCCTTTGGAAGTGAGATTGAGACTGTTAGTCTGTTGCTCCACAGAAGACTATTATACCAGTTAGTTTTTTAAAATATTGCCTAGCTAGCATTTAATTAGGAACATGATTCTTCAACACAATTAAAATGTTTACATGCACAACTTACTCTTCAACATCTTAAGTTTATTCTAATAGTACTCCACCAAGTGTAGTAGGCTAAACTTTTTTAAAAAGTAATGTTGTAGATAGAACAATACTGTTTTTTCCACTATTGGAGAATGTGTGCTCAATCCGACCTTGATTTTAAAGACAACATAAAATGTGTGTATATTCTTGATACGGCAACAATATCTGTTCAACTTTAGTAAATAAAAACCACAATCAAAACACATTCTATAAACACAGCAGTTACAAAAATACTCAATGTAATTTGAAAAGCTGAGAGATCAAGAAGGATTGTCAAAGCCAACATAAAAATAAGACAACAAAATACTTCAGTTTATGGAAGGAATTCAAAACATTTTTGATTATCATCAATTGAAATTGTAATACAACTTCTATTATTATTGGCAGTGTAAGAATACAATTCTGATGAAAAACAAAAAATATAACTTTATAAATAACTTCAGCATCAAGATTCACACAATAATGTAGACGTATGCACTTAATATCACATTGCCTAGCAATTTTCACAAACATATAAATACAATAAAAGTTATGCCTTATTTTCACCAAAATTTAGGTGCCAGCATTTAGAAACACATTTCAGATTTTTAACAGGCACACCATTTTAACATAGATTCAATTAATGCTGTTCTGGCTATCTTTCCCACCTTAATTTGAACAAAAGTAGTGATTTGTATTCAAATTAGCTACAAGATCTGCCTTAAAAATACATATGTAGGCACTTATTACAACGAGCATTGGTACACTCATTATACCAACGATTAGAGAATTCTGGAGTATGAGAAGCCAAGCCAATTACAGATTACATAACACAGACAATAAAAAAAACAATCAATTCATATTAATTAAGAGCACATGATTTGAAAAAAAAACATAACTATTGATATATTTTCAGTCTGAATTATTGTCAAAGTACTTTTGAATTATGTTCTGCAGAACTAAAATTCCACACAAGATTAATAATATACATACCAGATGATTTAAGTATTATTTTGAATTTTTGACAAAAATGCATAAAAAGTTTCTTTGGTCAATGGCATAGGTAAGATTTAGGTTATGGGGTTTAAAATCTGCAAAGAAAACACCCATGGGAGCTATTCACCAGTTGTTTTTTTTTAAAACTCCTGAACAATTATTACAATGTAAAATTGTGGATTTATGGTATGCAAAATGTTGAAACTGAGAGCATTGAAAGCAACACATGTGACAACAACTATAAGTTAATGTAAGAGACCAATTATTTAGGGGTCCATGCCTATGCCAGTGATTATGGTTCATGATAAAATGTACAAAATCTGTTCATTTTTAATCAATACAAGTGGATGAGTGAGATATGGAATTTCCCTTAACATTGATTTTGTAACCATAATGAAGTATTGAAATAATACTGTTACAACCCTGGTTAAAGTTCAGTTTTTTCAACTGTTGGCATCTTCCGTTCACCAGTTTCTGGTATATGCTGTTCATTGGTTTCTGATATTTGCTGTTCATTGGTTTCTGACATTTGCTGTTCTCCAGTTTCTGAAACCTGATGTTCACCAGAGTCTGCCATAGGCTGTTCACCAACATCTCCCTTTTGCTTATTCTTATCTGTAATAATAACACTTTGTAAGATACATTTCTACAATAGAAAATTATCTGTATGTTGCTCACTATTTATGGCTCTATTTAGAAAAGAATTTACAATATGAAAATAAATTCCAGTCTAAAGTAAGATAAGTTTGTAAGATGGTGTTACCTTTAGGTTTAGTCTTTTTTTTAACTTCTCCTTTCCACTCCTCTTTTAAGCATTCTGTAATAGTTCCAGAAATTTACATAATAAAATTTGTAGTGGAAGATTTAATATTTAAAAAAAATATATTGATTCTGAAATGTAACACTTGTAAGAGAAGCGAACAACAAACTTTTAAAGAGTATGACACATTACAAAATCATTACACCACTGAGAATTTGTGCTATAAGTTTCATTAAAGTTGCTCTTGTTTATGTTTCTTGTTATTATTTATCTTCATTGAGTAAGAAAGCTGTAACAATTAATAATCTACAAAACCTAATTCTGTTTAGTTTTTACACCTTTCACGTTACTCTATCAAAAAAAAAAAAAAAGATTTATTTTTAAGATATATTATTTTACTTACCTAGATCATCCTTTTTAAGAACTTTATCCTTACAAAGAAATTTTGTAAGATCTTTATCTTGATGGTTCCAATACCAGTCTTCTATTGTCTCTTCAAAATCTTCAACTATTTGAAAGCACTGGAAAAAAATTGTGTATTCTTTTATTAATATAATTATAAAAGGCATATTGGTATTTCTTAAGCTCAATCCTCATTTCAGTGGTTTCTTAACTCTTTTCTGTCACAGAACTAATTACAGTGCACTAGCTACATATGGCAACACAGACAAATAGTTGTAAGACACAATAGGACAAAAAAAGCTAACCACATGAAAGGTGGCTGGGTTGCAACTCACCTTTCTCTGCATCTCTGTCACCCCAGCAGATGGTGTATCCCACAGCTCATATGGTATTCCCAGTTCAACTTTAACACCTTTATCCCTGACACAAAAGCACCAATAGAAAATTAATAAACTTATAACTATCTAAACACATAATTGTACTTAAAATAAACTTTTCAAAAGGACACAAAGATATTTATCTGTCTTACTTCAAGTTGTGCAGAGCTGTCATGGTCTGACTTCTGCCTTTAGCAAATCGAAGGCTGCCTTTTCTCTCTGCATGCACATTATATTCTAATATTTTTTCACAAACATGAGGGTCATTAACAGCTTCAATCAGACGTAGTTCACTGTAACAAAATTATTATGTTGTGTAAGTTTTTACATACATTAAAATAAACCCAATAAGAAATTTGGATATTTAGAATCCACCCTTTGAATGCTTGGCAAAATGAGCCCCAGGCATGGCCTCAACCTACTCATGGGCTTACTGCTTTGCTGTAAATATGAATTATTTTACACAAACTTACGATTTTCTGTACTGTTTCTTTTTCTTTTTTACATCTAGGCCATAACCTGTTTCAATTACTTCGTTGGTCTTTCCAGTCTCATCTAATCTACCTCTTAACTCAGTTGCCAAGTACTTGCAAACTGCAATAAAAATGTTAAAGTACTAAGTAAAAGTAGTTTAAAGTAGCATAATAAATTAATATAATTTATTTTTGTAAAAATACTACTAAAAAAAGTAATAAATAGGCCTAGAAACTAGTATTACAATATTACTATTTTTAACTTAATTTATAATTTTATTTTAACTCAAAAGCAGTCAGACCTGCTTATTTTATTACTTTTAATTAATTAGTTTCAGATATTGTCGAGGTTTATTCCACCGGAATATCTTAGATTCTGCTTTTCTTGTAAAATCAGATTTAAAATGTAGATCTAGATCTAGATTCTAACCTTCACATAATGACGGATTTCTGTGGGGGTCTTCGTGAGATTCTGGCTCATTTGCTTCTGTTCCATGGCAACACCGAGGCGTCCCGTAAAGAAACAGTAAAATAATAGGCAAAGCTACAATCGCATTGTATTCCTTGAACATGTTGGCAGCACTGGGAGCAATAAGAGGCAATTAATTAGATATTACAACTAAACAAACAAGAATGTAATTTAAAATAACAAACTTCACTTGGCCTACCAAGTTAGTGCTGACAGTTTTCAGCCTACCTGCAGTCGGAAGAAAAATGAAATGGGAAGTAGATTTGCTAAAACTGAAAGCTAGTTACGGGATTTTCCAATGTAGGCTAACTCTTCCCTTAGCTGTACATTTCTGATTGGCTAAGAAGAAGACGATATAAATATCTACATTAGGCCTGGCCTAGGCCAAGGCTAATGTCGAATTATTTGTAAGATTTATTTTGTCTTTGCCGCTTTTAAGATCTAATATCCTTTTTAAATATTCTTAGTAGAGTCTTTATGTTACATCTAGAGTCTACAGACTATAAATGTAGGCCAAATCAGTTTAATAAACGAATAGCTTTTTCATTTTAGGGGTCATCCATAAATGACGTCACGCTTTTTTGGACGATTTTTACCTCCCCCCCTCCCCTCCGTCACACGTCGTCACAAAAAGCCAGACCCCCCCTAAAATGACGTCACACCTCAACCTACAACCCCCCCCCCCCCTCAAAATTGCAGTTGAATTTTTTTTAAACATCGATATTTTTCCAAAATCTTGTCTAAACTATTAGAGAGTACAATTTATTAAAACAGTTATCTAAAACTCGAAATAACGTCTAAAATTCGTTTTCTAACATTGCTTTTTTATAATGCAAAAATGTGACGTCGCAACATCTGAACCCTCCCCCTTCCCCCTCATCAAACATCGTCACAAAATAACGGACCCCCCTCCCCCTACGAGTGTGACGTCATTTATGGATACCCCCCTTATTATGCCGCTGATATATTTTTTTCTAACATGCTTGGCGCCCCCTGTATAAGCTAATATACTATATTATACTATATAGGCCTACATTTATAGTTTAAAGATTAAAGACATTTATGCATCAGCCGTCCTACTGAAAACTAGAGAAACCAGAGTTTCTTCCAGGCATCTCTTGGGGGTGGGGCGGAGCCCCCCTCCCCGAAGAAAGTCTACCGCCCCCCCCCCGAACAACGAGATGGATTTTATATAGTAAACATACACTTTTACTAGTGTCCGCCCCCCCCCCCCCCCGAAAAATGTTGACCGCCCCCCCCCCCACGAAAATTTCAAGTGCCCCCCCCCCCCCCGCCCAGAGAAAAAAGTCTGGAAGAAACACTGAGAGAAACGATATAGCTTTTTTACCACCGGTTATGCATTTGAGATCTAAAAATGGCACGTAGAGAGCAATATAGATCTATACTAGCCGTCCCGGCCAGGCCCTGCACTGGCCTCTGTGAAAAACCTATCTGTAAATGACCATGGCATGTGTGTTTCGTAATCAGCATATACCCGGCATTGCCCACCCTAACCACAATCAACCAAAACCACAACACACAAAAAAAAAGAACCGCAAACATAACACAAACAAACACAACACAAACACAACATTAACACAACAGAACCACAACACAACCCAACACAAGCACAACACAAACACAACACAGACACAACACAACCACAACACAACCACAACACAACCACAACACAACACAAACACAACACAAACACAACAAAACACAACACAAACACAACACAACACAAACACAACACAAACACAACACAAACACAACACAAACACAACACAAACACAACACAAACACAACATATACCGGGAAGGCTAGTATTATATAAAATTGTATATCTTCTTGTAGTTTGGTGCAGGTGTCTATAAAAGAGCTTTCTGAAACATATCTGTAAAGGAACATGACATGTGTGTTTATTAGTCAGCATATACCCGGCATTGCCCACCCTAACCACAATGGTAATTTTTAATCCAATATTCAGCCATTCCGGCAATACCTTTCATAAACATTCACTTAAAATGTATTAAAATCTGTAGTTATTATTATTAGCCGTCATACTAAGAGTGAGATTTTAACTATTAATACTGTTTAAATGCCGAACACACCACAGATCATGAAGTAGATGTTGAACTAAAAGCTGTTCGTGTAGGCCTATATATGTGTGTGCGGCGTGCATGCGTGTGTGTGTGTGTGTGTGTTGGTTTAGCTGTAGGCAGCTGTGAGCTGACTATATAGATATTGAAGGTTAGGCTTATAGGCCTATATCATATAATCCCCATTTGGTAATAGAGCTAAAGTAAAAGACATAAACAATTGATAACATGACAAAAGCTGAAACCCACGTTGACATCCCAACCAGAGCTGCATCGATTGTGTGACGGTGCTGTACGTCAGCAACAACAGAGCTGGATCAAGTTTCCAGCGGCGGCTTATGAGTGAGGCAGATATATAATATTACTTTCCTTAAGGATAGTAAGTTTTACAAGCACATGGCCCAATGAAGCCGCCTATTAATTTAACAAAAGAACTGGCCCGGGCCTTAGGGTGCACAAACATCAAGAGGTTAGGAAAGCGGTTAATTATTTTGTTACAAGCTGACCCGCGACGTAGTATACGCCGCCATCTATTTGTTTTTATAGGCTAATTTGTGAATTCAACACTATTTCATTTTCAAGGCAATGTTTTTGAAGATCTACATTGAACATAGTAATCACACATCGATGTAACATGATAATGGACTGTATAAGATGTTTACCAGGCGCCCTACACAAGATCACCCCGCTCCGGTCTATGACCCGTTTAAACTAGATTTTTCGAGTCAACATACTCGGGCAGATGAGGCTCGTTAGCTGGGGACAGCCACTCTTCTAGGAGAGACAACTCCAAAATCAAACAACTGCTGCCTTGTAGTTTGTTCTTGGTTGGACAAAGGCTATGGAAGCAAATCCAAAAAGAAAAGCAGGCTGAAATCGGAGTCAATGGCCTCAATGGCGCATAACCAGTTGACACGTACGTATCCTTAATTGTGATGGAGGCGTGGTGGAGTCGGCAAAAGCTCATGGTTGATAAATTCGAAAAAGTCTCGAGTTCAAACTCTCTGGCAGATAGGGCTCGATCCCTCCCAACACTAAAAATTAAAAACGAAGAAGAAGAAGAGTCAACATATAGACTATGGGGCAACATGTAGGATAAGGGGCAACATGTAGACTATGGGGCAACATGTAGGTTATGGGGCAAGATGTAGACTATGGGGAAACATGTAGACTATGGGGCAACATGTAGACTATGGGGAAACATGTAGGTTATGGGGCAACATGTAAGTTATGGGGAAACATATAGGTTATGTGGCAACATTATGTAGGTTATGGGGTAACATGTAGACTATGGGGTAACATGTAGACTATGGGGCAACATGTAGACTATGGGGAAACATGTAGGTTATGGGGCAACATGTAAGTTATGGGGAAACATATAGGTTATGTGGCAACATTATGTAGGTTATGGGGTAACATGTAGGCTAAGGGGCAACATGTAGACTATGGGGCAACATGTAGGTTATGGGGCAAGATGTAGACTATGGGGAAACATGTAGACTATGGGGCAACATGTAGACTATGGGGAAACATGTAGACTAAGGGGCAACATGTAGGCTATGGGGCAACATGTAGGTTATGGGGTAACGTAGGCCAAGGGGTAACATATGTAGACTATGGGGCAACACATGTAGGTTATGGGGCAACATGTAGGCTTAGGGGCAACATGTTGGTTATAGGGCAACATGTAGGCCAAGGGGCAACATGTAGGTTATAGGGCAACATGTAGGTTATGGGGCAACATGTAGGCCAAGGGGCAACATGTAGGTTATGGGGCAACATGTAGGTTATAGGGCAACATGTAGGTTATGGGGTAACATGTAGGTTATGGGGCAACATGTAGGTTATGGGGCAACATGTAGGTTATGGGGCAACATGTAGGTTATGGGGCAACATGTAGGTTATGGGGCAACATGTAGGTTATGGGGCAACATGTAGGTTATGGGGCAACATGTAGGTTATGGGGTAACATGTAGGTTATAGGGCAACATGTAGGTTATGGGGTAACATGTAGGTTATGGGGCAACATGTAGGTTATGGGGCAACATGTAGGTTATGGGGCAACATGTAGACTATGGGGTAACATGTAGGTTATAGGGCAACATGTAGGCCATGGGACAACTAGCAAGCTGTATATTGAAAGAACATTGCTGTCCTACATATGCTTGGTGTTATATCAAGGGTATTTTATACAGTAATGCTTCAGTGTTCTAAATAATATACATGCAGCATTTATAGTTGTTTGTCTGGTTGATTCGAGTTCTACTTTTAATTGGCAGACAAATCACAAATCAGTGTTTTCTCCCCCCCCCCCCTCCTCACCCCATCACATACTTTTAGACAAACTACTGTAATAGAGACTTTACTTTTAAAATTTTCTGCTTTAAAAGGGAATACAGTTTATTTGTCCCGACTTGTGTTAAAATGATGTTATAAGAACAAAAAAATAAACAACTATTCCACCTTGATACATTTAAGCTTAGTTGGCCAAGACGGAGCTTAACTTCTGTACAGCGCTTTCTGAACAGGCAAAATAATGCGACAAAAGGAAATTGAATATTATGTTGGGCTGCTAAGCTATCACTCTCAATTAGAGTATTGATCAGCAGGCTAGCTGCAAAGAGCCGCTGTGCTTATAATTACCGCTTAGTTTTATAGATGTCACGATGTAAGGTCTAATGTAATGTTTTTTAATGAAGAAAAGACGGTTGGGTTCTATGTTCTTAATTATTCCAACCCCAACCGGCCCTACCCAAATCGACGTGAATTTTTCTCTGTATCTGCAGAAATGTGTCTTTTAAATATGAAACAACGCTATAGTTTTTATTTTGATGTTAACGGGCCGTCTATAAATGACGTTCTAACTCATGGGTGGGTACTTTTGTGACGAATTGCGACGAAGGCGGGTGTAATACAGAGGCGTAGCGACCCTTCCCGGCGCCCGGGGACAAACTTTTCGATTTGCACCCCCCCACCCTCGAGATTTCGATTTGCACCCCCCCCCTCAAACTTTCGATGTGCACCCCCTCAACCTTTCAATTTATTTTTCCAACCCATTTTGGCAGGTCACTTGCATGCCAGCAGATATAGGAATCTTTGAAGGTCGTTTATTTCTGATTTGAGTATGTATGATGCTTTGATAATGAATTATACAATGTTTCTTCCAGACTTTTTTCTCTGGGGGGGGGGGTACTTGATATTTTCGGTGGGGGGTCAACATTTTTCGGGGGGTGGGCGGACACTAGTAAAAGTGTATGTTTACTATATAAAATCCATCTCGTTCGGGTGGGGGGGGGGGGGGGCGTAGACTTTCTTCGGGGGGCACCCCCCCCCCCCCCCCGAAGAGATGCCTGGAAAAAACTCTGCAATGATATGCGTTTTTTTTCGCTCCTTCTGTTTTTTTTAAAGCGTTGGGTTTTCAGGAATTTCAAACAATCTTTGCGACTTCTCTGTTTTAGCGACACCGGTACATAGATGGATATTTTATACTTCCTTGTTCCGGTTCAACCCACCTAACAGTACAGTACCTAGCTTAGCTCATCTGAAATTCGTGTAGACTGACCAGAGTCCTCGAATTTCGGTAAGTCACTATGTTAGAATGCAATGTTGCGAAAGAAAATGTTTGATGTCAGGCCGACAAGCAGATAAAGCTGATAGGCTGAATGAAATTATACTTAAGTAATATGTTAAAAATAAAATAATGGTTGACTGAATTTCACCAAGTGACCAAAAGCCAAAAGTAACTAAAAAGAAGTCAAGAGTCAACTGACCCAACTGTTTCTCAGTTTGGCGATTGCCGATGTACTGTACAAAATAGAAGTGTAGTAGGCATTGTGACTGGTGAATGGGAAGCAAATCTGATGAGAGGGATTTGCCTTAAATTAAATTTAAGTAATTTTTATAAATTATAAGGCCTTTTTAAGTTTTTATAGGGCCCTAGGGCTAGTCATAATTATTAATTATTAGGCCTAATATTAAATAATTATGAGGCCTAAATATAATTAATAATTAATAGGCCCCATCCCAAATAATTGATAGCTATTATTAATTTATAGGCTAACTATTCATTGAAATTAGACTAGGCCTATTCATTAGAGGCCTATTATCAACTTTGTTTTGATTATTGCAAGTCCACATGAGGATATTTGGGGGTCATCCATTTATGACGTCCACAATTTTTGTATTTTGCCCCCCCCCCCCCCCCCCCCCCGGTCCGTCCGTCCCCAAAAATCCACTTTTTTTCCTTATTAAAGTCCATATGCGTCCACAAAAGTCAGTTTTTTCGGACCCCTTACACTAGTATTTAAGTATTTATATCTATCAATCTGCCTAACCATCTAATAATTATCTTTATTCTCATCGTATGAATTGTGTGCTTAATTTAAAACTTGTTACACTAATTAATTATAATTAATGTACATTTAAAGGCTGAGTTGAAAAATGTCTGAAGTCCATGATTTTGGTGTAGCTCCTGTCACTTGCCATTCTTTTGACAAGGATAGAAATGGTAACTATTTAGGCCATATAATTTTATTTTTAATAATTCTTAGTGTGAATCATTTTAGTATCATTTGTCAATTTTCACCATTAATTTTCTTTCATCAGACAATCTAACTCTACTTGTTTTTTATCCAGGTATTGCTCTATCTCTGAATGATTCTAATGTAAAGATTTACAAAAAAGCTGGTGGCAAGTGGCAAGAGACTGATACTTTGAGTGAGCATGGCCAAAGGGTGACCAGTATTGATTGGGCCCCCATCAGCAATAGAATAGTCACTTGCTCTGCTGTAAGTTTGTATTCCTCATGTTACCATCACTCCTATTGTATGATATTTTTTTCCGGAGATAAGGGCCTACTAGTTTAAAATTGTTTGTTTGTGTCTATCGTAGTTTACTTTCTCTGTGTTCAACTTCTCTTACATGTTTAACTTTTTCAGGATCGCAATGCTTTTGTTTGGATGCTTGAAGGTGGAAAATGGAAACAAGTGCTTGTGATTCCACGTATCAATAGGGCAGCCACTTTTGTTAGATGGTCACCTAAAGGTGATTAATATTATCAGAAACAGCTTGAATGATTAATAATTTTTAGATAACAGGAATAAAATCTTTAAATATGCGAGAATAATATGAATATTACTGAATAAAATTACACATTTTGCTGAGAGCAATAAATAATGTTACTGTTACATTAGTGTCTTAACATACACTTTTTTTCACCTGCCAGAAAACAAGTTTGCTGTTGGTAGTGGATCCCGCTTGATTGCTATCTGCTACTATGATGTAGAGAACAATTGGTGGGTCAGCAGACACATCAAAAAGCCTATTCGGTCCACTGTCACCTGGTAATATATCACTGTTGTCTCTTTTCCAAGATACAATTAATTTTTTGTTCCAATTAACATGTTTAATGCTGTATCCACTCTTCTCATAAAAACTATCGTATTATTAATGTCTGTAACAGCTTGGACTGGCATCCAAACAATGTGCTCCTGGCAGCAGGTTCTACAGACTTCAAGTGCAGGTAAGTTCATGGCAAAGTGAAAAAGAAACTAATCCAATAGCATCTGTTACTTTTAAATTACCTGTATGTGCCAGTCTGTGCTGCTAAACAATTTTTTATATGGACAAACTGCTAGGGGTACTTCTAAATATGGACATTAATATTTTCAGAGTTTTTTCTGCCTATCAAAAGGAAGTTGATGAAAAGCCTGGTCCATGTTCCTGGGGAACAAAAATGCCATTTGGTGCTCTAATGGCTGAGTTCAGCACTGGATTAGGTTTGTGCTTAACGTTTGTACTTTTGTTATTATCTACTTCCATTAGATATGTCAAATGGCCGACAAAAACATCATTTATGATCACGTTGCCCAAATATAATAGACGAGCCGACCTGCTGCGTATCATACGCAGCTATTTAGTTGTTTTTTTTCTACTTTTCAGTAATTTATAATTTGTGAATTCGACAGTACCAATGCTGGCATTGAAAATATTTGCTTTTGTTATTATCTACTTCCATTAGATATGTCAAATGGCCGACAAAAACATCATTTATGATCACGTTGCCCAAATATAATAGACGAGCCGACCTGCTGCGTATCATACGCAGCTATTTAGTTGTTTTTTTTCTACTTTTCAGTAATTTATAATTTGTGAATTCGACAGTACCAATGCTGGCATTGAAAATATTTGCTTTTGTTATTATCTACTTCCATTAGATATGTCAAATGGCCGACAAAAACATCATTTATGATCACGTTGCCCAAATATAATAGACGAGCCGACCTGCTGCGTATCATACGCAGCTATTTAGTTGTTTTTTTTCTACTTTTCAGTAATTTATAATTTGTGAATTCGACAGTACCAATGCTGGCATTGAAAATATTTGCTTAAAAACACTAACCCCCCCCCCCCCCCCCCACGTGAAAGCAGCCTCTTCTTAGTTACCTCCTCTAAGTTTAAAATCGTTTCAAACTAAATTATCTGCCCCTAATAGCCGTCACCAAACCCGTCTCTATGATTGTAAAATGTAAACAGAGTGAACACCGCTCACCAGATCATGTGGGGGTGGGGTGGGGGTGGTAGTGATAGTGATAGAGAGGAAGAGAGGGGACTGCAAAGGCGCACTTGCAGCTTGTTTTCTAACTGATCCCAGAAGAGAATTATATATATAGATTTTCATTTAATATGTTCTATAATAAAAAGGGCTCATACCATTCATTCATAATCCTGCCATGTTTCATTTTTGCAGTGTCATGTACTTAATAATCTAAAGCAAAGTGCCATATCTGTTCCTGGTTTTTGCTTAATGGTTCAGTGTGGCTGTAATATGTTTCAGGTGGCTGGGTGCATTGTGTGTCCTTCTCCCCTAGTGGTGACAAAGTTGCTTGGGTAGGCCATGATTCAACTGTGTCTGTGGTTGACGCCACAAAAGGCAATGAGTAAGTTTCCCCTTTATAAATGGTCAATACAGTGGTGTAATACATTATCTGTTTTACTATCAAATGGTGAATATTAAAATTTCTTTTAAAATAAAGTAATTTGTGTAGTAAACAGGAAGAGGTGTACTATAATTTTCACAGCTGATAAAATTGATCAAGCAATGAAAATTATTTATCCACGGTTTCTTTATTTCTTTTCTTTGAAGGCTAACCATCATCAAAGAGAGCTTCCTCCCTTTTATGGGAATCACTTGGATTACAGAAAATAGTCTGGTTGCTGCTGTAAGTTGTAAACTTTACTCATCATTTGAACTGGCAAATTTTAGAAAAGTCTTTTATCAATGTTTTAAATTGATTAATTCTCTTTTGATGTTTATTTCAGGGCTATGACTGCAACCCGATGCTATTTTCTTTCACTAGTGGCAAAATTACCCTTGTCGGACAGCTTGACCAGTCTCAGAAAAAGGAATCTGGTCAGTTGAGGTAAGCACATAAATGCCAATGTAATATCATACTGAGGTAATTAGTGATAGGTGACTCATGTTATAAACAAAAGCAGAATTCTGAACATTCTCAGCTGACTAGGGTAGCTGGTACTATTTGATCTAAGATATCACTTGACTACTTGACTGTCATACTTAATGTCTGACCTAGTTTGTTGGTAGCTGTAGTTGCATTTTATTTACAGCCATCGGCATATTTAACATCCACACACCATCTGGATAAATTAGTAAACAATAACATTGTATAGGTCAAGAACTGACTCAGGTAATAAACAAAATCTCAAGTGATTTCATAACTTACCCCCAAACACTAATGGCATTGTGAAGCAGGATCATACTTGTTTAAAATGTGAAAAGTTTTGAATAGCTTGTTGAATGGTTGCTATAGGTCCCCACCACAGTCTCCCGAGGTGCTGGACCCTGAAGAGGAAGACCAGGAGTTTACCATCAGGTTGGCCAGCTTGTGCTGCATCATGGCCTTGCCTGTCAAAATTCAGTTACTAAAAAAAACCACCAGATTAGAACATGTTTGACTGCAACCGTCAATACTTTGAATGAAATCCCTGTTAATGTTGTTTATGCATTAAGCAAATTTGAAAGATTTTAATGTCTTAATTAGTACGGGCTAAAATGTATATGTCATAATCTAGAATAGCAACTGTTATGCTGTCACATAATGATAGTTGTCTGTCTCACTGCAGTTTGGTTTTGGTTTGATGGTGATGTCTGTTTTAATAAGGTTATGACTTAATAATGCTGTGATGTCTAATCTAATCAACAAAATAACCCTCGAATCTAGATGCTTCGTGTTTGTCTAATTTTGATTGATGAGTGAACTAACCATAATTAAACACTTTAACATTAATTAATTACCCTAGTACTTGTTGCATGAATGTACTTATTCCAACAAGTTGCTTGCGTTTTTCTGTCTTTTTATTTTTGTGTTTCTCCATTGTTAGTATGTTACTGTATTATAGAGGGATATAAATTGTTACTGTGGGGCCCACATTTCTTGAGTGTATAATATAATACTTTACATTATCTATACGGTAAATTGCATATTTTTAAAATAAAAAGTATATTCATAATATAACTTTTTTGAAATCTTTATAGCATAGAAAATGAATTTCATTGAAGAGGTCTTGCAATTTATACACATACTGAGAGTTTCTTAAGTGGGAAGCTCACTAATTTCGGGGCTTAAATTTCTTTCAGCGCCATGAAACGCTTCCAAGACATAGATAAGAAGGCCACAGCCACCGACACTTCTACTGACTTAAGAACTCAGCATCAGAACACAATAACGTAAGCATTAATCTGGTGTATTCCTATAATGAAGCTCAGTACTCAATATCAGATGTTATTTTGATAGATGATTGTTGTTTCAGTCAAATCTCCATTCACACTGGAACTAAAGCTAATGCCAGCAAGATAGCCACTTCCGGGGTGGATGGAAATCTTATCATTTGGGATTTGAAGGTAAACTTTGTGATGTGTCTTCGTTAAAATATGAAGGCGTTGTATTGTTTTTATTTATAAGTTTCTTGGTCGAATATTTTTCTATGGGCATATCAGACCCTATCTCCTATTTGTAAAATTTGCAGGCCTAAAATAGAATTAAAAAACCTCTTTATTTTACTTTTTAGAATCTACTCACAGCTGTATCATTTTGAAACATTCAGATTTTCTTTTTAAAAAATTGACATATTTGCATTTTGATTTTATCTTTCCTTGAGTGGTTGAAAAAAATTGAAACAAAAGTTCTAGCCTTTTAAACTGAAATCTACATTTTGGTAAAAGTGGTTCAAAATGTTTAAAATGCAGTTTTAAAATAACCTCTGTAACAGTATTTTATTTCAAACTTTCAAAAGTTAGGTTAATTTTTATATCTTAGGGTTTTATTTTGTAATTGACTTTATTTAAGTTGTCTAAGCCTTTTTTACTTGTCATATTATAATGTATCTTTTAATTAAACCTAATATTTCAGTCCCTTGAGAAAAGTATTCAAGGCCTAAAGATCTCCTAAATGTTCTTGTTGAAACGGGTAGGGCATTCCAGACCAATAGAGATCTCCAACACTTGGAGTTTTTACCTGTTTTTTTCTTGTATCCACTTGTATTGTTTTACTTCCTTAACCATTTATATTTGTTGCATTTTTTTTTTTTTTGCAAATAAAAATTATAATAAACCGGGAGTGATCTCCCCTAAACTTTCTCGAATATTCTTATATAAAATAACAGGGGATGGGAACCATTTTAAATACTTAAAGTTTTAAAAATAGAATAAAATCTCGTAGACAAATTAATTGCACACCAAGTGAACGCCAAATAAAAAAGCGCATAATAGTGCGCAATATTATTAGTACTTTTAAAATTTACATTAGTTTTTTGAGAAATCGGAAGTAGCGTAAATTACTACTTCCAGTCAACGGAAATTACTCAAAATTTAACAGAAGGTAGAGAATTAGATCTTTTACTTACATGTGAAATTTCATTTATCTATCTGAAATAGTACTCAAGTTATAGGCTTTTGAAAAATTCAAAGTAGGAAAAGTACCACTTCCGGTTATCGGAAATCGCTCAAAAGTTGATACGGATCTACGATTTTGATAAAATACTTATATATGAAATTTCATCAACCTAGCTGTAACGGTACTCAAGTTATCGTGTTTACACACGGACACACAGACAGACATACGGACAAGATTGCAAAATTATGTTTTTCCGTATCAGTGAGGTGTAAAACGTCGAGATCTGTAAAAATCTCGATTTTTTTTTTTTGCACGATTACAATACTTTCTCTATACTTCGTATATACGAGAAAGTAAAAAAGGAAGCTTTTTCTTTTTTTTTCTTCAAAAACATTGTCTAAGAGAAATGTGAAAGGAATATTTTCCTTTTAATTGATAAGGCTCACTGGTTTAATTCATAAAACATTTTATGTGAACTAGTTGGAGCATGGCAGATGGTACTGATAACAAGATCATGCTAAAAGGGAAGGAGTTACAGTTCCTGGTAGCTGTTTAATCACATCCTTTTATCAGATTGTGATTAATCAGTTTCATTGTTTGTGAACTTAATTGTGTTCATGAGAGACTATTAACACTTTATGCAACAAAAGACAGAAAAAAAGATATAAAGAAAATTCCAATGATTATGTAACAAACAAGCAGATTTATTTTATCACTGAACTGTGTACATAAGAATAGAATTCAAATTAACAGTAGAAAATGAACAATTACAGAACAGCCGCACTCCATGCAGTCTACCAAATCCATATACATTTTGACAAATGGTGCATAACAAATCAAAAATCTTATTTAGATGGTTGTGGACCCAAATATATATATCTCAAATTTGGTTTTGGCCAAATAAAAACTTCAGTCATGGTCCTGTAAGAGTTAAAATTAGTCATGGATTCTTAAATTAATTATTGAAATAATTAATTAGTTACCAAATTGACAGACCCTGAGAGAAGAGTTTCCTCAATCATCCTGGTCCTGAAAGATTCACATCAACATATCACATTTTTACAATGAATGCTTATTCTCTTTGGCCTTTTCTAGACAAGCAAAAGTAAAATTATTCTCAAGAAAGCAGTACATAACGTAGGTGTATATATTCAACACTAGAAAGACTACATCAGCATATTATTGCTGTCTAAATCAATTATGCATTAAATAATCTCAACAGTCTTTGATTGCTTTTAATTAGCATTTCATTTGTGACCTAAGCACTACATTTTTAATCTACAAGAAATATATAAACAAGTTCATTTGTAAATAAATCCCACATAGTAAAAAGACTTGAAATACATTAACTTGCATAAATAGTGACCCCCATAGTTAAATTCACAGATGAACTGACCTTCACATAATACTAAATGGACAAATGAAGTGATAGACTCTCACTTGTTTATTAATGAACACAAAAAGAGTAAAAATAAGGCACAGAAAATTAATTTCAGTTCCCAGAAGTTGCCATTGATACTGTGTGCATATAAAAATATTTACAAATTGTATATTCTAATTTTGACTGAATTCTCAAAGTTTGATAGTTTGCCAAAGTTATGTATTGAGTTGCTACTAAACTCAAACAAACTATTGCACTAAATAGAAACTAAATGCAATTACAAGCTACACTAAATCCAGTAGGGGAATCTAAGATATCATAGTTCACAGTAATTTACTAATTAGGTCTGTCCTAACATCACAATCTACCACATCAAGTCTATTCTTACTATGTCTATACTAACATTTAAATTGCATCTTGATCAGACAATGTAGCATGGGGATGTACTACCATATTGATCCAGAGAGCATATGTCTAACAATTCTGTCCTACCAACTTAGTCAAGAGAGCACAGGTCTGTCCTACCAACTTGGTCAAGATAGCACAGGTCTGTCCTACCAACTTGGTCAAGATAGCACAGGTCTGTCCTACCAACTTGGTCAAGATAGCACAGGTCTGTCTTACTAACTTGGTCAAGAGAGCACATGTCTAACAACAGCACTCAGTATAACTATTCAGGCATGTCTCATACATTGTGCGGTTTTAAAAAAAATAACCAACACTTTTATGACTTAGAAGGACCAGAATAAAGGTAAAAAATAAATATCTTGGTAAATTTTACCTAAACACAATTTTTTTAAGCAGTTATCAAAAGCATTTGGTAAAAAAACATCAGAACCTAAGTAATTTTAGCTAAATTATATATTAGCAGCAACATAATTTATTGTAAAATAAAATAAAAAAACCAAATATACCAGCGTACATAAAATATACAGGAATATTTTTGAATCTTGGACATAAAGATATAGGAATAAATTGGATGGACATAAATTCTAGTCTTCTAGTTCGTGTCAACCCTGCTGTTTACCAGCCCAAACATGTCAACCCCATCATCAGTCAACCCTACCATTTTAATACTAGTCCACCAATATTGCATAAGATATAATAAGGAGTATTTGTTTATAATGCTGTGGCTTCGGTTGTTGTGTTGTGGAAGAGTTCCCAGTAGTCTGGTGGATCTGAGGTCTGTCCACACGGGTGTATCAACCTCTCCTTGCCTGATATTGTTATAGGATTATCCTGGAGATTACAGACAGTGGCTAATCAAATATCAAGGGATATTAATTACTTACTTATACTTATACCACTGCAGCGCAGGTTAGAGGCTAGTTATTTGCTAGGGTAAACCTATCATTTAGGCCTAAACCAAATGAGCTAGAGCAGGTCATCTGTGATTTTGACTTATTCTAGGCAAATAGGATAAAATGATTACCTGGACTTATTTAGTCTACCTAGTCGGGCACTGATCCAATATAATGTACGAGCCGACCCGCGGCGTATCATGCGCCGCTATTTAGTTCTTGTTTTTTTTCTACTTTTCAGTAAGTCATAATTTGTTAATTTGAAAGTACCCATGCTGCCACTGAAAATGTTTGCTTTAAAATACTAAAACCATTCCCCCCCCCGTGAAAGCAGCTTCCTCTTAGTTACCTCCTCTAAGTTTAAAATAGTTTCAAATTAAATTATCTGCCCCTAATAGCCGTCACCAAACCCGGCTCTACGATTGTTTTGTAAATATTTAGCGTGAACTACAACTCACCTGACCATTTGAGGGGGGTGGGGGGGGGGGTGGTAGCGATAGAGAGGAAGAGAGGGGACTGCAAGGCGTGCGCTTGCAGCTTGTTTTCTAACGGCTCCCAGAAGAGAATTATATATATAGATTTTGAATAGCAATGGCCTTATATTAAGTTACTTTAAAAAATAAAGCATGGTATGCAGGAGAGTCTGCATCTGACATTACTTGCATACAGTCTAGTGGGATCTTGAAATCATTAAATGGCTCATCCACTCATCAATGGGTCATATGCAAGATCTAATGAAGTAGAGTAAATTAATTTCTGAACTTATTGCATGGGCAGTAAAATATTTGCTACCTTCAATTTCCAAAACACTCAGGTACCCATACAAGCTGGGCGGGTCTATGGACATCCATCATACTCAAGCTGGGAGGCAAACTATTATTTTCTCTACCATCTGACCACACCATTCCACATTCTGAGCTTACCTTATGAAACTGAATGAGGCTGGCTAGAGAGTCATGCACTGTCTGATCTGCTCCTATAAACTGGTAGCCCAAGTCTGAGGCATCAATGAGGAAATGTTTCAACCTGTTTGTCTCCTTCAATGATAACGTGTAACCCCACACTCTTTCACTAACTCGGACTAAATACGAGCCATTTGGTTTCCCTTCCAGAAATTTCTCAGCCTCAGTCCTATTAATAATTCCTTGAAAGAAGTGTTAACATTATAAGATTTAATAAAAATTCAACTTGGAAAAAAAAAATCTATTGGTGATGTAAATCTATAAATAAGTTCTTAGCATGCAAATACATAACACAGCCACGACATTTTTGTAAATGCAATAAAAGAAAGTTGAAAATAAATGCAACAAATTGCTTCTATGTATACCATGAAACCAGTTTGCTACTTTCCCTGTCGTTGGATCCAATCCTGTACCCTTTGGCGCTTCTTCTTTCTTAAACCAACTAACAACCATTTCACGATTTTTGGGTCGCAATGGTTTTGGTTTTTTGCTAGATGAGATTGGAACATTAGGCCCCAGCAAATGTTTTCTGAAACACGGTACAAGTTATTTCATTCTTTTGTGTTCAATTATAAAACTGAAATAAAAATCAAGGAAAAGTAATGTGCTGTTTTAAAAATGACAAAGTTGTGTTGGCACAACCAGATCTCTTAAAATTAGAAAAAATCTAAATAAATAAAGCATACTTGGGAGGAAGTGGAGGCTTGTTTCCTCCTTGTGCAAATGCTTGTGCAGCCTGCATTAAGTTCATAGACCGCCTAACAGACTCCCTGTATTCTGTTCTGGCATTTGCAGCCACCTCTCGTTTTTGTATATCTGCTTCTTTTGATTTTTTCTCTGTAATATGAAAATTGTTCAAAGAAAATTCACTTCTGGCAAACATTTGAAAAAGATTAGTTCTTTTAATTCAATTATATAACCTGAATCTGTCTGCTATTGACTGTACTCTTCACAACATAAATGGGATAGTCTTTTTAGAGAACACAGGAAACAATTATTTATGCTAAAAATTCAGGAAGTGCACTAAACTGCTGAAACCACACTAAAAAAAACCAACAAATGTCATATGTATTTTTTTCCACACTTTTCCTGTGAATTACCTCCTTCACTGATCTTGTAATTTAACTGATCCTGTGATTTACCATCATCACTGGTCGTGTGATTTACCTCCATCACTGATCCTGTGATTTACCTCCACCACTGATCATGTCATTTAACTGATCCTGTGATTTACCTCTTCTGAAACTGTAAAGTTAACAACATTGACTCACCCTGTTCTTGCCAGGTGCTCTCAACCTCTTTTGCTGACTCCTCAGCAACTTTTTTCATTTTTTCACGATGCTCTTTTAAGGACAGGTAAATTTCACTGCTACGTTTCTCCTTAATCAGTTCAGTCATCTCACGTGATTTTCTTCGAGCTTTCTTCTCTTGTTCCTAAAATACATTTATATGATCAGTAATAGTGTTCATGAAAAAAGCTTTTCTCTAAATAGGTGCACTTAGTGACAGCTGCCTCAAGTTTTATTTTTATGTTCAGACTGTTATTAACATTTGAAATAAGATGGAATTTCTTAGAATATTTGAATCATAATTAAAGTCTCAATAATTTTAGTATTTTAGGCTTTACTTTCGATAACTAAATGTCATTTGAAATATAGAAATGTCTTAAGTATGACAATAAACTTACAAAGAGAATCATAATTGTGTTATAGACAGTATTAAAAACTCTTACTAGAGCAATATGAACATAAGAAAGCAGTAATTTTATAAAACAAAATGTTACAACACTATGTTTAAATAATTTCAAAATCCCCAGAAAACTATTTGCGAGAATCAACTAAAAGATACAGTGTGAGAATTACTTAAGCAAAAGATAGTGAAAAAAAGTCATTGTTAAAAATATAATGTGTGAATCACTAAGAGGATCACTACAAAATTCTAGAGCTATTCACAAACCATTCAAGAAGTTTTCACAAGCTGTGTTATTTGGTTTAAAAAATATTTTCTTCTATGTTCTGATGAAGGTGTAGTGTCAGAAGCAACTTATTAATAAACTCATTCTTCAGGCTTTTTGTAATAACAATTTTTTATGTATAAAATAATGTAATAATGTTTCTGTTGTCTAAGAATTACTCTAAAAAATAAGCACTCAAAAAAGAATTTGAGAACTGCTATGAAAATAATTTGTTTAAAAAGAACTTAAAGGTTTATTAAAAATCTATCGCAACTTTGTAATGGCCTAGAATTTAACAAATAAATGTTATGTTGGCTTATAATTTAAATTAAAAAAAAATGTTTGCACTTGGAAACAATAATACTCTACCTTTATTGCTTTCAAGATATCTTGTGTAAATAAAATTAACCCATTTAGGACCCAATAGGCAGAATAACATATGCATTGTTTGAAAATCAAAAGTATAGCCATATGAACATAATTTAACTAGAAAAGTATGATAAAATCCACAAAAATATTTGTCTATTCCCAATCAGGCACAAATTTTTCCCATGCAAAAAAAAAACAAAAAACATGCTGAGCAAAACTAATACGGAAAATTTCATCTTATGAATAATATACATTGCCAAATATCTTCTTCAGTTTAACTGTACAAATAGGAAACACAACCATGGAGTAAAAAGAAAGAAATCAATAGATTAGACAAAACTTCTTTAAAATATTGAAAAAATTACCCTAGATAAACACAAAAAACTAGATGTGGAAACAAGTTCAGTTGGTGTAACTAATAAAACATAACTCAGAACCAAACGATAAGTAAGGGTTTGTTATTATATTTTGCTGAACAAATGCTGAAGTTGTATTTTGAAAGTTTCATTATAACTTTTAAAAATGTGAGTTTATTTCAACAATTACAGGCACATCCTACTTACTCAGATTCAAATACTAATCAACATGTGCCTTTTTTTAAAATTATTTAAACAGGCCATCAAACACTCAAAGCTTGTTAACTTATAGAGGAATTTTTGCACAGAAAAGTGTTTTAAGTTGTTTTTTTTTTTAAATCAGCCAAAACAATTTAACTAGGGTGCTTGTCAAAACGCAATGTGTTAAAACTAAACAACAGAAAGAGCAGAAAGAAATCTCATGCGTACCAACCGACAGGAACGGAGAATTTAAAATTGGCGATGAATGCTTCCCTGTGTCACTGTGTTCTACTAAAGGCTGAATAAGAGAATAGGATAGTCCAGACAAAATTAGGTCACATCAACCAAGTTATCTTCTTTCAATTTTCATACAAAAATCTGCCCCTAAATTACTTCTGTATAATTTTTTAAGGGATATTAAAATCTCAGATTATAGAATACTGTTATCTTTAGCTAGAAATATTTTTTTAGGTTTAATGTGTTATTAACTGCAGGTGGTCTGTTCTTTGACAAAATAAAAGAATTTAAAGTAGGAACTGTATTTTAGAAGTAACATCAAAGTTTTAATATGTCATGTATTTTGGGCAATAATAATTGTGCGATATTACCTAAAAAAATTATTTACATTATTTGTAAACAACTTACCGCTAATTCTAAAAGTCTTTTTTTCTCGTCTTCTTCCAATCTTTTTTTTTCTAATTCCATTTTCTCCATTGCTAGTTTGGCCTCTTTTTGTGACTGATACAAAGCTGCCTCTTCTTGCTGGCGCCTAAAATAGAGAAAAGTGGTGAAAGTAAGCACCAGCACTTGTTCATTGGCATTTTACTACATGCTGATTCAAAATCCTAACAGCCTGTTGGGCAGTAGCCACAAAAATAATCAAGACATCAGTGATGTTAACTAATGGTTAAACAGGAGGTGAACCTAAGATACCAGTAAAGCCAAAATACAGGTGAAGTAGTATGATAAAAATGAGGTCAATAGCAATGATGGCTAAGGTTTGAAGTCAGGAAGAAAAGTACTTTAGAAATTAGCCATTTATGTGTAAAAATGTAAGTAAAGAAAAATGATCAAAGAAAGATTTTTAAATTACGTACTTTAATTCTTTTTCTCGCTCTTCATTCTCTTTAATGACGCGCAATCTTTCCTCTTCTAATTTACGATGTAATTCAGCTTCTTCTTTTTCTCTGAAAAACAAAGTCTTTTGCTCATTAAATTTACCGACATTTTTAATAGTTATTGTGCAGCATTTCACTAATTAAGTATTTGAATTCTACTAATCTTTATTTTAAGTTGTTTTATTGAGCACATTTACATACAGCTTTTAAACTCCAAATATTAATTTTAACAACTCTACTAGGTGACCAAGTTCGCTTTTCTAACCAAATGTTCCAAGGGGTAAGTGAAGTAGAGTTCACCTATTTATGTGACCTCAGCATATGAATGGATAGTGTGGTCAGCACTATGACCAGCAGCCTTTACTTTCCCTAAGGTTAGGTACCTATCAGAGCTGGGTAGACTCAATGATATTCTACTGACTTGAACCAGGATTTGAACTCGATACTTTTGGGTTAGCAGTCTGGCATTAGGCCACGCCATCTCTCACAAGGTGACCAACTGCACCAAAATGATGAGTTAACAAATGTGTGTAGATAGTTCAGAGAGAGAGGCATACACACCTTAATAACTGAGCTTCAGCCTCAGCTAGTTTCTGTGCTGTTTTTTTGGCTTCTTCCTCTAAAATTTCCTCAATACTTTTATCGTTTGGATGCTCTCCCATGACCCACACCCAATCACCTCCATCTCGTCCTTTTAAAAAATCTACTTTCTTTTTGCCTGAATACAAATAAATATTCATCAGTAAAAACTTTATTCATGTGGAATAAATGCTTTAAAAATAACTAGCTAAAAGATTGTTATAAAAACCTTGTGGCTTTGATTTCTTCTTCTTATCTTCTTCTTCCATTTTTTCTTCAAACTGTTTCCATCTTTTAACTTGTTCCTGTTTAAAAAAAAAAAAAAAAGAATCCAAACATTGCACTGATCAGGTCAAACAGTTCAATTGATCTCATTTAGTTAAGTATATTTAGATAAATAAAGACTAATTTAAACAGTATTATAGCAGGTTTGACACACTTACCTGGCGCATTTTGTAAAAAAGTATCTGTTTCTGATCCTCAGACAGCTCTTCTATGAGCTCTGGGTCAATGTACATCTGCTCAAGGATTTGTTGCAGCATTTTTTTTTTGGTAGTTCTAATTGTTGAAAATCAGATTCTCAATGCTGACCAGTTCATCTAGCTGCTATTTTGTTTTACCTGGTGATATAAATTTGTGTATAAGCTTGGGAATATTTTATATGAAAGAGGTGAAACAGATATAGGAAGTAAAATGATAAAATTAAGTTGTTTTTTTTTACAGCTCCAACTTGAGATGAAGAACAATAGCTGTTGAGACAGTAGAAATAATGAGTTTAGATGGATAGAGCAACTTATAAATAGGTAATAGTGACACACAATTTTAGTTTTAATGATTATAAACATAGAAAAATGTGTTGTTTTACATTCAAATTGTATACCAATTTAGCAGTTAGGGATAACATTAAGTATTTTTCTTCTTGGTTCTTAATTGTAAAGTTGGTTGGGATTTCCTCCAAAACAATTAAGTATTATGTGTCAACATGTTATTTTCAAGTGAATGCTTGTCAGTTAAGCTTCTACACTTACTTCAAAGATATTAATATTAAAACTACTGATATAAAAAGTATAGCTTGGTGGACATCTTATAGGCCTATTACTTAAGTCATGTATCAGGGGTATGTTTTAATATTTTCATCAGTGAACTTGAGTTAAAATCTCTTTTGAAAGTACTTCAGTGTAAGTTGTAAGGGAAATTCCTTCCTTTATTTAGCCCTAGTGACATTTTTTTGTAGTCTACATCTTGACAGACAGCAGCATAGATAGAAAAGTTATCAATACTAATTTATTTATAACTATGCCTTAAATATAATATGGGACGGAGTGGTCTTACTGTAGAGAGCTGGACTGCTAACACGCAAGTCTCGAGTTCGAATCCGGGTTCAAGTCAGTAGACCGTCCCTGAGTTCACCCAACTCTGATGGGTACCTAACTCGCGTTAGGGAAAGTAAAGGCGGCTGGGCATAGTGCTTACCACCAGTGGCGGAACTAGAAAAATTGGGCCACCCCGCAAAAAATACAATTAACAATATTGGAAAATACGAACATAGAATACTCAATACGAGCTTGTTCAAAATTTGAAAATATAAAAAAATTCTTTGTTTATATTTTCAATTAAAACATGATACATCAACACATATCATTTGTGTGAGTGCTATTAATCTGTTCTGAAATTCTCTATTTTAATGTCTGACAAATTTTTTACTAATTTGCATTCAAAAGAATATAAAGCATGAAAGCTTTGTATGTGTAATGTTTTCTCACCTTATGTTTATTTTAAAGTTTTTTTGTATTTATACTATTAGTTTTTAATACATTTTCTTTTTATTCAATGTCATTCTTTATTATGTTTTTTTTAAAAATAATAATTAAGAGAAGTAATTGCTTTTTAATTCGTTTAGTGCAAATCTATTTAAAGTTTCTTAAAAACACACATATTTGACTATCTAAAAAAGGGAAATAAGTCATGGAAGTAGTTTGATCGTTTGCCTATCTTTCACACTATAGCTCAGGCATATATTTTTTTGCTACACAACAGCATGTGTTAGCTACTGTATAACATCACTACTGTAGTAGATCTGTTTGTTATTTACAAAAGCTTTTACCGTCAAGTCAAAAAAGCAAGAAAATTATTTTTTTGTAACTAAAAAAAGTTTATTATGGGCCCCTAAATGGTGTGCCCCCCCCCCCCCCCGCATTGCGGGGTCTGGCGGCACTGTAGTTCCGCCCCTGCTTACCACACTATCTCTTCATATACCGAGGTCACAGAAATAAGTCAAGTCTACTTCACTTGCCCCATAGACCGTCAGGTTTGAAAAGGGAACTTTAATTACTTTACTTACTTAAATATTCTATACTCTATAGTATAGTCAATAGTGCACAACATTATTTTATGTGGGATGATGTGGTTGAATGGTATGGCGCTTGACTACTAACCCAAAGGTCTCTAACTCAGATCTCGGTTTGGACATAAGAATGAAGGATGTCTGAATCCACCCATGGGTACCTGACTTACATTGGGAAAAATCCAGCTCTAATGGGTATTATGTAGGGGAAAGTCAATTCATCTGGGCATAGTGCTGACTACAACATCCTTCAGATGCAGAAGTCAAGAAAAATATGAACATCTGCTTTATGGATCGCTAAGTCTAAAGAGGAATTTTTATTTTACTATTGTCTAACACTCTATCAGTCACACTCAGTTATTAGTTAAGTAAGTTAGTATTAATTGACTAGGCCTCTAGTCTTATCTAATAATATCTAAGGGCCTAACTAAATTAAAATTAAATAAAAATATCTAGAAAGAATCTAGATTCTTGTCTAGACTAGACTAAATCTCTTGACTGGTCTTCTTAAGAATTAAACTATTAAAACTATGGCCTACTGCAGTACTATAAAATAATAAAACAGATATGATAAATCTGGGTAGACATAGACATCTAGTATGTATACAGTACAACTATATATATAGGCATATATGCTATAAAAACTATGGATAAAAAAAATTCGAAATCTAAATCTAGAAATCTAGATCTAGGCTAACGCAGTCTTGTTTTGTTTGTATTCGTTATTAATTTAGTCGGTGGGACTCACGGGACTGTCTCCTCACCCACCACTCATAAGAACAGAATCTATAAATGATACATGAATCAAACTGTAAGGAATATAAAAAATGAGACGTTATAAATCTTATATTTTACCTAGCCCAGTATTCTGTAATTTTGATCTGTCTAGTGACTCAGACTACGATCTTAGTTGAACGTTATGATACATTTTCATACGCGACCCTACAAAACTACAAATAATACATACAGGAAGTGATTCTAATAGACGACAAGATAAATAACCTTGCCCATTGTTTAGAAAAGTGATTTCAAGAGTGATCTCCCTTAGGCTATGCCTCGCCTACGCTTCCTTTTTTTTTTTTTATCCAGGAAGGGGCGCATAATCAATCATGCTCCGTTGCTCATCAACATAATTTGTGGGTTAATGATACCTGTTTTAGTGCATGTAAAAAAAATATATATAGATCTATATTGTTTTTTTGTGTATGTGTAAAATGTACTCTCTACTTGTGAGCATACGCATTTAATCTTACCTCACTCCTAGATTTTCTCAAAACTACGTTTTATGTTAGATTATTACATTATACTAATAAAAGGACCTAAATAGAAATACGAAATAAAATTGATTGGAGTACATATAGCATACAGGCTAGGCGAGTTATTTTAGATGGTCAAGAATCTGCCGACTTCAGTTTGGCTACTAGATCTAGATCTAGATCTACTAGCAATGTGGTGAATGTACTGTGCAGGGCAGGGATTGCCGTAGCTAGTCAGGCCCTGGGGGAGTATTCGTCCGTCCGTGCTGTTTGTTAATGCTACCTAACCTGCCTCGTAAAGAAAAGTTACTATTAAGCTGTATACATTAAAATTTAATTTTCACACAAAAAAAGAAAACGAAAAATATTAGCTGTAAGCCAGTGTGGCTTCTGCTGTTGCCGTTTAGACACCACTTAAGTATTGTTATGCTTCACTGTGAATTCAACGAGCGTAGTTTTCTTGTATTCTCGGTCTCCATCTCCATTCAGCTCAAGGAAATGTACTATTTCTATTGCCGGCGTTACACTCGAATTGTTCGTCTTGGCATTGCAAATCATACCAAGTACCGTTATACACGAGAATCCATGTTGTACATATTCATCCAGGATAGCGATCGACGAGAGGGGGACATATGTCACTGGGCGCCGACCCTAGGGGCACCAAAATGGGTAAGGAAAAAATTAAAAGCTCATTTTAGCTGCAGTTTTGAATTATAAATATTAAAAATATGGGGGGGGGGGGGGGGCGCCAAATTGAAAGTTTGTCCCCGCGGGTGCCGGGAGGGGTCGCTACGCCTCTGTATTCATCCCACCGCCTTCTTTTTTTTTGCTCGATAGCTAGTATGAAAAGATTAAAATACTTTTTTTTTAAAAAATCATACGACGTGCTATTACCAGAGTTTCTTCCAGGCATCTCTTCGGGGGGGGGGGGGGCCCAAATTTTTACCGCCCCCCCCCCCCCCGAACGAAATGAAATTTATATAGTTTATATAGAAAATATATTCTTTTAACAGTGTCCGCCCCCCCCCCCCCCCGAAGAAAGTCTACCCCCCCCCCCCCGAAAATTTCAAGTGCCCCCCCCCCCCCGGAGAAAAAAGTCTGGAAGAAACACTGATTACGACAGTCATAAGTCGACTATTAGGCCACGATATAGAAATAAAAAGTATGTTCGTCACTACAGGTATATAGGCTATTAACGCGCACCTGTAAAGGTGGCTATGACACTATTCGTGACTCAGAGGCGTATCCAGGTTTTCGTTGTAGGGGGAGCGAAAAGAGCAAAAAAAAGGCGACGAATTCTTAACACGTTCTATATACGCATATTATTTATATATATATATATATATATATATATATATATATATATATATATATATATATATATATATATATATATATATAATTACTAGATGTATGTCATTACTTCCCTATGATGTAAAATAAATTGAAAGTAGCACTCTGAAGAAATAAGAAAAAACACACAATGTAGGCCGACAAAACAAAAATTGTATCAATCTAAACAAAAACAAAAATACAAAAATTCCACCCAAAAACAATGAACGTAACACAATCTGTTTTGTAATTCTTGTAAAAAAAATGATTAGGCCTAACGAAACAAAACCTTGTAATTGTAACTCCCTATCACTCTCATATAAATTATAAATAAATTAATAGGGTACAAAAATAACGGTTGAATTAATAAGTAAAAAATAAACTTATAGCAAGTTCTAAAAGACAGCGAAAATAGATTATTTTGACACATCCCTTTCCCCATAGATCAGTGGCGTAGCGAGGTCGGGTGTCACCCGGTGCGGCACTTAATGGTGTCAACCCCCAGAGGCGTAGCGACCCTTCCCGGGGACAAATTTTCGATTTGCACCCCCTCCCTCAAACTTTCGATTTGCACCCCCCCCCCCTCAAGTTTTCGATTTATATTTTGCTATTTTTTGCCTTGGTGTCACCCCCCCCCCCCCTAAATGGTGTCACCCGGTGCGATCCGCACCCCCCACCCGCCCCCTTCCCCTCGCTACGCCCCTGCCATAGATCTATATCTATATATTGCTATATAGTACTGTAGTGTATTATGTTCATAACCCGTAGCTCTGTCGTAGCGTAAAGCACACACGGGGACAAAACACAAAACGTATAATGCTGGGTTGCGTTCAAGCTAGGAGAACTATCGGTTTGTAGGTGTTTATGTAATTTAAAAAAAAAAAATGTGACCGAAACGAAAGGATATTTTTTAAAACTTTCTTCGGCAATATTGTTCTAAATTGTGGCAGGAATCGATTGGTAAATGTTTCAAGTCGCTAAGTGGCCTGGTTGCCGAGATATGGACCAAAAACTGCATTTTTTCGAGGTTTTTTTTTTTTTTGGCTTTTCCGGGAAATCCAGGAAGGAATTCCGGGAATTTTTTTTGGCCCACAATCATCCTCGGAACTTGCTTAACATATTTGCTTTGAACTAGTCCTCGATATTGCTTCTTTGAGGAGGAGATACGACTTAAAGCTGCGGACACACATCCATCCATTGCGGACACACATCCATCCATCCATCCATCCATCCAGAAATAACGAGTTAATTATTGCAATTGTCCGTATGGAAATTGCGCTAAAAAAATTCTTACATAATAATAATAATTCCTGGGAAATTATTTAAGACAAGTGAAATAGGGGAAATAATTACTCTCTTAATATATATATATATATATATATATATATATATATATATATATATATATATATATATATATATATATATATACATTTAATTATAAATGTCAAAACAAATAAATAATTACTTTAGATTATAATTAAATTGTTTATCACTATTCGTGTTCACAAAATGTTTTTGTCTATAATCAGAATTTAATATATCGTCATCATAAATGCTAAAGTATTACAGCATAATGAAAGTTTTTAAAATCAGAGTTGGTTGAAAACCACGGTTTTCGTTATAATTAAAAACACATTCGGAATAACAGTCTACATTTGACCACATGTTGGTCTTTTAGTTCAGATCATATATTGTTAATTAACTATTGCTTCATTGTGTTCTCTAAAGATCATTTTTTAACATTTAGTGATAGTTAAGGGTTAGATCACTGTATTGATCACACACCTTTTTACTGGTAATTGTAAAAACAATATTCACAGAGTTTTACGTTTAAAAAGCTAATTTTCTGGCGGCTTGGTACTTTGGTACATCATGAAGCGTTTTTCTACATGTACTTATAAGATCAGTTCGGGGTGGGTTGGGGGGGTTGGGTTCAACTTCATTCACCACTGTACGGTCACTTTAGGTCAATTATCCAACCCAGTATATACCTAGTTGTGACATTAATGTCGCTCTAAACAATTGTGGTGGTGAGGTGTGTGTGGGGGGGGGGGGGAATAACAACCTCAGAGTGAACATAGCGTCAGTTTTTAGATGACTGTTCTAAACATACATATATATTACACAAATATATATTACACAAATATATATTACAGAAATAGATTTAAATAAGTAGCAGTGGTATTATGACAATATTTTTTTTTACAGAGGGGTCCATGGGGGAGGGGGGTTGTAACTGTTTCATATAATTTGACATCGTAATCACTATGGCCCAAACTGTAAAAATACTACTACTTCATCGTGATGACGTTGTTGACCTTGTCAAAATTTCCCCACCACTACGTAGTTTGCTCATAAGTAAATTTAAATAGAGGTGCCACATCAGTTGCATTTGTATTTTTTTAAAATTAATCACACGATTCAAACTGTATATATAAAGTAATTATGTGTGAAGTTTTATGTATAACATTTTCCAATTCAATTATTCGTAAGCAAATACATTATACAGTTGCCTTAAACTTAACATCCCTCTTGCCAAGTGGTACTACCCGTAGAGGTTTTTTAAACATTGCAATGCATCGTAATGGTTATTTTTAGAATGGCAAACTGATGCAGCTGTTAATACGTGTTGTAATCGTAGACACTACTAGACTAGTACAATAATGCTTAATTGCTGCGTGAAAAGAAATCTTGTGATTTACATAGATGTGCCAACCAAAAATATTTTTTTAACAAATATTGTTTAAACTTTGAGTTTAAAAAGTTTCCAAAAAGGCGCCACTTTGCTGAAAATGGCCAGAGGGGGAGCGGCCGCTCCCCCTGCTCCCCCCCTGCGTACGCTACTGTCGTGACTTATGTAGGCTATGTCGTGATCTCTAATACCAATACCTGTTATCTCGCTCTGACGCACTTTATTACAATATCGTAATGTCTAATTTTAATTGTCATCGACTAGTAATCTTCAGCACCGACAATCGCAAATCATATGAGTCGGGTGTGTGTCTTGCCGCAGAACCTGGGGCCATGAGACTGACACAGAGCCCTTGGGGTTCGATCTAACCTAGGTTAAGAACAACTCCATTTGGTAATTATCTGTCGTCGCACGCGGCATTAACCTTCAACAATTTAGCATTTTCGATTGCGTGTCACCCGTTATAACGGGATTAAACATAGTTTTGACAGTACATTTTACGACTATTTGGTTTGTTGTCACCCCTTAAATTGTGTCCTCAGGTGCAGACCACGATATAGTATGAACCGCTGTTTTTTTAAACATATGTAAAGCACTATATCGTTTAAATGTAACCGTTTAGAATGGAAGGTAAATGTTTTGCATTTATTGAAACAAATAACTTAAATATTTTAATGATGATTTCAACATGGATCCGATGGATCCGAACCTCTGTCCTTCTCCAAGTCCAACGCACACACTAAAGTTCGTTTCAGGATATATCTGACTCACGCCCCACCATCTCCATGTGGGCGCTCTAAATAAATTAAACCCTAATATAGGCTTACAGCATTTAATAAAAGGTAACGAAGAACTACGCCCTGTGATTCGCCAAAATAAATAAATGAAATAAATCAACGGCTAGATTTAAGGAAGATGAAATAGTTCCAGCTGAAAAATACGCAATCAAATATTACAAGACACGAGTGATCTAGTTTAATAAAGTATCACTGGGAGGACTCCCCAAAAGTTTCCTGATTGCGTCTTATTTTTTTTTCATTTTTTAATTTGTTGGCAGTTAATTATCACGTAGCTCACTCCAGAGGCGTAGCGACCCTTCCCGGCGCCCGGGGACAAACTTTTCGATTTGCACCCCCCCTCGAGATTTCCATTTGCACACCCCTCAACTTTTCAATTTATTTTTCCAACCCATTTTTGCGCCCATTAAGGTCGGCGCCCGGGGACATATGCCCCCCCCCCCGTCGCTACGCTACTGCGTAGCTCTATGCAGCTTGTTCGTTCGGAAAACTCAGCTGATAAAATGTTGTGAGTTGTGAGTCACATTCAGTGGTTCACCGTAGGTATCGGGTGTTGGCATTGCCTACATCTCGCCAATTTAGCAACATTGGAGAGCCTTTTTAAACTTTTAAGCGCTCGTCCATTTAGAAATCTATAGGCCTATATGTCGTATTATTTGGTCGTTGGTATCACTTAACAACCATACGCCTACTGATCGGGCCAATGACCGGTCTTGGGTTAACCTATTTACTGATCCAGCAGTTTGGTCGGATGCCCTCTCTTGAACAAGCCATATGCATACAGTTATGTGTAAATGTATTTTTTTTGTTATCATATGCAAATAAACGAATGTGATATTATGTTGCTCTGAACAGTTCTACAGAAGCAATTTCTATAACTTACGTATGAACAACAGAGTTTCTTCCAGGCATCTCTACTCCCCCCCCCCCCCCCGAACTAAATCAAATTTGTATAGAAAATATATACTTTTACCAGTGTCCGCCCCCCCCCCCCCCCCCGGACAATTTAGTCCGCCCCCAGAAAATATCGAGTGTCTCCCCCCCCCCCCCCCCGGAGAAAGAAGTCTGGAAGAAACACTGGTGAGCAACAGAGCAATATTAATTCATTCAAAAAGCCATACGCATCGCAGGGGGCTGAGTTCAGATAGGCCCACATACACTTTGCATAGCAAAAAGCTCTTTTCTGTTCAGAAATAAGTTTCTAAAATGCCCGTATCACGTTCTCCATGCTGCGCATGACAGGAAATAACTAGATCGTGGCGTAAAGCCAGACATCTATCTATCAGTTAATATTGGTCAGCTTTATGTACATTATATTTTAGTTTATTTACATAAATATATTAAGTTTAATAATATAATTAGTTGTTGAAACAGTTAATTAAATGAAGGTATTTCTTTGGAGCTATTTCACGGAAAGTATTACAATTCTCAAGGTAATTTTTACCGAAGTCGTTTCGTTTATTTTTAATTTTTAAATTCTAAGTTCTAACGACAACTGAATGAATGATCGTTCTTCTGTAGTCTACAACACAACAGATTTAGATCTACTTTGCACCTTTATTACACCTTACTACTACTAGATTCCTATATCTATATCTTGATATAGTCTCTATTTGCTAACATAAACCCACACTCACTAGTGTAACTAAGTTAGTCAACTGAACATTAGAATCTAATTAAAGAATCAAGAATGGCATCCAAAAATTAAGTTTGATCACATCCCCCCCATCATTATTGTTAACATTGTTGATAAAAAAATGTAGGTTAACCAGGTATTAACTTTTAAGCCAATTCTGGATCCGATACCCTCCATAGAAACTGGCAGGAAACAACGCAGTGTCAAAATCAATACTCCAAAAAGTGTTTCTGTAAATTTTGCTTTCACAGTAGCCATAAAAATATTGAAGGCATTTTGAGATTCCTGCCATTAATGATTAAGTTTAGGTTATAAATTTTAAAGAAACAGAACTCAGGGCCTATAGAAACAATTCTTTATTCTTTCCTACATTATTATGCCTAAATCCTGGGCTTACATTATTTCGATTGTGTAGTGTAACATAATCACTAATATGAAAAAAATGATGGTAGGGCCTAGTTATAATAAAAGCCTGTCTAAATTTTTTAAATTATGAAGGTGTAAGCGAACACCTATCTTCGGAACACATACAGTGGCTTAGGCTTTTTGCATGGTTTTAATTTATTGAATGGCGGTAATATTTCATTTTCAATGTCACGCATAGCTAATAAATGTAGATTATTATTAGCCTATTTGCATTTACTATTTACTATAATTATTTCATAGTAAAATAATGCGCAAGGGGCTGCAAACTATTAAAAAAAAGTTTCTTTCCTTTAATAGCGGTACTCATGAAATCTGAGTATATCACGTCTGCCACAAGTTATATATTCATGAGCCTTCGTTATTTTACGAAAATTTGACCAAAACAAATTAGCATAATTATTGTTAAAGTAGCTTCTAAAAATAAATTTCTGCAAAAGTACAAATTCATTACATGTCTGGTTTAGGAGATAACAGTTGTGAAGATTAAAAATGTTATTGCATAAAATTCACTTTCTGTTTGTATAATTACTATATTAGGTCTAAATTCAGTTATTGTAGAATTGGATGTTTATTAGTCGATTAAATGTTTTAAAAGCATATGTCTTGTAGCTGTTTGCATTATGACTACTTATTTGTTTAGATTGCCTAACTGAATGTTATGCCCGAATCATCTGGCAACATTGAGGAGATACACCACTCCCTAAAGGCCACACTTGGCCGTGGTCATTCTGATCTTGATCATGATGTTGTGGCAGCTTCTAAACGGGTATTGCTTGAGAATATTGCATTTGTACCAGCCCAGACTCCATATACAATGCAGCGTGATGTTTTAAAAGCAAAATACATATCTTTAAACCCTCCTATCTCAGGATGGGAATTAGGGGACAAGTCACAACAGACCCCAAAAGAGCAAATTAGTGAGTATCTAAATTAGTAGCTGAAAATTTAAATTTCTATTATTGTATTGCTGTACCTTTATTATTTAACTTTTAATTTTTATTCAGTACTAGCGTACCCATCCCCCGCGCGTTGCCGCGGTGATAGAATAAAGTCTGACGAAATATATTAGAAGGATATCACCAATGCATTACCAATCATATGTTCTTAGACGCATCACCTTGTTTTCTAAAACTGTGTTATTTAAATGTCAACATTGCCTGCGCTTGGCTAATAATTATCGGGACACGGGTTTTCATTCACTACCGCATGAAAATCTTGAGTACATTAATCACTCACCGAAATAATTAGGTAGAACACACTTCAGTGACCACCCATATGTCAGGGACGTAGAGGGGCGCTCTCAGGAGCCCCCCACCCCCGATTACACTACCGCAGAGGCGCAGCGTAAGGTCCCTTAAAACTAACAGGCGCCATCGTGCTCATAGGATAACCCAGCGTGCCAAATAGCATCCTGTAAACAATGATGCAGATTTCGTCATTCGCTAAAGTGACCCAAATGAACAGGATTTTTTTCTTTAACACATACAAAAATTATTTGACGTTTTTTAAACATCAGTTCGACTGATGCAATATGCTAGCGTTACTAATGGTCTATTATTAGATGCTCGGTCTCAATTTCGGCCTGGATCGTCTAATAATAGATGCTTATTGCATCATTCGCAAAGTGACGAAACTCTACAGTAGGTTCCTCATATTCAAACAGTTATTTTTTCATCTTTCGCAAGGTGACGAAACTGTACAGAAGGATTTCCTCGCGTTACAAAGTTATTTTTAGAAGCCTGTTGTAGTTTTACCGCTGAATATAGTAGTACCCCTTACTCGCTATACAGGACGCTAGATTAACGGATGCCAAGTGCCAACTTAGTCGCTCTAAAACTCTGGGCGCCAAACCGTGTATTGACGAAAGTTGTACCCTATATGGCGCCGCCGTAAGAAACTTTAGTTTTCTTTTTCGCAGAAATATTCTCGGGAGTATTCTCATCTACTTCCTAAAGTTTCATGGTACTCGGATGAACCGCATCCGAGTTTTATTTTTTATATACCGTATATAGAGAAAAAAATAGCTCCCCCCCCCCCCCCCCCCCCCGGTGGTGTGCCGCCTTGCAATATTAAACAATATTTTTTACAGAACCCTACCATTGAGTGATCTAATCATCTCCCCAAAGTTTCATGGTACACGGATGAACGGTGTGAAAACGGAAAAAAAAAACAACGAAATTTTATAAACCGTATATAGAGAAAAATCGCAACCGCCCGTGGCGCCGCCCTTGCGAAATTAATAAAGTTTTTTTTTTACAGAACCCTTCCCTGAATTGTTCTAATCAACTCCCCCAAAGTCTCATGGCTATTGGATAAACGGTGTCACTGCAATTCACTTTTATTCTTTTTATATACCGCAAATAGAGAAAAATAGGACCCTCCCGTGGCGCCGCCCTTGCGAAATTAAAAATTATTTTTTTTACAGAACCCTTCCCTAGAGTGGTATAATGAATTCCCCAAAGTCTCATGGCTATCGGATGAACGATGCCAAACCAAAATCGACTTTTATTTTTATATACCGTATATAGAAAAAAAAACAAATCGCGTCGTGTCGGGGCACCAGCCCTGCGAATTTGAAATATTTTTTTTCGCAGAAATCTCCCCATGAATATTCTCAACAACTTCCTAAAGTTTCATGGCAGATCGTGTGTCAGAACGGTGTCACGGCAATTCACTTTTATTATTTTTATATACTGTATATAGAGAAAAATCGCATCCTCCGGTGGCGTCGCCCTTGCGAAAATAAAAATGATTTTTGTACAGAACCCTTCCCTAGAGTGTTCTAATCAACTACCCAAACTTTCATGCCTATCGGATAAACAGTGTGAAATCAAAATAGACTTTTATTTTTATATACCGTAAATAGAGAAAAATCGGACCCTCCACTGGCGCCGCCCTTGCGAAATTAAAAATTATTTTTTTACAGAACCCTTCCCTAGAGTGGTATAATGAACTCCCCAAAGTCTCATGGCTATCGGATGAACAGTGGGAAATCAAAACAGACTTTTATTTTTATATACCGTATATAGAGAAAAACAAATCGCGCCCTACCGGGGCGCCACCCCTGCGAATTTGAAATTTTTTTTTCCGCAGAAACCTCCCCAGGAATATTCTCAACAACTTCCCAAAGTTTCACGGCGATGTGATGAGAGGTGTAGTAATGCATAAAGGACACACACACACACAGACATACATTGCTTTTTATATATATAGATAGATAGATAGATGTGCCTTATAGAGTTACACAATACATAGACTTTATTAAGTATGTAAAATTTTTAAATACAAAATTTCATGCCTGATATATTCACATGGTTCATAGTAGTATATTCTTCTATTATCATTATTATAGCTGCATTACATAATTGTAAACAAAATATGAAACAGTAGTTAGCAATATACCATTTTACAAGCTTATACTTAGTTTAGAAAATTTTGATGCAGTTGTTTGATTTTTTAGCTTTTCTCTCCTAGATGATTACTATCCCCAACAAACTAACATCATTGACATATGATAAAACCCTAAACGATTTTTTGTTTACTTGCAGACAAAAATATGAATAACCTGTCTAGTACTGAAAAAAATAGTGATGGCCTTCCAACACCAAAAGTAGTTCTTTATCCAGAAGAAAAAGTTAAAATGGAGTGGACAAGGATGACTAGAATAGGTGCTGGTCTTGTTAACATGGGCAACACTTGTTTCTTTAATTCAACTCTGCAGTGTCTTACTTACACAGCCCCTCTTGTCAACTACTGTTTCAGCAATGACCACAGAGATAAATGTAAGTATATGTTTTATTTTGTTAACTTTTTAAAAAGTAATTATATAGTTTTATATTTAAACCTTCATTTTGTAATTATTTTTACTCAGGTAAGAGAAAAGATTTTTGCATGATGTGCGAGATTCAAAGCCATATAAAGAGCTCTTTGGATTGCGGTGGAAGGTCTATCAAGCCACATTCAATACTGCAAAAACTGAGATGTAAGTACAAACTTCTGGATTTTTGTCTTTCGTATCTTTTGTTTTCAAGGGTAGATTGCATATAGTGTTGAATATTTAACATGCATACTAAATGGGTCAACTCAGTACTTAGTTATAACCAAATTTTACTGTGACAAGTTTCTTTAAATATCAGGGTTTTTTAATGGCCAATGTAGACCAATGATTTTAAATTTTCTTTTTCCTTTTTGTACACTCAAAATGTTTCTTTACTTTAATTACTTTATCCAGTATTATGATGTAAAGCTAGTGTAGATTTTTTTTAAAATTTCAGGTATTGCTAAACATATGAAGTGGGGAAGGCAGGAAGATGCCCATGAATTCCTTAGATTTGTTGTTGACCACTTGCAGCAGTCTTGCTTAAATGGAGAGACCAAGTCAGTTTTTGAACACCTGATATTTGACTAATTCTTTTCCACAGTGAGCAATATCTTCAGCTTTGTTCAATGTGTATTGTGCACAACAGCTGACAAGAACAGATAATGTATCTGTTAATTAGATTCTAAAGACATTTTGCTGAGCAATCAAGATTTTCAAGTTAACGGCTTTAAACCCCTTGTCCCAAACTAGTTGGTTCTATAATATAATTTAATTTCTGGAAGCTAATAATAAACATTGTTTAGCATATTTATGTCAATTTTATAAAGCTTTGATTGAAATTGTAATTGAAAATTTTTTTTCAGACTTGACCAGTTTAGTAAAGATACAACTGTTATAAATCAAATTTTTGGTGGATATCTTAGGAGTCAAGGTAGGTTATATTTGTATTACACGTGTAATTAAAGCAACGTTAAAACTAAGTTTTAAAGTTATTTTTTTAAATTTAGACTGAACAGTATGGGAAACTTTATTTTGCAGTAACCTGCTTGCGCTGTCATGCCAAATCAAATACTTTTGATCCATTCATGGATATTAGTTTGGATATTAAGGTAAAGTCGTAATAGTTTTCTTAGTTTTCAAAATACTTAAAGCATTAAAAAGGATTTCAATCTTGGCTTTCCAAAATAAACTATATTTTAAAATAATTTTCTTAACTTGATGTTTTTGGTACTTGACATAGATTGTTTACAAACACATTTAGTGATCAACAAATCTAGCATGTTTTTTTCTGCATATTTAAAAGCAACTTTTGTATCTTGTAGGGTGTCAATACAGTTGAAGAAGCATTGGCCAAGTTTGTCAAGCCAGAAACATTGGAGCAAGAAAATGCCTACAAATGTCCAAAGTATGACTTGCTTCACTTACTTTTTTTATCAATCCTTTGACTGTTTTGGTAGGCAAATAGCCTGTATTGTAAAAATGCTTTAATGTTTATAATAGGCTATGAATTTGTTTTTATATTTTAAGAATAATATGATTGGATAAATATTAATTACTATTTTTGTAATCTGCATTAGTGCAAAATAATTAATCCTTAATATTGTTTGACATTTTAAATGCCTATGATACAATATACTTTCTACTGCCTCTGACTGCTATCTTTCATATTGTACTCATATGAAACTTAAATGTAAAACCAGCATTTTTTTTTTAATTTGTAGGTGCAAACACAAAGTGAGGGCACAGAAGTGTTTTTCTATACAAAAAGCTCCAAATGTTTTGACTCTGCAATTGAACAGGTGAATTGCCTCAGATTATAAGTGCATAAATTACTTATACATGTTAACATGGTTTAGAAAGTTTACTTGTTTTATTATTGTATTTACTGAATGTAAACATTGTTATAGGTTTGACTTTCATCGGCATCTCTCAGGAAAAATCAATCGTTTTATAAAGTATCCAGAAAAAATAAATTTGAGGAGTTATATGAGCCAAAAACAGGTGAATGAAATCCCATGCTTAGTGTTAATTAAATTATAAATTATTAACATTACAAGGCCATAGCATGATTTAAAATTGAATTCAATTTAAGCTGTGGATAAAAGTTACTTGTTTTAATGCTAACTTGGACATCATTTCAGTCAACATGGCATTTCTTTAATATATGTGTTACCTACCACCACTTTTTAGGGTGAGCCAATTTTCTATCATCTATATGGTGTTCTGGTTCATTCTGGTCATAGCAGCGAACATGGCCACTACTACAGTTACGTAAAGTCTCCAAGCAAGACATGGTATTGCATGAATGACTCAATGGTAAATAGTAGTTTGATTTGGTTTTGAGATAATGCTATTGTAAAATAGCATTGGAGATTTTTTATTTTAATTAAATATCTGCTCCATTTTAAAAATCTTCTTTATAAAATCTCTTTCCATTTACAGGTCCATCAAGCTCCATTTAATAATGTCTTCAATGCTGATGCTTATGTGCTTTTTTATGCTCGGATCAACAAAAATGTTGTTAGTTCAACAAGCCACACTCCCCCTGTTAAGGTGAGATTCTATACAAACCTACTTTACCTTATCTTTCAATATAGAAAGGTCAATTAACAGTACATTGTTTTTCTTCAGAGCCCATTTATAGGCCCAATACTTCCAAATCATCAGCCGTCTAACAGTGGAATTAATGGAATTCAAGGTAAAGTTTTTAACTATCTTAATTTTTCAAGTTAGTATCAGGGGTGTATTGAAAAAAAATCAACAGTGACAAGCTTGCTGTTATGGTTGGTGTGTTTTGTTCCCCAGCCATCAAATGAGAGGCTGCCACTTCCATGTATAGATAAACTGTTAACCGTCAACACATAGGATGCCATGCTGTTCAATACTTACAACTATCTACAGTGATTCTAACTTCCACCTCATGGAATGCCAATGCTTCTTGCTCTCTCATTCAATGTACATGACTTTGATAAGACTAGTTCCAACATACAACCTTTCAGTTCTACATCCAAGCCAAGACTTCTTTTCCTTACTTTGATCAGACTAATACTTCCTTTCTCTACAACGATAAAGACTCCCACTCCCCACCACAAGATGAACACAAGCCTTTAGCATCACTAAAGTGCTTAACTTAAGTAATACCAAACAAATCTTGCCCCTAAGTAAACACATTACTTTTGCTGCCTAACACCAGGGCCAGCATATTTTTCACCTGTCATTCTTTCTTACATCTGGCACATTTTGAAATTTCTTTCTAAATTGTGGCATTCTTAGTTTCAGCATAAGATGGTAAAGCTCTATAAATGGTCTGTCAAAATGTTTGTATTGACAGTGTTTTTTTTTTTTTTGGGATTTTTTAAATCCTAAAAATCATTTTAAAACCTTATCCACAATATTAATGAATTTTATTTTTATCAGGGAAACCTACCAGTGAGCTTGGCACACCTATAAAGCGACAAGAATCTTCAAGTGGAATAACTAATGGACAAAAGAGTGCCCCAGTTCAGACTAATAACAGTTGGTTACCTGCTGCACATACGAGAATAAGCTTTCCTATTGTGAAACCAAATGAGGTAGTACAGGATGATGGGAAAAGGATTGTTCTACAGATCAAGCATGGTAACTCTACTACAATGGAGAAGTCACCTGATGGGAAATCTAAAGTTGTGAACGGCCTATCTTCACATACTGCTCTTGTTCCTTACAACAGTGACTCAGAACAAGAAGACACACCTGTCTCTGTACCTGACAAAAAAACACAGCATCAGGTTTCAGGAGAAAAGGATTCTAAATTAGCAACTGTATCTAGTTCATTGTCTTTTTCCTCCAAAATTGCAACAAAAATGACAGGAGAAGGAGATGCTAAACTGCAAGCCCATGAGCCCAATTCACTACCATCTGCTTCTTCCAAAATTGTCGTTAAAAGGGCTGGAGATGGCACCTCTTCATTGTCTTCTCATGACTCACCCAAGCCTGTAATAAAAGTGACTGGACATGGAGATGCCAAAACTCTAACACTTGAATCTAGTTCACCATCCTCATCTTCCACAAAGCTAGGTATAAAAATGACAGGAGCACCAGATGCCAAAGTATTGTCTGAAGAGAAAGATGTCTCCATCTTGTCAAACAAACATTCCTCCAAAACACCACCCTTAATACTTCCTGTCTCCCCTTCTAGTAGTAATAAAATAAAAAGCACAGGTGGTAGCTGGTTGATTCAGTCCCAAGATTGTGCTCCCAGCCCTAGGGGATCATGCTCTAGTTCAAACAGTGTCAATTCAACAACTGAATGGACAGTAGAATCAAAAGGTTTGTTATAAATTATTTTTCAGGAAGAAAATGTATGCACTTTGAAATTTTAGAAGTTGTTTCTGTTTGTATTTGATTATCTAAAACTCTTTTAGGGACTGGTCTTCAGTATGTATTAGATTACTGTCAGTCATGTACAAGTCTAAATTAATGATAATGTGTTGTTTATCTACAATGTAATCAGTAGAATACAAATAATTAAAAATTTACCATAGTACTATTTAAATCTATTGACAGATAAAAAAACGTAAGGATTTTTTTAAAAAGTATTTTACAAGCACTAAAAAATAACTCAGATGTTTGGATTTGATTTATTTTTGTTAGGTTATATTTATATAAAGTTGATTCTCAGCTTGGCAGTTGTTAGATTACTTAGTTACAGTTGAAAAATTATATATTTGTTTCAGAAGTCAATAAAGTGTCTAGTTCAGTATCAGACAAGTGTACACCTGCTGATTTACACAAACATTCTCATACAGAAAAAACAGTTGGTTCATCTTCTGGCAGCTCATCAGATACTTCAAGTAAAAAGAAAAAGAAACACAAAAAGAAAAGTAAGAAGGAAATGAGAGATTCATATAGAAACAAGAAAAAACATAAAAAGCAGAGCGGTACAGATTACAAAAAGAAAAGCAAATACAGGAAAGAAAGCAGCAGTGAGAGTGAGGATGGCTACGAGTGGGTTGAAAAAACTAAAGAAACAGCACCTTTTCTTAACAACAGGGGTGAGTATTTGTAGTTACTAGTTTGAGAGATATTTGCTTACAAGACATCAAAAAAAGGATGCAAAGTTAATGCATTCTTTTAAAATTGAATTCTAATTGTAATTGCTAAAAATATTTGCTCAAAAGGTCTATTATTTGTCCATATACATGATACTTCAGTTAGTTTATGAATCACCTGATTTAAAAGGGAATTGTCTGGGAATTTAGCTAATATTGATTTATGTGCAAGGTTTTAAAAAGTTATGAAGTATTGATTCCCTGGTTATTTATATTATAGTTCAGCCATGGAATTTGCATATCAAAGATGATATTGCACCAAAAAAAGAAAATAAAACTAGTGATTTTAAGACTGGTTGGGATGGAAGTCGCCCTACCAAAGTGGCAACAGAATTACAAGGAGACAGCTTTTCATTTGGCAGTACAGGTAAGTGCTACTTACAATTTTCAGTTTTTAAAGTTTTTGGCTCGCTCAGACATTTTTTGCATCTTAGATTGTTTGTTTTCAACACAGATTTAGTCACATGTATTATTTAAAAAGTAGTATTTAGTTAATTACAATTTAGTGACAAACTTTATTACTTTTGAATACCTAGTCCTTTAAAAAAAACAACTCTATTTCAGTATTATCTTGGGAAGGTGGCAAAAACCACATTGAGGAAGTTGTTAAAAGTAAGAAACGTCATTGGTCAGATGATTACAATGATGATATAGATTCTGGAAAGGTAAGGTTAAGTTTGAAATACATTATCAATAGGTTACCATTTATATCTGTTGTCTAGAATAACCGTAGTATTTTGATTAATAGCTGTAAATAGGTTGATCAGTTGTATAGTTAATGCTGTCTTTATTATACAAAGTTGAGAAAAAACTTATATCAAATAACTTATTTGCTCTAGAATGAATTTTTTTATCAATTATAATATTTAGGTAAAAAAAGTCAAGAAAGTAAAAGAAACTTTTCTGGCAGACAACCCATTTCAAATGGTGCAGTCTGACAAAATAAAGGTACGATCTTTTGAGTGGGACATTTATTTTTGATTATAACTTTTATATTATTATTATTATAATGGACATTTTTTTTTAAATTAATGAAATTGTTAATAAATGACTGACCGTTTGTTTTTATGTCCAGGCACATGGAGGCTCATGGAATCAGGATCATAGATACCAATGGCCAGATCATAGAAGAATCTCCACATCTTAGTATGCTCTGTACATCATGTTTGCATTGATTTTTATGTGCATATGTTAAGCTGACAGCAATTGGTTTTGTTCTCTTCTATTGCAACTATTTAAGAAATTGTTTTACAAGATTCAATATCAACCGTAACACATTACATTTATTAAATGCATGCATTTTTTTTTACGAAGAAAAAAGAAATGAGCAAACTGTTTGTGATTAAAAGTAAGGCATCGCTATGTCTTTTATGTTATAGCATTTTAGTGGGGAGGAATGTGCAAGCAAAATTTTGCACAAATGAGTGGGGACATCTATATATTATGTAAATAAAGGACTGAGAATTTCTATACATATGTACATAACTTAGTTGGGGGCAAGTTCCCACATATTGTACATATTGGGGAGGGGGAAGTGTCCCCATAATGTACATAGGGGAGGGCAGGGGGTTGTTTAAATTATGTAAAATAAATAGAAACAACTTTTATTGAAAGTATGGCAACTTATGAAATGCCTTTTCCTATTGATTGTTAGTATCACTGTTTACAACTGTATATAACCATCAATAGACTTGTCAATAATTAACAGTCATGTTCATGTATTTCAGAATTTAAATTAAACATTTTGCTCTTTACTGTATGCCCTGGTTAAGCATCAAACATTTTAACTCATTCATGTAAACTTTGGATACAAATAAAGTATTTTAGCCCATTAAGTCTTGTTTCAAGTGCAATGTATATATTGATTATTTAACTTCCTAGAGTCACGCAACTTCATTATGGTAGATAAAAGCTGGAAAAATAGTTACCGAGTTAAAATAAAAATAAAGAGCCCTTTGTGACCTGATGGTCCATGAGGCAGGTGAAGAAGAGTTCATGTTTTCTGACAAGCATGCTGAAAGATATTCTGGTCAGCACTAAACACAAGGAACAGAAATATTCTTGTTGATCTGACATAAAATGGTAGACTATATGCACTCTGCTGTATATTAGATCTCAAATTAAAGTAGCTACTTACATTTTTTTTCTATTTTTGAAATCTACATCTGGTGCCGAGTTCCACATACTGTGACTTGTGAAATATTCAAAATAGTTAAGGAAAAGTACAGTCTATATTTATTAGACCTTATGTTTCAATAAATGGTGATCATTATGCCTTCTCAACTCTTGCATTAGAATGAAGTGATCTTGACATTTGGTTCAGCTCCACCTCTGCCAGATAGAACATGACTAACAAAGTTGATCAAAAGTGCTACTTGCTTGTATCACACATTTTATAACAAGCACTTCCTAAGACATACAAAATGATAACTTCCTGGTCTTTTGTAGGTAGATCTAGCTCTATAAAGTTTTATCAGTACAGATTTGGAATACAAGCAGCTATACTATAAAAAAAACTTTCAGTTCTTTAAATATCAATGGACAGAAACTTATAGAAACAATATTTGCACCAAAATTGTTTTTTATACTTTCTTTAGACTATTGTACATTCTGGATTTCTATTAGCACAAATAGCTGGAATTTTCTCTTTTTGTTAACATAAAATTTATTGTTAAACTTAGCTGAAAAAATACAGCTGTAAAGATTTTTTTTTTCTGCATTAGAAAATAAAATAATATTTACGAATTGGAGTTTAAAATCCCTTCAGTCTGTAGAAAGAGGCATTTAACTTTTTGAAGGGTTGAAAATCATGATTCTAGGTATAAAGGACAGAATAAGGAAATGGAATTTTAAATGTAGCCTATTATCTACAGGTGTTTTTTCCCTGTAATCTTTTACAGTCTGTAATTTTAAGATTTATCCACGTAAAATGATTATGTAATAATTGTTAATTTGAAAGATGGTTTTTTAGTATTGGTTTTTGTACATGCATGATACTAATCAATATCATGGATGATTATTCTTAGTTACAAGAATACCCAATCACATTTTATAACTGAGCCTACACTCGAAAAAAGATTTGTGTTGTGTAAACACTGCCTTTAAATACTTTAAAGCAGCTCTGAGTGTTATTATATTGTGTTGTAGCAAAAAAAATTCTACTAATGTAGACATAAAGTATTATTTCAATGCCATAATATAATCCTAGAAAATGCAGTTGTTTTTAGCCAGATAAGATCAGGACCAACTAATCCACACTGTGCTGTATCTCACACCTGTCATGCATCAGGTCAGAAGTGTAAACATAATATAGTAATTTAAATAGTAGTGTACCGTTATATATTTAGTAATATATTTTTAGTGCATTATTAAATGAAAGCTTGTTATTAAAACTTTTTTGCTGCAATTTTTTTCCAGTACTTTAAAATTTTACAATAGATTTCAATAGAGTTACATGGCTTAAAAATAATTGCGCACCAAATGAACATGATATTGCGGAGACTACTAATTTCAGAAAATTCTAATTAATTCATTAAAAATTAATTTGGCATCCAATTAAGTCAAATTTAATGTCATTTAGCATTGTCTTCGAGTCTTGACTCACATGCCGAATTTCAGAGAAATTGGTCAGTTAGTATCCAAAATTTCAATCACCTGTTTCGATCAATGATGACAGACAGTGGAAGCAAGTTAAATAAAAGCTCATAAAAAAGAACACTCCTGATCGCCCATTTTCATATATTATGTACGGATGACCCTGTCTGTAATGTCTGACCCTGAAAGACACTGACCACTGCCTTAAAAACACAACTATAGACTTAACAAGTGACAAAAACAAGAACAATGTAACTGACACTTAGTAGCTTTCCAGATCTTGTAATATCTATTACTGTTTCTCTTGGTTGTAATGCTTTAAGACAGCTGCCTCTATTGTTTATTAACAAACACACACATTAAAACAAAAAATGGTAAAAAAAATGCTAAAACAAAGTGAGATATAAATATTTTATTGTTTGCCTATTATGATAGGCATAGACTGAATGGGCTAAGATGAGATGAGTTTTGGTCTGGAGCTGTTAAGATGACAGGTGTTACTAATACTTAGAAATAGTTTGGATGTGTAAAAACTGTGATTTCAAAGTTTGGATATGCTAGTTTTCATTGAAAAGGTGATAAATTGTCTTGTCAAATTAACAAGTGTACTTTAGCAACTTTAGTTTGTAATATTTACACATCTGATTACAGAGTATTGTATGCAAAAAAAAAAAAGCTTAATAAAAACAAAACAATAGTTTAGAGGAACCATATGTTAGTGTAGATACAGTTTTTTTACAGATTCAATTTTAAGAGAGGCTTCACAAGGTTAGTTTATTTACATCGTCTAAATGAACAATAGTAATGACCTAAAACATGATAGATTCTACTTATAGAAACATTACCTCAATTATCACTACCATGAAGAGAACTTACAACAAATCTATAAGGACACACACTGATACTTTAGCCTATTAAAAATGTATAGGCCTGTGTTTATGTATAAAACTAAATACAAGATAATTTAAATGTTTCTACAAATTACATTTAATAATAACCTATCTTTCATTTTTATTCAAATTAATAATGTAAAAATACTTAATTAAAAATGACAAGAACATGTTTCTGATGCAATAAAATTTAATGGCACTAACGATATGTTTAAAATTTAAATACGAACAGCAAGCAATATATGATATTAAAGTACTTGATATTCATAATGATTTGATTTAATATGTCATCACCATTACACGCTTAACATTAACCCAGCTTAGTGTTACAGAAAGTTGTTTGTTCAATGAGCTCAAGCATTAAACATGCTTTATGACTAGTAAATATTCTGTTTTTATAGCTCAAACTTAGCTTTTTCCATTAAAAATACAAATATTCAATCCTTGCCACTCAGCACAGCATCCAATCAGAAAATGTCAGAGAAATTCAGCCTAGAGCCTGATTGGTTTGGGGGAAAAATGTATGTGTAGCTGCTGAATAATGACTGGCTGGTGACAGAACTGATTGGGTTAATGTTATCACCATCATACATTCTAATTAAGTTGAGTGTGTTGGTAAAAAAAAAGTGTTTTTCCAGGCAGGTAAAAGCTTGTGTTCCAACCAAAACATACACTACATGTATCTTTGACATTTAAGTCAAATAATCCATAGTGAAAGTTTTTGAATACTAAACTAACTTTTTTACAGGTTAATTATTTTCTAAAAGACTGAATAAAAACAGAAGATCCCTATAAGTGAAGTATTATCACTAATATATTTATGTACAGCAGTTAATAGAGATACAACATTATTATATAATATATTGCCACATAATTTTGTAGGAGGAAAACTAAGTTCACTGAACAAAGTTGAATGCTCTATGCTGTGTGTTGGAAGTGTGCAATGTGTAGAAACAGTGAAGGGTGTAAACTAGGTCTGGGCTTGTGTGTTAGCTAAGTGCACCAAACACAACCCCCTTACTCTCACAGTAAAATGCTGTTAGGATGTGCCACATGTATGGCCAAAGCACTTTGAGTGATCATGATATAGCTCATACTTATTAATGACCATTTATTCAGGAACATTTCAGTCATATACTTGATATGATTATCAACCTCAAAGTGAAGTTTGCTTATACCATATGGTTGGCCTATCATTCAAATGTATTAGAATGTCTATCATACATAGGGGTGGCCCCGTTACTGGAGTGAATTTATATACAATACCGATTCAAGGACACAGAAAGGTCACAGAAGACTAGAAATCTTATAGATACAATCAGCACTGATATTTACACTAGAGTAATATGAAGGTATAAAACAGGAGCTCAGCTGACGTTCTGATCATACCACAGCAGCATGGTGTAGGTAGGCAACAGTCAGAGCTATCTGGGTCGTACACCTGAACCTGTCGCATTTTTTCTTCTAGCAGCCAACATGTCATAGAACGGGTTGTCATTTATGCTGGACCTACAGATATGGAAGTAAACATATGTAAGAGATCTCCAGTAGGAGAATAATAAATTGTACTATAATAAAATATAGTGATTAGTGCATTTAGTTACAAACGGTACAATAAACAGATTTCAACATTAATTGGAATTTTCGTTTTTGCGATAAATTCTGCCTAGAGCACATCAAACATGACAAAAAAATGATAACTTGATAGCTAAATAGAGAATATACCTGATAGAATTTATCCATTCCTCTTTATCTTCAACAGTATTAGCAGCCATTCTGTACACATTGTGACGACCTGCCAAGTGAAATAAAAAAATTAAAGCCTTCACTAACACTTGATGGAGTTAGAAACATATGGTAAAAAAATTGAAAGTGACCTGAAACCACATGATGCATGAGCTTTTCAAACATTTTCTTTTTTGTGACATTATTTAAGAAACAATTTAAAATTGATATGGCATAACCATACTTTAAGTTCAGCCAAAAATAAATTTATATCACAATAAAACAAGTGTTTGAAAAATTTGAAAAAAAAAAAAAATTTGAGAAGAATTATAACCTTTTCATTCAATATAGAACATGCATAATTAATAAACATAAATTCATTACTGTTTAGAAAAATCTAATAGTATTTACTGATGCTTATGTGGTGTATACATACCTTCTACAACTTTTCCATCAGAATCAACCTTACAGGCTTTTATTATGTCTGATGTTCCACTAGAAAACAATTCAAAGCAGTTAGCTCGTGATTTCTCGTTGGGAACCTCACGTACTTGTATATTCTCCAGAGGAATAATACCTTTGGGTTCTTTGTCCTATTCACACAAGCAAACAATAACATGTTTAAAATGTCAGTTTAGAAACAGATCATTCCCACTTTATACAAACAGCTTTTAAATTTGAATGGAACCCTTTATAGCTTTTTGTAAAAGTTCAATGATGAAATAAATGGATGCACTAAATAAGATTAGTAGATAATTGTATTGTGATGCTATTGTATTTGGCAAGTCCTGAAAGTTATTAATACAGCAATTTGCAACAGCATATCAAATACTTATAACTTACTGTCGTGTATTGAAAATAGTAGAGACAATTGTCATTTAAGATAAACCAACGTCGCTTCCAGTTTTTCACTCTTCCTCCTAACATTGAAAAAAAAAAATGTGAACAGGTTAATACACAATTCTACTGACACTATGTTGGTATAAGTTAATGTTAAAAGAATGCTTTACCTTGTTTGTTCAGCCAACCTTCCTTTACTGGATTAAAAAATGTATGCATCAAGTCATTTCCATCATCTTCAGGGATCTTGAATGGTTCCTTTTTTATATTGTCGTACAAATTCTGCAAGTTCAAGGATAGCCATAAAATATAATACTTTAAATAAAGCATGAAAGACTGCAAGAAATAGAAATAATAAAAGATACACCTTACGGCATAACTAGCATCAATTTCCAGACTTTAAGACCCAGAATGTATGTATCTTAACTAACAACTGTAAATCTAATACATTCTATTACAAATTAAAAAAACAAACAACTCACAATTAAGAGTTCCTGTGGCAAGTTACCACCATCATTAATTCCTCTGTTCATCTGTATAAACCTGTCAACTGTAGGCTTGTCTTTAACACTAGGGTTGTGTAGACTTGTGTTCAGCATTATTATAGCAAATGACAGAACATAGCAAGTATCTAAAATAAGAAAATTACAAAATTGTAACACAGTAAGCTACATACAAATATCACTTTATTTTAGGCAGGATTTCACTAAAAATAAAATGCTTCTGACACCTCACCTAATTTTTTTCAGAGCATGCATGAATACAAAAATACTAATGATTATAATTTGGTACTTAACACACATTTTAACAACAACGATTTGAGGCTGAATATTTAATTTTTAAAAGTGCAAATTTCTGAAATGATGTAGCTATTAAACAGCTGTTTTACCTGTGTTGACAAAAACTCCTGGATTAAGAAAACAATAGCGCTCTGCAAAAGACTCCATCATCCTGTCTATTTTCTGAGCTTCACCAGGAAGACGGAAACTCCATAAAAATTGCCTGATTTGATTAGTAAAAAAAATAATAGATATTTTTGTACATATCAATTATGACAAACATAAAACTAAAAAAAAGTTTCCTCATTGTTGTGTGGGAAGTTCTGGTAAATTGTTCTTTTTTTTGTGTGCAGACTACAGGAAATAAACAGTTTTATTTAATCTTTAACCACTGTAAAAATTAACATCAACAATGTCAATAGTGTAAAGCTAAAAAATCAAGAACTATAAAATTCATAGTTCATTACATGATTAATATTGCACTGTAAGTCATTAGCACATAGCATATATAGGAAATAACAAGGAAGTAAAAATAGCAGCCATTTCCTGTTGTTTTAATGTAATCATCTGCTTTCTAATTAAATGTAATATGTATAGCATTTTTTTTTTTTAAAATCTTGAGCATCCTAGAAATTGATTAACTGGTTAGACTGACTGGATGAAATGGAAGGAAGAATGGAGAAAATGAAGGGGTGTAGATGTATTATGCTGTATTATTTTCATTACTGTGTAAAGATTTCAGATGTATAAAGAGTGTAAATAGTAAAGAAATAAAAACAACATTTCAAGAAAGCAACAAAAAAGCATAAGCCAAAAACATACCTTAGTGCCTGCACCAGAATCATATCTGTGAACTCATGGAGGTTGACAAATGCCTTGAGAACAGCCATGTTAAAATCATTTCTAGGATAGAAAAAAAAAATTATTTGCTGGGTGGTTAATAGAATTAGGTACTTTAAATTAATATTTTTCTTGAATTTAGAAATGAAATTTAGTTACATAATTAGCACAGTGCAGTCATTGTTGATGATAGACCAGAATTATTTCTGATAGACTAACCTTTCTCCTAGGTAATCTCCAATGGCTGTTTTGTTGAGTCCTTCACCCTGGAAGAGAAACCTTGCAACATCTTCTGGTGTATGCTCTAGCAAGCCATGTTCTATCAGATACTCAATACCCTGTCAAACAAATCATCTTGATTAAGAAACATACCATTAACATTATTTTTAATGTTCTTTAGTACACAATGTATGTGAAAATAGCATTCACTCCTATTTCAGGTTCATACATGTAGTATGTATTACATGAAGTTTGTTAGAACTACATCAATAAAAAAAAGTATGAGCCTCTGGGATTTGCACATAATAAAAATGTACTCATCAGCAAGATGAAGCTTACCTTTTTAGGATCCATGTTGAATTTCTTTCTACCAATGGAAATCTGTTTAGCCTTAGGGTCTGGTTTACTGTAAAATAAACCATATGATTTTAGTAAATGGCATTTAAAAGAATGCGTAATTTGACAACAAAACTAAACATACACAAAAACTATTCATAATAAGTCATAATAACCCATAATTTGCTTTAAAGCATCACATACTCTGCAATAGTTTTAGGCAAGTACCTGTCATCGATATCCATACCCTCCAATTCGTTGGTAACATCTTCAATTTCTCGCTTCAGTTCCTAAAACAATATTTTTAACTGTCATCATTTTTTCTCATTCATCAACTGACAGCAGTCCTCAAACACAGATGAAAAGCAAAACTAGTCTAATGTAACTATTGTGTTTTATTAATTACCACAATTACTTATTCAAACATTTATCTCAGTAAGTGTTTAAACTATGATAAATAATATCACGCATTCATTAACTCACACTATTTGGGCTTAAGATAATATAACTTGTGCATGTTGAGGTTGTAGGTAAAGCAAAAATTAAAACTTCACATTCTGGGACTAGTAATTACCTAGAGATTTAATGCTTGTGTTTAATGCACTAACCTCAATCTCTTGGAGCAGTTTTTCTTTTTTCTCTTGAATGCTCCTCAGAAGCTCCTGCTCTTCAAAAGTGAGATCTGCAAATTAGCATGGGGGGAATAAAAAGCTTAAAAAGTATATAGGTGCATAAAATGTATTCAGATTAACACCAGACACTGATAATTACCTTGAAACAGATGTGATTTATGTTTATTGAGGATTATTAGTTATTTTTACTAAGATTAAAAAGTTATAAACACTGCATATCAAATTTTATTGCTTTAATTTTCAACAGTATATTTTTGTTTGGGTAATATTTACTGTGAACTGTGTTTTCCCCAATAAAGTATCAGTATTAAAAAAAAGCTCAATGGAAAAAAAAATATCTTTTAAATAAATAATAGATCTTGTCTTTATTATTTAATATTTAGTGATTTCAAATATTCTAGAGCTATTGAATAGCCATTATATTTTTGGTAGGCCTAAGTATTTTCAGACACAGTGAACAAAACATATATGTAAGTAATGAGTAATGTACAGTATTAATTCCATCAAGTTATGTTCTCTCTCAACAAAAATTATTTGTAGGGCTGCTTTACACATTAATGATTAAATATAAAATAAACATGTTATCAAATCAAGAGGTAGAGTTGAAAGTGTGTAGGATTAATAAATATTTAAAGTAAACAGCTTTTAGTTTACACTTCTGAGCTGCACTTTACAGTACTTTTACCCAATTTTCATCTACGTTGATCCAATTGCACAGCTACAAAAGAATAATTTGAGCTCAATGCACAGATATTAATAGTATTTAATTTGAGCCAACTGTGTTCTATTAAGTAGTATTATAAAATTAATTAAGGCCATTGCGTTATTTGTTTTCTGCCTGCTAGACTATCACTGGGGGGGGGGGGGGGGAGGAAAGAAGCTTCTTCGGAGTGTCAGTAGTCACTTTGTAAGATTGTATTGTAACGTTTTTACTGCTCTCAAAATGTGTTGTTCTATTGTAATATTCTTGCTTCTATCAAATGTAACGTTTTTCTTCTCTTCTATTTCTCACTCTCAGTCACAGACGATCAAGAATGAAGAATAAGCCGTCGTCATCAAATCTTTGTTTTACTATCTTTCTTGAGCGGGAATTGTCTGTGTAGCGCGCATCTAACAAGACTATAGCGCCAATACGTGTACTGCATAAATTACTGGCTAGGGCCGTCGTCTCTCCATCCCCTCTAATGCTAACCCACCGGTTTATATACCCCACCTGCGAGCATCTCCGATGACACATTGTTCTCAGGACAAATTCTAGCGCTTACCTGTGAAAATTTCCCCCGCTTTTGTGCTAACCGACCCCAAATAACCCTATATAAAAACTTGTTCTTAAACAATAATACTTCAAACATGCAAATATTGTAAAAATATAACCAAATACACCTAATTAAAGTAGATTTCCATAATATCGGCTTGCTCCTAACTAACACTAAGATAATCCAAATTAAAGATCAAGCTTGGCCTAATAGTTCATCCAATTTTCATGCTATAATAAAAACTTTTTATTAAGATATGAATTTTTCTTCTTGCCTTACTAAGCACAATTGACTTCTTCTTCTTCTTCTTCGTTCTTGATTATTAGTGTTGAAGGGGATCGAGATTTATCTGACAGTGGGTCTGAACTCGAGACTTTGTTCGACACAATTGACTGATTTCTAACAAATTCACTACTTTATTCAAAAGGCCTAAATCTGTAGACTGTAGGCCTGTAGGCCGTAGGCCCAACTAATCTAACATCTACATTAAAAATTCACTAAATTATAGAATTCTAAGAACAGATCTAGATTTTTTTATTCTAGTAGTATATAGTATAGTATATAGTCCCCCCCCATGTTCTAATTTTAATCATTTAATTTTCTAACAGAACACTGACTCTCCAGTCCAAATCAGCCAAAATCAAAAGCCCAAATCTTGCTGGATTCAATTTCAATAAAAATATAAATTTAAGTTCAATTAATAAAGCGCTGCAGTTACCATTTAAATTAAAAGTATTTTCCTCCATTTGTAACTAGTTGGAACAGTTACAAAAGTTCATGGCACTCAACTGTATAATATTTACATTTATTATTTTAAGTATGATAATCTGCCAACTTCTTATCTTATGTTGCCATCATAGGCCTAGTTTACCCTTTTTTATAAGGATTTCTACCCACTTCCTTTTCACTAGCTCATATACGTAAACAATGTGAAGCTGTTTAAAAAAAACTCAGCCATGTAATAAATGTAGATATATATATATATATATTTATTCATTAAATTATTTAAAAAATATAATTTAAAAATATTCTTAAACCGTATAATAATGTAACAGTTTTGGTAGAAAATACGAAAGTTCGGATGTTGAAGTTAGTATGTAATATTTATGTTTTCTTTCAACCTCTGACCTACAGGTGACAATTTGCAATGGATAACCAAAATTGTACCCAACACGGATGACACGCCTACCTGAAATGAAATTTTCTCATCCTGTTCCAATGTCTTAAGGTATTTTAACAGTTAACAGATATGTTTTAAAATCCCTTATCCATTTATCTAATCAATATTTAGCCTACCATTAGGGGTAAAAGATAAGTTATACACAAAATGTTTTGTTTGGTGGACTAGGAGGTCATAACTTCTGACTTCAACTTCACTACCCACCCGGATTCTACTCTGAGACTACTCTCAATTTTACGTTCTATCAAGTATCATCTAGATCTAGATAATCCAGACGATCTAAAATTCTAGATCTAGAATGGAATTCTTAGTTAAAACTAGTTTAGTAAGCTAGACCTTCTGTTCAACCTAAATCTATACAGTAGTATACACTATACTATAATCTACTACTTTACTACACTACAGTAACTACTACTACTACACAGCATTGAGATAGTTATTAAAATTACATTACAAAGTTTACAGTAGTAGTCACACAACAGTGGAAACACTGCCCTGACACACTAGTAACTAGATCTAGATCTAAATATAGAAATCTAGTTGCTAGTACAACTAGATTAGTAATTTATAATTTTTTTATAGTTTAGAAATTTAATTGTTAAATTCGATTTGTCTGATGATATTGATACTCTCTTACTCTTTATTAAAAGATTATTGTACCCCTGACTCGCTGAAACTGGTAGATGAGTAAACTTAAAAAGAAATAATAAACAGTATTATATTATTATTGTATCCCCTGCTGGGGTATGGGCTGCCAATGAAAGATATTCTGAGTTATTTTTCAACCTGACTTCTGTTGTAGCTCATATTTTTAGTTTTAGCTGATTATTTGTCTGAGGCAGTTGTTTATAAAGGTCTAGACTTAATCAGTAATGAATGGTCTTTATTGTCCTCCAAGTGTCTGCCCCATACATCACTGATTTTACATTAGAGTTAGAAAGGCACACCTTGGTGGTCAAGGAAAGCTCATTGTGGAAGGGGTTAATATTTTCGAAGTGACTACTCGGAAAAAGATTTTTCGCATCAGCGTCTCCATCTGGTCAGCATGCGCAGGGCTAGGATTCTGCTGTCTGTTTGTAAACACACATATGCGCAGTACCAGAGAAAACATCGCGAAGAAGGAAAGACATAGTTTCTCTCAATTGCGGATGCATAGCTTTTTCCGGCTAGAATCAGCCTAATATTTTAAGGTTTATTTATGTAACAGTGTGTAACCACTAGTAATTGTTTCACCCGCATCAAAGAATTGAGACGGGCACACATAATTTAAATGTGTGTATTACTGTCACACGTCGTCACAAAAAGCCAGTCCCCACATTAAAAAAGACTTCAACCTCAGACATGTTTTTGTCTTTTAAAACACTGATTTCGGCTGAGTATGGGTCTGACCACACTATCCCTTCATACACTGAGGTCACAGAAACAGGTGAACTCTACTTCACCTGACCACATACTATAAAATGTACATTTTTAAGAAAGTTAAGCTCTGCAAATATGTTTTTAAATTAAATTATATCCTAATTTAGCCAATTCCATTCCTAAACAAACAAAGATTTAGGCCCTATATAAAATAATTAAGGCCTGAAATAGTTTAGTATAGAAACTCATTATTGGCATAGAATCTAGATAGAGCTAGATCTACATTCTACAATCAACAGCTGGCTTAAGTCTAGTTTATCAGTAGATCTAGCTATAGTAAGATAAATTCCTTGTATACTTGAATTAGAAAATCTGTGAAGATAAAAAAATTAAAGATTTACATCAAATATTTACGGACTAAAATAGTTTAATAAAGAGACTAAAATATTGTGTTTTTATTCTTGTTTTTTGTTTCTCACTAATTAGATCTAGACTAACTTTGGTTTGGCTAACGGTAGATCTAGATAAAATTATAGTATTCTCAAATTAAGCTCTATTGAAAATTGATAAACATGTTGGAACCTAATAAAAGCCTATTGTTAAAGCTATAGCTGACAGAAAATTTAGCTTTATAATGCATTAAACTTTTGAATGGGCAGCATGGTCTTCCATGGAAGCTGCCATGTTTGTTGTTAAAATAAGTAAGTTAATCAAGTGATGTCATTAAGACAATGAAATATTTTACTTTTTCTGAAAATGAAGTCTTTGTTCTGAACTTTTATAATTAAAAGGGTGTATATACAAATGAATAAATTAATAAATGTCTTTAAATAAATTTGTGTTTAACGGTTTATTATAAAAAATTATTATTCTTTACAAAAATAAGTATTTTACAGTTCTACACATAGTGCAGATGCTCTCACGTAATGGAACAGACAAACAAAAAAATATACATACATATAAACAACTTGATATTTAGTATAATATAGATAGGCTAGAATAATTAAAACCGAATAATAAACATTATTAGTCAACACACACTGATTAAGTGACTTAAATGATCCCATTAAAAAGCGGGCTATTCATTGATATTTTAAACTAATTTATTTTTATTATTTTTGGGGGATAAATTTCATAGCATACTTCTTGATAAGTAGAGCTTTAGATCTAAATCAAATTTGTATTCTTTATATTCTAAAATTGGAAGGTGTGGGAAGCGAATCTTATTGAAGTTAACGTCATTAGTATTGTGTATCATTTACGACATTTGATTTTTAAATCTATTTTTCCTACGCCGATCAATGACGCCATGAGTGTTGTGTCCTTTCCGTAATGATATTTCCCTATTAGTTTCATGTGACGTCATTCTATTTGCCAGTCATTGTTTTTGTGTTACTTATATTTTCTCTAGAGCGTTCCTGTCACAACCTTAAACACTTTTCCAGTTGTTCAATTCAATTATGCCTTTATTTTTATTTTCATTCTTTGAATAAAGTTTAGTTTATACATTTAATACATCCAAAATAGTATTTTCAACAACAGCCCGTATAGCGCTAAAAAACTGATCTCATAGCCTTGTAAAATATGTTGCGAACAGAGAGAAGTGAGCTCAACTATCCACCTCACTCCAATGTTTATGCTACCAGCCTGTCCACTGTAGGCTAGTGTGAGTACTGCAGGATAACTTGTAGATGCCAGTTTTTGTGTGTTTGTAGACCATTGTTTTCTAGTGTATATCTATGCTAGTTAGAATAGACTGTGTTGTTTTGTGTCATGTAGATAATGTATTGAAGTTCTTATTATTCTATTTCAATGAGCCTTTGTTTAATTTGTGATTCCTAGTCTAGTTTGTGATTTTGCTTATGTTCTGTTCTATATTATGCTTGGCTGCACACAAGCTGTCACTCAGAGTGCAGCATAAGCTGTATAACAGAACACATTACAAGACTTGGAGAAATACATGGCTAAAGTTATGCTTTCCCTGAAATTTCTCAGAGGTTTCTGAATACAAAAGATTAGTGTTTGCTTTCAGACAAAAAGTTATAAACATTGATTTATGGCCTGCGTTCCCCCTCTCTCACTCAGCATGTGACTCTTATCAGTGTCATTCTCCACCCTGCTTGATGCTCCTCAAGTTTTGATACATTACACCACCCTAAGCCCCATTCACCATGTTCTGATATATACATTCTCAGCATATTTGCTAATACTAGCCAGTATTCCTCACATCTTGAAAATTGTCTACAATTATTTATTCACTAGTTATTTTATGGATGTCACAGAATCTTAATAATAATTAATGGATATCATTACATGCAAGTGATTTACACACCCATACTAATTAGTATTGACTTATTTGTTTCCAATATATCTGTGGACTAATATAACTCAGGCTTTTGTTATTTGGATGGATGAGCTTTTAGTTGTAGTGAAATTGTTTCTCCTTATTTAACTCTAAAAAATTGTTTTAAAGCTATTGGGGATAAAAAATGTATAGTATTTAAACCTACCTACTTTTATAAATAATAATATAAGCACTACAACTGCCCCATCATAAATCCTCTTACTTCACTACTAACTAGACCATTAAAACTTGCTTCTGTCTTTCCAAATGATGGACTTAGATCAAATAAATAGTTTTTTATATTCCTATTTCCAAATATTTATAGAGGCTATAATCTATGCAACTTTTATTCCTGACCATTTAAAAAATGTATGCAACATACACATATGTAATTTTCCCTACCAATTTTTTGTGTGTTTTAAAAACGACTGGTTTTATCATGCATGTTAAAAAGAAAATCAGTTTTAAGATTAAAAATTCAAATTTAAAAAAATGTAATAGTAAAAATCAGGTTTTAGAACAATTAATTTAAAGTGGTTAGCCATCTGTGACAGTTTCTTACAGGACATCAGTTGTTGTGATCTTAGCAATAAGACTTTTAAAGGGTGTAGATGATGCATTCATTTTGGCATTTGGATATTAAAATGCTCATCATCAAGCATAATTATTTCTTATAATAAAGAATTTGCCTAATTTTTTATTGCTAAATAAATAGCACAATGGAAATGTCATTAAGAGTAATTGAAGCTAATAATGTTACAATATTTTTTTATCTTTTCAGAAGTGTGGAAAGGAAGAATGGAAATAATATTGAGCGTGGTTTCACCTCTATGCTTGATAGTTATTGTCTTTGGCTGTCTGAGTTGCCTTTTTAAGAAAAAAGGATTTAATGTAAGTTATCTGTTTTTTATAATATCAGCTGTTAGAATTAGTTGTTTTATATATTTCTTCCATATTTTCTGGATTTTTTCTTTCTCAAGTTGTTACCCTTGTTCTAAAAGTTATTTAAGTGAAATATTTTTTTATTTTCCCATTTCAATTGTTTTTTAAACTATAGTTTTAAAAGTAAACTAAACAGTAAATATTGAATTTCAGCTTAAAATAATTTCAGAAACCATTTACAAAATAATTCTTAAAAGGTGTAACATTTCTTGTTATCAGCTTCCTATTCCTACAATGGCTATATTATATAACTTCTTTTTTTTGCTACCCCAATTATTTATTATTCCAGAATTTCAAAGAGAGAGACCAAAGAAATGCCCACCGCAACCAGGCTTATGCTGTGGACCCGGCAGATGGGGCTGGCACTCTGGAACAAATCACCATTGAACCACTGCCAGACATCCTCTCCAAACTTGCCACCAGCACCTGTTTTCCTCCGAGAATTATGCGCACGCATGACACAGCCACAGCGTTTCATGGTAGGTGAATTCATATCTCTCTGCAGAAATATATCTGATTTTTTTAAACAAGTAAAATACTTTTACTCAAAAACTTTATTTCCCATTATGGAAATGCTATTTTCTCTGTAAAGCTTTATGAGGCTGTTCTTGTTCTTCTTCATTGTTCTTAATATTATTTATATCATTGGAGTCAGACAAGTCCAACATCTATTGATTTAGTAAATAAATAATAAAATACAAGTTAAATCTGATCTGAAACTAAATTTTTTTTACTCTGTCCAGCTGTTGAAAGATCATTTCCGCGATCACACCTGACATATTTAAATGAGCTGGGAAGTGGTTGGTTTGGACAGGTGAGCATGTTGTCAAATATTAATCACAGGGCTAACTCAGCTATAGTTAGTAATTAAGTGAATTTTATCAGCTTTAACTTCATTGTAATTTATTGTAAATTGTAGCCTGTGATACAAATGTCAAACTTGTTTTCTTAAGGTGATTGAAACCGAGGCTGCCAATATTATTGAAGGGGAGAAGAAAACTAAGGTGATGGTGAAAATGTTGAAGATTGATGCCCAGAAACAGGAGCAAAAAATATTCATGGATCAAGTAGCTGCATACAGGTACATTAAAGGGAGAAAACTAAGTTTTTCTTTTCTGGATAATTTTCTTTTGTTCTGCCAACATTTGACCTAACATTCTAGAAACAATGTCATAGAAATTAATTTTTTCTCTTTATTTTTCTTAGGGATTTGGACCATGCCCATGTTTTAAGATTTCTTGCTCAGTGCACTGAAACTACACCACATCTGGTTATTTTGGAGTATGCAGCACTGGTAAGTTTTCAATGAATTTGATGTTTCATTATATAAAAGTAAAGTACCCTCTCAAACCTTACTGGGCAGGTGAAGTAGAGTTCACATGTTTCAGTGGCTTTGGCTTTTCACAATATGCTTAGTTCTTATTGTTCAGATGAATTTTCTAATGTTTGCTCTGATGTACAGATTACTTTGAATAGTTTGGTCTTTGAATTTAAATAATTACCAATTTTCAATGAATGCTGTACTTCTCCTTGCAGGGTAACCTTAAAAATTATTTTTTGAATCAACGGGAGGAGCAAGAAAATAAAATCTCGTCAAATACCCTCTTACAATTTGCTTTAAATGCTGCAGCGGGTGTGGCCTGCTTGCATAGACACAACTACATTCACAAGTAAGATTGGTTATACCTGTCACAACTACATTCACAAGTAAGATTGGTTATACCTGTCACAATTACATTCACAAGTAAGATTGGTAATTGTTGTTGTATAAGTACACAAACTTTGTTACATAATGTGCATCTATACTGCAATAAAAACTGTTCAATACATTTTTTCATCAAGTGATTTGGCAGCCAGAAATTGTCTGGTTATGTCCAACAGATTACTGAAAATTGGAGACTATGGGATATCAGATGTAGCATTTAAGGTCAGATTTGCTTTTTTTATGTTCTGATTTTTTTTATAAAGTATATTTGATGACTACAAATCTCTTTTAGTAATTTGGTCTAAAGTTTATGACCACATGCTCTAAAGTTTATGACCACATGTTCTAAAGTTAACGACCATGTGGTCAAAAAGCTAATGACCACATGGTCTAAAGTTTATGACCACATTGTGTACCAGAAAACCCTAATGCTGGCTGATGCCATTTGTTTTGTCAGGAGGACTATTACAACACTGGGAGGGAGCTGTTGCCCATTCGCTGGATGGGACCTGAGACTCTGATAAAGGCAGCTGAGATCTGGACGTCAAACCATCTGGATATGTCCTCTGATATTTGGTAAGGTTAGGTTAGGAAAGCCACATCATAAGCTACTGAATATGCTGCTAACTGCAGGCAAACCAGTTTTATTAATGAATATTGTAGGCCTGCTTATTATGATTTGTTTGATTTCCCACAGGTCCTTTGGTGTTTTGCTGTGGGAAATATTCACCATGGGAGAACGACCCTACTCCATGTTAGATGATGAGGCTGTGCTTGAGGGTATAGTTCACAAGAAGATTTTACCTGCACAAGGAGACATAAAGGTTCCATTTGTAGAGGAAATGTAAGATTTTTTTTTTTCATTACACTTGTAACTCAAATACATTACTGTAAGTTGAACATCTATATGATCTTTTATTGCTCTGTTGTCTCTTTTTATTTTAGTCATTCAGGGCTATACCTATATGTCCTGCAAAAGTTGCAATACAACAATGTATTAAACTTTTTAACAAGAAAAACAAAATTACTTTTAAATATTTGGTTTGTGCTCAATAATTATTTATTTAAAAAAAAAACTAGTTTCTTTGTGTTATTTAAAAAAAAAAGTTAATCCTCTACATGTAAATTTGCTGATCATGAAATCATTGTCTCCAGCTTGACTAAAGTAAACCATACATTTATCTGTTCAGTTGGCTGGTGATGAACCAGTGTTGGCAGGAGGACAGGCCAGATATTGAAGTCATCCACCACAGTTTGCAGCAGCTGAGCCAGGAGTCCATCTCTGACTTTGACCAGCGCTGGCATAATCTGGCGGAGAAGAACACAGAGCTGGGCAGCAGGACGTCACTAGCTGGTAGCTTTGAGCAGGTCGTCGTCTCCGCTCCAGTGGTCCCCAGCGGGGAGGGGCTGGGGGATTATGTGACAGGAAGCGGTCCTTCCCGCAACCCTGAGCTTGGTCTACTCGACCGCGGTGAACCGGTTGAGCCGATGAAAACGGTGTTCAGCGTTGACAATGAGATTGAGAAACACAAGAATGAAAGAAATAACAATAACAATTCTACCGCATCTCTTACCTTGGTGGATGTTCATGTGTCTAAGGTAGACAGGTCGCCCAACACAGCTTTGGTCAGTGAGAATATGTCATCTAGAGTAGTGGACGGATCACTCTTCCCTGTGGCTGCACCACATGCAAACAGATCACTCCCCGTAGAGGACACACAGTTCTCTGGTGTGGATCCTGCACTCCCCACTGGAGACACTCTGCTCCCCAGTGTGGACAGCTCACTCATTATTGTAGACACATTACCTCCTAACTCATCACTCCCTATTATAAATGGATCACTCCCCAATACTGACCAACCATCTCTCCCTACTGTAGACATATCATTCCCCACTGTAGACCCATCACTGCCCCTTGTGGACACCACACCAGAAAGTTCTAGCCTGGACTTTGCCCAGTTCCAGTCAGCCATGACCAAACAGGAATCAAGTGGAGAGAGCTCTGGGGAATTTTCTGACTTTGTGATGTGCTTGAACAAAGGGAAGGTACCCACCCAAGAACTGGATGACTTTGCTGAATTTGTTTCTTCAGAAACACCAACACTAGCAACAGCGCCAAAGCCTGAAGATGCAGATTTTTCTGAAAATTCAGTTCAAGCATTGCTAGAAACTTCTTCAGACTTTATTTTTTCAGAAACTTCTGCAGAAGTAACAGTGCCAAATCTTGCTGAATTAAATATTTCAACAAACGCTACACTTGCAGACCTAGATGTTACAGAAAGTTTCTCATTTGTGCCTGCATCTTCTGAAACAAATTCTGCAGCTTCAGAACCAAACATAGAAAAAGCAACTGTTCTTAACTCTGCATCAGAGCCACTGGAAAGTTTCAACGAATTGATGAATGCTTTTGTTGGCCTTGAAGAAAACAAACCAGCTGAGCCTCTAGAAGATTCTCAGTTAGAAGATTTGAAGGTGGACAATGAGCTGAATGGAAATCGGGCAGGGATTGAGCAGATAGAAGCCTCAGAACAGGTAGGTTATCCTATCAACAATAACTCTCATAACCGCCAACCTCCAGGGTGCCACCCAACAGCTTCACACCTATCTAATGTAGTAGATCTTTACCGTTTCTCTCCACAGCCTAGAACTGACTACGTTGAGCAGCAAACGCCAGGAGAAAAACATTCACAAAACACCGCCACAACAGTGGGGGAGCTCTGCCGAACGGATGAATTTCTGACACAGGTGCCCCAGCAGCCGTACACATGTTTGGTGTGCTCCCGGCCTGAAAGCTCTGATGTTGTGTCTAGGTTTGATGTCGCGTCTAGGTTTGATGACACATCTAGGTTTAATGACACATCTAGGTTTGATGACACGGATACATCTGTTTCAAGTAACGCAGATTTCTCCATAACAAACAACAAGGGTGCTAACTCTAAAAATAACGTTGCAGCTACATCTGTATTGAGTAATACAGATTTCTCCATATCCAATAATTGTACAGACAATGATGTCCTAGTGGTGTCTATATTAAATAATACAGATAATTCTATATCAGAAGACACTCCCATCTCTATATTAGAGAACACAAATGACATCTCATTACTTGATGAGACCAATGTCACCTCTATACAAAGTGGCATAGATAGCATTTCTATATTAGAAAAAACAAAGTGCAATGCCATACCAGATAACACAGAGCATATCCATGTCCCAAAAGACAATTTGATCTCTTTACCGAATGACAGAGATGTCATTTCTACATCAGATGACATAGATGTCACTTCTGATGAATATTATATCACAAAGTGTACAAATATCGTAAATTGTTTGCCAGAGAACACAGATGACATCTCTACACTGACAAAGGCAAATGTCAACTCTTTAACAGAAGAGGCAGATGTCAATTCTATAGTAGAGGAGGCAGATGTCAATTCTATAGTAGAGGAGGCAAATGTCATCTCATTAATGCAGGAGACAGATATCAACTCCTTTACAGAAGAGACAAATGTCAATTCACTACTACAGAAGACAAATGTCAATTCACTACTGCAGGAGACAAATGTCAATTCACTACTGCAGGAGACAAATGTCAATTCACTACTACAGGAGACAAATGTCAATTCACTACTGCAGGAGACAAATGTCAATTCACTACTGCAGGAGACAAATGTCAATTCACTACTGCAGGAGACACATGTCAACTCAATACCAGAGGAGACACATGTCAACTCAATAACAGAGGAAACTGATGTCGACTCTATATCAGAGGACACTGATGTCGACTCTATATCAGAGAAATCAGCTATCGAGAGTTCTGGGTTAGATGAAGCAACTTATCAAATGGTCAGTGAGATGTACCTTTCAAAAGGTGTGAAATCTCCCCGAGTGTTTAAGATCCCCCCACTTGAGACAATCCCTGAGCAGATGTCCAGGTCTGATGACTCCTCAGACAACAGCTCATCCGAGGTGAAATACGAAGACATATTTGGAAGTGACGGCTATGAGTGGGATGACCTATACGGGGCGGCGGATAATCTTGTAGCCACACCCTCATCCAAAAACAGAAACAATTCAGACTGGTCTTTTGACAATGATGCCTTATGGGAAATGGACACTCCCTCGTCCCTCAGTAGATACGGCAATTCAGCACCCTCGTCATGGCCGTCTGTTTTCAGCCTAGACCAAAGCAATTTATATTGTCTGACTGATGAGCTGGACCTTCACTCCCCTCCCTCCACTGACCCTTCTCACAGTTCATCTCCCCTGTCTGTTAACTTGGCGAGTGACCAGGATGTGGCTGAGGTAACTTTTCATTTCTTCCATGTCAGTGCATGCACATTTTTATTTCATCGGGGTCCTTAATGCACCAGCTACCTACATATACCAGTGATACAGATTCCCCTGACCATTTCCCTGGCACAGTATATCATGTAGTCGTGTAACAAGTAATGCTGGTCATTCAAAACTTCTGTCACAGTCAGTTGTTTTCTCGTACGATCTTAAAATTATTTCCTCTCATATTTATCTTGGATGGGTTCAGCTCTCACTTGCCATTAGAATGTTTATATTGCATGTGTACACAGTCCATTTCCATAAGAATGTTGTATCTACGATCTACTTAACCTTCAAGAGTACAAATCCCACTGAATATATTTGCTACATGGGTTTATTCAGGTTATATTATGAGCATTTTATGACACATTCCACTATTTTCTTTTTCAAGTATAAATTTCTTCTGCCTGGGTGCAAATTTTGCATGCTAAATATCCACTATCATTTAAAATATTACATGTTCATTTGTTAATTTTGCAATAATTTATTTTTTTAATTCTAATTACTTATGATTTTATTAAACCTAATTATTAATTGTATGATTTATATTTAGTAAATAATTTACCTAAGTTAAGAACCATACATTATAACATGTTTAAAATGTACTAACCCTTTGAAGAAAGATTAACTAACAAATTCAGTGTAGCTTGTTAAATGTTGTTAAATATTGTACTGTGGTGTTTTAAAGATTTTCTAGTGGTGCTGGTCATTAGTTGAACTTAAATGTTCTATTTGGGTTCTGGCTATGCCATTTTGTTTATCAGAAAATATCATTTGCAAATTTATTTCTTGTTTTCTTTTTGTATTAAATATATATATTTTTTAAAAATTTGCACTTGATATTGTAATGTATGATGTCTGTGTAAAAAAAAAAGTTGCACATGAATTTTGTATCAATGAGTTTGGTGGGGGAATAGTCACCAAAGAGGAATGTTTTGTAACTGTTTGAGTAATTAGTGGAGTAACTTCTCTGAGTGTAATATCTTTTGACACAGTATATACACAGACATTTTGTAAAGGCGGCGGAGCTAAGAAAATAGAAAAAAAAAACACTCACTGATTAATGTTGTATATAATAATGTTTAAAATTAACATCCCGCTAAAAATATTATATTTGTCCTTCAGGTGACCTTAACACGAGTGAGTGAGCACCATGATCACACAAGTGAGCTGCCAACTGAATGAAGGGGACACTGAGGCCAACATGTTTGTCAAACTTCAAATTGTAATGAAACATGCCCCTATAACGTCGATGGCATTTTTATTTTACATTTAGTTAATTGAATGAGCTGTATTCTGTACTTTAAAATCAAATATTAATCAACAATCTTCTTACAAGGTTTTGCTAAAACAGAAGCAGACGAAAGTCTGTAGTAAATGATTATCTGCTGACTAAATCATCAAAGACCGTGTTTGTGTCAAATGTGTTAGTCCTGCTTGTGCATCAAATGTGTTTATATCTTGTTTGCGATGGTCAATCATCTGTACTATAGCAAATGCCCTATTGTTTATTTACCATTGAGAGTCATGCTGGTTTGAATGTTTCATTGATTGAATGTGGTTTTGTACAGGTAGACATTAAAATATATTTTTATTTAATACCAAATTATCATAAAGCAACTATATCATAATACTTAACCACAAAATTTACAAATCATTATATTTAGTTTACCTATTTTTAAAAACTACTAAATATTTTACTACTAGTATATATTGTATATGAAATACATTTATAATAAAATTGTGAATTACTCTAATGGCTGAGCCAACATATTTTTAATATATAATTATATGCTATTATACTTTACTATACTTTAATTAGCTTTTAATAAACTTTGAACTTTGTTTTACGGTCTTCATAAACAAAGGGAGACTATGTTGCAATGAAACCACTTAAGGCATTATATCAGGTTGTGGAGTTATTTTTAAAAAATGGTTGCCACTATTCTACTAGACTTATGACTAAAGCCAAACCTGAGTCTTTTTCTACGGCAAAGTGGAATATATTTTATAATAATTTTAATTTCACGTTATAGCCAGGTGTATTTAAATTTTTAAAAAAAGTTTTCTAGTTTATTTTTCACCTTATGGCAGCGATTGAAAGTGAGGGATCAGAGATTAAATGCATTTAAAGATCAGAGATTAAATGCATTTATTTTGTAAAGATTTTTTTTTCATTATTGCATGGTAAAGACTGTCAAAAAAAAACTTTAATCACTAGCTTGATTGCCATTAAATTAATTATACATTTTTAACATACTCCACACCCTGGATGATGCAATGCCTCTTGCAATAAATGACATTCCAAATATTTTTTAGCATTATTATCTCACATGCTTTGAGGCTCCTTTAGGAGCAAGGTTTTCTTGGATCTCACTTAGATCATAGGATGATGTAATAAATTGGTAGAAAATAGAAAGGTTCATTTGGCCTTGTTTTTAGCTTTGGACTGACTAGAAGTTGTCTATTTTAGTGGTTTTTTAAATAAACATTTCAAACATATTTCTTAGTATTAAAGTGAGTAGACCATCAAGTACATCTGTAGCATTACATTTTTAAGCTTTTCTAATCAAAGTTTCTACCTGTATAGAAAATGTTTTGTGTTTTGAAAAAAAATTGTTATAAGGAATTAGATTAGCTAGAGGTTATAGATTATCTGGTTTTTATCTGCTCCTTTAGATCACCAGATATGTGAATATTTATGAAGGTGTGTAAATTCAGGTATTCCAAACCTTTTCATTTAAATACTCACTTGATTTATTTACAAATTAATTAACATACTAATTAACCACATTATCCTAAATAGCATCAACTGCCCTAAAGCTTTACTACGCCCTCCCCTCCAGTAACATGTTTAATCCAGTTTTACTGTGTAGCTTTAAAATTGCATAATTAGAACTTTTGTAAGCTGAACATGAAGAGTTGGATTTGTCCAATATAATTGAAATTTACATATCAGACAGCATACTAAACTGGTTGTGATTATCAATCAGGAAAATATGGAGTCTATATACTTGTGCTGATTTACATGAAAAAAAATTAAAACTGCCCATATGTTCAGTTTAAAATAATGAGCAGTTCAGGTTTAGTGTATTGAACCTCCCCAATCTCATGTACTTACATTTACAATAAAATAGTGAATTTCTATATTCAAATCATGCAAAATATTGGTCTCCATATGAGTACTGACTTGTGAAAGGAAATATAAAACCCTTATTTGGTTTGCAATACATGCAAGAAATTTTTACCTTGTATTAATTTGTTATTGTTTTTGAAAAAAATCATTTTGAATTAAAAAAAGAAAACCTACAGTATCTAATTTTTAAGTCTTGGTTGTTTTGTGTTGAACTAAAACTGGTGCTGTCTGCTATTAGATTTAAACTTAATCAAAACTTTAAATGTCTGTGACTGAGTGCAAGTTAAATTAACACAATGAACTTAATTATTAACACTGGCTAATATAAAGTGGGCTTGGAAACATACGTGGTTGGTATAAAAGTGACTTCACTAAACATCAGCTGTTATTTTTAATGCAGTCTTTGGGATATTTAACCATGAATGGGTAAATTTATTTTTTTGAAAACTTAAAGTTGTAGTTGTAGAAAATGAGTTATTTTATTGAAATTTTCCATTCAAACAAAGGTATCTGAGAAGAATCATTTTATCATGATGATTAGCACCTAAGAAAAACCAGAAAAATACACTACATGGATTAGTAGTGATTATTATATTGGCATGATGCAGTTTAAAGGATACCAGTGGTAAAGGTATATAACACTCATTCATTATGCTGGACATAGTCATTTATTTCATGAATGATAAGCAAAGAAATATGAAGCCTAATTACCAATATAATCGTAAGGTCCCAAAGATAGGGGGTTTTCAAACTATATATAAAGATGACAAAATTCTTTAAACCTCTAAAGCTAATTTGACACAGTAAAAGTTCACTGAACATACTTGTCTGTTCATAATCCAATTTGTTGTGGAGATACTCCTGGTTCAATGTATACAGCTTATGGAAGATTTTTAATAAAAAAAAAATTTCATGTACTGATTGCAAATGAGTATTACATAATTTTACCAGCTTTTTCTTAGGTCACATTGTATCTGTGATTTCAATCAAAACTTCCCGGAAAATAAATACATTTTCAATGACAACTTAGAATATCTAATTTGGTATTAAGGTAGTCCTTCAAAATTATTTTTAAGATTACTTTATTTAATAAACAGGGAAAAGGAAGAGAATGGGATTAATTATTGGCCATTAATCAACTAGGTGTGTGTCATTAGTGAACTGACGTTCTCTGTTCTCACATGCTTTAGCTATTGTAGCTAAAGAAATTTTTTTAAAAATTTTTAGGGCATTTAATAAAAGTTTGTTATTATAAAATTATTTTTTTAGATAGCTTATAAATAAATAAGTTTTAGAATATCTAAATATTCACTGAATAGTACTTCCAATTATGTTATAATTATTGTTTGCCTGGTATCCAAAATTTTGTTACAAAAAAAAAAGAACAATACAATGCTGCCACAATTAATAACTTCATGTTTTAATGACAGAAAATTTTGAATCAGAAATAGCTTACAAAAAACTAAACAGAAAATGAAAATGATGTAAACTATTTTTACAACCTGATGGAATGGGTAGCGGTTGAGCTGGGAGAACCTGATACAATTAAACATAGAAATAAAATCATAGATTTTTGTCAAATGGTTTGTGAACATTTTATTTAAATCTTACCTAGAATAAATGATTTTCCTTTATATTCAAAGAATCTCAAAGCTTCCTGTCCAAAAAACACATCAGTAAAAATGCTGAAAATTTGAACAGCTAGATGTGTTTTCAGACCTTTCGTATCACATACTATTATAAGAGCCCATAAAACAAATATTTATCTATCTAGGAATGTTTTGGTAAGAGATATCAGGGTTCAAAGGTTAAATTAACCTTAATGTTAGCAGATTTTTTGTATGTTATACAAAGTTATTTAAAATATGCAATAGTCATTGTAATATTAGGAGTAGAATTGTTTACTAAATAACTAATTACATAATCTTTTTATAATAATATCTTTTACTTTTATAAATACAGTATAAAACTTCTGAGTTATAAAAAAAGTAATTTATTTATTATTGTTACAACTACATAAGATTTTATATAATTCAAATGCTTTATGGAAAAGGTGAGTTTTTACATTCAAGACTAGAACATTAACCAGTTTATAAAACTAAACTGGAGGTTTCTGAGAGTTTATCCAATAAACTTGTCTTAAAGGATATGGTAGAATTTATCTGGATTTCACAAACACATTGTACTGTGTAAAATATAACAAAGTGCTGTACACAGGAAAAGATCTGGTGTAAAATTGCCTTCATGGAATGTAGATCTCATAATTAAAGTTAGGACTCGTTTCTCTGGTCCACACAGCTTTTCTTGAGCCCCAGACTTCATCCTCTGGTACTTACAGGCACTTCAATGGAATGTTGGAGGGCGGGCGGCAGGAAAGACAACTGTAAGTTTTATAACGTCCCTTGTTTGCCTTCCCTTTTCCAAATAATAACCATGCCATTAGCATCACAGGATGCTAACAAACTTTCATCACAGTTAAAAGCTACATCCAACACTGGGGCAGAGTGACCTAGGAGCTTGTTCACACATGGCTTGCTCTCTTTTGTTACATCAAAGAAGTAAACACACATATCTTCACTGCCAGATACTGCAAGAAATGTCAAGAGTTAGAATTATGTCTGTGTAGGTTTAGCACTTAACTTGTATCAAACATTGTAATTATGGTATCATCTCTCCTCAGTAAGCTTGAACATTGCTCATTAGGCAACAATAAATCATTTTACACATTGTTTGTTTTAATAAGACCAGTCTCTCATTAAGTAGAGCCCTTGTTAATGTCTAATATATTTGTTGGTATATTCTTTCTGGGTGATGGTTAACATTATTTTACATTTATACATTACTTAAACATTTTAATTACATAAAAATACTTAAAAAAAACTTTTTAAAAAACCACGTTTTTCTTGTGGACTAAAAAGTAGAAAATAAATTTTTCTTTTGTGCTTCCTCGAGCTGTGCAGGTTCTTGTGATGACTGACAAAAAACGTGGGTACGTTCACCATCAAATTTCCCGACCCATCTGCCCGACCCACGTTTTTTGTCAGTCATCACAAGAACCTGCACAGCTCGAGGAAGCACAAAAGAAAAATTTATTTTCTACTTTTTAGTCCACAAGAAAAACGTGGTTTTTTAAAAAGTTTTTTTTAAGTATTTTATTTTCTCCTTTTTAGTCCGTTGCTACACATGAAAAACGTGGTTTTTAAAAAAAGTTTTTCATATAGTTTATTTTCTACTTTATCTAATGACTTGATTAAGTATGACTTGACTAAGTGTTTATAAATACACGGACTAAAAAAATCTTGAGCGACCAGGATTCGAACCTGGGTTGTCGCGGCCACAACGCGAAGTACTAACCACTATACGATCACGGCCAGCGCGCTCACATCGATTGGGGCCGAAGTAACTGTGTCAATAAGCCTCCAGTCTTGTCGGTATCTTTAGAAATCATGTCCTCAATTTTATGGTCCTTGGGGCGTAATTAAATTAAGCTAATTACGGTCTCTAATTGCTAGTTTTTATGATTGCATCTGAAAATGTTAGGCGAAAATAGCCTGTATGCCAAATTTCAGATCTCAAGAGCAATCAGAAGTGGGCTAATTTTCGATGTCAATTTTAACAACAAACAAATCCATCCACAAACGCGAAGCTGAGTTAAGAAAAACGTGTTAAAAAAAGTACATTTCTCTTTCTGACCTAACAATCCATAGAGCAGAAGAAGTAAAGTTCTTATGTCTCTTGACCTCAACATATGCAGGGTCAGTACTATGCCCAGCTGCTTTACTTTTCCTAATATGAGACAGGTACCCATCAGAGCTAGATGGGCTCAGAATGTCTGAAGTCCAGACTCCAGGACCAAAATCAGACCTCAAGACTTTCAGACTAGCAGTGGAGTGCTCCACCACGCCATCCTCTTGACATAATCTAGTCTGTACTACAACTAAAAACTCTGGCTACTTACTGACACAAGCCCCTTGTCTAAATGACATGAGGGGACAGAATGTGCTCTTGATACACAAACTACGCTGCTTGATGGAGAAAGATTTTTTAAGTTGAAGAGCTCCATCTTCTGATACAATCCTAGAAAGAAAAAAGACTGATTAGAAGAGCAATTCAAACTTTAATTGGGAGAGAACTGATACAGATTTTAATGTGCCAAATGCACATATGCCTACATGGTATTAATCATGACCAACCTATACAGAATCTATAAATCTATTTTTTAAAATGAAGCTTTAGACTATGCTTACCGAAATAAAGAGAGTGAGTTGATACAACAATTAACCAACAAACAAGGATCCCTGGCCTCTCTGCTGATCCATGCCCGGGCAGACAGGCTAGTAATTGGGTGACCTTCTGACACAGTTAGTCTGTTGAACACAATGCAATAATTAGTAATAGAGAATATCTAAAAAGTAGGAATTTAGGTTTAAATTTGTTTAAAATTTAGATGTTTTTTTTAATCTAGTATAAAAATTATAGAAATACTTTGGGAAATGTGGGGTCTATTTTAGCAGTTAGAAAGCTGTACAATGGCAAAACTTACCTCCTTGTCTTGGTCAACTTTCCTGTTGCGACATCCACTGTAAAGGAATAAACTGCGCCTCTTTCATCTCCAGCCCACAAGATGTGACCACTGGCATCAAAAGTCAAAGCATTCACTTTCCCAGTGACTTTACTGCTTCCACCCTGTCAAAAGTTAAACATTGTTCACATTTTATGCCCATCAAATTATAAAGGATGTAACTCTACATGGCTGAATCAATGCTCAAGAGGACTTCCTGAAATGTTTAAATGAAAGAGAAATCAGTTTGAACAAACCTTGTATCCTTTGCCTGTTGACATATTCATCACTTGCACCTGGCTACGACTGCTTCCTGTCTGACTTAGTCAAGAAAATTTCTTAAACAAAATTATAAACTGCTATTTAGGAATATGATAAGTGTAATGTATTTCTGTATAATGTAATAGCTGTATAGTGGCTGGCAGCTGCAACTCCAGAGCTACATGTAGCTCTTGAAATATTTACATGAGGCTCTTATTATTAAGTATTTAAAAATTTACATTAAGAAGAGAGTTGTTCAAATATATATTTATTTTGGTATTCAAGTGAGAATGCACTTAACTATATTTTGGAAGGTTAAAAAAAAAACAAATTATTTTTGTAGTGTTAAATGGTAAACAAAAAACACAAATCTTGACAAAAAGATACAACAAACATGTTGTTGTTGAGCGGTTGAAAAACACAACACTGCAGTTCTGAGTTGTTGCTGTCCTCTATGACCCTCATACAGGTTCCTGCGGCCACGTCCCACAGCCTGGCTGTCCCGTCCAGTGACACGGACAAGATGACATCATTGGACAGTGACCAAACAAAATCTGTAAACATACAGCTTTACTTCATGCAATGTTCTAATGGAAAAAATATCTTTTTTTTACACATCAATTCATTTGAGCTAGAATTTAGCACATAAACAAATGCCATTTTACACACAAAATGTAAGTGGAAGGATTTCGTTTCAAAACAAACTTCTTTTTATATATTATTCATCAGGTAATTTTAAAAGACATTTTACTAAACTGCTATTATCGATTAAATATTTTTTGTCCATTTCTCTTTTAAATATGTATCTCAATAGTATAAACAAAGTACATGGTCACCTGTAACTCCTGCCCTATGGCCTTTAAGCATACATATAACAGTTGCTGGGGGAGGGATCACCTGGCATATTGACAAGGTTCCATCCAATGAACAGCAAGCAACTCTCGACCTATCATCATTGGCAAATTTTACACTAGTGACTGTAAGAATGAGAAAAAAGGTAGTAGTATTTAAAGTAATACATTTTAAAAAACTTCATTAATAAGAATTATTTAAATGAGTAAAATAGTGAGTAAATTTAGACTTTTGGTAAATGGCTGAATGAAGATGACTTACCTGAAGCTGAATGCTGATCAAAAATGTGATGCATTCCAGTAAAAGCATAGTTTTCTGAAAGACTTTTTCCTCCTGCCATTGCTCTAAAGATGCATTTCAAAGAACAATTTTATTCAGCAATCTGTAAAACCAATCAATTAAAATAAAATGTCTGAACTAATGTGCTTACTTGCTTGCCTCTGCTACACTAGTTGGAACAACCTCAATGCTATCATAAACATGCTTCATAGGGCCCTCGTACAAGTATTTGAATGAACCACTACTTAAGTGGCGCCGATGGTGATGATAGAACTTCCTTGTATCATTGCCAGCAGCTATCATAGATTCCAGGCTCTGACAGAAGTTAGAAAAAAAATTTATTGACTTATTTTCATTCTTTCTAAATTTGAAATTAAAAATGTGTGCTTTGTTTGAATGCTGATACTCACAGATCAGTGTTGAAATTTGTATAAATAACACACCCAACGTTTAAGTTTAAGCTAATATTGCTCACCTCAGTGTTTCTGCTTATGCTCCGCAGGCTGAATGATCTACTTTTAATACTTCTAAATTTTGAAAAACATACAAAATGTAAACTGAGAGAAGTATTGAGAAATGATTCAGTCATCATATTTTAAGAGGTTTAACAACATATTTTTTAAAAAATCATTGATGCATAGCCTGTAAATACTGGCATTGCACTTCCCGAATACTGTAACTCTCTAACTTATGTTTCCGTAACTGGCTTGGCTATTTCTTCCTCTCCTTGCACATCACACCAATTGGTTTGGAAAAGAGGGCCAGTCTACAGTCTCAAGGCCAGGTGATGAACTTGTGACTTTTGGGCTAACGAGCATTCATTCTACTGTCCCCAAATTTTGCAAATAAGCTTACCCTTGATCTGAGAATGCTGGACTTCCATAGCGAGAGTTAAGAAGTTGTGCCCGCAAGCGGAGATACTCTTTTCTTGATGAAGCATCTTTCTAGTAAAATAAAAGTAACAAGTTTATTATTAGTTGGAATGAAAATATGTTATGCTGTATAGTCTTGCTGAACCTCAGTGTTAAGTAGCTTATCATATACTTCATATACAGAGTATAGAAGAAGTAATTTTTATATTTTGATAGTTTTTACAGTTTTGATCCTCCCTTCTTTATCTTATATGGAATGTAAAGGATGCATTGTAATCAGGCAAAATCTAAATCAAGATTTTGACAAATTATAAGATGATTTATAACCTTCCGGAGCCTGAAAAACTTAGTTTTGCAATCCTGTCCTGTAAACATGATAACTTGAGTGCTATATTAGTTAGGTTGACAAAATTTCCATTTGAACACAATAACTAGAGTACTCTTCAGTTAGGAAGATGAAATTTCATATATAAATATAAGATCTTATACTTGAATCACTTTCAATTTTTGAGTAACCTCTGATAACCGGAGGAGGTACTTTATTTCAGAAGAAGAAGAAGAGTACTATTTCATTTAGGCAGATGAAGTTTCCATCCTACATAGGTACTACATTCTATCTTCTTGATTCTGTCAAATTTTAAGTGATTTCCGGTGAACAGAAGTAGCACTATTGGCTATTTCCGATTTGTAAGAAAACCATTAAAACAAATTTTACAGCACTTTTGGTTTGCAATTCTTCTTTCTATGCAATTCTATTTTATTTAAAGTGCATATAATGGAGTGGAGAATTAGTGCTTTATAATGGGGTAATTCGCCCCATTTTCAATCTCTAAAGCATATTCTAAGAAATTTTCACTTCTAGATCTAGTTTTCTCAAAAACTGAGCTGTTAGTCACAAACTTCTAGATCTATATTTCTATAGCCTAATTGCACTAAAAGTGCCATCTTCCTTACAGTTATAAAAAATATATGAGGAAGTTTAGGGGTGATCACTCATGCTTAATTTGTATTTTTCTTATATGATATATCTGACACCATTTTTTAATGCAAGTAGGCCTACCTATATTATATATAATTATAGTACTTCTGATAATCTATGATATAAACGGCCAATTAGTCATCGCTCTGGAATCTAGAAACATAAAAGTAAACAATAACAAATGTTGTGCATTTTATTTGCATCGCATTGTCTTATTGTAAGTTATGGAGTAGGGTCTATTAATCACATGTAACAACTTAATTTTTTTTATTGTTGGCTAAGTTTTTTTTACAAAAATATTAAATACACACACATTGCTAAAACATATTAAACTGATCAGTGTCAAATAATATTTTCACTTAGGTTCCTAGAAAAAATTGATACATTTTAATGACAGTTTTTAAATAAAACAATTTAATTAAAATGTTTAATTATTAAGCCAGGGGAGGTAACTTAAAAGAAATTCAAGTCACGTAAATACTGCTATTAAGATGAGGGCACATTGCACAGAAGTTCATGAGAAGATTTTTGTTGTAATGCAAAACCATTTGTTTGATAAAGCCTTTTGCTGTTTGTGTTTTCTTTTGTGTTTGCATTTTTGTTTGCATGTTGTGTGTTGCATTAGCATTTGTGTTTTCATTTGTTTTGTTTTTTGTTATTGTTTGCATTTTAGTTTGTTTTGTGTTTGAATTAGTGTTTGCATATTGCGTTTGTGTTTTCTTTTGTGTTTGCTTTTGTTCTGTTCTTAAGCTGGTACATTTAAAAAAGATTCACTGTGGCGGAGCACAGGTATGCAACTAGTATATTATATGTGGGCCTATATATTATATATACTTTCTCTGAGCCACACTAACATATTTTTATCACAAGCAGACAATGTGTGATCTCACTATATTAAATGTTTATAATTTTATAACTGATTACATTATATAATATATAAAAATATTTTAAAATAACCTCATTTTTAGCATTTTCCCTCAGAAGCTGACTTCGTCTTCTGATGTAAAGTGTTCCTGTAAATTGTAAAAGTAAAATTCATTCATAAGATTAAGATACCACTATTATTATTCACTACTGATGATTGACTAGTTTAGTAATTTAAGTAATTATAATTAATTTTAGTAGCCTAAATTACTTAAAATTACTAATTTTAATACTAACACCTACTGATTTTTATTATATTACTTTACTAAACTTTACTTTAAATACTTTTACTTAGAGTGACTTAGAATTTCTTTACTTTTAATAGTTTATTTTTAGTTTAGACTTTAGACTAGTTTAGACTAGACAGACCTTATAACTTATTCAATTCTTATTTAATATTTATTATTATTTAGGCCTATTATTTTTAAAATAAAATTTTTAGATTTTAGGGGCCTACTAAAATTTTAGATTTAAAATAAGCCTTGGCCTGTAGAAATAGATCTAGATGATTTCTCTAAGGGAAAAAGAAAGAAAGGTTATAGATCTAGATATTTCGAGGAACATACTGAATTGAGGGTTGTTGGGAGATCTGTATGCATTGAATTTTGCATCCAATGCGAGTACCTGTTGCCACACAGCCATTCTTGTTTATTTTTACCCAACTACTCGCAAGCCTAGTTTTATACATTACTCTATGAATACAGTGTGTCGCTTACAGCTTTAAAAAATGTTATCACTAGATCGATTTTATTAAATTAAACGAAAACTTGATGTAAAATATTTTAATTTTTGAAAATTTAAATAAATTTATTTTAGGAAACTTTTAATCTAATCGCAAAGTGTAAAAATAAAACTTTAGTTAGATTTACTTCCGCGTATAAGCTACGTAGTAAGCATAGTATATTTTAGTAACATCTAAAATTAGAATACGTCGGCCATATAAAAACTTCTGACCGGAGCCATATTTTGTTGGGGCTCTGTAACAGGTTACTTTGAATTTCCAAATTTTTGGATTCATTGAAGATGCAGGCTATCAAATGTGTGGTTGTTGGCGATGGGTAAAGATATTTATTAATATTTTCGTTTGTGTGAGGAAAACTGTTTATATTTGAATTAAACGGACTGATTAATTTGAGAAAAAAACATCACTAGACTTTCGTCCGACGAAGGAATAAGTTATGACTTCCTCATTTTGCAGTAGACATTACACTTACAGCTACTGACTAGACTACTTACTTATTACCAACTTACACCCACGGCACTTGTATTATTTACTGCCACTTGTTTTACCACTAACTTGTACTAGATTTAACTAGATCTAGATACAGTAAAATATGACATGTAGGCTCAGATCTAGTGAAATCTAGTCTACTCACTCTAGCTAGTCTAGTGCTAGTGACCACTACAGTACAGTAGTAAAAAATCAGTAGTTGACTTCAGTGTATGCCTGAGTCAGTGAGTGTTATACAGTCATAACCAATTCATTATTTCCTATTTAATAGGCCTATTTCTATTTGTTAGGCGTTAGCCTAATAAAAATTGAGAAATGAATGAACTTGGGCCTTAAAAATTGAGGCGACAGAGTCGACAAGAATCCTTCCATCTCATTGTTGATATGGATTTAAAATGTTTTTGTTTTTTTAAATTTGCAATCAAAGCGACCATAAAAATAAAAAAATAAATAAAACTCAGGCCTAAAAATAATTCAGAAAGTTAAATATTTTTAAAATCAATGTTATAAAAGTGTATGGTTTTTAAAATATTTAATGGGCCTCTCGAATACCTTTGAGACTTTTCTCGCTCAGGTTCATTAAATCTGATTAGGCCTTTAAATACATTTTTTCTTTCAAAAATATAAATTTGCCTACCTACAACTCTGTTTAGTCAATTTACTATTCACATCTAGATCTACTAGATTCCAGATCTAATATGTGATTAGAATATAATATTAATTAGATTTACGCCATAATTTTTGTTTAACCCGGTGCTGAAGAGAAAAAACTGAAAAATTTCTAGGATCATCATAATGACAATACATACTAAACTAGATCTATCTAATAAATAATAGTTAAATAGCAGAACTAATTTTATGACATGGTTGACAAGGTATAATTGATTAATTAGTTACCAGTACAGTTGAGTATGTATAGTGTAGTAAATAATTGTCTAGTGTTGTGACATTTTGTACATTTATCACATTATAACATTTACAAGATATGATTAATCCTAATTGTCCTTGCTATTTCTTTCTTACTTACAGTGCTGTGGGTAAAACTTGTTTACTCATTAGTTACACCACAAATGCCTTCCCTGGAGAATACATACCTACTGTGTAAGTAATAAGTGTGCATAAATTTCAGTGTGATATCTATGGTTACCAGTTATTTTATAATTTTGTTCTAATCTTACTTGTATCATAATTATATTTTGGCTTATAGCTTATTTTCTTTGAATTTTGTAAACATTTAATTTTATTACATGAATAAGGGTTTACATATAAATAATGTGACTATTATTCGCAGGTTTGACAATTATTCAGCCAATGTCATGGTTGATGGAAAGCCAATTAATCTTGGACTTTGGGACACAGCCGGTCAGGAGGATTATGATAGACTCCGTCCTCTCTCATACCCTCAAACAGTGAGTAGTGTTATTGATTTGGCTTGGGTGTGGATCTTGTATACACACAGGCAAATATAATCACACATGATCTTCAGTTCTGTAGAGCTGTATTGTTGACTTGCTGGCCATCCAGTGGTCTTTGAAAAATAAATTACTTGTCTTACTTTGTTTGTTTTGCATTTCTATTCATTTCAAAGTAAAAGTTTCATATAAGCATTGAAACAAGTCAGAAATCAGCACATGATTAATTCTCATTAAAATTGTTAGTTCAGATATTTAGAGGTATGCTGCTGCATAATTTTGTTCTTTTCACCTAAAAGCACCAAATAGGCCTACTTTATTAATATAGTTGTTTTTTCACCTTTGAGGGCCATTTTATTTTAGTGTTCAGTCTCACATTAAACATTTTACATAGAGATTTTCAAAAGAAACAAAAACAATGATTAGTTCCGTGCCTCATTAGGAACAGTAGAAATACTTTGTAGCTTTTTAAAGTTGAAATATAAGCTCATCACTTTTAGAGTGACAACTTAAATATATATATTTTGGTAATATAGTCTGAAATTTTTCTCTCATTGTTTAGAAAGGCAGCAAACCCCTTTTTAAAAAAAAACTTTTTAAAGTATTATTTTAAAATAGATACTATGATAATTAAACCACTGATATGCACACATTTTTCAATAAATAGTTGTAATGTAAAAGCCAAAATATACTGAAGAAACAAAGGTATCTTAGTTCTGGTAATTTTGTTCTTTTTTTTATAGGATGTGTTTCTTATATGCTTCTCATTGATCAGCCCAACAAGCTTTGAGAATGTGCGGGCTAAGGTAAGGTCATTTATAGGTTGAGGCTATTCAGAATCTTTTCATTAAATATATTGTATAAACATGTACTTAGGCTGTAATGAAGCTCACTCCTTAAAATCTATTGTGTATAGTTACATATAGTAAATTATTTTTCCAGATCCTAGATGTTAATTATTGCTTTTTATTTATTTAAATGGTTCTTAAAATAGCCTTCCCCTTCCTAATTCCAAAAAAAATAAATCTTTTTTTTTCAGTGGTTCCCTGAAGTAAGCCATCATTGTCCTAATACGCCTATCATTCTTGTGGGCACTAAGCTGGACTTGAGAGAAGATAAGGAAACTATAGAGAAATTGAGAGAAAAGAAGTTGTCACCCATCACATACCCACAAGGATTGGCCATGGCTAAAGAGATCGGCGCTGTTAAGTACCAAGAGTGCTCAGCTCTGACACAAAAAGGGCTAAAGAATGTATTTGATGAGGCTATCCGTGCTGTGTTATGCCCTAAACCAAAGCCCAAGAAGAGGAACAAATGCAAAATTTTGTGAGCAGTAATTTCTTAAACATTGTGTATCATTTGGTCAATTAAGATGTATCAAATTTAATAAAGCTTTTAGTAATGGCACAAACTTTCTTTTGCCATGAAACCATTGGCCTCAGTCTGTGTATGTATACACATAAAATGTTTTTTAAAATTCTTCTTATCACCATTCAATTTTTAGCTGTTGACAATATTGTATGTATATGACATAAATTGAATGATTCAAGTAGATTGTTTGAATGCTATTTCTTCCATATATTTTCTTTAGTTTGTCTTTTTAAAATAATGTAAATTGAACTTTTTTTTATAAAAATACTATCGCCAGATACATATATCATAGAAGTAAGATTTCTGAGAGTCTATTTCGTGTTCCAGTTGCTCCTTGCATGGACAAATTTTATGGTTTTTGTACACTTTGTTCTTGTTTCAGTTAGAGCTTAGCAGTGTGTCTAGTATATGCTTGACACAATACTACAGGTTAGAAAATAAACTTCAAACACAAAAACTAAAAAATGTATACTATACTACATTTTAAAAAAAAGACACCACACTAATATTTTTTTTTCAGTATTTATATTTCAGTTTAAAAATAAATGACAAAAAAATGAATGGCTAAAGTTTTTAAAAACTTGACAGTACTACAAGATGGCGAAGAGACTTGACACAGACCAAAGACTGAAATACAGTTTCGACCAATACAAATTACGATAAAAGCAATTCCAGGGCTGTGTGGTTGGGGTCTTGATAGGTGGATCAGACTCTAAACATCTATTTTAATTAGAAAATGATTTCATGAAAAAATAATCAAAGTGGATGTCTACAGTGTTAACATTTGTATTAGGCCTAATTTAATAACATTTAAAAATTCTCTAAAGATAGGTATTTATTCTATGGCACCAGCTCCACAGCCCTGCATAATACAAGTTAAGAGTTGGGCTTGACATGGCAAGTCTTCGAGATTTGTACAGTATGAACAAAATTCTTTTAATTAAAAGTAAAAAAAAAATCACTTGTACACTCTATTATCTAAATTTTATTCATACGCTGTGTTTAACTATAGATGATCTTGTCATTAAAAGCATGTTTTAAATTATTTATTTTGTTGTCATTTTGTCCTACTAAAGTATAAGTTTACTAAATTAAATTGTCCATACAGTAGTTGTTTTTTTATAGCTACTTTGCAGTTTGCTGAGAAGTCTAAAACAAAAAATTCACAAAATCTTTATCAATGTACACAGCAGATCAATAGAATTTAATGCATAATACTTTTTGTGATAGGACACATTGCATTCTAATTCGGTGTATCAATTTTGCATTAGGAGCAATTTGAATTGTTGATAAATAAAAAGTTTAAAGTCTCTGAATTAAATATTGGTACTGCCAAAACAGATATCACTGTAAACAGCTATTTATAGGCATAAAGTTAATAAAATTTAGATCTAATTTTAAATTGAAACAAGATAAATAATCAACTTATGCATAATACTTAAGCCTAAATATTACTAATTAATAAATAAAATGTCAAACACTATAAAAGTAAAAATAGACAGGCCCAAATAATAATATAATTCAAAACCACATTTGAATATTCTTCAGAAAACATCTTTAGTGGTGGTTTAAATTGTATTTTAACATGTCAGATCATTTATATGATTTTTAATACAAGTATGAGGAACCTTAACAATAACAAGCTTTTTAAATTAAATGCATTGAAAATGATATTAAGAAAAATTTGCTTTCTTTATACAAGTTTTGATAACTCTTGAGATCTTTAACATATTTTAGAGACCAAAGCTTTTATAAAATAAAGCAAATTAGCTTTATTTTCAAAGAATTTTTTTAAAAGCTTGTTATCTCCCCTTAATTTTAAGATAGTTTTATTAATTTTTTAAAGACTAATTAAATAAAGAATAGATATTCTTGCATTGCCACCCAAAACTAATGTATCTACATTAGAAGTGTGTCAAAATTGCCACAAACCTAAGAACGGACATTGTAAACTCAGTAAAAGCTTGTAAAAAATCAGCTTATTTTGGAAAATGAAATTTCTTTGAAAGAGGAGAGAGTGACCCGCATCAAGATTCATGTCTGTTGGGATTGTAATTACAGTGGGGTAAACTCAACTCAACCTGTGCTGAAAAATAAGGAAAATTACAGCATTAATAGAAAATCGTTTGCTAACCCTTCATTTGATACAGTTGTAAAGTCTCAGCCTTGGGCCTGCATCATATAATTACTATCTATCTATATATATAATTCTCTTCTGTGAGACGCTAGAAAACAAGCTGTAAACGCGCTCCCTACCATCCCCACCCCTACATGGTCTTAGTGAGCTGTGGTTCACGCTATGTTTACCTTCGTGGAGTCGGGTTTAGTGACGGCTATTAGGGGCAGATAATTTAGTTTGAAACGATTTTAAACGTTGGGGGGGGGGGGGGGGGGGGTATGGTCCTTAACGAGCTACCTATAGTGTTTTAAAGAAATATTTTCAGTGTCAGCGTTGGTACTGTCGAATTCACAAATTATGAATTACTGAAAAGAAGAAAAAACATTAACTAAATAGCGGCGTATGTTATGCGGGCCGGCTCGTATTATATAATAGGCCTAGATTCTATCTAGATCTATACTACATAATAATATAATATATTATATTATTATTATAGGGGCCTATTTATTAAATTTTTTAGCCAACCACCTTCGACCCAGTTTTAAATCAAAATCATTAAAATTAACTTATTAACACAATTTTTAAACCCCTCCCACTTCCAATAATATTTGCACGATCTCTTATGAAATAAACGCTTCAAAAAATTTATTTACATTATTTAATATTTACTTGTAAGATTTTATTTTTATTCCCAGCTCCCAACAAATTCACTACAGCTGAGATATTTCAGTTGCTTTAATAACGTTTGGGAGGTTAGCTTAACAAAGGGACATCATTCCAAAAACAAAATCAATAAATGTACACAACGAAGGTTGATAAAAAGCAGCAACATAGTTAAAATAAAATGTCTTGCTTAAAACTTCCGTATGATAAAAAGTTATAGATCTAGATGAAACATAGATCTAAATCTAAAATGTCTTAAGTAATTAAAATCAATTATTTAGATCGAGATCTAGAATTCGCGAATGGTAAGTTTAAGTTTAGTTTTTGAAATAAATAAATCGAGATAAGGCTGCTACCTTAGTACCTAGTCCTACTGTCTGAAATCAGAAGTCAATCTTGAATCTTGACTAATTTTATTTATGGTTAGAAATTGGTAGGACTAGGGTTAGGGACAGGGTTAGCAATTGACATTAGCCAGCCATGTGTATTTTAATACTATTTAAATTTACTATTTAGTTAACTACCAGTAAGTTCAGTAACCTAACAGTCCTAACACCCCCTTTTTACTTTCTCGTATATACGTAGTATAGAGAAAGTATTGTAATCGTGCAAAAAAAAAAAATCGAGATTTTTACAAATCTCGACGTTTTACACCTCACTGATACGGAAAAACATAATTTTGCAATCTTGTCCGTATGTCTGTGTGTGTGTGTGTCTGTCCGTGTGTGTGTCTGTCCGTGTGTAAACACGATAACTTGAGTACCGTTACAGCTAGGTTGATGAAATTTCATATATAAGTATTTTATCAAAATCGTAGATCCGTATCAACTTTTGAGCGATTTCCGATAACCGGAAGTGGTACTTTTCCTACTTTGAATTTTTCAAAAGCCTATAACTTGAGTACTATTTCAGATAGATAAATGAAATTTCACATGTAAGTAAAAGATCTAATTCTCTACCTTCTGTTCAATTTTGAGTAATTTCCGTTGACTGGAAGTAGTAATTTACGCTACTTCCGATTTCTCAAAAACTAATGTAAATTTTAAAAGTACTAATAATATTGCGCACTATTATGCGCTTTTTTTATTTGCGTTCACTTGGTGTGCAATTAATTTGTCTACGAGATTTTATTCTATTTTTAAAACTTTAAGTATTTAAAATGGATTAAAAATCATGTCTATGCCCGAGTTTCCATCCCCTGTTATTTTATATAAGAATATTCGAGAAAGTTTAGGGGAGATCACTCCCGGTTTATTAACTTAAGGAAGATTCGGCATTATCGGATACCAGTATAAAAATTCCCCTGAATCTTTGACAGATTTATACATTAAAAAGTAGATAGTGGATATTAAGTTTGATTTTTAATCTACTTATTCTTATTACTTACACATGACTATATCTAGAATAATCTAGATCTACTTACTTTGGTTTAATTATTATAATATTTAATTATTTACCCTCACTTTGGAGGCGCTTGTAAAAATCACATGGATCTTTCTTTTCCATCAAGTACTTGAGCACTAGATATAATGATTTCTAATATATTGAATATCCTGTTTATAAAAAGTCATTCTTTTAAGTTAGTGTGACCTGACTACTTTTGTTAATTTCATGAGAGCTCCTTAAATCGGCTTAAAGTCTTTCATAAATGATATGTGTTTCAAGGCCAAGAAATCAAATTACTTGAAAACTAGTTAAATCTAATCAAATAGTAATACTTGTTAGTCTCAATCCCACTACAACATAATAATAATCCATTGTGGGTGTAGCCAAATGTTCATGTGATGTAACTATGACTTATGGCTTATCTTATGACGCCATAAAAAATCAGTAAACCAAACAGGAAAGGGTGAGGGGGCAAGATGGACCTAGTCTGCAATAAGATTGGGCTAATGTGATAAAATAACTTTAAGCAATCTTTTAATTAGGTTTTTTGAAGCTGTTTATTAGTCCTGGTAACTTTTATACATTCATTCCTAAGATATGTTATTATACTTTTGTAAAGTTCTTTTCAAACATTTTAGAAATAAATGAGAAATTCAAATATGAATTCATGTCACTTGCCAAGTAGTTTTTACCATGGAGATAAAGATAGACAAACTCTGATTTTGGAATTTTTTTCAGGGTAATAATGACTTTGGATAAAAAGTCAGTATATGATCAATTGACTTGGCATACTATACAGTGATTGACCTAAAATAATTTTATTATTGCAAACTATTTTGATATTTTTATCAGAATGCTGAAATAAATGGACCTGAACTGTTGTAGTCAGTAATGAGATAATGTTTATGTAATTTAATAATTTGAAGTAGTTTATTCAGCCTGATAACTTTTAGCAATGCACATTTATTCCTGATATTTTTTTTACTCCTGTCAAGTTCTATAAAAATGTTATAAAATATACAAATTCAACAATGAAGTGAAAGAAAGCTGGTCACATTCTTAAAAGCTTACATAATTTACTTGTAAGATTTTATTCCCAGCTTCCAACAAATTCACAACAGCTGATAAGTTATATATATATATATATATATATATATATATATATATATATATATATATATATATATATATATATATATATGTTACGGTCAAAGCCCGAGGTCGGCCAATGCTAGGATTGGCCGGCCAATCCGCGCATTGGCCAATATCGCCTCCTATAGGTCGGCCAAAGTCCGAAACTTTGCTTGATTTTGGCCTTTGGCCGGCCAATCCGCAGACTGGCCGTGGTGGACCGGCCAAAGTCTGAAATAGCTCTTGATTTCGGCCTTCGGCCGACCAGTCCGCGGACTGGCCATCGTGGACCGGCCAAAGTCTTAATTAGAAGATCATATGGCTATGGACGACCGGCCAAAGTCCGAATTAGAGGATCATGAGTAGATTTTGGTTTTTTTTTATGCCGTAAGGATCATGAAATTAAGTCTTTATTGATTATTAATTAAAGTAAATGACAGAAACATTCAAATTTTTTATTGTACTATAGTCTCAATCTATCAATATCATCATTTGTTTCAACAAGTTGAACTTTTATGGCATTTAGAATTACATAGCAGCTTGTTATTTTTACACTTGCAGCGATTTGTTGAGCACTTAGTTGTGCAATTGCAGCGAGTGTAGCCTTGGCCCCCAGTCAATGATTGTGAAGAAGCGATGGTTCGTAGTGATTTTTCCACAGTGCCAACTGACGACAATAAGAGCAGTTTTTCGTGAAGAATTGAAAACTCACTTCTAGCATACAGTTGTTTTAGAACACCATGTTCCGTTCCTAATTTGTAGAAACCGCCCTCGACGCTCATGACAACTGCAATCACGCTTCGGGGATCACCGTGACCTCTGTCAACATCTGGAAAACGGATGCGTACATTGTCACCCACTTCACCATCTTTAAATTTTGTATTTGATGTTTTAAGCATCTTAGCACCTTGAGTTTGCTAGCCAGTATGAGCTGCTGATCTGTGTTCCATGATGTCTTGTTTGTTGTGACACAATCTGCAGGTAATGTTCCCTCCGTACCCTTCGTCTGCTTCATTGAGTATTCCACAAATAGCATGGACATCGTTGCCACAGGATCCAAAAGAATGAGCTGCACTACAATGTTTTTCACAAACTATATAGAATCTGTTGGCCACATTATTGTCACGCAACTGGTCTGGACGTTCCACAAGGCAGTAGATGTGTTAGCTGAGGATGTCGTTGCATTTATGGCAACCTCCATTTTTTGTTCAATGTTCTCAAGATCTTCCCCAGTAACTATTTTATCGAGAGCCCATATATGGAAACTAACATGGATTTACATTTTTTTCTTTTGACAGCCATCTGCTATGTCTGTCTCATGGTCTGACGGTCCTTTTGATCCATGTCGCCTTGCATATAGAATGCTATACAAACAAGAGCTAAACAATACGTTACTATCAATACAAACGCACCCAGAATAATGAAAATGCGATCACAACTTAGTCTAGATAGAACATTGGCCAGGACATCCCGGCCAGTGCGCGCATTGGCCGGCCAATGTACAAAATACGCTGTCAAGTTTAAGCGCTTCGGACTTTGGCCAGTACGTCCCGGCCAGTGCGCGCATTGGCCGGCCAATGTACGAAATACGATCTTAGTGCTAAGTTCTTCGGGCTTTGGCCAAGAGAGCCGGCCAATGCGCGGATTGGCCGGCCAATCCGCGGTTTGGCCGGACTTCGGGCTTTGACCGTAACATATATATATATATATATATATATATATATATATATATATATATATATATATATATACATATATATATATATATACATATATATATATATATACATATATATATATATATATATATATATATATATTTATATATATATATATATATATATATATATATATATATATATATATATATATATATATTTATATATATATACATATATATATATATACATACATACACACACACACACATTTGTACATACTAGAATTGATGGATATAACTATTTAATATCTGCAATCAGATGAACGCAGATAACCCTGAGGAGAAATTACCTTGGAGGAAAACTCAGCTGCTTGGTCAAGGTGCCTTTGGCTGCATACATTTATGGGAGAATGTTGTAAGTTAAAATTTTCTTTGAAAATCTCTTTTAATTTTAAATTCACACTTTAAAATAGACACAACAAAAATCCACTATCCCATAACTAAAAAACACAACAAAAGATACATTCAGCTAATGACCTTGATCGAAATGTAATCTCTTTGTATATTTATTCATATTACTCTTGGAATTAAAAAATCTTTTTCTATAAATATGAAAGTTTTCTCTTTGTTACTAACATGCTTAGTTTTATTTTTTTTATTTGTAGCAATTCTGATTCACTTTTGTCCTTTTCTACTAAAATTTCACTTGTGATATCGTTGCTATTTCACAGGAGACAAAAGAAAAACTGGCAATCAAGACATGTAAGCATAAAGAAGAGATGTCTGATAAAACATGGGAACGCTGGAAGATGGAGGTGTACATCATGGGAAAGCTGAAGCATGAAAATGTTGTTCGGGCTGTTGATCTTCCAGAAAAGCTGAGCCCTCAAAGTGGTCAGCCACCAGCATTAGCCATGGAGTACTGTGAAGGTGGAGACTTAAGAAAGGTCTGGCACCTTCTTTTGGATGTGGCTGAATATTATCACTGATTGTTTTACTCAAAAAGTTCTAGTTTTCAATTAGTTCATGATTTGTAAAAACAAAACTTGATTGTTCTAATTGTTTCAGGTTCTAAACCGGCCTGATAATTGTTGTGGACTGAAAGAAAATGAGATACGCCAACTTTTAACTGGGGTAGGCAGCGCCATTGAATATCTACACAGCAATCGAATCATCCATCGAGATCTAAAACCAGAAAATATAGTCTTAAAATGTTTGGATGAGAACAAGGTGATTTTTAAAATTTATTTACAGTCCAGTTCATACACAAAGTTGGGCATGTTGTTTAAATCCTCTATCATATACTTAATTAAGAACGAAGAAGAAGAAGAAAATTCATTTTATATGATATACAAATATAATATAGTCAGCTCACAGTACTTCTTACTTCCCTTAAATGGCTGTACTACAGAACAGAGTGGGTCAGGTTTTTTAGACTTAATTTAATAAGTTAGTCATTCTCTGGTGGTCTGTGTGAAGACTAAATAGTCACTAAAATGATTAACAACTTATGATGGCAAAACAAATAATTGGCTGAATCTAAGTAAATAAGTTAAATTAGCATCACTTTTCATATATTTAAAAAAAACCTAATAAGCAACAGTACATTATTTAGTTGGGTACTCTGTTTGTATTAATCTTATACATTTTTCTTTTCTTTTAGATATTATATAAAATAATAGACCTGGGTTATGCTAAAGAACTTGATTTGAGCAGTATCTGTAACTCATATGTTGGAACCATGCAGTACTTGGTAAGAACAGAATTTTTGCATTGTACATGAGAGGTTATTTAATAAAAATTAAACTTCTGTTACAAAAATCAGCACTAAAAATAAGTATAAAACCTCACATAAATATGGCCAATAATAAACATGCTCATCGCCCGCAAAGTTAAAAGGTTTTTTTAATTAATTTTTGCAAAGTTTTCTTAGGCGTTTAATTAAGATATAATTATTAATGTCATATTTGTTGCTATAAAACCCCACATGCTATTTTTCAAGGTGTGTGAACCATAAAGGATAATACTTAAAAAAAAGGCTTGTGAACAATATTTAGTCATATCTGATTACATGTTATAGTAAGTTCCTTAACAAAACTAATTCATGATTCTATGTGCACAACTTATTATTACAGGCTCCAGAGTTGTTTGTTACTAAACCTTACTCCAAGACAGTTGATTACTGGTCATTTGGATGCTTGGTTTTTGAGTGCATTGCTGGATTTAGACCATTTTTACCAACATTACCACCAGTTGAATGGTGAGATAATTCATAAATATTCGTAATAGAGACCTGTCTTTATGTTTCAAATCTTAATTTCTAAACTCAGATTTAGGCATGTTGCTGAAGTCAGGTGAATGACAGTTATGCCTAACCACATTGCACCAAGCTTTTTAGATACATTCTTCTATAGGACTAAGACAAGAGGCATAACTGCTTACTAACCTCAACTTCCTTTCCCAAATCATTTACAAAATACAACAGAAAATTGTAAAGAATTATTTTATTTTACAAGACAAAACAAAAATGCTTAAATTCCTTTAAAAGAAGTTTGAATTGTTAGCTGTGTTAGACTGCACAAAGCCACAAGATGTAGCCAAATTACTCATTGACTGTTTTGTGATGTTAAAAATTTAATTGAGCTATAACAAGTTTAAAAATATGTACACATTATACTCCAAGGCACAATGTTGTCTGTAAAAAATCACCTGATGATATCAATGCCCAGTATGATGAAAATAAAGAAATAAAATTTTCAAAGAAGCTCCCTCCTAATAACCAGTTGTGCAGGTAAGATTTGATTATTTATACTTTTTTCCTTGTAAACAAAAGCTTCAATTACCACAATATAATCATCCTTCCTCCTGGTGTATAAGAACTACTTGATGATTTATGATCTCTGCCTTATACATGTGATTAGACCACTCCAGAACTACCTAGAACAGTGGCTGAGACTTATGCTTAGATGGGATCCCAAAGCCAGAGGAGGAGGAATAGTACAGGCACAAGGGATAGAGAGGCCAAAGTGTTTTTGTGTGTTAGAACAAATTATGGCAATCAAGGTAAAGTAATTTTTATGAATCAGAATTCATACAGTCAGCTATAAAAAGCTTTGTATTGTATAATGTGTGTGTTTTCTTTAAATTCACCCACGGTTTATTACTGAGGTAATGAAAAGAAAAAAAATGAACAAATATTACATTTTTAGAAACCGTTAAAGTTCTCACTCTAAAAGACTGAAACAATGCTTTATAGTGCACACTATTTGAGATCTTGTTTGAGAATGGGTCACTAACTGTTTTTTTTTTAGTCGGGTCTAGTCCTGGTCTAAAATCTGTTACCAGACTTTTAAAAAAATAGCATTAATTTTGCATCTGACAAATGGGTTATTACTCGCAAAAAAAAGTGTATTTTGAACTAAGCATTTAGCTTTATCATGTAAAAAGCACCAATATTTTTAAAATATTGAGAATGCATTACATATTTGTATATATTTAATATATACTCTCTTATATTTTTATCTTGTTAGATTTTGCACATTCTGTATGTGGAAATGAACAGTATTCTGTCTTTCAATGTAAATGAAACACACACAATGAAAGAAGTTCATGCAGCCATTGAGCTAGAGACTGGGATACCACCTCAACAACAGTACATTATATTAGCCAATGGTGTCAAGCTGGAGCCCACAGACACAGCTCTTCAGGGCTGTTCAGATCCAGTAAGTCATCCAGTGTTGTTAGTGATCCAGTGTGGTAAGTCATCCAGTGTGGTTAGTGATCCACAGTGTGGTAAGTGATCCACAGTGTGGTAAGTCATCCAGTGTGGTTAGTGATCCACAGTGTGGTAAGTGATCCACAGTGTGGTAAGTGATCCAGTGTGGTTAGTGATCCACAGTGTGGTAAGTCATCCAGTGTTGTTAGTGATCCAGTGTGGTTAGTGATCCAGTGTTGTTAGTGATCCAGTGTGGTAAGTGATCCATAGTGTGGAAAGTCATCCAGTGTGGTTAGTGATCCACAGTGTGGTAAGTGATCCAGTGTTGTTAGTGATCCAGTGTGGTAAGTGATCCACAGTGTGGTAAGTGATCCAGTGTGGTTAGTGATCCACAGTGTGGTAAGTCATCCAGTGTGGTTAGTGATCCACAGTGTGGTAAGTCATCCAGTGTTGTTAGTGATCCAGTGTGGTAAGTGATCCAGTGTGGTTAATGATCCACAGTGTGGTTAGTGATCCACAGTGTAGTTAATGATCCACACTGTGATTAGTAATACATAGTTAATGATCCACAGTGTGTGAATATTAATTTGAAAAAAAAAAAGCTTTAAAAAATATTATTAAAAGTAAAAAAAAAAAAGTTTCAGTTTTACCCAATATTCTGAAATCTAAAACTAGATATTTTATGTTAAATAAAAAATATTTTGTCATCTTGAATGTTTTCTATATTATTTGTTTATTTTGTAGAATACAGAGGAGGTAATTGTCTTTTTGTTTCGGCGAGGAAATCTCCAATATCAAGCTAAAAATAAAAAACTACCACAGCAGGTACAAGCTATAGCTAAAGAACCAAGTACCCTTCTTCCTCCTAAGGTAATCCCCATTTTATATTTACCTATTTTATAAAAATGTGTTGTTAGGAATAGGCTATGGATACTATCAAGAACATGTTAGGGTTTGCTCATTGTGTGGCCTGTAATGTATTTCATCTGCAGACTTAGATGTATTGTATATTGTATACTTATTTGAACAAATAGTGTAATGTATTTTAGAATGTTTATTTTACAGTTACATGTAAATTAAATTAAAATTAGTTGTACATATGAACCTAGGTTGTAAATTCAGGTGTAAGCGCTCACTGGTCTGTAGAAAAATCTTGTAACTTAAAAAACAAACAAATTTCATTCTATTTTTAGGACCATCGTAAAGCGTGGGCACATGCTGTCCACTGGTGTGCAGTAACAAACAGAGACTATAAAAGGATAATTCTAAGTCACAGGGCAGCTCTGTAAGTTTTCAGTTAGTCACAGTTTTGACTTGTCAAAACTTTGATTAAGCTGTTAAATGTTTTTTTAGCTTATGCTTAAATGTCTAACTACATTTTTTTAGCCCATTAATGAATAATTCTTTAGCTCTACTTAATGAATGTCTAACGCCTAGATAGAGATTAAATTTTATAAACTGACCAACCCAGGTTGAGCCTCCTACGTAGCAACAGTTTAGTCTCTAAACAAAAGTGGCAGATGACGAGTGAGATGGGTAAGCTTATGGCCTGCAAGGATCACTTTCAAACCAGGTGAGGATATTTTTTTCTGAGTTCAAATGTAATTAACTGCTGATGTTTTCATTTTGTTTTTAATGTATTTTTTAAATATTATGTTCACATTTTCAGTTTGGACTTTGATCTCCAAAAGTGTAAAGAAAACATTGAGAGTAGGTAGATTGTTTACTAAAAATAAGTCTTCTAGACTCTTTCTCTCTACTCTTTCTCTCCCCCCACCCCCCTCCCCGTATAGAATTAAATGCATGGCCTCAAGCTTGAAAATAACTATTCTTTTAATTTATTTCCAAATTACATATGATAACAATAATAAATAGCTACCCTTCTTCCTAGATGATAAAGCTAATGTCTGGAGAAGTAAAATGTATGAGGTGTGGACACACATGGCCAGCCAGTTGAATGAAATAAATAACCTAGTAAGTTCAGATTTCCAGTTTTTTTTTTTTTTTTTTGCCTTTTAAGCAGTCACTTAGTTCTATTTCCCCCTCTCCCAATAAGTAAAAAGTAGTTTCCTTTCCTAATGGCCCATGAGGCAAGTGAAATATAGTTCACCTGTTTCTGTTACCTCTGTCGCCTTTACTTTCCATATCGTTAGTCAGCTATCCATCAGAGTTGAGTGGACTCAGGGATGTTCTACGGAATAGACCCCCTATATGAACTTGAGACTTTTGGCTTGGCAGTGTGAGGTCTATTATTTGACCATACTGTCCCTCTCTCCCAATAACACAAATAAAAGTTAACGGATTTTGTACAATTTTATTTTTATGAAATATTACTTCTCTGCTAACTCAACTTTTCTTAAAGCCACCTCCCTCACCACCTTTCATGTAGATCAGTAAAGTATCCTACCCTCTAAGTGTGTCTTGTTATTGATTGATGACCCCCTATTGTATTCTTAGTCAATATCCAGAAATGTATTGTTATTGATGATATCCTTTTTCCTATCAAGTTGTTAGAGGTGGCAGTCAAATTTCACTGACTGTATTTGGCATAGGAGATACATCTTTTCTTTTATAAGTATATTTCTACATGAAAATTATGGCCTTTAATTTTTAGCAAGACAGAGTAAATAGTATAGACAGCAAAGCTACTGCCATCACAACAGAAATTGTGGAGCTGCAACGAAGCCCCAGTGGGAAACCAAAACAAAATAACGACCTGGATGAATTGTAAGCTACTTATTAAGTTGCTTATTAATTTACCTAAGACTATTGAAGATTTGAATATTATTATAAAAATGTTCTGTTTTAAAATGTTGTTAGCAAACTTTTAATACAACTTGCAGTGAAACTGGATCCAAAAAACTGTATTCAGAGTTGATTCGTGCCACTCAAGGTAAAAACAGATGTACAATCATAATGCTTTATCATTTCACTAACAATTTACAACATATACAAGTTTCCTACAAGGTAAATGTGCAACCATAATGCTTTATAATTATAAGCATACACACATTTATGCACCTTCACCACACTTACCTGCATTTCTGATCTCTACTTTCACTTTATATCGTTCAGTTATTGTGTTTGTTTTGTGAATTCATAACTTGAAACCTGAATACTTAGTTTTTACCTGTAAGTCATTGTATGTGTTTTGTGGTATAATGAAAAAACTTGTGTGATAAAATGGCGGCAATATTGTCTAGGTGCTGCAGGAGATGGAAGTCATGAAATGATGGATCATTACCCCATGGTGGATCTGGTTGGCAGATGTTTGGTCAAAAGGGAGGAGCAGACCAAATTATTATTTAAACATCTGAGGTTAGTTTGTTTTAACTTTAGGAGCTGACCAAATTATTATTTAAACATCTGAGGTTAGTTTGTTTTAACTTTAGGAGCTGACCAAATTATTATTTAAACATCTGAGGTTAGTTTGTTTTAACTTTAGGCGCTGACCAAATTATTATTTAAACATCTGAGGTTTGTTTGGAACTGGCAAAATTGTTATTTAAACATCTGAGGTTAGTTTGTTTTTACCTGAAGAAGACCTGACAAATAATTATTTAAACACTTGGAATTAGTAAAGTCTGTCTTATCCTGAAGAAGACCAGTCGAAAATGGTATTCAAATATCTTTGTTTGTTTGTGAAGATATGTTATGTATAGGAATAAGGATTGAGAAATGTGATGCAAAATTTATTTTGTATTTCTTAGTAATAAAAACAGTAAAAATCAATCATCTAATTTTTAAAAAAAATTATGGTTATTTTGATGAAACTAGAACTTATCCTACTATAACACTTTTATTTCACAGCAAAGTTTTAGACTGTCAGATGAAACTAGAACCTATCCCGCTATAACTCTTTTATTTCACAGCAAAGTTTTAGACTGTCAGTTGAAACTAGAACCTATCCTACCAGACCTGGACAATGCCTGTAGTGAGATTGCAGCTGCTTCTCAGCAACTCAAGACTATGCAGTTGCAGAGACAGACTGATATGTGGAATGTATTTCACTGGATGGTACCATTTTAAAAAAAAATGTTTCATTGTAGATGTTACTTTTTGTGCTGTACTTTATCAAAAGCTTCTAACTTATAACATTCTGCTTATACTATTTTTCTTAAACCCTATTCCATCGTGCACTTTGTTTTATAAAATAATTAGTTCCCTTAATTAGATTCATGATTTCCCTTACATAAAATTTTACTTAAAACAACTTATGTATAAGTAACTATGAGAAATATGAGAAGTGAACCATAGGGATCTGGTTTTATCTTCTAAACTGCTAGAAACAAAATCTTCATATACAGAAAAGTTGCTGGAATCAATTTATGTTCATTTAATGAACATGATTCAAAACCATGTTACATTGAAAAGGTGTCAACAGAATAATGACACAAAGAAATTTAAGGTTAGAAAAAAAAGCACACCAATGAATTAGATTGTACAATGAGCTGTAGCATCATTCAAAGTTGAGTTCTGAAATTCAAATGTTATTGTGTCTTGTGCAGGAGGCATGTAAGTGATAGTGGTTGTTGAAGCACACTTGATAGAATGTCATCCCCACTGTTGGTTATAAAATTAGTTGAAAAATCAAATTTAATCAATAATCAAGTCAATGTATTTTACCAAGGACACACCCTTTCATATTTTCATAAAAATTGCAAGGAACAAGAGTTTAATAAACTAATTCTTTATTAAAGAAATAATCAGTTCTGTATAACCCAAAAAAAAATTTGTATCACTTTTATTTAAGTAGCAGTTTAATTAATTCACTGCTGGTTTTACCATATATTTATTGATATTCGGAAATTGTAGTCATTTTAATAAACCGGGAGTGATCTCCCCTAAACTTTCTCGAATATTCTTATATAAAACAACAGGGGATGGGAACTCGGGCTATTGACATGATTTTTAATCCATTTTAAATACTTAAAGTTTTAAAAATAGATTAAAATCTCGTAGACAAAATAATTGCACGCCAAGTGAACTAGTGAACGCCAAATAAAAAAGTGTACAATAGCGCGCAATATTATTAGTACTTTAAAAATTTACATTAGTTTTTTGAGAAATCGGAAGTAGCGTAAATTACTACTTCCGGTCAACGGAAATTACTCAAAATTTAACAGAAGGTAGAGAATTAGATCTTTTACTTACATCTGAAATTTCATTTATCTATCTGAAATAGTACTCAAGTTATAGGCTTTTGAAAAATTCAAAGTAGGAAAAGTACCACTTCCGGTTATCGGAAATCGCTCAAAAGTTGATACGGATCTACGATTTTGATAAAATACTTATATATGAAATTTCATCAACCTAGCTATAACGGTACTCAAGTAATCGTGTTTACACACGGACACACACACAGACACACAGACATACGGACAGAATTGCAAAGCCCAGTTTTTCAGACTGGATTACGCATAAAACCTCTTAATTTTGATAAATCTGGATTGATAATTTTTGCCCGATTAAAATAAGTCCTCTATACTTCGGATGTGATGAAGGACTGAGGTGTAATACGGTGAAAATTGTTAAAATTTCAAGTGATTTTTGTGCACGATTACAATACTTTCTCTATACTTCGTATATACGAGAAAGTAAAAAAGGATATAATTTGTTAATGTTTACAGTGTGGAAATGGAAAAGATCCAGCCAATGACTTCCCACCGCTGCCATCAAACATCTTGTACACTTCTTACAGCTCCAACCTTGAATCTATTCAACTCATGGATGATTTTAAAACTAACGCACTGAGGTAAAATGTTTAGCAGATCCGTACCCCTCTCTTCTTCAGGATATACATTAAAATTCTTTTCTTCTTCAGGGTACACATTATTATCCTCATTTTCTTCCAGTCAGGATTATCCTAGTCTTTTTCTAGTCTATCGATCTTTCATATTCAAAATTAATACTTACCATCTTACAGATACAATTTTCTTAGCACACCTTACATAAAGGTGTTAAAATTTTAACTATTGTTTTTTAGGCTGCATGATGTTTTTAACTGTTGTCTGTTAGGCTACACAATCTTTTTAACTGCTGTTTTTTAGGCTGCAAGATGTGGTAGAGACAATGCTAAGAGAACAAGAGGAACATATCACTTCACTGGAAAATTGATGTATCTGGCCAGTATTGTCTGGATTGAGTGTTGATTTAGATATTGCTGATTAGGGGTCATCCATTTAAGTTGCCCACACAAAATATGAGTCCTCTCAAAACTTATTTCCAATTCACTAACTCAATAACACCCAATGTGTTTGTGTACTTTACAGTATAATATATGGTGAATTATTCTTTTTGGTAATGTCGGTTACTGAGTATTAAAGACTGAATCTATAATGTGAAAATCTAGAAAAATGTTTTACAAATTTTAACCTATGGTGAGCTTTTATTTTATAGTAAGGATTTTTATTTTCAAATTTAATATTTTAAAACTGCAAACCTATATAAGCATTTATTTTTTATTATTTTTATTTCTAAATCAAGGAACAGCTGGTGCAGGTATTAAATACATTATTATTCTATCAAAGTAAAGTTCCTAATAAGTTGTAAGGCCACATTGAGTTCCTAACCTCTATTTCTTTTTCTGCATTAGTACGGCAAGGTAAACATGAGAGGTTTAAAGCAGGCACTGTGAATGAATAGTTCTGCGAGGTACTAATTTTATAAATATACATACTGTGATGTAATTACCTGGTGAGTTGTTTAACATAAGTTTTAACATATGTTTTGTATGCAAGATACAAGACTTTTTTCTTGTTATAACCTGTCAGTATATTGGTGTTAAATGCAACATGTCCTTAAACACACACACCCCACCCAGTCCATATGCATTTACATAAGTCGACTTTTGTCCGACGCCCACCCCTCCATGTGGACTACAATGGATGACTCCTTTTTTTATTAACTATTTGTAAGCCTTTAGTGCTGTAGTCAAATTCAATGTGAGAGTGAAGTTAGTTTGGTTTTTATCAGCCGGGTGAAGGTAGCTTTAGCATGTAGATATTTGTTACTCTGTGTATGAGTGTGTTGTCAGTCAATGTGCTAAAGTATGTCTTGTAACAAGGAATATTAAAAAGGGTCCATACTTATTAAAATGACGTCATGTTTTTAAAAATGATTTTTTTTACCTCCCATTATCACTCATCATCACAAAATGGACAAACCCACTAAAATAACGGCACACCTCAGTATCACTTTCTTGGCATTGCTATTTTTGTGTGTTTTAAAACAACAATTTCTTTCTAAAATATTTATTGAGCTCAGTCAACATGGAGTATGTCGATCAATTTTTACTACAATTTACAAAAAAGTCTTATATAAAATGAAAATGTAAAAGCTAAAATTTAGTTTCCAACATTACTTTCAAAAATCCAAGTGTTTCCTCACTTTCTGAACACCTCCCCCTTATTCTTCATCACACAATTCTCACAATAGCACAAACTCTCCCCTTATTTAATTTATGAATGACCCCCCCCCCCCCCCCCCTTAATTGCTTCCTTTTAAAATGTTACCATGCATTTTAAATTAGTCATTATTTAACTAATTATACAAACTCATAGAATTTTATTGTCTGAAAAAGCTTGTGTGAGTACTATTATATGTTGTTTTGTTATTTTATCTTTAGCTATTCAGTTCATTTCACAGAATGTTCATAACATCCTCTTCTCACTTTACAATTATTTATACTTATAATTTTTCACTATAATCATATGTATAAAAAAGAAAATTAAACACAATTAAATTCTATTCCAACACAAAACTCATTTTGTTTTGTTTTTTTGCTATAATTATATTACAAGCCTTCTTGGCAGACAATGCACAAACTATTTTGAGAAAAACATAATTTTTATGATAAGTGCCTGTGAGTCGTGACATGTGAACATCAAGGCTGATGGGAAAATAATTTTAAAATACAGATGTTACTAAATAGTGCCAGTCTTATGTTGAGAATCATTTATTCATGAAATAATGCGAATTTTCAGATTTCATCAATGCATGTCAGATTTGTAATAAAATACCTATTATTTAAAAATTCAAAGAATAGTTTCAGTAGTATTTATAGTAAAAAAAACTTAACACAAATTTAATATTTTTTCCTAAATTTGTTATATTGGGTGATTAGTAATTAATATTTGTAACTAATATTTCACAAGCAAAGCTAGAGGATAAATTGTGTAGCTCTCAATCTGAAATTCAAGAGAACGTATTTTAAGGATTGATAAATAAAAATGTTTTAAGTACATCATGTAATAGCTGTTTTTATTGTAAATACAATTATATATTTGTATTCTCTCTTAACCCAATCAACCCAAAGTTAATTAAAAAGAGAGCAATTTTTATGTGTGCAATATTTAGAACATGGTGGAGGTGGGGAGATATTGCCTCATTCAAAGTTAGTAAATATTGAAATTATAACAAAACTAAATGTAGTAAATGTAGACTTCATTAAATTATGACATGATTGGCTACATGTTATTGGTAAGCTACTATCTAGTCTGACATGGCAAAAGCTTAGTTCTGGATATCTTGCATAGCCAACTGAAAGAACATAATAGGGGAGGTTTAACTACAGTTAAGTGGTCGTTTATGAGAATAGTAGTGCTTTTATATATATATATATATATATATATATATATATATAGGCATATATATATATATATATATATAGGCATATATATATATATATATATATATATATATATATATATATAGGGAGCGCCAAATTAGAAGTTCGCCCCGGGGGGGGGGAGGTCGCTACGCCTCTGTCAGTCGGCCTTTTTTTTTACTGCTGCCAGAAAAATTAAAAAGCAAGGGCATTTCGGTTAGTTCGCGAAATGGCTGCATTTCGGGACTTTGACTAGGCAAAATGTCAACGCGGTATTAGAGCGCTATCAGAGCTGGGAAACACGATCTTAACAAAATGGCAGCTGCCGTTACTACTGTATACGTTTGCCCTTTTTATTGTGTAGGCTTTTACTTTGTATTATACACGTCTATTTTTATAAATTGCTGTTCAGGTCATTCATCATACAGATTCTTTTCAACTAAAACACCGTATGAATGGGTTCACAAATCTAAAAGCCTCACAACTGTAGATGAATGGTACTATTTACCAGAGCTGAAAGGGTCAAGTTGCTCAGCTGTTCATGCAAACGCCGTATTGAGACATGGTGCTCGATTTCCAGGTTTAGATGACGTTCATGAAATATCTAACATTCACGAAAAACTGTTAGTTTCACTAGAGCCTGATGTTAATCCAAACCTATACAACTGGATTAATAAATTTCCATCCAATAACAACAAAGCACTCTCACACTTGGGAGAAGAAGAGCAAGAAGCCCTTGGTAAAAGAATTGCCCAGAAGCTAACTTCTCTTCTTGCTGATGAAGACTTAAGTAGTTTCAGATTTATTGTTTCTAGCCAAGAAAGAACAAAACAAAGTGCATCATCATTTTATGAAGGATTAACCAATGTGTTGAACAAAGAAGAGGATATAGAAGATGAATTTGATTCAGAAGTTAATGATGAATTATTAAGATTTTTTAATCTTTGTGAAAAGTATGTTTTTGCTGTTGAAAAAAATAAAACAGCCCATAAAGAATATTACAGTTTTCTCCAAAGTGATCAAGTAAATGAAATCAGAAATAAAATTCACAAAAAACTGAACATGAAAGATGATGTACTAACTACAGGTAAGGTAGTGTATTACAGTATTACTAATTATTAACTAACATTATTTAATGTCTTATATTATAGGTCTATTTAATATATTAGATTGCTTAGCTGTACCTAAATATGAGGGTATAGCTTACTGACATATGGAATGATATATATATGGTATAGTGTTGGAGCTCTTGTCACCTTTGAAAATGTGTAAAGAGATGCTGAAGAAAATTATGTTCTTTTTATAATGTTAGGGCATTTAGTATGATTTAGAAGCTTGTAATTGTTTTTTTTTACATTCTTGTTTTATTTATTAATAATGGGATGGCATGTTTGGATACAACTGCTAACCCAGAAGTCTCTAGTTCAGATCTTGGACTTCAGTCATTAGACATCCCTGAGTCAACCCAGCTCTGATGAGTACCTGATTCACATTAGAGAAAGTAAAGGCAGCTGGGCATAGTGCTGGTCACACTATCCCTTCATTAGCTGAGGTCTCATAAACAGGTGTACTCTACTTGATCTGCCCCTTAAATTCTATAACTTACCATAACATGGTGTTGAAGATAAAGATATTGAAAAACTTTATATTTCAGGAAATGTAAGGCTTATTTATTTAATGTGTGGTTATGAAATGGCAGCCTTTAAGGAATCCCCATGGTGCTCTTTGCTGGATGAAAGTGATATGGAGATTTTAGAATATTTGGGAGATCTAAAGGTATATACTAACATTTATAATTAGATTAAAAGATTTTAAATAATTTTATAAAGAAACCAGCATACACAGCCTCTGCTTAATTATTCTATTAAATTTTAAAATATAACCCTCTGAAAACATGGTTGTAATGTATGTTAGTTTGTAACAAGTCTATGTATATCATATTGTTTTGAATTCTTTTTCTAATGGAACTGTATAAATCTATTAGACTCAAACATTGGTATAATTTTATTTTAAAGTATTCTCAAATGTTACATTATTGATAATAGTTGTAATAATGTTTTGTATACTTAAAATTGAAATTATTTTACAGCACTATTTCAAAAATGGCTATGGATACAATATAACATGTCAGCAAAGCTGCCCTTTGGTGTCAGAGATTTTTCTTACAATGGATGAAGTTATCAATGACATTGAAAACTCCGACAGCGAAGATGAACAGGATGAGTAAGTAGGAAGTGTCTCTGTTATAGTTTAATCCCTAATGGTATTCAAAATAGGCCATGCAGGCTTAAAATGTTTTTTTTGTGTTAAATATGACCCTGTTAACCATACCCACCAATTATGTGCCCTAAGACTATTATTTCTCTTTCTTTTACAGATATATTGTTGGGCAATTTGCATTTGGTCATGCTGAAACCTTGGGGCCTCTTTACTGTGCTCTTGGTTTGTTCAAGGACCAAGAGGGATTAAGAGCTGATAACTTTGATAAACGTCCTGATCACAAGTTTCGTACTAGTGAAATCTTGCCTTTCTCTGCAAATATTGTATTTGTTCTTTATGAGTGTGTACCAGAGGAATTAGGAGAAGATGAAGAGATAGAAGAAGCTGACTATTATCTGAAAATGTTCATCAATGAAAAACCTCATGTCATACCAGGCTGTGAAAAGCTTTACTGCCCCTACAAGCAAGTCCGACAATACTATCGAAAACTTGTAGATGAATGTGACTTTAAGGGTATCTGTAAGAGATCTGCAGAGCGAGATGAGTTATAAAGCTTTGTGTTACATTTTTTTTTAGTGTTTATACTTTTGGTAACTTTTTTAAAACATGGGTTTTATTTTTTACACTTTTGTTTAATTAACACTCTGAGATACAAGTTTTTTTATTTCTTGCATTTAATTTATATATTTGTGTTCAAGCTGATTATATAAACATGTTCATACATTTAAAAATAATCAGTAAAGTGTTAATTTAAAAAAATCTTTTAAGTATTAGCACTTTTAGTTGTGCTTTTTGATTTAGTATTTTCCCTAAGGTTATTAGTTATATACTTTATTTTCTTAACATTGAAAGTTTAATGAATGCAGGAACAAATTGGTACATGTACCATAAAGTATTAGAAATTCTAGTAGTGGTACTGCTGCATAGTGAAAGTTTGGTGCTGGTAAAAATGATGTTTATCTAATTTGCTGGTTGTGTTCAGTTTGTATAGATGTCACTGTGTGATAAAGTTGGTAACGAAATAATTTTACATGTTCAGGATGAATGGTTAAGTTGCTGCTGGTAAGATGCCTATGACAGTTTGTTCTTTAAACTAATAGCAGCCAGTGGCTGTGAAGTTTGATTCAAACATGCAATTAGATTAAAGGAAATGTTACAATATAGATCTAAATGTTACACATTGGTTTCAGGATGAAATGCTTAAAAGGGCATTTTTTAATGGACAGTGAAAAAAGCAATTTTAATACTAACTATGATAAATATTGTTTTTAACATTTTTAAAATCCTTTTAACCACCAATCAGTTCCTGTACCTATAATTATGTTACTATAACTAAAACTTACATCCATTTGCCTTAATGAATGGAATATATTTGAAACTTATATCTCTAGAGCCACAATTTTTATAGTAAAAATATATAATAGATTACACTACACAAATCCTTAGCATGAACCTTCCAAATTCAATTAATTGTTGTCCAATATTTTAACTTTTTGTTGTAGTTTGTAGTCATCCACTTATTTTGTTTTATTATTGAAAATTGGTTTTACCAAAAGATTGTACTAGTACAATGAAACTTGGATGCAGAAAATTTATTTTGTTCTAGTCTGTATGTCCATCACAACTTTAAAAGGTAACTAACTCTTATTTATATTTTGTTACTTTGTTAAAGTATACTCATGTGGGTTTAGTAGAGTATAGTTGTTTTAGTGCTATCCATTACAAACCTAAAAACAGCCTTGATGTGCACCTTTTGAATATCTCATCTTTTTTCCTTTTTTGTTGACATTTTATAATTAGTTGGTAAATAAATTGTTTAAAAAACAAACAGTGTTGTTCATTTTATAGCAGCTAAAATACATAAAAGAGTTATTTAAAATATGAATCTAGGTTAATTATCCTTAACCTGTTTTTGCTCCACCTGACACTTTCAAACCATATTGTGAATATTCCCAAGAGCACTTTCAATTTATGGAATAAAAATTTTGGGACGAAAATCTTTACAGCAATAACACTGACAATTTCATTAATACACCATTTACACAGATTACAAAGAAAAAGTCTTATTACAACCTTTTTATTTTGCAACGCCTTTTGTACCTCAATTTTGACCCACTTATATTGCGTTTCATTCAAACTTTACAGATACTTTCTTCTTTGTGGACAATGCATGAATATCATTTTTAAAATTTGATTAGAGAAAGTGAAAATTTACTATAATAAAATTAAAAGGGTAGCCAATATATATTAGATTCAAATATTAGCCAGCCATAGCTTGATCCGAGGGCCATTGTGAGTGAACTGTCACTTCAAGTTTGGATTATTTCACAATGGAGTTGACTCTAAGCTAAGTTAACTATCTATAGTAGAACACAAGCTATGCAAAATATTTAGTCTTAATAGGCATGAAAAGTCTACGCAATCATACTAAATTTTTGAAAGTCTTAAAAAATATGGCAACCGATAAAATTACAGTTATATTTGTAAAAATTAAAGCCGTTTGGGAGCCATTATATGTTTGTATTGGTTATAAGCCGTTGAAAAGCCGTTTAGAACTATTTTATAAATTACATATTCAAATATTTTCAAAAACTGACTTCTTCTTCTCCTTGAAGTTAACCGGAATGGCCATGGAGAGTAAAACAATAAAAGTTAGAATTTCTTTTACTATTTCTAATGAAACCAGAAGTAATTTTTTTTTATAAAATATTCAATTTTGGTGGAAAAATATGCTTTCTGGCAACAAAAATTTGAACCATTTGGAACCAGCTTTTCAAGTCTTTTAGTGTCATCCATGACAAGAGTTTACCATCTTAGAGCTGAGTGAAGTTAGTAAAGGCTATTAGTATTAGTAGCAGATAAAAGTTTTAAAATGATTTGAGACTAAGCGGAGGTAACAAGATTAAGAACTAGCCATCACTTTATCAGTTGTCGTCTGTGAATTGCAGTTGCTTTCATCATTCATGCCCCAGAACGGCCATGTGTGTTGCAAAAGGGCAGATAATTGGCTTTCAGAGATCTTGAGCTAATGATTGTGTTGTAAAGCAAAAATATTTAGTAGAAGCTTTATGAATTACTAAACAAAAAATAAATATAACAAAACCTTTTTAACTAATAATAATCATTAAAAAGTTTTAAAAAACCCACGTTTTCTGATTGAACTAAAAAGTAGAAAATAAATACTATACATCACAATAATGCAAGCGATCACTCTACTATAAGCGATGAAAAACGTGGGGCGCCGAAGTAAAAGTTATATTACTATTGATTAGATAATACTATTGACTTTATTAGGGAGCTTGTAGAGAGTCAACAGTATTAGAAACTGTAAGAAAATCATGGCGCCCCACGTTTTTCATCGCTTATAGTAGAGTGATCGCTTGCATTATTGTGATGTATAGTATTTATTTTCTACTTTTTAGTTCAATCAGAAAACGTGGGTTTTTTTAAACTTTTTTAATGATTATTATTTTCTACTTTTTAGTCTTTGTCTGTTTGTTTGCATTGAAATCTTGCTATCGATTTTATCTTTTCACTTTTTTTTGGGTAAACGAAGACAACTCGTAAAAAACGAGAGACCCTTTCTTCTTCGGTCTCAATCGCAAGTGAATGATTGTTAGAGGTTAGTTGATAGCGGTTAGGACGAGGGCTGGTTACTGACTAGAACACATAGATTTGAACCCGTGTCCAGTGGGATAGCAATCGTGTGCCCAACCACTCGACCATATCGTCTCCCCCAAACTGGCCACCAGTGGTAATAGTTACCTCCTGTAAGTTTAAAGTCGGTTCAAACTAAATTATCTGCCCCTAAGCCTGTCGCGACGTGGGATCGTTTGCTTCACTGCGCGCGGCAAGAGAGAGGCGGGCTACGCGTCGCTAGTTTTTTTTCTAATGGCTCGCAGAGGAGAATTATATATATAGATTATATAGCGGTCTAAAATGCTCAATAAAATGTTTCCATTGATCAATTTAGTAATAATAACAATTGAATATTCTATGGTCATCCAAAAGAAAGCTTCCCTGAAAATTTCAGCGCGCTAGCTAACTGGGAAGTGCCAGAAATTTCGATCGCAAGATTTGATTGGAGAAACAAACAAACAAACAAACAGAGAAAGCAAGTTAAAGAAAACGTGGGAATAAAATAACATGCTTTTAATTGCACTGAAAATAAAACTACTTACTTTCATAAAAAGGCAATGTTCGCTAAAATATGTAAAAGATCTCATGAGCGACCTAAGCTTTTATGATAGAAAGAAAACTAGTTTTATTTTCCTATTTTCAGTGCAGTTATTTGAAAGGTTTTTAATATTTGTGTTATTTGACTTCTGTTGCTAGTTTTTAATTTGAGGCTGTGTCATGATAGTTTAATATAATAATATGCATACATTTTTACAGATTTCCATGTGTTGTCAGAAATAAGATTTAACATAGTTAACAGAACATTAAAAATAGCTGCTAAATTTGTGACACACCTTAATCCCTTGTTTCTTTACAACAATATTCACAGGATTTAATTTTGCTAGCTAAATAAAATTTAGTTGTGTCAAAATAAAGCCTGAAGAAATGGTTGTGTACTAAACATTTATAAAGCTGATGGGTACTAAACATTTATATCTGATGGGGCATCTGAAAGAAAAATTAACACTAACTCTTAACTTAAAGCTTGAAATGAACCTGGAAGGATGTTTACAACTGTTATACAAGGCACATTAATATATTTCAGTAAAAAAAAAACAACAAATATTTTTGTTTTATTAGATATTTTTTTATTTATATTATATTGTGTTATAACATTTGGTAGGTTTTTACATCAACAAACAAATAATTCTTTAGAAAGTGTTGTTAGGATACTGTGTGGGAAATTGGGATTGATGATTGCTGTTATTTGAAAATTGTGGTGGTGGATATGTGGGGAAAAACTGTGGGGGTGGAGGGTATGAAGTAAAAAATTGGGGTTGTGGTGCTGGTGGAGGTGGAACATTCATTCCTGAGAAACATGCTCTAGGCCCATTGTTGAAAACTCCAGGGATAGACTTCCAATCAGGCATTTGACCAAAATGTGCAGGTGGATACATTTGTCTAAAGTTCGGTGGGGGAACAGACATGTCAGGTAATGGTGGCCCTGAAATTATAAGACGTTTTAATCTCTTTAATAATTTTAAAAAGGGAGAAAATTTAGAAACACTATACATGGATCAATATTAAATAAATGTTTTTAAGTTTACCAAAAATAAATGAAAAAAAAACTTACTGTTTGGGGGCCAAGAAGTAGGATTATAGACATGTGACTTGTTCCCAAAGGGATTTTTGTTAAGATCACCTTGTAACAAGCCTGGGGTCTGATCACTTGGTAACCGTGCTGCTGAACATGAAAAAACATGAGTTTCAATACAAAGAAATAAAAGAAAACAAAAGATTTTAAGATATTGTGGTATACCTGGGGTGAGTAAGGATTAAACATTCATATTATACAATTTTCATATGATAAGGCTTACCTTGATTCCTATCCACAAAAGCTTTTTTTCTGAAAGATAAATAACTTTAATGAATATAATAATTTATTCAATAGCTTTATGATCTGCCAGTCCATCACATCCAATGGGTGATCTATGGGGGGTCTTTAAATGTCAAAGGTACCAGTTTGTTGGAGGGAAGGGGCAAGGGTAAAATATGAAGTCTTATATTTTGTAAGTATTTTTTCCTTTGCTGTTCATCTGTCTGCTTTACTAAGTTTTGTGGGGAGGTAAATGGCAGTGAGAGAAATGCCAGAGACTTGATGACTTTAAACAAACTCTATTAAGCTTAATTCTATTAAGATTCACAAGTGACTGATTCTCATCAGTAAATATAGACTCATTCAATTGGTTGCTTTGATTCATTGCATATTGAGTGTTTTTTCGTTTGCCTTTTTCTTGATTAGAATATAATAGCTGATTATCATACATGAAACTAAATAAAGTTTTTGCAAATATAAAAACAATCAACCAACTTCTAGCAAGATTGTGAGTAAGGAAATAAATTTTAATATTGTGTAAATTGTAAACAGAAATAAAAGAAAATGATAAGAATATTGTTTTCTAACCTTTTTTTCTTTGAACACATTTGCCTTGGTGTTTCATCACTTTGGCCTTCAATGCCACGAGCTTTATTTCGCTGGCGTTGCTTTGCTTTTTTTTCTTCTTCATCATCAGAAAACTCTATTTGCTATAAAGAAGAATATTTCATTTAAAATAAAATAATGAATAAATAGAAACAAAATACTTAAAATATATGGAGCCAAAACGTTTACAGAATTTTTTAAAAAGTGTTAGTCTTACTGTTGGAGGAGGTTCATTATCATATTCCCATGACGCATCATTATATTTTAATCTGAAATATAGGATTTGATGCCATACTAATTACTTAAAACAATTTACATTTTTAGATTATCCCTTTTAAAAATATAAAGCACTTTTAAAAAACTAAATGACTCACTTTTTTAGCTCGGATATAAAAACATATTTTGTCAAATTATCTGCTTTAGGTGCATAAAAAACTTCATCCCCTATGTGTATATTTCTTTCTTCAATATCTTCAGGACGGTTGAATCTTACTGAATAAAAAGGACGCTCCACTGTTCCAAAAGTTTCAAAGATCTATAAGAAAAAATAATTCTTTGTATTAAAAAAATGTAATGCCATTAAACAGAGTAATCACTGAAGCAAAGTTATCTCTTTGTAGTCCTATGCAGCCACTATCACCAGAAAATTTACTTTGGTGGTATAAGTATTCGTGAAAGCTGTGTATTACATTTATTTACACATAGTAACTCTGGTAACAAAGTTTTGAAGATATCAACAGAAGCAAAAAATAGTAAGTTTTATTTAAGTAGTTTTCTTTTAAAGACATTATTAGTGAATAGATTTGAATTTATTTCTGCCTTGGGTTAAAGAGCTTTAAGAATAATTTCTTAATATAAGTTTCCTAAGATATTTTAAATACCTAAAATATTTTTAATAACAAACTTAGTAAATACCAATCCTAAAGGTTGTCTCCCTTTTAAAAACAACACAGTGTCATCATATAGGGCTGGGCTGTCAAACTTTGCTTTCACAACAACTGTAAGTGTAAGACATAAATTTAAATAAAAATTTCAGGAAAGCATTTTGAAAAAAAAAAAAAACTAATTTAAAAAACTCATCTAAAAGGGTTCTATAATGTTTAAGAAAAAAAGCATACCTAATACATCAACTATACCAGACACAGCTCCCACAAGCTCAAGAGATACCTCTTCACCAGGGGAGATTGTAAGGTACTCAATTGGTGGTAACTCCTAACAATAACAATAGCAAACTTTTTTAATACAGTAAATTCTAAGTAATATAAAAACTTCTAGGCATGTAAAGCTGTACAGCTACATAAATGCAATGGGCATCAAACAAATGATTATAACTTGTCAAACTACCCACCTGGGGTAAATACAATGGGCATCAAACAAATGATTATAACTTGTCAAACTACCCACCTGGGGTAAATACAATGGGCATCAAACAAATGATTATAACTTGTCAAACTACCCACCTGGGGTAAATACAATGGGCATCAAACAAATGATTATAACTTGTCAAACTACCCACCTGGGGTAAATACAATGGGCATTAAACAAACGATTATAACTTGTCAAACTACCCACCTGGGGTAAAACTTCTCCCTCAGTCCTGGTAATTGCGCACTTGGGAGTGGGCAAGATCTCTGTTGGCTTTTCTACACTGCCTCACATTTTAATAAACAAAATAGGTCAATAAAAAGTTTGGGAACATTCAAACTGAGATTTTTTAAAATTATTTCTTATTACTTAATATTTCTAAGGATAATAAGTTTTACTGGGAGTCAATTTTGTTACCTGCATTTAATGATTAACTTTGTCTAACACAATTTATAATTAAAACAAGTTTAAATGTATAAATAAACTTAACCTGTGTTACAGGGGATTTTAATTTTATTCAACAATTAAAATATATAGGCCTACATATACTTACACTTGAGGTTGTAGAAGCTCCTCACCATCAGAATCACTAGAGCTACTATCACTGTACACCACAATAGCACCACTACGGTAGATCACACATGAACTATCATAATCATTATCTACTACTTCTTTCTTTATTTCAATTACTTCTTGACCATTAATGTCTTGTAAGGCATTTTCTACATTGGTATTTTCTATAGGATGTTTTTTTTGGGCGTCACTAATAAGGTCTGCTACACGACTACCATTGGTGATTTCCTGAGTTTCTACTGAAGAATCTATTTTTTCTGTATCTGTCCCATGTGTGTCTTCTGTAAGACCTGTTTTATAGGTGACTTCTGCAGAATCTGTTTTACTAGTTTCTTTAAGATCTAGTCCATGTACGTCTTTTGTGGGATCAGTAATATTAGTGACTTCTGTAAGGTCTGTTATCAGTGTGTCTTCTGTGGACTCAGCAATATTGGTGTCTTCTGTGGACTCAGCAATATTGGTGTCTTCTGTGAGATCAGTAATATTTGTATCTTCTGTAAGGTCTGTTCTCTTTGTGTCTTTTGTGGTATCAGTAATATTAGTTTCTTCTGTGGGTTCAGTAATATTAGTATCTTCTGTAAGGTCTGTTCTCTGTGTGTCTTCTGTGGATTCAGCAGTATTAGTGTCTTCTGTGGGATCAGCAATATTGGTGTCTTCTGTGGGTTCAGCAATATTGGTGTCTTCTGTGGGTTCAGCAATATTGGTGTCTTCTGTGGGATCAGTAATATTGGTGTCTTCTGTGGGATCAGTAATATTTGAATCTTCTGTAAGGTCTGTTCTCTGTGTGTCGTCTGTGGGATCAGTAATATTGGTGTCTTCTGTGGGATCAGTAATATTGGTGTCTTCTGTGGGAATAGTAATATTTGAATCTTCTGTAAGACTCAGTTCATGTGTATTTCTTCTTGTGGAATCAGTAATATTAGCATCTTCTACAAGATTTTTTACAATGAGACCATCTTTAGGATCTATTACTTGAACTTCACCGGTAATGTTTTTTACATTGTTATAGCAGGTAACAAGAGATGTCAAGTTCTCTTCAGAAGAATCTGGAAACTGGTTGTCATTTTTAGTATTTGGTGTAAGAAAGTTTTGAGCACCATTTATTTCACAGACAACTGTAACATAATCTGATTCAATAGTAGAATCTGCATAGTCATCAGTTTTAAGAACTTGATCTTTTACAGCTATACAGCTGTCTTGTGTTGACTCTGTTTCTTGGGTCACTCTGGTAGGATGTACCAAATGGCTTTCCTTTGTAGGGCCAGTCATGCTATAATTATTAAACCAAAAGTAAATTATAGTTATTAATTGTGTAAGATATGATATACTAAAATTAAGCCAATCTTTTAATTTAGTTTTTTTGGTTAATTATTTAAACATTATTATTTCAGGTAATTACTATTCCACAAACTGTACTTACTTCTAACCTATTATAATTATTACAGAATACAACACATCTGACTTCTCCAGCTTCTTGTTAGCTAAGGACTTTTAATATTAAATCAAATATTGGACTCTTTGAATCAAATGAATAACATCTTTAAATGACAAGTTACACCCCCCCCCCTCCGAATGATAGTGGTGGGATGTTTCTCCAGTTGACAAAAAAAACAAAAAAACTAGCATAGTATGTGATTTTTGGAATAATGAAAATGTGCATTAAAATAAACTTGAATATAACATTTTTAAATTCTTCAGGGCTTTAAATATTTTTTATTAGGAACTTATTTGTTCACTCTTTAAAAATGTTTATAGGCCTATAATATTAAATAACACTTCACTAATGATTTTGATGTCTACTCATAAATTAAAAGCAGTTTCATAATAAATAGAACTACCATTTCAGTTCTTAATTATTTTTAAAATTTCTAGTTTAGTGATTTAGACTACTAGCATACCCGTTGCAAGTAGGCTGCGTTGTATGAAAGCCCTAAGTGTACATTAATCACCTTGGCGACTATTCTCTGAGCCACAGGTTACACTACTCTGCAGGGAGCAACCCTTGGTGGTTGGGTTTTGAGTTTAGTCATCAAATGTAGTAGCACACGAATATAGGCACCACAGATTTATTTTTTAAATATTGTAACTTTTAATAAATTTATTAAGGGGCCCAGGCCTAATATTAAAAATTAAAAGAAAATTTAAGGCCGATTATAGCTGGAAAAAGATACGCATGCGCAATGGAGAGAAACTACGACTTGGTGGTGATGTTTTCGATGGTACTACACATGCGTGTGTTTACAACCCCAGAACCCTAGCCTTAACCCTAACTCAGCTATTAAGGTCACTGCGCATGCGCAGAACTATCTTTTGCCGACCAAGTGGGACGCTGGGGCGAAAAATCTTTTACCGAGTAGTCACTTCAAAAATTTAATGTAGGCCCGATTTCTGGACATGGTCTAAGTAAAGTGTAATCATTTTCAATTCACTCAATTCCAATAGATAGTCTAACTAATATCACAGCATGTTAGTTTACGTGTTGTTATACATGTCAAAACATTGAGCTAGAGTTTCAGTTTAACACGACATTACCTATGATCGATAAAATACGCTGACTAATGCCACTGGCGTACTTTCCTAAGGTAGAAAGAATTAAATTGTGGGTGGCACTGTTACTGTTAAATAAACTGATCAAGTTATCTAATGAAAACGATAAGTCTAAAGCTTAGGCCTACATTAACTACTAACTAGTGTTAAGCATTTCACAGATATATACTAACTACTACTACGTACTACTTACTAGTAGTAATTATAATCTAGGCTTATTTATTTTAATTTTAGCCTAATATCATTATTATACAATTTTTACTAGGCGAACTTACTTAATAATAATTTATAACTTAAGCTTAATTAACAATTAATATTTAATTAAGGGCAAAGGCAGTGAGGATGATTATAGATACCAGTGTCCGATAATGGAATCATCTTTAAAATAGGGGTGCTGGGTTGTTAGTAGTATTGTAATCTCGACTAATTTTATGGTTAGAAATTAGGGTTAGGCGTATGGTTGGACCAGTGTTGGGGTTAGGGACAGGGTTAGCATTGACTATTGACATTAGCCAGCCATGGGTGTATTTAGTTAGCTACCAGTAACCTAACACCCCTTTTTTTAAAGAAGATTCCATTATCAGACACCAGTGTAAACTACTGTAAACATTCTCCCGGCAGTGAATTATTGAATTGACAAGTAAAAATAAAATCAAAAGACAGATTTAGAAAATTTAGATCTATAATTTCAAATAAGCTGAAAGGCAGGGAAGCTGTTACTCCTTTTGATGTGGTACAACCAAACACTTAGCTTAATAAATTTTTACAAGAACTTTAAGTAGTTCAATAGAGCCCCTCCCCCCCCCCCCCCCCCCCCCCCCCCCAACTAGGCCTACAAATCCGTTTTCACTTTTCTAAAATTTAGGTGATATTTTTTATTTTAGTAAAATTTTTACTCAAAACTATTTCATACCTTTTTATTATTTTGAATCCAGTCTAATAGATCTACCTTTTTTATATCTAGATCTGTTTTTATTTTATTTAGTATTTTTTTAGTTCTAGAATTAGATCTAAGTCTAGATCTAGATCTAGATCTAGATACTTTATTTATTGTAGTGATACAACACACACAACACGAAGCATGCTGTTTATTTTTGTTTGCCAGATCAAAATTTATTAAAAAGAGAAAAATTCGAAATTTTAAAGATTTTAATAAACTTTGAGAATAGGCCTAGATATCATTATCTACGTTAATTTATTTTTAAATTCATGTTATTATTTTAGTGCTTCAAAATATTTGACTATTAGGCTACAGAGTATTTAAAAATAAACTTAGTATTTTTTGTGATAGAATTGAAATTTGTAATATTACAAACCAATTAGCGTATGCTAAAAAAAAGTATTTTATGTTGTTTTTGTTGTTGTGAATTGCTTATACCGTCTAATGGTGAGGAAATAAACATCGGATTCAAATTGGTGAACAACTAGAATACTATAACTAAAATAACTTATCCATATTCTATTGCACTCTTTAAAAAGAACGTATGCGCCATAACGCTCACGTGAAAGCCCGGGTAGCCAAATAGTACAGAGCGCGCCTGATTCGATTTAGTGAGCAACCCAATTGTATCCATAGCCTATCTCACTCTTTAAAACAAACGTAGACGCCATAGTGCTCCCGAGAGAGCCCGGGGCGCCTAATTGCCATCCTGTCGGCAGAGTTTCTTCCAGGCGTCTCTACGAAAAAAGTCTACCGCCCCCCGATAATTTCAAGTGCCCCGGAGAAAAAAGTCTGGAAGAAACACTGCCTGTCGGAGCGCCTGAGGACGCCTCTGATTCGATATAGTCAACGATGATTGATGTTCATCGTGTCTTTAATGTATAGTTTTTTTTTTAAAACGAACGTAGGCGCCATGGTGCGCACAGAGGTAGCCCGGGGCCCTTTCGGGTCACGCAATCGCCGGGGCGCCGGCGACTGCGTCTGTTGCAGTTTTACTGTTGAATATAGTGGTAGTAGTAAGGGTCAGGGATAAGGGTTAGGGCTAGTCTAATTTAAAACATAGTTTTATGATTTTAATCGGAGGAAATATTAAGAATTGTAATTAATTGATGCAATAAGCATCTTTTGTATTATCTACGCATTATTTAGGCTTGTTTTACCCCAGACATTTTTTGCTATTATAGAGGAAATAAACAAGCATGAGTGGATTAAACGTATTTGTGTATTTCATCTATTGTTGATCGCACTAGCGTTTATTTTAGGCCTACGCGTCGTGTATTTTAAAAACGCGAAATCCAAATTAAAAAAGCGCAACACTTTTCAATCTATAAGGCGCGGAAAGTATCTTAGACTTCATCCAAAATCTAGTCTAGAATCTAGTAGTCAAGTTTCTGCTAGCAAATCTGTAGATCTAGATTCTAGTAGATCTACTTAGATCTATAACTTAATAATATTTACGTAATTTACGAAAGCCTATTATTTATTGAGTCTAGTTTCCCCGGTTAACTCATGTTTTCTGACGACTGTACTACTGTACTGTACTGTCATACACCCAATGCCCAATACACCTAGATCTAGATCTATCACTTTACTGTCGCTGTATGACTGTATGCAATGAGACTAGTCTAGATCTAGTCTAGAGTGTACTCAAGTCTAGTTACTAACTTAAGAGTCTAGTATGAGTGTATGTTTCAGCTGTTCACTCACACTATCTATTTAGTCTAGACATTTAGTTAAAGCAAGAAATTAGATCTAGAGTCTAGTTCAGAGACAAAAAAATACTAAAATAGTTATTAAAGTAGTACATTCACACAAATGAAATTTTAATGAAAGATCAGAGATTTAGCTCTAGAATCTAGATCTAGCTGAAAAATACTAAATAAATAGCTAGATCTAGTAAATTTATTATCTAGTAATATCTTTATCTAGATTTGTTTTAGATCTTGAGATCTAGATTTTAGAATCTAGATTCTATCAGTTACCAGGACAAATGTATTCCTCTACGGTCACAAGTAAAATATTAAAACAAAAGCCCAATTCATCATTAGGAGTATATAACAGAACCCAAGGTTCTCTGGAATTTAATAGCACATTTGTGGTAAAAAATAGAAATTTCAATAGACAGTATGCTCATCTGTATGCAGAACGATTAATGAAAATGAGGACCAGGTTAACCCAAGCTGCTCGCAGTAGATGGGGTAGGCTTTAATCAATATTTAGTAGCAGGTTATCTACTTAGTAATTAGTATAAACCTACTTGCTTTGTAACTGGAAACTGCACATTTTAAGGGAAGACTACCTACTAACCTAATAGTTAATAGTAATACTGTTAATAAGTAGAACTTTAAATTTAGCTTTTATACGTGACATTGAGTTATAGTATCGTTGGATTGTTAGAAGCCTTACTAACTAATAGATGATTGATTATAGTTAGGTCTATACTAATTAAATATTATTATAATTACCTAAATAGTTTCCAAATTTCTTCATAGGTGACAAATTTCCTCATAGACATCTTCACAATTTGAAAAGTGATGAACGTTGCATTGTTATTGGAACCTTGTTCAAACACATGGAATTTCAACCCAGTATTTTAAAGGAAGTTAGTGAAGAGGTAATCACCACTACCTCCAGCTAATTTGTGTTTTGGGAATTTTTAAATTTAGTTGACACTTGAATTGAAAATTACAGCATGGAAAAGTTTTTAAATAATACCTCCCAACATGATGCATACTCTCGCTGTTATTCACCAAACTAACAATAGCCTATTTTTTATTTTTAAAATAGTTATTATCTATTCTAGCATAATCTGATGCCACAGCCGATAAAATCACGGTACACTGATGCTGGAGATAAATTAATAATGGAGGATGAGCTGCAGAGAATAATACTACTGGGTGAACTCACTTGTCAAAGGAATGTCACTGGTAAGTGATTAACTGTTGACATGTCTTTCATTTACTATTTGTGTACAGGCAGCTTCAACAGTACTAGGTCCTATTAGGGGGAGAAAACTCTTAATAGTCTTATTCTTGAATGATGGTAGTCCTAGCTGATTCATATTCTTGACCATATTGTTTGTATTTTTTTGTAATATTTAGGTGTCATTGTTGCTGTTATGGGGTTTGAGCCTGAAGATAAGAAAGGCAAGTTTCAAGTGGAAGATTACTGTTTTCAAGAATTACCAGTTCAGATTGAAAGACCACAGTTACATTGCAACAAGTATGTATTTAAAAGCAATAATTGTCTTGATAATATATTGTGTATTTGTCAATAATAAACCTATATTTTTGTTATGATTTTATTTAGTTTTACTTTTTGATCTTACTTTAGTTTTTATTGATCTTTAGGCTTTGCTTCATAAAGTAACATTTATTGTGATATGGCCTATTTGTTCATTTTATAATGTACTTTGACTACATAATTTATACAAAATGTGTCAGTTTTCTTCTTACATGTTTTGAGTCTAACATGATATTTATTACTTTCAGATACGTCTTGTTTGTTAGTGGCCTTGAGTTTGGCAGCAGAGAGCAGCGTTGTTTTCAGATGCAAATGCTGGCTGATGTCATCTGTGGTCAGCTTGGTGCTGATGACCAAATTGAAGCATCTGCAGATATATGCCATGTGATCATTGCAGGGAACAGTTTAAGTGAATCAACACAGGACAGAGATAGTATTACTAAGGTATGTTTATGGTATCCAATTGCATGTTTGTTTAATATTTAATATAATAACTTAACCCAATGTTTTGTTTTTTTACATCCAAGGCCAAGTATTTATCTAAAAAGAGTTCTGCAGGGAGTGTTGAGGCAATTAAAAGCCTAGATGATTTCCTTCTTCAACTTGTGGTAAGTGTCTTTTTATTTCATGTCTGCCCAAGTGGGCTTAGTTCAGTTAATAGTCTGTTGCCCTTTCTTTTAGAAAATTACACTGGAAATTTAATCTAATGTAATGCATTATTTTATTACTGCTGTTTACTGAAGCTAAAACCTATTGTAGAGGGTAAAATTCCTACATAAATAGTTTTATCCAGTTATTTGATCATAGCTTATATTTTACTGAATGTAATATATTCATTTTTCACTAACTCAAATATGATTATGTGTATGCATCATTGTTTTGTTTGAATTCAGATGTATTTCTTTTCATTAGAGGTTTTTATTTGCAGTCATCTGTGGATGTGACCTTGATACCAGGTCAGTTTGACCCTAGTAATTACACTTTACCTCAGCAACCTCTTCATCCATGCATGTTGCCTCAGGCAGCAGAGTACAACACTTTTCACTGTCAAACCAACCCGTGCCAACTGTCAGTTGATAATATCAGGTCAGTTTTTACCCTAAATTAAATCTTAACTGCTTACTTGGTTTGAAAAATAACACAAGACTGGTAGAAGTAGATTTTAAAATAATTTCAACAGCATTATACAAAGATTTGTGTCAATTTTAAAAAATGGTTTGATGTCAAAATGTAAAAAAGTAATTTATATATTTTGAAAAAGGCATGTAAGAAATTTTTTATTTATTATAACGTGTTAGTGGAAACATTTTTTTAGACTTGGTAATTCTGTTGTTTGTAGGAAACAAAGACTAGTTGGGGTAAAAATAGCTTTAAGAATGTTTGATTATCAACTTTCAGAATACTAGGAACATCTGGCCAACCAGTAGAAGACATTTTACGTTACAGTGAGATTGGGCACTCGCTGGAGGCTCTAGAGAAAACATTAGAGTGGGGACACCTGGCTCCAACAGCTCCAGATACGTTAGGTTAGTGCATATTTTTTCTTCCTCATTTACAGTATATACATTAATAATAAACTATCATAATTTGGCAGTATTTAATGACTAAATTGAGGTGTGAGGGTAGCTTAACTTTATCTTACATTATATCTAGTCTATTTTGAGTCTGTTCAAAAGTGAAATTTATGTTTAGAATAATTATTTAGGTACTCCAACTTATCAAAATTTCTGCCAAACATTCAAGTCTTTTTTTTTTTTTTTTTGCCAATGCAGTGTACATTTTTCTTAATATGCAACCTTTATTTAATGACATGTTTTTTTCCCTAGGGTGCTTTCCATTTGTTGACGAAGATCCATTTATATTGTCAGAATGTCCACACGTGTATTTTGCTGGCTGCCAGCCAGAGTTCAGTCAGAAAATCTACAACGGTAAATGCCATAGTTAAAGAATAGTTCAACCATTTCTTTCCCCCACATAACATATTTTAATGAGAATTTTTTTACTGCTAGGTGCTGCTGGCCAGGAAGTATTACTTTTGACCATACCAAGATTCTGTCAAACAGGGACTGCTGTCTTAGTAAACCTGAAAAATCTGGAGGCCTATCCCATCAGTTTTTATGGTCATTTCCCACTTAGTGATGTAAAATCAGAAAATTAAACATTTTCATGGACTTAAAATGAAAAGCTACTTCAATTGCATTTAAGGAGCATTGTTTCACACTTAACTCTTTCATGATGATTCTCATTTATAAAAGCAGGAAGTAAAAATTACCTATTATGTAAAAATTGTATAATGCACATTTAGTGTTACAAAATGAATATGTAGCTTTTTCCTGTACAAATAATTTTTGTCCAATATTTTTACCTTTGTTATTAGCTCCTGAAGTAATTACTAAAATTGTATTTTTAAACAGATTCACTGACAAATGATCAGGTACATATTAGGAAGCACATTTTTGCAAATATAAATAATTACACTTAAAAAAATAGCTATGTATTTTTTATAAAAAATAATTTTATTTATAAATTAAAATTTTAAAAAATCTAACTATTGGGCTCAGCATCAATATCTTCATGGTCTGTTGTTAGATGCAAAGCTTTTTTTCACACAAAAATGAATATCAAAATCATTTCTATAAATAGCTGGCAATATTTTACAGAATTAATAGATTTCTTTCCTCTATTTTCATTTTTGTCTTACTCAACAAGTCACAAGTTCTGAATGATGGAATAAGGGTTTCTGTAAGGTAATGGTCTGTTGAACAAAAATGCAATAAAATTTGCAACAGCCTGAAATGCTGTCAGCTTGTACGATTTTGTTTTCACATCTGTAAAATAAGCTGTACATCCTCTTGTGACTAGAAAAAACTGAGTGGCAATGATGTTTCCTACCCACACAGCCGACACAAGATTTAAAACAAACAGGGACAGTGGCCAAGCATGGTGGTGAATCAACTGTACTGCAGTTACACTAAGATGTGTATGTGGATACAGTGTCCATATGTATAGACCAAATGCTATCATGTAGGAGCACATGTTGAACACAGCTATCAGCAGCAACCACAGAAAGTGGGCATGATTGTTGGCAGCTATACATTTGAGCAGAAAAAGGCAATGATGATCCATGTAGAGATAGCATTTGTCACACAGCTTGCAGTGTTTGCTCACATTTCTTGTAATTATCTGAAGAAATTTATGGCTACATGAGTTATTGTATACAAGAATAGGGGCATTATAAAATGTTCTATTTGATAACAGTTTAAAACATTTGCAAATTAAAAGCACTTATCTCAACAAGCTATGAAAACTTTTTAATGCAGAATCCAGCCAAACATTTGTAAGAGTGGTTACTTTCTGTTTTAAGTTTTTGTTGAAAATAGTATAAAATTATACTCACATCACATATAGGACAATAGTTGTATTTTGGGTTGCGCATTGAGCATAGATCTACAAGTGTTAAGGGTTTGTCTAACTCCTCTACTGAAGATGTTACAGCTCCTAAAAAGTTTTGATTGAAAGTTAGTATACATGTCCACTACATTTTTAACCAGGGGTAGATATCTTTAAAACATTTGTGACAAAATAAATGTATTCTAATGTTTACTACAAGCAATTTTGCCCCCATAAAAAATATTTGGGGCTTTGGTTTGTCTTTGAACAATAACACATTTAGTCAAGATGTATTGTTTGGTAACTTAGACAAGATTGAATTAATGTAAAGTAGTTATTAATCAATCCTTATAGACGCTTAGAACCCAAATTTACAAGTCCTTTATGATGCCCTGCCTTTAGCACATTTACTCAATCACACTTGTTATCTACCTATACCAGTCTACTAACCTGGATCTTTCCTTACAAGGGTCCAGAAAGTGAAAAATAAAGCAGGACAAACAATGAAGGACACTATCATCATGATTCTGCTGCTGTTAATTACTTTTTTTGATGAGGAAATATATGGTTGTTTAACGTAGAATAATAGCAATAACACTAAATAAAATTTTTAAAAAAAACTAGATTATTATGAGATTTTACTGTTAATTTTTAAATTTTTGGTTGATTTCTTTCTTAAAGCAGTTTTTTTTTTCAAATTAGCAAAACATTATTCAACTGATGGTAGACGATATAAGAAAACATGAATTAAAGGATACCTGGGAAAATTAAGTAAAAGTAACATATAGTTGTGTGAATTATTCCTGCCGCAAATACGCCAGTATAAAATGGATTGGGCCATCTGAAATATATTACCGTCGACTTTTTAAAATGATTATACTCAAGTTCATTTACAACTAGTAAACTGAAATCACAGCACACTTATTGGTTACTGATAGTCATTTGCTAAGTTATAGAAGAAAAAAATCCTACCTAGAAATATGGTTAATGCGATGAGAGAATCCATTGACATGTAAAATGAACATCACTAATACTGCCAGGTAGACGAGAAACTGGTAAGATTCCATACACTCTGACAGAAGCACAATTGCCAAGTACAGTGTAAATGGATATAATAAAAGTCCATACCAAAGTTTAACCGGCCCAGTTACAGGTTCAAATTCACTTTGTTTTGCATAAGATTTCAATATGGGAGCTAACTCTTTGTGTCTGTAAGATACAATGATAATTTATTTTAATTTTTATTACAGCCAACTGAAAAACAATACTTAAAAAAAATTATGTTAGTTACTTACCCATACTTATCACCTTGTGCAACAAAATCTAATGGTGTTAACCCAGTGTTGTTGGTTTTTTTCAAAACACTAACTCCTAATAACCGCAACATACACCATGTCATGTGGCCAAAACCATTTTTAGATGAAATATGAATTGGTAGATTTCCATCAATATCCGCCTGGTTGAGATCACTTCTCTGCAGAAATAGTCTTTAATAAGAACCATATCCCGCAAATATGTGCAGGAAATAAAAGCGTATAATAAATTTTTGTTGTAAAACATTTAATAATTTGGTAATTTCTAGTGGTCATTACTTTACTGTTATGGTAATAGTTTAACAATAACAGCCATGGCAACATGAAATTTAAATAAAAAGATACACAATAAAATACATCAAAACAGCACAATTTACTTACATCATGTTTAATAAGAAAAGTAAATAGATCCAAATGTCCACATGTACAAGCAATATGAAGTGGGCTTTGTAGCTTAGCATCTAAGTCTCTCACATTTAGACCATGAGTTTCTTCAAAATATTTTATAACTTGCCTAGACAGATGAAAATAGTTATCATTATTTTCTCTATCACAAAACATTTTATACCAATCTTAAATTAATTGTTTTTCTTTCTAAAAAAGAACAATAAGTTTAATTATTAACAAATCAGTCTAAAACATTGCTTACGCAGATCCTGTTTCTGCAGCAAAATGTAAAACACTTTTCCCACTTAAGTCTCTAGCATCAATCTTGGCTCCACACTGAATTAGCAAGTGAACTATACTGGGGATACCTCGCCGACTAGCATAATGAAGTGGTGTTTCTTTGTGTGCTGTCAGAGAATTGACATCTGCATTAGCTTGAATCAGCATCAAAACAATATTGTAATCTCCAGTTAGACAGGCTCTGTGCAGTGGATTTATATCATGCCAACCTAAAAGAAAAATAAATAAAAAATAGTTTTATACTAGTATCGCTACCATAAACTTCAATGTGCATTAATAATACTTGCCCCTAGCATATTCCTAATACTGGCCCTAACAAAAGTGTCAACAGAGATGCAGAAACAAACTTGATATTGCCAATTTGGGCTATACTTACTATATTACTTAATTACTGTCCCACATGGACAAGGCTATACCATACCAGACAAACAATGAGGGTAGATATGGTGTACATTTGTATATGTAGAGTTGATAAACAACATGACAGGCCTAACTGTAGATCAGGACAGACACGATAAATTAAGAATGTTTTAGGGCTACAATAAGAATGGGTTAAAGTGCTTATGCAATTTGATTGTTTGTTGTGATAGAATATTTGAAATGACACAGTAAATGCAGAATGATGTAGCAGACAAATTAATGACATGGTAGAAAAGAATTGCATGGACTTAGTATAATGGTTGAGGAATAGGACAAATAGTTTGTAATTTAGAACTATGTTACTAATAAATGTTGTGTACTGAATGATACATTCAAGCTATTTATTGAATCAACAACTACAGAATCTGGATTAAAGAACAATTTTATGATACAACTTAACTTTTTAAATATTTTGCAGCAACAATCATTTAAGTTTACAAACCAATAAAGACAATTTCAGCACCAAAACAGGGGGCCCCTTCAAGCACGGGCCTGGGGCGGCAGCCCCATTTGCCACCCCCAAACGTCAGCTCTGATTATTAGTTTCTTATAGGCCTACTACTTCAACATTCTATTATTTGCAAAACAGTGAAAAACTAGGAATAATTTCAAAATATATTATTTGACTTAGTAGCCATGTGATAAGTCAAGAACAGGGTGGTCTGGAGTTTGTGTGTGAAAAAAGTAAAAAAAAAAGGGTTAGGGGCAAACATGATGAGAGAGTGGTTTATGTGTCATAGTGCAGCTAATATAATAATTGGACTGTAATAATGAAAAAAAAAGCTAAAAAAAAAATAATCAACATAACTAATGACAATGACGAATGCAACAAAAAGTGGTCCAATAAAAACTTCATGGAGAAAACAGCAAAAGTAATTGATAAATTTCTTTAATTTTACCACCTTGGTCCTTTCAAATTTTACCAAACCTGCTAATAGCTGAAGGGCCTTTTAGTTAGTGGTATAATAATCATGTGACCAAGGTGGATAAAGTCGACAGGCCCTGAGCTGTTTAAATAAATAAATCAAGCCCTTGAAACAACTGACACGTTTTGAAAATTATTTGCTTATTGTAAAAAAAAAATCTTCATATACTTAATAAGCTGCTGTTGGTGCAAAAATTTAATAGATTTTGAAATTACGACCAGTTAAAATAGGAAGGTTAAAACGAGGTTGTATCCTTAATTTGAGCTAGAGAAAGGGTTACTTATTTTGCAATTTTCAACAACATTTACAATTCAATTGTAGTGTTGTGCATAGTACACTCTTATATCAATTTAGTTTTCACCATCTTGGTTTAAATCTATAGCATATATTCTAAAACAATTATAAGAAGCTAATAGTTATATAGGGCCTATTTATTTATATAATGAATAGCAAACAGCTATTTTATATAACTAAGTAGGCCTAAATAAATTTGGAAAGAAGTAATGAAATATTTTACAGAACTGCATAAAAGAGTTTTACTTATTTCCCATGCTTTTGATATTGATATTTGCAGATCCGATTACAACAAAAACATGCGTTTGTTTAGTTAGGGCTTAAGGGGGGAGGGGGAAAGGGTATGGACCCCAAACTCTTTTAGGATCCATCTGCTGATCTATTATATGCATTAAATTAATGCTACTGTTTCTATTCCTAGTGTAAATATTATAAGTAAAGAAGTACCTTTCATATGAACAAGGTGTGGATCGCTGTTTAGCAATTGCTGAATCACATGGCCTTGGTTATTTAAAATGGCATTAAGTAGCATTTCAAATGCAGCTGCTTGTAAGCCGGAACCAGCATAGTTTTTCATAGTATTTTGAACACCCAAAGACATTATTTATTAAAAATTAGATCAGCTATTCGCAGCTATTGACTCATTCTCATTGAGCTATCGACTAGTGCCTAGCTACTAGAATAACTATTAACTAGATCTAGCTAGAATATAGATTTAGATTATCTGTAGACTAGACTAGTAAAAAAAAGCCTTTTTTAAAAAGGTAGTAAAGTAAGTAAAGTTGACTAGAATTCATTTTCTCCACAGTCCGCTCCCATCAAAACACTCACTACATACTGTAGTAATAGAGCGAGTCTAAAGTCAGACTACACTAAAGTGTAAAGAGGTCAACTATACAGTTACTAGATTTCTAGATCTAGATCTAAGTGTTACTGCTGGGCGTTATCTGATAATCTGTTCTTTTCTGTAACTGACTTCTTAGTCACACTCACAAGTTCAAGTGTGAAAAATAAAATTTATTAGGTAGGCCTAATAAAATAAATTGATAAAAATCTGTCAGTTAGCATTGTAGCCTACACACAATAAATTACTTATTGTTTAATATTCCTTATTTAACAATTTTAAGGCCTAGATCGGGGACTAGGTATTTATTTATTGTATTTCTAAACATGATTTAACTTGGTTTGGTGGCCTAACGACGTCTAAACTAGAATCCATGTTTTAAATGTTTTGTTTGTTTATTTAACGTCTCGCTAAATACCCAAACAAAAATAAACGTAAAAACAAAATATCAAAGTTATAATTAATTATAATATAGATATAGATCTATATTATTATTATTATTATTAAATAAAGTATTTAAAATAGAATATAGATAAAAAGGGCAACATCATGTATATTATAGGCCCATATGGGTATTATAATAATATTGTTTTATTCAATATCTATAGGGGCCTAGGCCTGAACTTAATTTCATAAAAATATTGTTAAACTACATTTTCAAATCAAACAAATATAGATCTACTATATTTAATATAGACTATAGGCCCTCTATGTAGGCCTACTAACATGTATGTTAATTACTTTATTTAGTGCTGTCATCAAGTTCGATGGGAGCATTGGGAGGACATCGATCATCAATATTACATTTAAAACACGATTCCAGTTAATTCACATATTACTTATAAACCTAACAGCAAGAATTGATAATAACTTCAATTTTTGCCCCGTGGTCACCCATAAATGACATGGCGCTTTTTAAATGATTTTATTTAACCTCCCTTTCTCCTCCGTCACACATCTTCACAAAAAGCCAGGCCGCCCCTCTTTCTAAAATGATATCAGACCTCAGCCTAACACTCCATCTCAGAATTACAGTACTATAAACAAAAAGCCATCTATTTCTTTTTAGAAAATTCACTGAAATCGGTCCATAGTCTAGATCTAGATCTAGATATATAATTTGTCATATTCTCAGTTTTCACTAGGCCATGTTTCTGCTATTCTGAATTTTTTTATCTGCATAAATTTACATACATTACTGGCTCACAGGCTGTTTTTTTTTAAGTTTGGAGGCTATAATGCTCTTCAAATTGATGCGATTCTTAATTATCTGTATAGAGAAAAAACATTTAATAAATAATACAAAATATTTTGGATACAAATAATTCAAGTATGTAGTATGTTGTGTTTTTACTGTTCTATTTTTAAAATAGCTAGTTATATATCTAGATCTAGAGAATCTATGTAATAACAATAACTAACCAGTGAAAGTGGCCTGAGTGAGTTGATTCCTCATATTTTATCTTTTTTTGTTTTTAAAAGTGAATAAATTAAAAAAAAAATTATTTTGGAAAATTAACAAAAAAATAATAAATTTATCTGGCAATACTGGACAGCTAGCTACTTTTTATATATTGTGAATGGTAGGCTAAATAATGTAAATATAAATATACAAATAACAGTAATAACAGTAGAGTAGTAGTAGTAGAGTTACTGAGTAGGTTTTTAAATAAATGTTTTGATCTAAAATCTAGATAAATCTATACTGTAGTAGATCTAGTAAGTAGGCTATATATTATATAATCTCTTGATCTATTTTGTTTTTTAAATATTGGCTTAACTTTAACTTTAACTACTAACTAGATCTAAATCTGAAATCAGTAAATCACATTCTGGTAATCTATCGTTTTGGGTACGTAAAATCGCCCGCGGCTAGTATTAATTTAATGTACGAAAACGTTACCTCATTGTCAAGGCTGTAATAGAAGTAGATCATATATTGTGATATGTTTGTGTCAAATATTATAGACACATGAATAATATTGAATAATGAACCTAAATCAATGGCTAAATAATACTAAATATATCAATGATTCAATATATATAGGCCAGAAATTGACTTTAAACTTTAAACACTATAAACACATTAAACAGCAGTGTCTGCAAGCAAGATTTGCTATATATATATAATAATATATATAAACAGCAGCCATTTGTAAAATAGAGTGACTTCCGCCTGAATCTTGGCTATAAGTTCTATAAGTCTATAAAAATAAAACTAACAAGATGTCTGCTATACTAAATGAGCATGGTTGCATCTGTTGGAAACATCGCTGGTGTTCATTTATTACTGAAAAGTTTTAATTCAATTGTTTAAAAACCGGTACATAAATGAAACAAGGAAATATTTTGGTATTTTTCAAAACATAAATCCTCCTCAAAATGTGAAATAATTATTAAAATGTAAGGAGTCACCTTTTTTTCACATTACTAGTCGCGGGCGATTTTACGTACCTAAAACGATAGATTACCCACATTCTAAATCTAGGCCATTTTTTGATAAATCACTGCACTCTCATGACTCTCTTCTGCAGCAATTTTTATTTCAAAATTCATAGCCTTTGTACTCGGCAGACTCTGTAGTACTTTGTAGTAGATCATGATCTAGAATTCCAATTAGATCTAGATCTGAATTTTAATTTTTAGGCCTAATGAATTTATATATTTATTAGGCCTATACTATAGACTAGTATAGACTATAATAGGCCTATTTGTTTAGATTTAATCCCTCTATCTTACTTTTTAGCCTAATCGGCGCTAGTAAGTGGTAAGTAGGGGTAAGATTTAATTAATAATTAAGATAACTAATGAATATGGCCTGTAAATAATAAATATGAATAGGCCCTATATTTAGCATATTGTTCTAAAAAATTAAAGATAATTGAATATTAAATTACAGATAAGGCGTTACGGGTTAAATCAATACAATTGTCTTGTTTTAATATACAATGCATACGTTTTTAAAAAAAATTCTGCCTTTAACAAATGTAATTATTTATATTATGGTTTTGAGTTTATATTTAACTCAATGACTCAATGCAACAAGCCTGAGTTTATTGTTAAAGTTTCTTTGCTATTTTCAATTTATGTTTGTGGTTTCTTTCCCTCTAATTAAAGATTTAGGTGTAAATGATATCACCTTTTTGACCTCTCTTCATCTTAATCCCCCCCCCCCATCTTATTTTGTGGCCACAAAATAGTTATTGTGTTGAAAAATACCTTTTTGATTTTGCCGTCCCTATTAAGAAGTCAAGCATGATGTCATTTATGGTCGATTTGTCAGGCAAAATTAAGTAAAAGTCTCACCGGCGTAGTGCTTGCTTTGATTTTTAAAAAATTACCTTACCTCATTCTTCAACATTGGCCTAGCGGTAAATGATGTTACGCGCGCCGTGAACTTGGTGACGATGTGTTAAGTGGGGGGAGGGAGATGTATGAAGATTCAAAGATTTTTCAGTATTGTTCAATACCATTAATTAATTTTTTTCCTTGCCTACTCTTAGCACATATTATGACTAGAAAATCACTAAAGAGAAATTTTCCTGAGGAGGATTCTGAAGCCTCTCAACCATCTATTAAGTTGAAGAAGACAGAGGAATCATCTGTAGATGGCTCCACTTCAGAATCAGATAGGAGAAAAAGACAAGCTGAAGACTGCACATCACCCAGCAAAAAAGCTAAAACTGATTCCACCCTAAATGCAAGTGGCAAAAAGAAACATGGGAGAAAGAGGATGAAGTCCCTTTTACATTCAATAGCACGTCAGGTGAGATAAATTACCACCTTATGGTATAGGCTGACTAGTTAAATTCTATTTTAATAAATTTGTAATATAATATATTTATAAATATAGTGGCTATCTAGTAATTAAAGTGAGATAGTTCTTTTTTTAAAAATAGGTATATAGATATTAAAACTTGCACTCTAATGATATAACTAAATTGCTGGATTTTAAAATGTACTTTTAGATGGAATTTTACTTCAGTGACTCAAATTTGCTGAAGGACAGATTCTTGAAAAATCTCATAGATCAGACAGAAGATGGGTGTAAGTAATTTTATTTGTAAACAGCTCGATATAATTACTTAAAAAAAAACTAGTTTAAAGATTCATGAAATGTAAAACTTACACAATTCCACAAGATTTGATTGAATTTTTTAGCAAGCTAATATACATGTTACAAAAAAATGTTATGTAATTTTGGTAAAAATAATGATAATGAAAAAAGTGCAGGATATGTGTTACTAATTGTTAGGAATAAAATAAATCATTTAAAAAATTAGTTCTAGTTTCTTAGTGGATAAATATATATAAAGGGCCAAGACTAAATCTGATTAATTTGACTAAATTGGTAACAAACATTATGCATAAAAATATGGCTTGGCCTAGTAGTTGCACTCAACTCATGCTCTTGAGCCCTTAGTACCTCCTTGAGTCCACTGAGCTCTATAGAGTACTTAACTCAAGTTTGGGAATGTAGTGATGCTAGCCACAAACCCTTCAAATGCTGTCAGTTCAGAGAAAGACACCCTATGTGCCTGTGGACTGTCTGATCTGAAAAGAAAATTACTCGACTCAAATCTACAATAATGAAACAAGAAAACAGCCCAGAATTATGGTTAACATTTATCCATACTTTTAATATACAAAGAGACCAGTACAGTTTTAAAGAAAATCTCACTCCAACCACCCAATAAAATCAAAGTGCCCTACACTATCACATCACTTGGCTCATGTGGGAGAAGTTCACACAGAGAGGTAGATATAAGTTAGTTACATCTATTTTTATCAACTAATACAAATATTTCTGCTTTAGATGTGGATTTAACCATCTTTGGAAAGTTCAACAAATTACAGTCACTGAGCAAGGATGGAGTCAGTCAAGCTGTTTTAGTAAAAGCTCTCAAAACTTCAAACTTACTGGAGGTAAAATTTGCATATTAGGAAAATTATGTTATCAATCTCATTCTGTTTCTATCATTCATCTTTTGAAGACCATTGTTTGTTATACAAATATTACTTATTATTTTTACCAAGCTTACACTATACACATTTTTTCCCCAGGTGAATAAAGAAGAAACAAAGGTTAGAAGAGTTACTCCCATACCTGAGATTACTCAGGAGGAAATAGACAGCAGGACAGTCTATGTTGTAAGTCAAGTGACAACACATGTTTTGATTTATAGACAGCAGGACAATTTCTTTAAAATTTCTTGAGCAGACACTTACTAAACAGAAAATCATGAGTTGTGTACCCTGGCTGAAGATAGTCATCTCCCCTACTTTATAATCCAAACCAATTGAAAACAAGCTTGCTCTAGTCTCTTAAAATTTAATACGAGAGATGCTTGATTCTAATGTCTCATTTGTCTGGCTTAAATTTAAAGTGTTGCTTGAACCAGATATATCCATACAAGCTAAGAAGAAATAATTTTCAAGAAACATTTAAGTTATTTATAAATTAAAAAAATATATATAAAATAAGAATCTTTTATTTAGAATGAAACAAAATTATGAACTGATTTCAGGAACACCTTCCATTACATGCTACCCATGCCTGGATCTCAAGTATTTTCTCCAGATGTGGGCAAGTGGTTTATGTTAGTTTACCAGTGTACAAGACAAGTCAACAAATCAAACGCTTTGCTTTTGTGGAGTTTGATACTAGTGAGGCAGCTAATAGGGCATGTCAGGTGAGTGTAAAGTAACATGTCTAGTGTTTCAGGTGAGTGTAAAGTAGCATGTCTGTTGTGTCAGGTGAGTGTAAAGTAGCATGTTTAGTGTTTCAGGTGAGTGTAAAGTAACATGACTACTGTATCAGGTGGGTGTAAAGTAGCATGTCTGTTGTCAGGTGAGTGTAAAGTAACATGTCTAGTGTTTCAGGTGAGTGTAAAGTAACATGACTACTGTATCAGGTGGGTGTAAAGTAGCATATCTGTTGTGTCAGGTGAGTGTAAAGTAACATGCCTGTTGTGTCAGGTGAGTGTAAAGTAACATTGTGTCAGGTGAGTGTAAAGTAACATGCCTGTTGTGTCAGGTGATTGTAAAGTAACATGTCTGTTGTGTCAGGTGAGTGTAAAGTAACATGTCTGTTGTGTCAGGTGGGTGTAAAGTAATGTTGTGTCAGGTGAGTATAAAGTAACATGTCTGATGTGTCAGGTGAGTGTAAAGTAACATGTCTGTTGTGTCAGGTGAGTGTAAAGTAACATTGTGTCAGGTGAGTGTAAAGTAACATGCCTGTTGTGTCAGGTGATTGTAAAGTAACATGTCTGTTGTGTCAGGTGAGTGTAAAGTAACATGTCTGTTGTGTCAGGTGAGTGTAAAGTAACATGCCTGTTGTGTCAGGTGAGTGTAAAGTAACATGTCTGTTGTGTCAGGTGAGTGTAAAGTAACATGTCTGTTGTGTCAGGTGAGTGTAAAGTAACATTGTGTCAGGTGAGTGTAAAGTAACATGCCTGTTGTGTCAGGTGATTGTAAAGTAACATGTCTGTTGTGTCAGGTGAGTGTAAAGTAACATGTCTGTTGTGTCAGGTGAGTGTAAAGTAACATGTCTAGTGTCAGGAAGATGTTATAATGTAATAAAATATGTGTAAGCAATTGAGATGCAACTCGAGTGAAATGACGATTAGTTAACTAAATCTGTTTGTAATGAAAGTACAGTATTTTATTGAAATAATGACCTGTTTTTTTTTACTAGTCTGTTTGAATAATTCTCAGCTATTAGTTCTATGTAGAATTATTCAATTAAACTGTCTTTATTTTTCTATCTTAATAATAATTTAATTTATCTGTCAAAACTTACCTACTGTTTTATTGCTTTAATTTTAAATTGTCCCCAGCTTTTGAATAATCCACCACCATCTAAAGTACAAGAAAAGCCTGGTCTGTTTCCTAAAACTAACAAGACAATAAGTCGATTACACAAAGTTGTTGGTGGGTTCTAATTTATCCCTTTTTCTTTTCTTTATTTGTATTAATGTGGTTTCAAAAAGTGTCTTGTGAACACCATTATTCTCATGTTTTTCAGAACATCTTTAGTTTAGTCCATTTTTATAGCTTAGGATAACATTAGACACATTGGGTCTCGTTTTTTTTATTGGAAATATTTAGATAACTGTCATTTATAAATGTAGATATACTTTTTTCCTAGATCCGGCCATTATAAAAGATGAATCTTCAAACACTCAAGCAGAGGAAAATTCTTCTGATAGATTGAATGAAATCAAAACAAAAGAAACAGACTCCTTAGATAAGCAAAAGGAAGAGAAAGTCTTGGGCCAGTTAAGTGTGGAAAATTTATCTGGCAAACTTGAGCCCAAAGAGCAAAGTGTGGAGTCAGGAGCAGCGCAGCCTACACAGAAAAAAAAGAAAAATTCCAAGAGAAAATTGTGTTCAGACGATGGGACCATTAAAAAAGATCATTCAGAGAGGAAGAAGAAAAAAATGAGTATTGAGTCAACCGACAACAGCAGCAAATGTGAGAGAACTGATGAAGGCAGCATACAAGGGGAGGACAAGAATCAGCAGACAGATGGACCAGGAAACAACCCACAAGATGGGGTATGTAAAGGCTCCAAACAGAAAGACACTAAATCTGCTCCTGGTGAAGAGAGGTTAAAAAAGAAGAAGAAAAAAAGAAAAGCAGAAAAAGAAGCAGCAAAGAAAGTTGAGGTGCCCCAAGAGCCTGCTAGTCATACACCAGGTAGAGTTTTTTCTTTTTGTCAGACTGCTCCAACTTTTTTTAGTTGCTGCTTTTTTGGGTGTAAGGATTTGATTTGTATGGAATAATTTAGAATTTTTGTGACATCTGACCATCAGAGCTTACAGGTTATAAAAACAAATGACTTATTTTTGTTAACACTTTTACTTTCAATATTTAATAACAAACATTAATAAAAACAATTCATTGTTTAAATTAACATTATTGTAATGTACATTGTCACAATATTGCTATTTAATTGGTAAATTAATAGTGAGATTAAAGAGTCATTAAATTTAGTGTGGATTTCTACAATTGGGTGAGGGTTTCTCATTTATGAGAACTGAATCATATTTATTGACATTATAGATGGATGGCCCCTTTTGGGTGTCACATCTTGAAACCACTTTTAATAGTCAGGAAGCATGTTATATCAATGACATGCTTTTCTTTGAATTTCATCTGTGTTTAATGTTCAGAGGTCAAAAAAACATAAGCTCTACTACAGGTTTTAAAGGGTAATTTATTTTTACTGCCAGTTTTCCTGATCTTGACAAAGAATTTTGCTTATTTATATTAAACACAATTTTACAGGTGAAAAACTTAGCCGTAAAGCAAGGAAACTTCTGAGACAGGCAGATATTCGCAGAAAAAAGATGGCTGCTGAAAGCGAGGTGAAGAACCCAGCACCAGAAACACAAGAAGAGGACAAAAGCCAAGTGAGCACTACAAGTGCTGAGGAGCCTGAGAGTGAAAAAATAACATCTATACTCAAGCTGAAGAAAGGTCAGGAGAAGAAAAAAGTGGACTTTGACCTCGTGCCGAGGACCACTGAATTTCTCCAGGGTAGGGAGATGAGAAAGAGGAAAAAGCCCAAAAAAGATGAACTACATTTGCGCGTGATAGCAAAGTAAGGGAACTTTCACATATAAAGGGAGAGTATTGGAGTATGGTTTTAAAAATGTGTAACTAGACATTATCCCATGGTGTGTTGTTATATCACTTGAGTTCACTGGATGACTTTGGTGTATGTCATGTATGGGTTGGGGGCACTGAAGATGGAGTTGTTTGTTCCTATTAAAGCTAGTTTACCTTATCCACATCAGTCATAGGTGACCATTTGGTTTTTGTGTGCCAAATTTTGCTTAGCCTGTTTTCCCTTTTTATTTTTACACTGGACCCTGATTCATTTTTGTGTATCATCAATATCTCCAACGGCTTTCTGAGAAATGTTTTGTTTGTAATCTAGAAAAGAGTGGCTGTCTCTAAAGGCTGAGTACATTGCCCAGCAGAAAACTCATGTGGCTGCACTGAAAGAATCTCTGAGAGAGCTCAAACAACAAGAAAACACTGATAAACCCACAGGTGAGAACTTGGCCAAACAATCCTCTAACATATTGCATTTGAAACACATTTAAAACAAAAATCTGAATCATATGTGAAGTTTAATTTTGTAGCTTTTATTTTCCTTGTAAATTATTTTTTAAAAGAATTTTGTATCTATCCATTTGATGGTCATATGACCTTTTGAGCAAATAAACAAATTGTATTTGCTAGTTTACTTTAGGTCTACTGTTTCAGAAACTCCTTTTTTAACTTTAAAACATTTGTTACCTTTAAAACAACTGAATGATATTTTTCTTGATACATCTTTTCTTGTAGGCAATGGCCATGTGGATTTACAGGATGTATTTGGTACAAAGCGACTGAAGGCTAGTCATGAAGTTAAAATGGCTCATGTTGAAGCCCTTAAGTTTACACCTAATGTTATTGTCCAGTGGAAGTGTTCTCATGAGGTTCACAGAGACAAAATTAAGGTAGGTTATGTCTATTGTTTGACTCACTTTACCTGGGGAATATACGGATCAGTGTGAGTTTTGTCCATTGTTTGACTCACTTTACCTGGGGAATATACGGATCAGTGTGAGTTTTGTCCATTGTTTGACTTACTTTACCTGGGGAATACATGGATCAGTTGAGTTTTGTCCATTGACTTACTTTATATTGATCAAGGTGGGTTATGCCCATTGCTTGACTCACTTTACACTGACCAAGGTCCATTGCTTGGCTCACACTGATCCATGGGCCAGCCCAGGTAGCTTTTTGTTTGTTTTATTTAACTGATGGCCAGGATGTCACCAGGTTGTCATGGTTCTAATGATGTTTACTTTCTGTTTGATGTTTTCAATATGATACAAGTTAACACAGCTAATGATGTTTACTTTCTATTTGATGTTTTCAATATGATACAAGTGAACACAGCTAATGATGTTGCTGTTAAAAAAGCAATTTGAGTACATTTTATCTAACTTGATGCCAATATGATAACCATCAGGATTATGTTCAGATCACATTGATGCCAATTTCATCATGTTCCATGATCACATTGATGCCAATTTCATCATGTTCTATGATCATTTCTCTTGTAGACCATGTTTAAAGAGATGAGTGGGGATCAGATAGCTTACATTGATGCCAAAGAAGAAGCCAAAACAGGCTACATAAGATTTAAAGATGCTGACAGTGCTGAACAGTTTGCTCAGATGTCCAGAAATTCAACATACTTCATGGCCAGAGTTTTGCCAAGTAAGTCGAGTACCTTCTGTCAGATTTCTTTATCACAAGTGTGCTCTTAAATTGATAACTTGTACACACGTTGATGTTTTTTTGTACAACTTGTACATTTTAGTGGAACAGCAGGAAGCTTACTGGGTAAAAGCAAATGAAGACAGGATGAAAAAACTAGCAGGAAAGAAAAAAGAGAAAGGATCCGAAAAAGTAAGTAATGGTTTAATTTTAGTGACCTGTAGAACAGTTTGTGAGGTAATGATGACATACCCCCCCCCCCCCCTTTTACAGTTCAAAAACTTTATTTTTTTATGATTTATAAAGACTATGTTTTATTTCTTCAACAATGTATGTTCTGATGTGTAACCTTCACAATACATTATGGGTGAAATCTACCTACGTATATTTTTATAGCAAAAAACTGTAGAATAAACATTGCTTATATTGATAATTATGGTATTATTAAAACATTCCCACACAAACATTATACTAGCACACATATGGGTTGTACATTAAAATCATTAGAATACTGAGGGGAAAAGGGTTTTGACTGACTATTTTTTTACCTTTAGAAGTGGGTGGGGGTAAGAAATGTGACATAAAAACCTTTTGTATATAATTGTTAAAAAAAAAGATTAAAAAAACATTATTTTCATTTAAATTACATATACATTTAAGGTTAGGGTATGAGGGACTCTGGCCATCTATGATGATAGGTGCTGAGGGAGAAAAGCACCTAAATAATCATTTATGGACTATCCTAAAGTTCAGTCTAAAAAATTAGGAAAATTAACATGCCTAGGGGAGAAATACTCATAATGTATGGTGAAGTTTAAAAAGATGATTACTTCAACTGAAATATCCAATAGTCTAGATAAAACAATGTCTGCAAGATATAATAAAGTTCATATAATTTTGTTTATCATCCAAAAACCTTTCTTGCTATCCAGAACAAAACATTTTTTAAAAAAATAGCTTTTGTCTGTTTGGTTTAGATATCAAGAAAAGTTTTTGAGCGGAACAGAGCAACATTTCACGAAAAACCCACAAGGATTGTTTTCAGTGACGAACCTGTTGAGTCTAAAGAATGAATTCATGTTTTTGTTTAACTGTTGATTTTCTGTACATCTGTGTTTATGTTAAATTGAATTTCAAGTGGTAAAAACAATTTTATACATCTTTATGTTGTTTTTGTTTTTTATTTATTGTCAAAAATGTTTTAATTGAGAGTGTATGGGGTAACTTGGTCTACAAGTTGCTTAAATCACATAAGTATGACTGTGTATTTGCCTTGATTTGGATGATGGATGGATGGGAGGGGGGGGGGGACGCTTCTTCCCCCCACCCACCTTCCCAGCATATTTACCACTCCTTAGTCAAACTAGAAATTACTACTAAATTTAATTACAAAATATTTTACTTAAACCATAATCATTTTCCCCCCTTCCCCCACCCCCGTTTTCGTAAAGAAGCCCTAATCAACACTCCCACCTACCAATAAATCCTGCAACGAACCTTTACATTTGTTTTAAACAAGAAACCCCTCTCTCTACTACAATGGATAGTAGGCCTATGTTACCATTAAAATTGTATAACCATTCAATTTACTGCTTGCAATTGAATTAATCAATTTTGTTAATGTCTATACATTCTGCGGGTATGCTGATCTCACATTTACATTAACGGATGGTGGGGGAGTTTAGCTATTCCAAAATAAAGTGTGGGTTCTGACGTTTTATGGGGGTTTGCTACGTAAGAGGTAGTAGAAAATAAAAATTTAAAAGCAGTTTTGTTTTGTTTGAATTGTGGTTTCTTGAGACTGGGGGAAGGGCTGGTGGAACTCTCTGACGTAATTGGTGTGGGGGTGACTTTTTTGTCAAAACGTGCTAGTTTTTTAGCAGACCTAGATCATTTATTGACGATCGATGTGTAAGTTATCAATGGACAGCCCCGGCACGTCTTTAGCAGTATCAGCACCTGTTGGCGCGACTATCACAGTTATACCCTTCGAATCGGCTTTACTTTATGCAAATAATTGTAGGCGGCCGGGAGATCAAACTTTTAGCGCGGCCTTTTTGTTGGAGACCAATATGGCGGACGTGTCACCCTTTCAACATTTAGAGTTGCTAGTTGTGCTCTGAGCTATATGCCTTTAAAGCAGAGTTTCTTCCAGTTTTCTCTCCCCCCACCCCCCACCCCACCCAAAAAAATAAATAAACAACGCCTGGAAGAAAGACTACAGATCTAAAACGTAATAACCAGGGGGTGGTTTTTAAAGTTGTTGGCTATTTACTTGATGACTTCTTTATATAGGCCTAGTACTAGTATTCACTATTTTCCCAAATATTCCCTCCCCTTAGTTACGTATACCAAAAGCTAGTTATCTCTTCCATTCCCGATTTACTGGAGGATCTTCCTTAAACGACGTCACTATTAAATGGGGGTGGAGTGGGTAGTGGTACGGTCTTTATGTGTGGGGGGGGGGGGGTAAGAAACTGAAGACACACTTGCATTTCAGCCGTTATATCGCGTATTTCTAAGACATTTTTTTTTACATTGTAATTAAAGGATCGATGTTTTTAAAAAATGTTGATGGGGGTGGTAGGCTGAGATAGGACGTCATTTTAGGGAGAGGTTTCGGATCTTTTTTAGACGACGGGGAGGGGCGAGGTATCGTTTGATAAGTTCGATGTCGTCTATGGACTCCTTTCTCACTTCTAGATGTGAATTTTTGTAATGTAATCATAATTTGTGTAATCATAACGGTTGATTCAATGTTCAAGATTAAAATCCCATTACACATTCATTAGGACGCGGCTTAATAGAATCTTTGTGCGTGCCAAGCCAAACGTGACAACACGACAGTTTGATCAATACTTTATTGTGGGCCTAATTATTATGCTGGCCTATACATATAGCCTCTAATGTATAGCCTAAACTTACACAATGTCTACATAGGCCCACACACAGAGGGTCGAAGTATAGCCTAAAGGCCCAAATCGGTTATGTAACGGCATAAGCTTTAGAATGTTTGTGTCTACTAAAAGTTTAGCAATAATATAAGTAAATATAAATAGCCTACCTAATAGTCAGCCTATTATACTCAATATGAAGGTCATTAGATCTAATCTTCAATGCGTGATACACAATTAGATAACTTCCATACAAAGCTAAAATTTCCGATACAAGCTTAGTTTACTCATTAAACTGGATTAAAATGGGTGTCAGTCTAAAGTTAGGTACTGAACACTTGCACTTGGTTTCTTGCTCCCGAGAGGGGGGGGGTATTTGAAACTGAGGGCGTAGTTAAATTTCAGAAGGACACTTGTTTAAGTATATTTTTTTTTCTATAAAAATCGTTTTTTTTTTTCTTTTTATTTCGTTGGGGGAGGGGGTGTGTGCAGTGCTCCCAAAGAGATGCCTGAAAGTGCTTTTTGGCAACACTTTATATAAGCCTAATAAAATAACCTAATATAGCCTAAGCCAAGAGACATGACATCGCATAGTTTGACACGTTAGTGACACTGTCGGTAACGCCCTAACATAATCATAAAAAAGTGTAATGACTAAATGAGTCATTTCCTATTCACTATTCCATTACTCTAGCACTTTATATAAAAGATATAGAATCTATATCTAGGCCGTGTTTAAGAAAGTGTAAGTGCGAGTTATTTTGAGTTTGTTGACTAGAGGTACACACAGCCTGTACGTTCGTCTGATACTGTGTAAGGTTATTAGCAGTTGGTTTTAGACACAAACTTTACGTGCCCCGCCTCTTGTTTGGCGTTGCTATTGACAACGACAACGATCCATATCGGGCCTTTTAAAAGTACGAACTAGTTATTGCTACACACCCGGACTATCAAGTATGAAAAGCTTCGATCTTTTATAACACAATGCCGTGGCATTTATTTTTAATGAAAGTTATTTGAAGCATTGTGGATCTACCTAGCTTATTTATTATTTCCTACATAATAAAAATAAGAGATGTTTAAACTACTGACTCGTGTGTGTGTGTGGTGTGACACAGTAACCTACACACGTAGAACAGTAGGTTCTTTTTCTTCTAAGTCTTCAATGAATCAGCAGTAGTTTAATAGATCTACGTGTTGGAGTGTTTATTTATAGTGTTTATAAATAGTTTATAATAGACACTAGATTAGATATACAGTAGATGTAGGTACTAATAAAATAATACACATATTTCTGTTGCTTTAATAAATAAACTTTAAAACAAAACCAAGGCGAATATATTAATTAAATTTTTATTTCATACAGATTTAAAATTATAGGGTAGGTGTTATTTTTTTAATTTAAAAATGAGTGAGTGTAGACCACAAATTTTTAATCTGTTGAAGAAAAAATCACATTGATATAATTATAAAGAGCTATAATCAATTTAAAAGTGTGTATATAAAGAATATATGTGATTGTATAAAAAAAACACATTAAAAATGCCGACTGTACCCTTATCACAACTTGTGGATTTGGCGCTTGGTTCGCCTGAGGTTGGTGCTGTTAATTTCAATGTGCTTCACACTTTACTTCATGCAATGCTGGAGAAGCTTAACTTACAAGACGTAAAAGCAGATATTGATGAACATGACAGAGAACTTCTCTCAACACACCCAAGAGCTTTTTCTGCCATTTCGCTTATTAGTGCTGATAGTGGCAAAGGAGAGGATTCATTTTCTGAAGACAACAGCTTTAGTGAGAAGTCAGCTTTCGATAGATCTAAACATTCTACACGAAGCCCGTATCACAAATTGGAGGCTCAGGTGGCTAACTTAACAAAAATGATGAATGATTTGAGTAAACTTCCCAGTAATGAAGAGCTTTTGAGTCGGACTCAAGGAAAGGAATCAGAAAGACCTGTTTCAGACATGTGGCAAGCAATGCAGCTTAAAAAGAGAATTGAGTCCAATGAAGAAGGTGTTAGCAAGGTGAGCAATTTACTGACTTATTGAATTTGTTAAAGACTGATTTATTTTGTTGAGATTCAGTCTTTTTGTACCCTAGATTTGTTTGAAAAAAGCAACAAGAATTTTAATACAGTAGAGTAATACATTACATACATGTAATATGTTTCACTATTTATAAATTACTTGATAGGTACCAAAGTGTTATTTTGCTTGTACATATTGAAATTTGTGGAAAGAGTTATATCAAACTTACATTTAAACAGATTGACTAAGAAGTTGGCATACTCACATCTTTATTTAAATTTTTTTGAAAAGTCTCTACTAATTGTGTTAAAATCTGCAGCTGATGTCATTGGTTGAAGACATGATGAAAGAGATGAAGAACTTCAAGGACACACAGAATGACATAATGAAGAAAATAAAAGCAGTACGTCTCAAATGAATTTTTATTAATAAGTTTACAGATTTTTAAATTAATAATTTTAACATTTTAGAACGTATGTTTTTTATGAAGGCATTAGGTCAAAGTTTGTATGTTATATCATTGAATATTTCTCTGTATTGTTTAAATAGATGTAAAATATCTTAGTTATTAATTAGAATCAATTTGAAGATTTTGAAGATTTATGTTTTAACATTCTATGCCATGTGATCTGACATGAACTAAATTTTGGAATAGTTTTCTTATATTATAGTTTCCCTTATATTTGAATATTGAATGACAAAATAATTTGCTTACTAATTGGAGAGTATGAATATTAATGTAATTATCTTTCCTTTGAACCCTCATAACTTTTTTTCTTTCTAGATAAACTTAGACGAGGTCAACAGCAGATTAAATGCCATTGATGATTTACTTGTAAGCATAATGAATTCTCATCTTTTAAACAAAAAAAGTTTGGAAGTGAGCTATTTTAGCCCTACCACTGTTTAATTATTTTGTTCAAGAGAGTAGGCTTCCTTTATATAAATAATAGAACTTTTGTTTTGCTGGATTAAACTGGTGAATTGGAATGTCTAGAATTACCATTTAATTTTAATTTAAAATTGTTGCTGTAAAATTTAATAAAATCTGTTGAAGCATAATTGAGAGGTTTAATTTAACAGTGCATAACTACTTTTTTTTCCAGAAAGAATTAAACAACAAATATGCTGGAATAGCAGATAGAATTTCAAAACTACCTCCTGATTTAAATGAGCAGTTGTCACTGTTTGTCACATGGCCTGCACTAGAGGATGCATTGAAGGGAATCCAGCAAGACTTTGCCAACCTTCAAGTTGCCCCTCAAGAAAGAGTTGTCATAGAATTAGGGACACAGACAGCAACTCCTGTAAGTTCTTCTAAGACAGTGTTGAAACTGTTTCTATTCTGTAAGCCAATTTCTAGTAGAAGTTTCCGATTGAGTAAAAAAATTAATGAATATTTTAAGTATAGGCCAAAAACTTTTACCAGGAAATATATATAAATGAAGAAAAAATAATGTTTATTACAAAACCAAAATAAAAAAAATAATGGGTTAAATGCTGATTACTCTATACAATAATATTTGAAGGAGCCAAAAAGTCGACCAGTGTCTAGAGCGTCATCTGCTGGTCCAAGTGCAGAGTTGCTTGATCTGCTGGAGAAACTTGGGAAGTTGAGCAGCGCACACGATGAGTTGAATTTACGGATAGACAAGCTTGAGGTGAGTGCTCGTTAGCTAACCACATTCATAATTAAATAAGCTTTAAACTATGTGTGGATACTAGCAAAGTTATCTGAATGAAATAATAGATAAATTAAGCTTTCATTCCATATTTCTTTATAAATGTTCATTTTAACGTATTTTATTTTTTATTTTTTATTTCAGGAATTGATTAACTTAAAAGCTGACAAAGCAGATCTAGAGGGCATAGGTAAGAATTGAATTACGAATTTGAAACAAATTACTATTATATTTTAAAAACAATTTAAAACATTGATTTTGTTCTTTCTTTTTAGGCATATCATCTGAACTTATGTCAACATTAAAAGATTTGGAGTCTGAATTGAATGCTTTTAGGGAAGGGCATATTAAGGTATACTTTTTGAAACTTTAAAGTTACATTTCACTTAGTTTTGGATATAAGACAGAGTAAACAAATTTAGCATCACATTTTTGAGGTCGGGTTTCTGCTAAATTCAGCTTTAAATCATCCTGGTGTCAAATAATGTCATTACTGTATCAAGTTAAGTGAAGCCTAAGGATGTGTTTTTAAAATTATCAAATTATAAAGATGTGTAGAGATGTGTTTTTAAAATTATCAAAATATAGAGATGTCTACAGATGTGTTTTTAAAATTATCACATCAATAAAGAAAGCATCTAACATACCAAGTTTAAAATAAATTCTATGACTTTCTCACAAGCTAAGGTAGCACCATGTTTTTCAATGTGAGGTTTCCTTTGTCCATAGTTTATACTGTATCAGGTCAACAGTTTTTGTAGTGCATTAATTGAAGTCAGCACAATTATTTAGGTTGCCTCAATTGCTTAACGATTATGCTGTATATTATGCAGAATGAAGCAGCTGTTCGTAGACTACAGGAGGCTTTACAAAAACTAATGACAGAGGTTGAGCATCTACAAAACTCAGTCCGCACACTTCAGGAGACTGATCTGCAGAGAGAATTAGAGATTCAGGTATTTTTACAGCAACAGGAATTTATTTTTTACACTAGGCTTTCATATATGAGTTATCCTAGTAATGAGAATATATAAAATAAAAGAAACTGTTGAATTTTTATAAATATATTACATTAGGGCACACTGTTTGGAGAACAATTCATTTGTTGTGGCACTGTCACAACAGTTAAAGACTGATTTATTTTATTGAGAGTCAGTCTTTTTGTACCCTAGATTTGAATGTAAAAGATCATAAATAACAAGAATTTTAATTCAGTAGTGCATCAAACTTACATCTTAAACAGATTAAGAAAACAAATTATAATTTGTAATATCTATTACATTATCAGAATGTCAAGAATGTGTGTGATGGACTAAAAGAGACAAAGGCAGACAAGGAGTATGTTGATATGGAAGTTATTGAGGTAAGAAATACTCAACTTTCAAAAACATTTTTGGAAGAATTCATACTTTTATTGAATATATTTACGCTTTAACAGTTATCCAATCTTACCATTGTTTTAAAATATATTTGATACAGAAAGCAGACAAACGACAGTTGGAGAGTAAAGTCAATCACAGTCTTTTTGACAGTACAACCAATGAGCTCAACAGAATGATAAGAGACATTTTAGAAAAACTCAATGGAAAAGTAAGGTCACACAAGATTTTAAGTCTTTAATTATGTATAGGGATAAATTCATTCTATTCTACACAAAAAATTACTGTAAAATATCACTCTAAAAATTGCTTGAATTTTTTTAATGAATCAGGAGGAGGATTGGAGATCTGCTTTGTCTAAGGCCATGGAAGAGTTGGATGGTAAACTGGACAGGAGAGAGTTGAACAGCCTCAGGTCTTGGCTGGAGGAGCAGCTCAAGGCACTCAACAACAAGATGAAGGCAATGGGATCAGCATGGCAAATAGACGAGGAGGCAGCTGGCATGAAAAAGTGAAGATTTTAAAGTTTTTCTTATGTCCAGTTTATTAACAAATGTATACACTAGAAAAATATATTTTAATCTAGATAGGGATTTGCTAATTTATTAAAAGTTAGAAGTAGCTGTTTTTAGACATTAACAGTGTATGTTTCCTAAAAACCAGTTCAAAACTAAACCGAACAACAGTGAAATGTTTTTTATGGAGCAAGTTATGCTTTTATGTTTTGCTTTTCATCAGCAAGTTTAGTATAAAATTTTGATTTATAAAATTTAATCTCTAATAAATGTAGCCCACCAATAAAACATATAAATATTTCAATGATATTTTCAATATTTTACTCAAACTCTGTTTAAAAAGTTCCAAGTTAAAAGATTTAGAATAATCTACGCCTACTCATAATATTTTCTGCATTAAATTAAAAAACAAAATTTTTCTTTCTTTACATAGGCAACTTATTCAACGCTTCCATTGTCTTTCTTGTGATAAGCCTTTAGATGTCATGCCCCATCCGTAAGTACACTTCACTTTTACATTTCACAAAGCTAGACTTCATTTATCAATGTATAGATGAATATTATACTTATATATCATACTTTGAAATATATTCCTAGACCCATTTCATCAATACCAGCCAGTTATGGTCTACCAATGTCAAGGTCACCTGGACCATACACAAGTCTACAGCTGGACCTGATTCGCCAACAGGCTAAAAGGTAAAGTTATTTGCCAAAGTAACTTGTCATTTGTTGTATGACACCACTTCATTTCAAAACACTCACTAGATTTCTGACATCATACATTCATATCCATTGTCTACACTTTACTATTTACAACCACTCCATTTATTGATTTATTGACAAATACACCAATTTGTTCAATTAAATGATTACTTGTTTTCTTGTATCTGACATCGTTGGGTCTCAAAAATGAAATGTTTGATGTTCAATTTTCCTCTGATGTTATGTTTTAGCTTAACTTCTCCTGTTTTATTATTTTTGCTTATTTAAAATTTATTTATCACTGAGAATGTTTTCCTCAGCTTTGCTGGCAACAATGAATGGCCAGATTACTACAGCACTGTCAGACAATGTGGTGGTAGCCACACACTTACATTGCCACATAAACGCACAACCAAACTAAATTTAAGGTTAGTTGTCTTATTTTACTTCCATAATAAAATGGATATTGGAACAAAAATCTTCAAAATGTTGAAACCAGTTCTCCTTGTTGATATTTTATGATAGCACTAATCTGGAGTTACTATATTTTAAAATGTAAAAGAATAGTCCTAATCAAAACTTTTTTTGTAGTCAGTTACTGAAGGAAGAAGAGACAGTTGTTCCGTTGTACAAGTAAGTTTTTTGAAATTCTAAAGACATAAATTTACTGTGAGCATATTTAAGTTTAAATAGGTGGCACAAATTTACTGTGAGCAAATTTAAGTTCAAATAAGTAGCACAAATTTAATGTGAGCATATTCACAAATAAGTGTGACGTCTTTAAGGCTTAGTGAAGATGTTTTTTTGTTTGAACAGAGAGGAAGTTAATATACAAGGTGCAGATGGGCATGTTTATAAAGGCAGGATGGACTCATCAAGACAGAACGCTATGTTTCCTGGGTCTTTAACTGGACAGCACACCCAGCCAGCATACATGGAGGTAAGAAAAGTCAGGGTAGATGGCTGAAACTGAGTAGTCACATGAGTATTCCTTATGTTTAAACCACCCTCAAGCACTGACATTTTTTATAAATGGTTATAAACAACTTTTTCGGTGTGGCTTTTGTTAAACTGATGTGCATTCACTTTGTAAAATAACATTGTACTAGCCATTTCATTGTGTGCCCATTCATCATAAATCCTTGTTCCTTAGAATTAGAAGGAACATTGATTTTAAATTTAAAAAATAATTTCAAATGTAAAATTGGTGCAGCTGGTCTTTAAAGAGTTATAATTTGTTTTATGTGTGCATGCTCTAGTAATGTTAAAGTTGTTTTTTAATGTAATTACTAAATAGGCCAAGCCAAATCGTCCTGTATCTGCATTGCGCCCCAAATCAGGTCGTCCAACATCTTCAAGATCAGCTCAGAAAAGTTCTTCTGAAACAGAGGAGCAGGTAATTTAATCCTCTTTTGAGCTCAGATAGGGCAAGTAATTTAACACTCACTTGCTGAGATAGAGCAGGTCATTTAATCCACTAATTAGCTGAGATAGAGCAGGTCATTTAATCCACTAATTAGCTGCGATAGAGGTCATTTAATCCACTAATTAGCTGAGATAGAGTGGGTAATTTAACACTCTCTCTAGCTGAGAGGGCGGGTAATTTAACCCTCATGTTACTTCATCTGGCCTATTGATTGTCTAGTTTGAAATGAGTTTATTTGGAGAAAAATAACAGATAGCTTAATACAGTCATGAATGATTTCAGATAGCAATCAATAGAAGATATGAAAACTCAATAACAAAAAAAATTATTTGTAATAAATGAAATTTTTTTTTCTTTTCTAAAAACGTTATAAAATAAATTAAAAATAATTTGCTAAAAATAACATTAGATAAAATGGACACATTGAAGAGCAGAGTAGGTCAGAAAATTACAACTAAAAGAAGATGGAAAACAAATATGATACATAATCTTCCTTTTATCTTAGCTGTCTTAAAAGTCAATCAGCTAAGCCTGCTAGCTAGGTTAATATTGTTTCTTCTTTGCGGGGTATTTAAAGTATGTATGCTTAACTTTCATATTTTCAAACTTCTGTTTTATATTCAACTGTTGACATTAATTCAATTCTTAGACTAAGAGACCAGGGACACCTCAAGACGTTCCAAATGCTGAAGAGAGGAATCAGCCTATCGTTGACATTACAATAGATGTGAAATAAACATTTTATCCTGCACATTTAAAGTCAAATTTATTTTCATTGGACATTTTACAAAGCTGCCTTATATGTACTCCGGCCAAAATTTTAAAATCTTTATATTTATTTTTCTGCTGAATTGTTGGGCTACAAGGGATATTTCTCATTTTAATATTTTTAAAGTGCCTATTGATTTATGTAATGTTATTATGTCTGCAAAAATTATTAAGAGTATATATTTTTACTACAGCACAAATATAATATGGCCCTATTAGCCAAACATGTTAAATGATTACTATCTTGTTGTGCTTGATTGTAAAGTTTTTAGCATTTTCTTGTTGGAATACAGTTTTTTTATGAACTTTTAACACTTGTAAGAGTTTAAACTTCTTTCAATGACCTTTTCTGCTTTTGACATCATTTACCATTGACAGTATAATAATGACAACATAATACTTGTAAAAAATTCTACTTTTAAATCTTGTATTTGTAACATTGTTCGAATCTTCTACTAATAACATATTCTACTTTCAAATCTACTCATTGTAACATCTTTCAAATCTACTACTTGTAACATCTTTCAAATATTCTACTTGTAACATTCTATTTTCAAATCTTTGACTTGTAACATTCTATTTTCAAATCTTTGACTTGTAACATTCTGCCTGAGACATCCAAAACCACCTGTAGCTTCTGTCACTAGCTAGTGAAAGCGCCATCTGTGATAACTTGTGCCTGTGATATGATATTGTATTCATTCACCTCCTACACATTTAACTTTCTTCAAGACTATTTATGCTCTGTTTGCTAGTTGTACAGTATTATTTGATCTGTTTTTCAAAGTGGTTTTGGAAGAAAATGTGATCTTAATTATTTTAAACTACCATTTGCAATAGTTTTGCAAAAATTATTACATTTTGTTTTGTTTAAAAAATAATTTGGAAGTTTTACTAAAAAGGATTAGTGAAGTTGTTTTTATTTTGCTCTTTAATTGAATTAGATGTAGCAAAGTAACAATTTATGTTAACCAGGGTGCTGAAAAAATAAGGGAAACTGTTTTCTTCAAGCTTTATTTGTTTTGCAATATTGTTCATAAAAATTGCTTGCTTGTCAAATGTCTTATTTTTAGACAATTAAAATTATCTTTTTAAAAATAAAGTATTAATATTTAAAAGAAGAAGACAAAGCATTTTGTGTTATTTTCTTTATTTAAAAAATGTTAACAAAATGTACAAAACTTGTATCAAGCTTTTTGCTTACTTTTCGAATCAACCCACTTTCACGCACTCCACCAACCCAATGCACATTCTCCCTCTTCACCCGCAAACCCTTCCCCCAAATGGAATCAAATTTAAACCCATTTTTATTTTCTTAATCAATATCCATTATTACTGTCCCATCAAACTTTTTTTACTGAAACAAAAGTTGAAAAATAATAGGCCCACTTTAAACAAATGGTTGGTTTATTATTTGCGTATCGTGGTTTAAATGGTAATAATGGGCCTATCGAACAGAAGAAAAATCTAATTTCTGGTTACTAAATTTGAAACATCGATCATTAATGTCACTTTTGCTACTGTGTATTGAATGGGCTGCAACCTCGAGAGTTCTCTATCCTGGCCCATTTCTCCCGTGATTGATCGACTTTCCTTGAAAGCTATAACTTGGATTCAGATTTTAGACACCTCTTGTTACATTTAAGTTCCACTTTAGGGCTTGGTGATAATGATTGGCCATAGTAGTTTCGTTTGCCCTGTCTATCTGTATCTCACACAGATTATTTCTACACCACTTTTGGTTGGTCTTAGGGTTTGTTGGTTGGTTAGTCCTATAGTATGGTGTCTGAGATTTTCCGTCGAGATAAGACAACAACAATACCCCCCCCCCCCCCCCCCCATGTCACTTTTGTCGATGTCTGAACCTGACCCTCAACGCAGTAGAACAAAGGATATATCACTTTCCTCATTAAATTTGCCTTTTCCCTTGACTGTCACGCTTTGCGTGATTTGCCGACCTCCCACGTCCCCTCTCCCCACCATTGTTGTCAAGTAATAAAGGAACAATGTACTGGTTTTTTCCATATACTCGCGATTCTCTCTCCTTAGTTGACTTTAAGAAAGTTAAAGCACGGTATGGTGAAATTGAAGTTTAGACAGAAAGGTTCACTGCATTAACTTAATGTAATGCTGACTTTTGTTGAAATGTTATAAGGCTATGTGTATCATACGCCATAGCCTACACTTAAGCCACGATTCCAAAGTATGTTCACACCACCAATGACCATTACTTAATTGCCTTGCGTTGTTTTATTCTGGTCCACATTTGTCTCTACCTCCAGTGTCAAGCTCTTTGATTCTACTTTGACATCTCAATTGATTTTTGTCACATCCAAGCGTTGGCCAATCACCCGCGTGTAATTATTCATTGAATGGTTTACCCAAATGACGATCGTCTCAAGATTCAGAACTGTGTATCAACGTTTCTTAAAGTTGAACACAGCCTTATAGACAACTCGGAACTGTAACTTAATCTTAATTAGTGTTTCCTTCATGCATGTTGAGGGGGGCACATTTCCCACTTTAAATTAGTAAAAAAAAAGTCATTTTTTAAAAGCCTGAAAGAAACCTTGAGCCTTATACTTGCTGTCAGACTTGCTAGCCTGATCAATGTAGGCCTCTAACCTTGTGCTGCTGTCTAGCAATCAACCCCAAGTAATAGACTTGATATACTGTACTGTCTGAGCATAAATCAATCGCCCACTCAGAAAACTACTTGTTTCTGGCCTTTAGATGGCAATAAATCTCTGTGACACTCAACAGATAACACCGGCGCCTGCCACCTATCATGTCTTACACCTACCACTATCGACATCAACCAGTTCCCGCCAAATAGCTCTGTGCATAAATTCAGTCATGTTGTTCCCGACGTATCTTTTGTAGTTGACAAACTCGCATGCGTGGGGCGTACTCTCGCTCCATTTTGTGAAACCCCCCGTCATGATTCGATCAACTCCGGCAACTGAGGCTAGTATTCCCGTGAGAAACGCGTCCTCTACTGGAATGTATGGAAAATGTGGAGACAACTTTACTATTTTATCTACCGCATCAATTGATAAAACATAAGCATTTCCAGCGGCGTATATTGGATATTTGTCTATGGGAAGGTCAATTTTAGACACAGCCCATTTGCCTTTTCTTTCTACCCAAGAGTTGGCATAAATATGTCCATAAATAGAGTTGGGTTTTCCCGATTGTTCGAGGAAAGTGATAAGCATTGGAATGTTGACGAAGACGTCTTGATCGACTTTGAGAACGTAGCTGCACTTGCATGTGGAATGAAGAAGCCAATTGAATGCCAGGATGAGCTTACGTGTGAGGTTGGCGTAGGAGTCGAGGAGTTGGAACTGCAGAATGTCGTGAAAGGAGTCGGTCTCTCGTGTCAAGCTTTCCTCCCATTCAAGTAACTCGTCCAAAGTCGGCTCTTCTGTTGTAGAAACTACATTGTTATCAGCCTCGGTCGATCCGTTGTACAACTCGGTTGAATTGGATAGAAAGTTCGGTATAGCAGTCGGCGTCTGCTCCTGTTGGTCCTCTGACGTATTATGATGAGTGACGTTGCCCGCCTGACCGAGGACAAAGATCAACTGGATATTATAAATTGGGTCAAGGTGAGGCCAGGATTTCCCCCTAGCCATCGACCCCCAAGTTTCGCGGATAGCCATTCTCTGGCGCCCCGACCTCGGGTGTGAAGGTACGAAGATGACCAATCCATTGGGGATGCTGCACGCATTAGGCTCGACCAGAACGCTGTTGTTGTAATACTGAAAGTTGTGCGAGCTGGGTAGAAAATAGAGGTCCTCTAGCAAGAGTTTGGAGGGAGTCATTCTATGAAAGGGAAGTTTGTGTACGGCCCTTAACAGAAGTTTAGCCCTGTCAGGCACCGTCTGGGGTGGGGGTGGGGGGAGCTGGTGGATACTTTTCATGGCAGGCGACCACGTCGTCAGGTAGATGACGACGGATGTGAGGGAAAGAAAACCAACTGTCACGGCAACCACTTTCCTGGGGAGTAAAAAAATTGTATCAGGTGTTGAATGTTTGGCTAAAACCACAAAATAATTGTTGTAAATCTGTAAAGTCAGTTTCTCTTCAACTTTTATTGGCGAGTATTAAAAAAACAACAACGATCAACCAGCATAAGCTGTTTTATATAGTTGGCTTCACGAAAACTATAATTGTTCATTTCATTTAGCCTAAAATTGGACACTTTTCAAGACATTTATAGTCTTTCAGGGGGTCATCCATAAATGACGTCACGCTTTTATTGACGATTTTTACCCCCCTCCCTCTCCGTCACACATTGTCACAAAAAGCCAGACCCCCCCCCCCCTAAAATGACGTCACACCTCAGCCTACAACCCACCTCAAAATTGCAGTTGAATTTTTTCAAAACATCGAGATTTTTTGCCAAATCTTGTCTGAACTCTGTCAAAATAGAGTATTTTAATCAATTCCTATTACAGTTTATTAGAACAGTTTCTAAAACACGAAATAACGTCTAAAATTCGTTTTCTAACATTGCTTTTTTATAATGCAAAAGTGTGACGTCGCACCATCTGACCCCCCCCCCCCACCCCTCATCACACACCGTCACAAAATTACGGACCCCCCCCTCCCCCCTACGAGTTTGACGTCATTTATGGACGACCCCCAGGCATATTGTAGTAAAGGCAATCTACAAAAACAAATATGCATAGGCTACGTATATATATATATATATACTAATATGTGTCTGTATGTAGGTTTGCACAAATCCCTAAAACAAAAGCCTATGTGTGCTGAACGGCAGACAAAGACATGAAACTTTATTGTTGGCCAGGTAAACTTGGTTGCTGAATGTAGACACCAGACACTAATAATGTTTATGATTGTTTACGATAGACAGGAATGCTGTTCACTTTTCATTCCAAATGCCATTACGTCATTACACACTATCAAGTATTTTAAAAATGAACTTACGATCTACTAAAACTGTTTTTTTTTTTAAAGTTGGATATGTAATCGTTTTGTTTATTTTAGACCACATAAAGTCGAATAGACCCACGTTTCTTGGTTTACTATCTAACATAAATATTAAAATATGTTGTAAATATTATATAGGGCTAGCCACGAAAGATACTGTTTGTTTGTCCTTTATTAAAATTATTAGATAAGTCTACACGTAATTCCCTACTAGGCATGGGGGGATGGGCTTATAGGTTTAAAACTTACCGACTCATGATGAAAGCAACACAGCAGATCTCCGCTCACAGCGTGTTCAAACCCTACACCCATGAGCGCGTGTTGTGAAAATAGGTCAAGTTTATTTGGAAAGGCCAGGTGTAGGTGCAGCAGGAAAGCTTGGTGCTCACCCATGTTGTACACGAAAGGGAGGGGCGGTGTGGTATGTCGACTTGGTGAAACTTTTAGACAAGGTTAAAAATTAAAGCTATCGATGAAACATCTTAGACGCCTTAACTTTAACCCTTTATTTACGGAATTATGTTCTGAATGAGATTTTTACTTAAACAAGGTGTTACTATATTGCTTTTGGCACATTCAAAGCATATGTCGAAGGAAACTTTGTTTCATAAATTTTTAATGGCCCAAACAGATATTGGTACTTATAAGTACCGTCAGTAATCTAGGACATTATTTTTTTCAAAAATTTTTTTTTTACAAAACAGGAACAAACGATACAATTTATTAACTAATAACATGGCAATCATCATAACAATCACATTTTGTAATTTTCACACATAAATACAGCACAATAGTATATTTTGAGTACGATTTTTACTGGATTTTCTATGGGAACACATCTTAGACCTCATACACAGCAAAAGTGATCGACATGTCATGCTCCCTCAATCTTGTCTGTGGTCTTTCTGGTGTAGCAACGGTTGCCGGAATGAATATGCTTTTGCTGGAAGCTTCCAATAACTAGTACAATGAGCCGCATAAACAAACAAAAGCCTAGTCATTCAGCACACAACTACTAGTAATACTAGTATAATTGTAGCCTACTAGAATGTTATGACAATTCTACACTACAGTGCAAAGTTCATATATAGAAGTGAGCTCAATGTGTTTAGGATAGCCGTAGTGGATTACTCTTTTCTGTTTACTGATTAAAATTTACCTTATAGATCTATACCATATGCAGAAGTATCGACTATTACTAGTCTACAGGTATACATTACGTAAATGCTAGTTATTGTTGGCAAGACAGTTTATTGCAGTAAATATAACTAACAAATTAAATCTAACTACTAGAACTAGGCTTTGGTATACAAATGCAGTAAACTAAACCTTGTAAACGAGCCTGCAACTGATACCTTTATTCTTGTTATTTTTTACTAATAGAAATTAACATGTAATTACAATATTTCTTAGGTAAACCTTGCTCAAACCTTCTTATAAATGTGTAAATATAATTTTTTGAGTACATTTCGATAATTTATTATCAAGACAATATTTATGTAACTCCACCTAACAGTTCTGCCATTTTCTAAAAATCCTAAAAAAATGACCGTGTGCCCTGACGGTACTTATAAGTCCACTTGTAAACATCGATCTAATACAAAGACAATTTGATTAAAATTGTATAACTAGAAGTTAAACGCGTCTGCCTCACTATTGAAGGTGCCAATAAAACATATTTGGGGTTGAAAACTTGAAAAATAAGGTAAAACAAAGGGAATTCAGGAACGTGTGTGAGAAATGTACAGAAAAATTGAGAACTACCGATATAGCAAGACATTGAAAATGGCGCCACACCATTAATTTAAAAAAAAAACATCGATACCTCCGACTACCGGCGACTCAGGGGAGATAATACTATTAATTACCTCAATAATTTTTAAAATTCGTATTAAATTAAAAATAATACAGGCACTTAATTAAAGTGGTACTTATAAGTAGAAATAGGTTTGAGGTCAAACAGATAAGTTAGAATAGCTAGCAGATGAGAAATATAGATAAACTGTAACATACATGCAAATGGGACTTGGGTCAATTATTAAGTTCACATCATAAGGCAGTAAAACGGTCAATCTCCTACCCTGAGATAAAATAGATTTATATACATTACGGTGATTTATGAAAACATCTTGCACAATAAACAGTAACAACTCTTCATCCTTAGGGCCTGAGAGTTTAGTTATAAGGGGGGCATGTCTGATAAAACTATTAACTGTATAAACCATGCATCATACATGCAAGCTAAAGCCACTTTGAAACATATCCGTAAATAGTTATGTTAAAGTGATTAAAACAATTGCTTGGCCACAAGTATTCAAATTTCATTACAAATCTAGCTCAAATGTATGTATAACAATCTATAAGCCTACTGGTCAAAAATAATATTTGATTCTTATGTAATTAGTATTTTTTTGTCATTATCTTAGGATCGACAACAAGTAAAACAATTATGAAATTTGCCTTTCTAAATACATAAAGCCAATGAACCAGTACCTCCAAATGGTATAAAATTGGGTGGCCCTTAGAAGGGCCGGTTTAGAATTTAAGTTTTTAAACTAAAATGAACAAACACAAATAAAGATTGTGCAGCAAAAAAAAAAAGTTGTCCCCTACACGACTGTTAGATTTTAAAAAGCAATCAGTTTGTGATCAGAATAAAAACATGAAGAGACTCATTCATTAATATGAGCAAGGAGCGCATAATTTGTGGACTATACAACACCTGCAGAAAAGAGCTTATAAAATGCATGAATAATTTATTGAATAGAGAAAAGAAATGGGACTCAGTCCTGAAGATGGAGTACACAAGCGCACATTGGGAGACTCAGTCCTTAGGATGAAGTACACAAAGGCACATTGGTATGTACAACCTCAGGATGTAGCTGCCAATGGTTATTTGAGGACTCAACAGCCCCAGAAAGGAGCACACAATGCTAAATTGTGGACTAAACACCTGCAGAAAAGAGCTTATAAAATGCATGAATAATTTATTGAATAGAGAAAAGAAATGGGACTCAGTCCTGAAGATGGAGTACACAAGCGCACATTGGGAGACTCAGTCCTTAGGATGCAGTACACAAAGGCACATTGGTATGTACAACCTCAGGATGTAGCTGCCAATGATTATTTGAGGACTCAACAGCCCCAGAAAGGAGCACACAATGCTAAATTGTGGACTAAACACCTGCAGAAAAGAGCTTATAAAATGCATAAATAATTTATTGAATAGAGAAAAGAAATGGGACTCAGTCCTGAAGATGGAGTACACAAGCGCACATTGGGAGACTCAGTCCTTAGGATGCAGTACACAAAGGCACATTGGTATGTACAACCTCAGGATGTAGCTGCCAATGATTATTTGAGGACTCAACAGCCCCAGAAAGGAGCACAAAATGCTAAATTGTGGACTAAACACCTGCAGAAAAGAGCTTATAAAATGCATGAATAATTTATTGAATAGAGAAAAGAAATGGGACTCAGTCCTGAAGATGGAGTACACAAGCGCACATTGGGAGACTCAGTCCTTAGGATGCAGTACACAAAGGCACATTGGTATGTACAACCTCAGGATGTAGCTGCCAATGATTATTTGAGGACTCAACAGCCCCAGAAAGGAGCACACAATGCTAAATTGTGGACTAAACACCTGCAGAAAAGAGCTTATAAAATGCATAAATAATTTATTGAATAGAGAAAAGAAATGGGACTCAGTCCTGAAGATGGAGTACACAAGCGCACATTGGGAGACTCAGTCCTTAGGATGCAGTACACAAAGGCACATTGGTATGTACAACCTCAGGATGTAGCTGCCAATGATTATTTGAGGACTCAACAGCCCCAGAAAGGAGCACACAATGCTAAATTGTGGACTAAACACCTGCAGAAAAGAGCTTATAAAATGCATGAATAATTTATTGAATAGAGAAAAGAAATGGGACTCAGTCCTGAAGATGGAGTACACAAGCGCACATTGGGAGACTCAGTCCTTAGGATGCAGTACACAAAGGCACATTGGTATGTACAACCTCAGGAT